GTATTGATCCAGCCCTTCTTAGGCCTACAGCTGCATCTACGGCAGCACCTACGGCAGCACCTACGGCAGTACCTACGGCAGCACCTACGGCAGTACCTACGGCAGCACCTACGGCAGTACCTACAGCAGCGCATACAGCAGCGCATACAGCAGCGCATACAGCAGCGCATACAGCAGCGCATACAGCAGCGCCTACAGCTACACCTACGGCTGCACCTGCAGCTAAGAACCGCGGCCGGCCGCCTGGTGCAAAGGATAAGGTACCACGGAAAAAGGCACTGCAGAGGAAAGATAGTACTCAGCCTACGCCTCAGCCTATGCCTCAGCCTCAGCCTCATCCTCAAGCACAGAGGCTTAGCCGAGAGGAGCTTCTACGTCAGCTTGCAGCGTATGATGAGGAAATCGAGGGGTATATTAATCAAGGTGAAGAGTAGGTGTAGGCGGCGATGCTAGGGGGCTAGGCTTGATGCAAAAGGAGCTGTAATAAGGCGAGGTTTTGGCAGGTTTGGCATGCTATTAGGCACGTAGGCACTTCTAGAATAGAATTCTATTCTATACTCATACTTAGACTTAGACTACGTGAGCTCGTACCTGAGCTCGTACCTGAGGCTATATGTGAGGCTATACGAATCGGCATAGCTATATAGCTGTACGTGAGCTCGTGTATAGCATCATGTACGGCCTCGCGTATAGCATCACATACGGCCTTGCGTATAGCGTCACGTGTAGAGAGACGTAAAAGTGAATGCCCGGAGCTTCCTCCGCACTGCTCCGAGCCAATCAGAAGGTGGTGAAGCGCTAAGAGGGGGTGTGTGCCTGGAGGAATTAGGGGGTGTGCCTGGAGGGATTAGGTGGTGTGAGATTATCAACCCCCTATTTTTATTAGAGCTATTAACTTATTATAGTAAAATACAAGAAAGAAGGAAGGGTTCTCACGTTAGATCCTTCGAACTCATCTCGATCCTCCATTTCCGGGCGGCATGGTTCCGGTTGGTTTGGGTGAGAAGGATTTTCGACTTGAGGGCAGAATTGTACGAGAAGTTCCTTAACCTCGCGAGTAAGGCAGAGCGTAGTGTGATGATCGAATTCTGAGCGCGATACCAGAGGAGCCATGTCTAACACTTCTTCCGAGCCCGACTCCCTTCTTGCTCCTCAGTTTCTAGCAACATGGAGAGCTTCTTGAAGGTTTGAGGCGAATGGGACAGGAACGAGAATTGATGGGTAGAGATGCTTCCTGCATGTTCACCCCATCAAAGCACTTCTGCGATTCTTCCAAGTTCTACTTTTCATGATTTCCATATCAGATTCACGATCTATATACATAACGTTCTGATTTCTACCTCGAATGAATTGCATGGCTTTGGACCGTGATCCCCGAGGAAATTAAGCATTCAGCTTCTGTGGCATGTCTTGGTGATGTTGATGCCTCCAAGTTACCGCACTTTCGAGCTCTTACAGGACACGCCTCGGAGTCACGTCAGAGCAGTACACGCAGACGTATTTATCTTTCCCGACCCATCTATCCCAACCCGCCTTTTCTGTCCTCCCATCCCCACCACTTTCAATACGGCGGCGTGGTAACTGCCTGGATATACGTAGCATTACAAGTCGCATCCCCACTCTTCCACTTAATCTAGAACACCATGTTAGCCTCCCTCCATACCTCTCCTTGGTCCCCAAGAAGAAAAAAAACTAGACTCACCACACTCTGCCCCAACTCTTCCACACAAACCTCCCACCCCTCCACCGCCCCATCCACAGCGAGTAAATACCCCCCGACTAATGCTAAATTCCCCTTTCCCTGCGGCGCCGCGAGAAACTGCAGCTCCTGTCCCTCCAATACTAGTGTAGAGTTGTACTCAAATGTCCCCATAGCCGGCGGCCCGAAGTTGTAGATAGTGGTGTGTAGCGTGCCGTCTGTGAGCGTGAAGTTGGGTAAGCTGCCATACCCGGGGCCGGTCAGGCGGAGAAGGAAGTTGGGCTGGTGGTAAGGGTCAAAGAGACATGTCGCGCTGACAGAATGGAGGAGGGAGGAGTTTGAGGAGGGGGTGCGTTGGGGGGTGGTGACGAGGAAGACCGGTTTGAGGGGGCCGGTCGGGTAGGGTGTTGCGGTGGTTCGTATGATGAAGAAGGAAAGCGAGAGGATGAGAAGGGAGAGTGATTTGAGCATTTTGAGGTGGTTTAGAGTTTGGGATGGGTTTCGTATGAGATGAAATGGAGATAGAGGAGGAGGAAAGGATGAATGTACGCAGCAATTGATGGGAAGACCTGAAGGTTTTGTAGCAGATTGGAACTTCTTGTGTACAGGTGCGGGTAAGTACCATGCCACCGTCATTATTGGTAGCACCTGCAGAGAATCAGGGTCAATCTGGTACGCGGTTCCACGACCGCCCGTTGGGACGAACGGGCATCGCCATCGAACTGGTAGGACTTTAGTGACGATGTGGTTTCGTGATTACATGTTGGTAAACGGCGCCCTCGTTTGAAAGGATCGAAGTGTTTGCGTTAATCGTCCATGGTCTCTATAAATCTTATAGGGACTACCTTCGGACGAGGTCTTTCGCGACCGACTCCGTAAGACTAGTGAGCGCCGTGGCGTGCAGGGCTCTAAGCGTTGATGATCAAGATGGCGAGATTCTGAAGGTAACGTGCAGTGAGATGTCTCGAAGGATGTCGTCCCCCGCCGGCCTGCCTCCGAAGTAGAGGAGTGGGAGGGACGCTCGTGAACTACTGCACGACTCTACTATGCAGCGACACTTATTCGATCGTTCCCGTATGCACAATGCGTATACTTGCTTGCAACTGCCTGAGGTGGCCCGGCGAGGTAAGAGGGCCGTCAAAACCGTCTACTTCCATCACGATCAAATTTCGGAAAATGTCTCGGGCCACCACAGACGCTGTCAAAACACAGGACGCAGTCGAGCTAATGTAGGGTGGTTAGAGTCTATTGAAGGCGGGAAGTTCCTTTGATTTTTTCATTCTCGTCCTAGGATCTACCTTCCTAGCCCGTGATGAAATGAAGGATGTGCAGGATCGCTGCTGGAGAGGGGTCAACGCTCGACCGCGAAGCTCCCATTGGACTTATTATTTCAGGCCTTCCTTGGCCCATAAGAAAAGGCTGGAGAAGCGCGCAATGGCTGCTGAAGTCGTTAGTTCAAGCCACCCGCTCCCGCTCAACTCTCATCCGTACCGTGCTACGTACCTCCAGCGGCCTGCCACTCCATGCTTTTCGGAGCTCTCTTCATGATGAAGCTATCTACCTTCCTCATTTTCGCCCTCGTTGGCTTTCTCAGTGTCGTCTCCGCTCAGAACAATTACCAAAATTGCGTGAACGGGTGTTGGGCTTGCAGAGGTGGTAGCGAATAGTAAGCCTACCGATGTCCCCACGAATGGAATACTGACAAGATTGTTGGCAGTACTATAAGCATGAACGACAACTAGTAAGTCTATACATCCTTGGATCTCTTTTATAGTGTTGACGATACTAATACGATGGACAATAGTCTGGCCTACTGCAAGAACCAATACTGCAACCCGAAGCATGGCCCCATTCCTAGTCAAGTCGGCTGTTATACACCATAAGCAACCAGTTGGAAAGGTTCGATATGCCGTAACCATTCTCCGTATACCTCGAATCACATACGTTGACCCACCACCCGCTCTCAATCACTCATCATTCTTCTTCGCCTCGGGCCTCTTCTCCCACTCTTCCTTCAACAACCCCAGGAATATCAAATCGTTCACCTCCCCCGCCTTGAGCACCTGCTTTTTCATCACACCTTCAACGACAAACCCACACTTTTTCAAGCACCGCTCGCTCCCCGCATTCCCAGCAACCACCTTTGCTATAAGCTTCAGGTACCCCTTCTCCTGGAACCCGTATGCCGTCATCGCCTCCAACGCCTCCGTCATGATACCCTTTCCCCAAGACGCCTCGCCCAGCCAATAACCCAGTACCGCGGTATGTGCTTCGGTATCCTGGCCAGGCATGAAGCCAAATTGGCCGAGGACGGTGGTAGGATCGGTCAGAAGAGTGATGGCGAAGTGGTTATATGGCGGTGTGAGGTTTTGCGCGATCCATTTGGTGGCGTGCACGAGGGTGTAGGGGATCGCGAAGGCGGAGCTCATGTAGCGGGCAACGGCCGGGGAGTTCTGGGCGAAGGCGACGGAGGGGATGTCTTGGGGGTGCATGGGACGGATACTCAGGCGGGCGGTGGTGACGATGGGCTCGGGGAGAGGCGAGGATTCGGATACAGATATCGTTTGTAGCGGCAATTGAGCCGTGGGATTTGGTGTTGTAGCCATTGGGAGGGATGTGTTCTTTTATTTGCGGCCTGAGCCTTGATAGATACTTTAGAGTGTTAAGTTAAGTAAGATGCCTCTGAAGCAATGAGCGACTCTGAGCTTTTAAAAGAATGTGAGTGCCTGTAAGTCAATTGAGACGAAAGTGATGTGTTTGCTTTAAGTACTCCATTCGTGACTCATGATGATAGTCATTGGTTGTTCAAGTCAAACTTCAGGTCTCTGTGATTCAACTAGGCTGGGATGGTAGACGACCTGCCTCTTTAAGAGTAATTCTGTGTGACAAGAGGCTGAGGAGTGAGACGGGAGTCTCACGCGATTCTGAGGGGCTATCCAAGGCGTGGAATCTAAGCAGTATAAGAAGCACTAGTTTTTCGTGAATGGAAAGGTTTGTGTGAATTAATGCCAGGATGGTGACTTTGTCATGAACACTGCGTCAGGGGCGTGCATTGAAGGCATCGTTGAATTTGGGGGCTAGCGGCTTGGCGGCATTGTTCCATGACTCCACGGCTACAACCTCTGTCCGTCTTTCTCCACAGCCACATCTAGACATAGAGTCAGAAAGCACACCTAGCTATCAGCTCATAAGCAATTCCAAAGCCTACAAAACTTCTCTCAAAGCTCTTGAACTGACCCAAGACCAACTACAATTACATCAAAATGAAGACTGACAATTACCTCACTCTCTGCCTCGAGCAGGCTTCCAAATCTTCTCTCCGCTACCGCCACGGCTGCATTGTCGTTCGCGGTGGGAAAGTTATTGGCCAAGGTTACAATGACTATCGCTCCGGATTCAATGGCGGTGCTCTCAAGACTGGCCGTCTCGCATCTGGTGCAGCCGATGGAGCTGCCATTGCTGAGTTGAAGCGAAAGCAGAAGCAGAAGCAGAAGCAGAAGCCTAAGAGCGAGAGTGAGTCTAGGGATATCCAGGATACGAAGCCTTTCACACCGTTTGAGGGTATGGGTGGAGGCAGTCACGCCAACACGCCGCTGTCCATGCACTCTGAGATGATGGCGATTCACTCTGCCCTCTCGTCTTCTAGCACCATGGCCTCCAGCGCTCTGTCGTCTCAAAAACCGTGCTTTAAACTATCGGGTGATTCTAAACGAAAAGCCCGACTACGAAAGGACGGCCTCAAAGCGTACGTCGAGCGGGTGTGCCTCAACGCACTCAACCAGTCGGCCACGGAGCTGCGCCGCGGCGAGGCACAGGTTCAAGAGTACTGCTTTGAAGCCACTGCATCTCAACCAGGCCAAAACGGACAAGGCGGGTTCGGACAACGTGAAAGAAAGAGACGTGGCCTTGTCCAACAAGAAAAGTGCGGAGAAACACCGCCTGAAGAATCTGAAGAATGGTCAACAGGGGAATCAGTATCAGTACGACCGTTCTGGACAACAGAAACAACTGCGACAGCAGTCCCTACATAAGCTTGAGTCGTCATCCTTGACTTCCGATGTTACTGGTTCCGGTTCTGTTTCTCCCGATATCTCGACTACATTTGATACTAGCATCCCTATTGTAAGTCTACAGAGCCTATTATACATCATGTTGGACGCTGATAGTGAAGCTGAGTAAGAAGAACGCTCCAGACAAGAACCCCGCGACGACCCAGACATCTCTACTTCCAAAAGGCCGCACCGGACAGATATCTCGCAGTGTGACAGATCGCATGAAGCACCCACGATTGAATGGAGCTGATATATATGTTGCTCGGCTTGGCTGGAAGGCCGATCGTAGAGCCCCCGAGTCGACGATGTCGCCGGTCTTGCCACCAAACTCCGAGATCATGGCCGAATGCAGTGACTGTAGCTCAGATGACTCACTTACCGATGGACGGAATACGCATAGCTCTCAGCCTCGAACCGGATCTCTTCACGAAGAGTTAGTCGATCCTCATCGGCCACCGAACGATATAATAGAGACTCAAAAGGGGGAGAAGTTCGATCGACGTACTGTTCTCACGTCGAGGCCTTGCTATCGATGCATCTGCTATATGGATTCGGTTGGGATCAAGCGGGTTTATTGGACGAATGAGGGGGGGCAGTGGGAGGGTGCGAAGGTCCGAGACCTCGTGGATGCATTGGAGGGGTCGTCAAGTGATAGCGGCGGTGTTTCTGGTGGTCCGACGGGCAACGGTGTCTTTGTGACCAAGCATGAGGTGTTGATGCTGCGGCGCTTGATGGGAAATAAATCATAGATTGGAAGCGCTATTCCAAACCGTACATCGCAAAGTAGCCAATTTCTTTTGCTTCTCGGAGATCCTGGTCCAAATTGTCGAGCGAGTGAATCTTTTTTGTATTCTTTCCATTAACTTCTCCATGTCTTGCAAAGCAGCCTTCACTCTTCTTATCAAGCCGCCCTCATTATTATTGGGAGTACTGGACAGCACTCACTTGCGTTTTAGGAAGGCAGCACATAAGTTGCTTAAGAGCGCCGCAATTTCAAGGGTATAATATTCAAAACATTGAACGCATTTCAAGAAATTGAGAAATCCAAGGGCAGGTACCGGGCTGTGACATAGCACACTCAACAATCGCAATTGCGCAGTGTGTTAAAGCTCACGCTACTCCAAACCGTACATCGCAAAGTGACCAATTTCTTTTTGTTCAACTTTTTAATTTACTCCTCGGAGGTCCGGGTTCGAGCCGCGGAGTGAAGAGAAAGCGAGTGAATTTTTTTGCTTGTTTTTTCCAACGAGCGGCCTTATGTTATTCTTGCCACAGTAGTACCGTACTATAACATAAGTTTGTGCGCTCTTCTCCTAGTCTCTTCCATAACCTTTATGATATGTGGAGCTACTCCAGACCACGCCAAGATAGGTCGATTAAAAGCGTTTCGGTCTGCTCCGATTTGCGCTGCCCAGGATTGCATATCTTCTCTGAACACTCCATAATACGCCAGAGCACCTCAAACAATGGCAAGCAAGGGTGCACAGACTTTTGTCCAGGTACATTACAGAGGTATTAATTAGTATTTGAATCTTAGTCTGTGCATATTTGAGTTGTGACTGGAAAGCTCTAGCACGCTGACTTCATCGTTTCAACTCATATGATTCGTCTAGTAATTGCTATAAGCAAACTCTACATGAGCTAGATTTTTAATTCGACCGTGGGGTCCAAATGCCATCGGATAAACTGGTGTTTTTGCCGTCTCCGAAATTTCACGTGACCATCTAAGCCTTTTTGCCGTTGATACCTTTGAGCTCCACATCGCTGCGGGCAATTAGTACATTAGACCATCGGCTGAAGACCGGTAAACTCACAAGATGAGAGTGGCCATCGGCGGGATCAGTCCCGGATACCCGCGTTGCCCGTAAGCGTAATCCCTTCCAAATCATCAGTTCCGCCTCACCCATCTATCAGAAAAAGCCGCCACGTACCCAGTGATCGTCAGCGTCGACTTCTCGCCCAGAGTCATACCGCCATCAGCGCTGAGGATGCCCTCATCCCAGCCTGGCCATTTCAATTAGCATCTCTAGTAACCCGTAAGCAGAAAAGAAACATACCCTTAATCACTTGCCCCGTCCCGATCTTCACCGGGAAAGTTCCGTCGCCACGGCCAACCGACGAGTCAAACTGCTTGCCCTTGCCGTTCGCTGCGCTCGTGTCCTCGAGCCAGCCGGTGTAGACCATGGTGACGTTGTCGCCGGCCTTTGGCTTGTCGACGCCGTTGCCGGGCTGGAGAACTTTCTTGGTGACACCCATATTGATGGCTGTGGAAGTGAAGGCGCGGTAGAGTGTTTGTGTTGATTTGGTGGGAGTTGAGAATAGGGTACGGCGGAGGTGGTGCATCGATGAGGGTTTGGCGTTGGCGGCTTATTCTTATGTGTGGTTGGGCTGCGAGAGTCTCCGGTTGCAGGTGCGGGACAGTGCGAGGGGTCGACGTTTCATAAATGACGTGATTACAGTTAGGGCTGAGTTGTGATCTGCATAAATCACGTGAAAAGTTATGCACGAAACTCACAGTGAATATCCGCAGAAGGGGGCACACAGTAGAATGAGGCTCATATGCAAACGCTTCTTCTCTGTTGTATCAAGTGAATTCTACGGTTTGAACTGTCGACTAGAGAGAAAGCAGCGGATTCGTATTAGACCACAGCATTCGAAACGATGTCTGTGCTTAGGTATTGACAAATTCGTCCGCAGCTTACTCTGTACCTCAGCTGCAAGAGCACCTTGTGTTCAATCAGCAGTTTTCTCGAGGCTCCGGACGACATAGAGACAGCTGCATAGCACAGTCTGACCCAGCAACTATATTATTGTCTCAACGTTGAATGATGATCAAGGTAGGCAAGGTTTGGTTCTTTGAGCTCACACTTCCATCATTTGACAGCACGCGGTCGTACCAAAGACGTGACTTCCATTAATAGAGGAATGTTACTACGTCTACGCAACAGTGGACTTGGGCCTTCCTCGTTTCAGTGTGGTCTCCAACCAACGCCACCTGCCAAGAAACATCCATCTCCCCCAACATAGGCCACAAGGATTCATCTGATTGCATATCCTTGCTCTCGAGTGCCATTACATAGACAAAAGTGATCGGTTCGTCCTCGATTCCATCCTCCAGCTGCACCTCAGAGGGGACGTGCAGCGAGTGCAAGGGCTCGGGATGAGGCGGCGGCCATGACGCGCTCTTAGCTCCGGTTTTGGGGCTGGGGAAAGCATGTTGGAGGCGCTGTGATTCGCCGATCGGCAACGCCGCCAGCTTTCCCTCCAAGTCGTCCAACCTCTGCGACCTCACCTCGCTCCTCCCACTCCTCTTCTCGACCTCTTCCTCTGCCTGCGCATCCCCAACTGCATCTCGAACCCCGTCGCATCATCTACGCGCACCAATTCATCCCAATTTTTCCGTTGCGCCGTTCAACTCCCATTTTACCGCTCCCACGCGCCTCCCCGGAAGCTATTTATACCAACCGTAATGGCTGACACTAGCATCAAGGAGGGCGACCAAGGTATGCCCACTCGTCCCTCGCAATGCCTTCTGTTCCGCCCATGAGCTTCAATTGCGCTTTCTTGCCTTCTTTCGTCGCCAAAACAACCCATACCGTCCCGGGGCGCGTCCCCGACGCGCGCTGCTACAGACCGTGCTGACAAACGTTCTTTGCTCCAGCTTCCTGGCAATGGGGTGGCTCAAAGCCCAGCGGAACAGTTGCTGAAGTGAAGGAGCACGGCGACCTTTCTATCCAGTCCAACAAGGGCAACACCATTACCAAGAACGCGTCTCCCGACGATCCGGCCGTGCACCTTGCTCGGGAGGGCAACGACGTCGTCAAGCGCGCGCATGAGCTCACTGTCGACAAGCCGGCCAAGGGAAAATCAAAGACGCCTGAGCCATCCAAGAAGGAAGAGGCCAAGGAGAACGGCGCCGAGAAATCAAACAGCGCGTCCGACTCTGCCGAGTCGAAGACTGAAGAGGCCACCAACGGAGAGGCCAAAGCCGAGGCTGAGACTGGAGACAAGCGGAAGGCGGATGAACCTGTAGTAGAGGAGAATGGAGCCAAGGAGGACGAATCGGCCAAGAAGCAGAAGACCAATGGCGAAACCGAGACCGAGAAGAAAGGAAAGGGCCGAGGACGGCCTAAGAAGGCTGATGGCGAGAAGAAAGCCCCGGCCAAGAAGAGGGCTCCCAAGAAGGCTGCAACAGAAACCGGAGAGCCGCGACGCAGTGGTCGCAACCGGACCTAGACACCCCACTCGTTCCACATGCAGCGCCGATGATCTGATGCAGTCATTCGATTAGGCGGCCATTGTGCACATCTTCTTTAAAATCTAACGTCGCGACACGACTGGCTGGGACTCGGGACGGAACGGATAGGACGGGATGGGATAGTAGGCAACAAGTGCAACAGGTGGCGGTTTTCGTCTTCGGGTGGGCGCTTGTACGGTTGCATTTTATCAATGGGTTCTCTCATTCTCTAAAATTCCAAAACGCTTAGTTTCGGAGCTGTCTCTTGTACTATAACTGTCAAGTTCCTTCCGCGATTGCTCGTGCGATGCGTAAAATGGGCGGGAAAGCTTCGGCAGACGAGTGTGAGAATTCAAAAAGTGCAAGATTCGCTTTAGCTATGGTCTAACAATCTATGCGTGCGTGATCCCCGGATATCTATTGATCCTCCGATTAGTACGTGATACTTGAAATGGTCGTCGTGATGAGAACGAATGTGGGAGTGCCGTTGGTCAGAAGAAAATTCTCGTTCATTGAGACAGAAGTACGAAGAACGTCTCTATGATCCGTCTTGAAACTTGTTGAGCATATAATCATCATATAGGCAGAGGGAGGTGTAATGATCTGAAGAAAATGAATGTTTCGTGACTTACAATGCAATATCTAGAGGTTCTGCTTCAGCCAGCTTTGCGGTGACGTAGCAGCATCCATTCATCAGGATGTGGCAAGGCTCTTTGCATTCGCACTACGCTAATACCCTCTACTATTCAAAGTTGACCAGACCTCAATATACCGATTGCCTAGAGGTGGTGTTGTGGGATGGAGCTGGGTGACGGGGCAGGCCAGTGATAACTTTTTCTAGCGAGGGCTTGGCATCTGTTTATCACTTCATCCCGTCTCCGTCTCCGTCTCCACAATCAAGATCATACCATGCCTTGCTCTTTTGACAGCTTTGCGATATAAATAGATTAATACTCTAACAGACTGAAGAAAGCCCTTAATAGGCACCCGGAAGTATGCTTGTAATTGTCGTAAAACACGGAAGCGAGAAGACTAACGGACGATTCCACACAGTTGAACAGCCACAAGTCTTGCGTTCGCTAGACATTTACTCCTGGTTCTTCTTTCGTATCTAATAGTGTATTATCATTTCAAAGTACTCTTCTACTGCTTTCGAATTCAACTCGGCGAGCCGCACGCAGTTGCGGGCATCGACACGAAGTCGTCGCAGATGGCTTTTTGAAGACAGCGCTTTACTTACGGTGCTAGGCTATCGATCTATTTGTATTCTCTTGTCATTAATGAGTTAGTTTCAGCGTGGTTTCCCTTTTGATTTTGGTCCCAAAAGCAGACCTTCAGCTCGTAGGGCAGGTTGGATTAAGGTTGACGCCTCCAACATTCAACACCCTTGAAATGGACAAGAGTTGCCAAGTCTATACGCGTTTTCGTAACGCGCGATCAGTCCACCACTAAGACAGGTCAAGAAACGCCAAACATTTACATCGAGAGAATGTCTCGGCGCTTTGTATACGTGTACACGGCATCGAAGCGTGTTCGGTAAGCTGGCGTCTTGCCACATTGCTTTCCTTCGCGCTTGGATTTTACGTGGCATGACCACGCCTCAATTTACTTGTGTTTTCAGGATATAAATCTTCCACTCGCAGAACTACTTCTTCCACAGAATCAATCTTTAAATATATCCAGAATTCTCACTAAACAAGAACAATTTTATAGAACTCTTATCGACTTTACAAGTTCATACTACACAGCAGCTTCTCCACCATCTCCCTACCAGGCCTCACTATCGCCAAAACAAATCCACAATGCCCGACCCCAACGCCAACGCCACCGTCAACCCACCCCCCAACCCCGAGCCCAGCTCAACCCCAACTCCGACCTCCCCCTCCACCCCCGTCCCAGACTCCATCCTGCCCCCAAGCTACCCCGCCACCAGCCCCCCGTCCTACACGGAGACTCCACCAGACCCCTCCACCTCTCTCCCCGCCGGCGCCCACCCCTGCCCCTCCTGCCTCGGCAGCACGCGCGGCCCCCCCTGCCCCCGCTGCCCGGAGTACCGCTCGAACGCTCCCAGCAGCAAGCGGTCCAGCACCGTCCCCATCAAGGACCTGTACAAAGTACGCCGCGAGTCCTCCGCGCGCGCGCGCCAGGAAAGCCTGGCGGTCTCGAAAGCCTTTGAAGCGTACAAAGAGGGGTGCGCAGGGGGCGCGTATCGCGGGAGTGAGCTAGCCTCGAAATATCGGGATTGCAAAGCCAAGGCGGAGGCGGGCGTAGCACGCATCGCGAAGGCGCTGCAGGAGGCGGAGCGGAACCTGCACAATGCGACGCTGGTGGCGGGGAATGCGGCGAATGCGGCGGTCAAGGCGGGGCATGAGAAGTATAAGGCGGAGGGGGAGAAGCGGAGGGCGGAGAGGGAGATGGTGGCGGCGAGGGAGGCGATGCAGAGGAAGGGGCAGGAGGTGCTGAGGTGGGGGAAGGAGAAGGAGAAGTGCGAGAAGGAGGAGGTGAGGTGGGAGAAGGAGGCCCGGTTCTTGGAGAAGGAGGCCCAGGAGTGGGAGAAGCTGAGGCATGATTGGGACGTCGCGAGTCGCGAGGCGAGGCTGGAGACGAGGGATTTGGTGGAGTCGTATAATCAGAGGGTGGCGAGGAGCCGGGCAACGCAGCAAGAGCGGAGGAGTACGGGTAACTCAGGTAGATGAGTCTGTATTAATTCATGAGGGTTAGCTCCCTCAAGTCATCCATGTTGTTTCGCCGGCACTCCTCTAGCCTAGTGAGCGCTTTATAGACATTCTGAATCGGTGGTCATTCATACACTCGTTTACCGCTGTTTGAGGAGCCTCATAGTAGTTTCAGCAATCCGAGTGAAACAGAAGTTCGGCATTTCGGACAACTAGTAAACTTGCGAGGCTACTCCGGACAGCGTTTGCTGGATGTACACAGATTGGAAGTGAATCCGCTCTCCATTTGCATCCTTAAGGACTTCGCATCTTGTCTGAACTCTGATACTTCGCCGAAGCACCCGCCCATTCCTCCTCCTCCCCGAGCGCCACTCAGACTCAAAACAGCAAGTAACCGGTCCTAAGCCGCTTCAAGTCATCTCATCTCCATCCAGTTGGGAAGCGCTTGGCTTCTTCTCGTCCGAGGAAGAGGCCGAATCATCATCTTCTTCCAGGAACTTGGGGTGCTTTTTCTGCAAACGACGTCAGCCATGAAACATTCAAAAATGAGGACTTATGGTACGGCATTGTTGATCATAGCCAGCTTCATCAGAGGTGGACTTCGAGCCCTCTGCCGTGGCTTTTGGATGCGACCTGAGGTAGTTGTACGTGCTGGAGTAGTCTTTGGCGCCTCATTCGCCCTCTTGCGAAGCTTCGGCTTCGGCTTACGTGGCTGGGACCGCAGTAGCTCTATAGTCTCGGCACGATGGCGGAGTAGCCGTTGCATCAGCGCATGCAGTGCACCTTCTTTGTTCAGATTGAACATGACGCAGTTCTTGGGCAGGTAATCCACGTCGATCGTACGCTCAAGGTAGAGCGCCGCCGGATCCAGTCCTTCTAAGTGATACTCGGAGAAGTCGCCGCGCTTGAGATCCTCGATTGTGCTATCTCCGGCCCCAATTTTCAGTCCTGTGACAGCGACAGACTTGGAGGTGGGGTGAGGATCCATTATAGATCCTAGGTTTCGATCGATGCGGTGGATTTTCACGGCTCGCATGCCGTTTTGCTACTCCATCTTTAGCAGAGGCTCTTTAATGTGCACATTACCTCGCCATACGATGTACGCAAATTTGTAGTGTACGCAAATCTATAGCGAGGTACTGGAGGTCTTTGAAGGGCGACCACATACCTTGAACCAGACATACCACCCATCTGAGCGGTAAACTGGCACAAAACCAAACGCCTGGCCAAGCTCCAAGGCCACATCAGCAATACAGTCTCTCGAAAGAGCTCGCATGCATTCTTTTAGGTTCAGATTCTGTATTTCCCCTGTCCTTAGTTGCTCCAGCAATTGGGCGTCAGTCTCGCGAGGAGGTAGGAGCGCGTCGCAAGGAGGTTCCAGCTGCTCTTTGCAGTCTAGGATGTATTCAAGAAGGCTTCGCAGATCTTCCGGCTGGTGTAATGTGAAGTTGCGAGTTTCCGGTGCGAATAGAACGCGGACGTCTCTGGAAGACAGGTCCTGATCTTCGGCTCGTGGACGTGCCAGGTCGCCTGTGGGGTTATCCGGGGAGAGCAAGGGATTCTCATCGTCGGAATAGTCTGAATCGTCATCGTCATCGTCATCGTCATCGTCCGGAGGGTATTGTCCTGCGATCCTGACCGCGTGTCTGAGAGGTAAGTCCTAGATCATCGTCAGCTATATTGAGACAGTAGGATAGGTGAAACACTTACGAGAAAGACAAGATAGTCTCCTCGTTGCCCCGCCAGTTCTGTCATCAAACCAAGACGAGAGCAGCAGTAGCGGATAGCCAGCAAAGCATCTCCCTGCTCGAGCATACTAAGGGCAAGCCGATGGCATGACCTATGTCCGCGTGACAGCAGGTTTTCCAGAAGTGACCTTGCTATCGTAGGAGTACGAGGCATGGCTAGCAGTAGTTTGTGTGTTGAAGATCGTGACGGCGGTGTTTGGTGGAGTGTAAACAGCGAGTGGGTGGTTAGATGGTCGCTTGCCAGCTAGCTCGATTGGCGTTAGTCCAGCTTGTTCATCCACGTGGTTGAGCCTTAAGGCGTTGAAGGATCTACTTGTTGCTGGAAACATAGAGAGAGAGAGAATGTGTGAGAACAGTCATTCAAAGGTCTATCATGTCACTGTATCCCATTACCGTTTCACAAGGCCGCGCATGGCCGGCACCAACCGCAAACAGAACAATCAAGTGAATTTTTGGAGCTGCTTATTTGCGGCCTCATGGAACACTCCAGTCATTATGGGAATGATTCAGCTATAAAGAAGCCTGGAACATCCTACCATAGCTTGAAAGCTTCTCCACAGCACCTATGGCTAAAAAGAAGTTGAAGAAAGTAACTACTTACGGCCCAGGAACACACAATCCAGTGGAAAAAGTCGCCCGAAATTCAGGGAGCTGCTGGAATGAGAAGCATTTACAGTGGCTCTTCATCGAGCTCCACCATTTGAGCGTGAATCAGTGGCAAATGCCAAATGTGCTCTCTGAAGTGGAAAAATGCCTCTTCAACGAGATTGATAGGCTATTCGGCTGGTCATGGACACAGATTCTAGAGTTAGAGAAGCGGCCAGATACTGATAATATGGTAGGCGACTTCTATCTGCACCTCGCCTCACTGGAAGACTATGATTCCAGTAGTTCTATTCATGGAAGTTCACAAAGCGACGACAATAGGAGGCAGAATAGCGAAGACGAGGAAAAAAGGACTCGCAGAAAGCCTCAAACCCCGTACCTACGATTGAGCACACAGAAATCCTCTCCGCCTTGTATTTACCAAATGCTGCGGAGAACATTGTCGACGATAGTGGGTCGAAGGTGTACCATGAGATCATACGAAGAACGCTTGAATCAGAGTTCCCATCATCCCCTCCTGAGCTGTAGCAAGAGGCAAAGGAACTAGACCCGGATCTCGAAGAATTGCAAGGAGCTGACGATGCCAACGAGTCTATCGAGGGTGAACGTAAGCGTCATCGAAAGCAAGCTAGTTCTGATTCAAGTGCTGTTTCAAGTTCTGTGTCTGATTATCGTCCACCTCGAAGAAAGATGAAGAACGAGAGCAGTCTTGTAGACAGTCTGGTAACGGGCAATCAGCATGTTGATCCGTCGAATCGCTCTGCAGATACCCAAGATCCGCCGGAAAGTGTCTCTGGTTCTCCTCCGTCCTCAGACCGAGAGTTCACAGAAGAGCGCATCAGCCCAATCGAGGATAGAACGAACTCCGCATATGCTGAATCACAGTTTGCGGACGAAGCCACTGAGATTGAGGAGGAGGATTATAAGATGATGATGCTAAGTCCGGGCTCGAAGACGTGGAAACCGAGGTCCCAGAAGACTCGGGCGACGAAGACTATGTGCCATCGCAAGACACGAAGGAGACAAAAGCAGCCATCGATAAGAGGAAGAAGAAGGGGAGTGTTCGTCCTGAGGCCGATGTGGACGTGGCCGTATCTTCGTTCTTCCTGAAGATTTAGAACATAATACAACTTCCAGACCGATAACAAGGTGATTTTCCAGAGAGGGTAAGTGACCATCACCAATCTCTACGATTTACGTTATAAGATCTGAGAAAATACCAGTAGTCGTGGGTATGACTCTTCGACAATCGTTTGGAACAACATCGAATTGGAGTCCATCTCTGACGTATGGTTGCGTCGTCGCGGGCGCGGTCGCTATGCCAAAAAGCTCCTCGTATCAGAAAACAAGACGCTCCATCACGGAAAGAGTAAAGATAACATCCTTGGCCAGTAGGTCAGCCATTTGCTGGCAGGGGCCATCTGATTGCGCAAGATCGCTAGGAGTAAAGGTCGATCGAAGAATGAGGACAAGGTTTTGCCATTCAAACCCTTTCTCTTAGTCTGGGACTATTCGAAAGTCTACTCCATGGAATGCGAGATCCTGGAAGAGTATCTGGCATGGTTGAAAAGCCATGACAATCATCCTTACCCAAAAAGTCTGTTAAAAGTATACCGGAGCCCAGAATACGACATGCGGGATGGTAAGGATAGAATCTATGTGGCGAAGCGGATTGCTGCATATTTCGGCAGATATTAGGCGCCTAGTTGGACGGCGTTGGGCGAAAGGATGGGGTAGTAGGAGATGAATGTAGAGGAGATGAAGTTGAGAGAAGAAGGTCAGGGGCTACCTAGTCTAGTGCCTCATTGGTCACTTTCGCGAGAACTATATAGTACATTATACTTGTTTGCCTCTGCTTAGGACACCTCACTGCATAATCACATACCTACACGCTATGTCAATTGCTTAGTCCGCGAATCAAGCCAGCATTGAACACTTGTCTACCACCGTCCGCGGTACTACAGCGCTTCATCAGAACGCAGCATGAGAAATGATGCACTCCCAAATGGATATTAGACCGGCAGTGATAATTGCTCGACATGTAGCGAGATGTGAGTGTCACTACATTCCGCAGTCGTGGCCAAGATTCATAACAATCAGTTTTGATTGCACTAACAAAAGACTATCTACCCATCCCCCTTCCAGTTCACCACCAAAAGCATGAGGCCAAAGCATAAGGGGGAATAGTTCCGATTTGAAACCTAATAGTACACACCCTCCCGTTGCCTCTCAATCAGTAACCTTTTTGAGTTCCTTTCATTGCCGACGCCGTCGTCGTGAATCATAATCTCATCACCTCAGGGAGGAATAGTACCCCAGCGAGATATCCGAGAAGTCCATCATAAGATGTGCTTGGGTTTGCTTAATGCACCCCTTTACAACTCCTCCTTGATATAGTCGGTCGCCTTCTGAGCAGCCTCACCAACTCGGTTCTTGCCCTGTGTGGCGCTCTCGGTCGCAGCATCGCTGGCCTTCTTGGCGCCCTTGGAGCCGGAAGAAGCAGCGCTCTTAGTACTCTTGCTAGCCACGCTGGAGGCACTGGAGGCACTCTTGCTCGCAGAAACGGAGGCAGTGGAAGCAGCACTTGACGCAGCGTTGGTAGCACTGACGTAGGAAGCCGAAGCATCAGCGCCGAGGAGACCGAGTTGAGCCCGGATCCAGTCGAAGTAGCTGACGGCGCCGTCGGTGGCTTGAGCACCGTAGTTGCCAGCTTGGGAAGTAGCAGCACCGTAGGCGGAGCTAGCGGAGGACGCAACGTTGTCACCGAGGAACGCGGCACGGTGCTTGCGGGCGAGAGCGATGAGCTCGTTGCGCTTGCTGCCTTGTGGGACCTTGATGCCGTTCTTGTCGGCCCATTCCTTGATCTGGGAGTCTGACCAGGCATCGAAGACGGCGTCGCTCAGGCTGGCTTTAGCAGAGGCGATGGAAGCAGAAGCAACGCTAGCTTTCGCAGAGGCGTCCTTGGAGGCAAGGTAAGAGTTGCGGCGGACGGAGGCAATCAGGCTATCGCGTGTGGTAGGCTGAGGAACAGGGATGCCGCGCTCGTCGAGGAAAGCCTTGAGTTCGGATTCGGTCCAGGTCTCATAGAGCCAGTTGCCGGGGTAGGCAGCGGTTTCGCCGACTTTGTTGGCTGCGGATTGGTAGTTCTCGCGGACAGTCTTGAGGAGTGAATCACGCGTCCGGGGCTGAGGGACGGGAATGCCATGCTTGTCGGCGTAGGCCTTCAGCTGCGAGTCGGTCCAGCTGGAGAGGGTCAGTTGTTGGCTGTGAGAAAAAAACTGAAGTAAACGTACCTGTCGAAGATCCAGTCACGAACATTGGAGTAAGCGTTGTTCACAGACTCCTCAGTGTCAGACCAGTAGCTCTTCACTTGAGCAACCAGTCCATCCTTGTTCTTCTCGGTGCCCTTCTTGGCCTCGTAGCCCTTAGTGGAGAGATAGTTTTGTAGCTGCTTGGTGTCCCAGCTGTTGTAGGGCGTGACAACCTTGTCATTCCAGTTGGATTTTACCAGGTTCTCCAGATCTTTCCGGTCTGCAGGCGTGGGGTACGGGACGTTGTTGTCTGATAGCCATCGCTCAAGCTCGGTCTCATGCCACTTGTTGTAGACTGCAACTGTTAGTCAGAGCTCATAGGTAACTTCATCGATTTGGTTTGCCAATGATGCCGGCAGAGAGTTCACATACCAGTCTTGCCAAACCAGGTAGAGGCGACGGCGCCTTCAGCGGCGAGTGCCACCACTACAGCGGAAGCGAAAGAGAACCTCATTGCTGCAGGAGTGTTTGTTGAGAGGAAATGCAACTGTGTAGAGACGTGAAGAGCGAGGATGTGGAAGTGGGAAAGACTTGGAGGCTAGCAGATGTATTTGAGGACACGAGTGCGCAGAAGTGTCGGGCTTCTGGGCGTGACGTATTTGTTGAAATAGTGGCGATCGGGCAAGGATGGCAGGCCGCTGTGCCAATCAGCGCGGCCGCTCCTTCTCTTATGGCATTTCGTTCTCCCATCCCGCAATTTGCGGGGTACGCACGGACGCTGACATCACTTCTACGCGACTTTTTCTTTCAAGCTTTCTGCTTGCACCGGACAAACCACAGCAGTAATGGGCCCTCTAGAACGCAGAGACGACGAGGCTAAGCATAAGGCCATGACGCCTTGTCAATTTGCATGTGGGACAAAGGTTCAAATTCAATCGTCCATGGCAATTGTCACTGTAGAGCATTCGCTATTTGAGTTGATGCCAAAAAAGACACCCGCCGAAACTTACGATTACAACATGCAAAACTCGAGAGCTATCGCGTGTATACAAAGCTGTGACCATAATCCAACTCTACTGGCTTCTCCCACCTGCAACATGTCAGCGTGAATCCTAGATTCGGAGGGAGAGCTTCAAGTAGGAGGCTAGAGAAGCAGCTCTGGTTTTTGAAGACGAGGAATAGAGACATACCAGCTCCAGACCAGAACCCACGATCTACCTTATCATCATCCGACGTCTCCTCCTTGATCTGCTCATTCGGCTTATCATGCCTCCTCGCCATCTCGTCATTGTGCTTCTTCACATCCTCACTCTCCGCATCTGGCGGGCTCTCGCTATGGATTTTGGGCTGCGGTCCTTTCCCTTGCTTCTTGTCTCTAGTGCCGGGAGACGATGATGACGGCTTGCTCTGCTGCGACTCTTGGCCTTTCGAGGAGCTAGTATCGGGAGCTTTGGCACCGGGGTGCTCGAGGTCTCTGGAGAGCTGGCTCTTACCCTGGTCTTGTGGGTTCTCGCCGACGGGGCTGCCTTCGCCGCTGCCGTAGTCTCCGGAGGCGAAGCGATTGTAGGAGGGCTGGAAGGTGGTTCGGGGGGAATTGCGGAGGAAGGGCCGGAGGAAGCTTGAACCCAGGCGCACTGGTTGGCGGAAGGCTGACATTGCGGTGGGTTGAGGATTGACTGTGTATAGGGTTGAAGAGTCTGCAATAAATTGACTGTGAGGCTTCAATAATTTAGTGTAGATGACAGGACCAGCATCCCCAGATTCGGAGTAAAGTCCATCTCGTGAATCCCATGGTGACGTCATCACATAAAACATGCCAAGGCTCCTGAAATATGCATATTCAGACTCTGACTCACGAGATCCTGGCACAAGGGTAGAATGGAATATTTAAGTATCGAATCATTCGTATTGATGCTACCAGGGTTCAGCTTTGATCAGACTCTGAGTCTTTGCCACTCTCCAATAACAATGAGTATCTTCTAATCTGTCAAGTGAAAAAGCTGAGCATTACAGAAACTCGCCATCGTTTCAAACCAGCAAAGAAAAGAGGAGAAAGCAGAGGACAGCTGTGCACAGTGGCAATCGTTCAGTGAGCCACAGTACAAAGGGTGCGGCCGAATGCATATTCCGGATGCCACCAAAATCGACCCATCAACACCACAACGCCCCACAGCTTCTAATAAATTCTACTTTTCTTTGGAGTGTTATACTGACACGACGGCTGGAATGTTCAGCCTCTAAAAAGGGGATTTTTTTTATTTGTTGGGGAAAATACCTGCTTCAAAAGATCGTAGAATCGATGATTTTGATGTTCCCCCCCTTGCTAGTGCGGAATCTGCATTCGGCCGCACCCTTTCTGCCTTTGTAGTGTTCATTTGCACCTCAACTCCTTTCCCAATGCCATATGTCCCTGAACCGTCCTATCAAGTAGCTGCCAAGAAAGCCCCCATGCGATATGTTCAGAGTGCTCTGTGAAGGATCCTAGTCGCTTACAAGATGAGTTCCCTCTTTGTTCCTATCGTTGAAAGTCGTTGAAGCAATAAGCAAGACGGAAAGTGACAGAAAGGTGCAACGTCTTGCCATAAGTCTACACACACAAGTTTACCACTGCCAGGAATGCCCCCCCATGAGGTTCCCACACTCTGGGTGCGATAACTAACAATGTTCGCGCAGCATGACGTGAGTTGCCCTCTTGACTGAACGGCTTCCTAACAATGGGGTCACCCCTGATAGTGGTGTCCAGCTCCCGAAAGTGGCACTCCAGCAGAACAAGTACGGGCCTAGACTTATGGGCTAGTACTATCTAAGTCCAAATTAGTTAGTCACTAATTAGGTAGCAGTAAGGCCACCACTAACCTGTTCAATCAATCCAATGGCACCCAGAACTTCCTACTGGAATGCCACCACTGACCGTATTTCGATCTCCGCCAGTCTCTGATAATGTCCGCAAGTGGTTCAGGTTCCAAGAAGGTATGGCAGCTTCTGTCCTTGGGAAGGGCCCATTCTGCTTGCCTGAACGGTTTGACGAAATGTTTCATTCGGATCGCCGTATCGCACTGGAACCACTTTATACGGCCATACCAAGTTCTGCCGTGTTGACGAGGGCAAGCGATTATCAGCCCCCGAACTGATGGCTGAAACGCAAGAGTGTCCAACCACGAGCCAGTTATGTGTTTGTGGTGCCAGTGGTCGAACCGCTCCAGATGAGCAACATCGGAAACGTAAAAAACGATCGCATCCCCAATTGCACGCCAGCAAACACCTTTTGTCAAGTTGTCGCGAAGTATGGGGTTCAAATGCTCCATTCTGAAAGTGGGGTGAAGCACACCATCGTCGTGAGGAGAACATCCGCGGCAAAGAACTTCTTCATCATGACTGTGATAGCACTTGTTGAACTCCCAGTCGATAAAGGTTGCTGCCTCTGCTTCGGTGGGTTCGCTAAAGCTAAATGTCCCAAAACCCCCAGCTGGATGAGCCACAGAACCCGATACGGGCATTGCATTGGTATCGGTCTTGAAAAGAAGGCTTCCTGGACGCCGTTGGAGTTTTGAGGACGGCTACAAAATCCTTTGATGCTGTCGCGCCAGTTCGGATGGACTCGTTGGGCGGTGAAGAGGTCGTAGAAAGTCAGGTTTCCCAGGATCTAATCGCGTATCTCTACGATTTTGAAGACGCGGTCCGCTGTAGACTCCATGCCGATTGGGAGCAGAGCATGTGAAGAGCGAGAGTGGGAAGGGAGTGTAGACAGAGCGGGTGGAAGAGTGTAAAGCTGCTGTATTGATGAAAGTTAGGAAGCCAGCCATTGAGCAGTAGGAGGAAAGATATACGCAAGATGCTGAGTAAGCCTGCTAGACAGGAAGGGGCCCGACATCGATACAGCGCCTGAACAAAAGCCTGTGCAGGCCTGCTCGCCACTGCCTGAGGACCTTGGTTGCAATATCAGGAATTCAGATAACATGTAAAGATCAAGGCGTCGCAGACCGGAGCGGTCCAAACACCCTTGAGTGACTTTTACACCGTCTCGTTCCGGATGGCCCAACTTCTCATCAGATATCTGGAACTAAAGTTGGGGCCAATTGCAAAAGAGAGTCCAAAAACTTATGTTGCGGCACTGTACTGAAATAGTGAAGTAAGCATTCTGAACAGACTTTAAGATAAGGACGGTAGATCGAATACCTAAAACCGCCACAACCAGAGCGATACACACATCATCACCTTTCGCAGTTGCCCAACGGCTATTAATAACCTCATCTCATTACCTCAAATGCACAAATATACAAATCAGACCTTTTCCCTCCTCAATTTCCAAGTCTCGCAATCCTCCCTCTCCCTCATCTCGTAACAAGAACCGAAAAAAGGGTATCGCATCCGCTGAAAGCTCACCGCGAAATCCCATATGCCATATGCCAGAAAGAGCCCCTAAAACCCAAGCAAAATCCATCCCAAATCCCATATGCAACCAGTGCACGCTACTTACCCTTTTTACTCGATCAATGACAGATCGATCTCAATTAAAAGCGATGATTCAAGCCCTACCAGTCGTCCCCACCACCCACGCTGATAGACCCCCTACCTTCCACCTCCGCGGGATCATACTGCACATGCTGCAGCCAGACATTCACGCGCGCTGCTCCACGGCGACTCCCATCTTTCGCGAGCCCAGCCATCCTAGCGGCATTGGGGGGCGCCGGTTCCGGCTCTGGTGGTGGCCGCGGGATGGCGATGGGCTCCTCGTAACCCAGTTCTCGAGTCCCCGGGAGCCGTCTCCGATATATGGGAGGCGGCGCAGGTGGCGACGAGACCGCGGCCCTCGGGGCGGCGGATGGCAGTGGGCGGACGGCATACGACTCGTTGAGATGGTGAGAGCCGGCGTTACCAACCCCGTACACTTGAACGGTCGCACCACGTCCGTCTGAGGGTGTGGGTGTGGAACTCAGCTGCAACTGCGACTGCAGGTGCCGGGCGAGAGCCTCGTCGGCGCGCTCCTGGGCGCGGCGATCACGAGTACTCCAGTTGGTGAAGCCGCGAGGACGCGCAGTAGGGATTTCGACGACTACTTGGTTTTGAGGGTCATATGGGACGCGCATTTCGTTGAGGCGGTCGCCGTCGTCGAGGTTGGTGTAGTTGAACCAGGGGCAGTTGCATGTTTTCCAGCGGGCGGCGCAGAGCATACAGAATTGAGCTGTACAGCGGCTATGGAAGTTGTTAGTGTTTGCTCGAGTCCAGATCTTGGATTAGACCGAAGACGTACCAGGTCATGTGATTACAACCCTCCTTCAGCTCAACCATCGTTTTGCAGTTGTAGCACCGCTGCCATCCCTTTTGGTGCGCCATCTCAACGAGTTGCTTTGTCTCCTCGTCTTTTGGACATTCCTTCTTCATGTGGAATTTCCCGTTGCATAGCACACAGACTCTCGTCCTGCACCGTCCACATTGCGCGTACTTTCGCCCAACCGTTAAATCCATCCGTACCTTCGACGGTTTAATCCATTCTCCACATCCCCTCGTGGGACAGTATATTCGATTCTTCGTGGTATATTCCTGGAACTTCTTATTCCACAATTTCTTGAATTTATCGTCGAAGAGGCGCTCTACGTATTTGAGGGGAATGTGCTCGGCAGTGCAGCACGTCGGCGGCATGTGTGCAGGGTCATTTACAGAGAGGACGAACTGGCGTTTGAGACAGGAGTGGCACATTCGGTGGCCACAGCCCAGTTTGGCAGTCCTATGGGCGGGTAGGTCGTCGGTCATGCAGACTAAACATTCAACCCTAGAATTCATTAGCAAGGCTGACAGTCTCGGTTTGTGACTGGTACGCACTTGAGTTCTGGCTTCTGTACCAGTACTTGTGAGGCTCTTGGGGGCGAAGGTTTGAAAAGAGTAGCAAGAAGCCCGGTACTTCTCCGGTTTTGTGATGTGATCGGTGTGGCTCGGGATGGAGATGCAGCGGGCACTCGCGTAGACATTGAAGCTGCTCTGGAGGGGCGAACTGAGGGAGTAGTGGTGGGAGGCTTGGAGGCACGAGCGGTGGTATTGGCTCGACGCAGTGATGGCCTTGTTCGATACGCTTTTGGAGGTTCTCGAGCAGAAAGGCTCCTGGAAGACATTAGCTTATGCCGTACGGAGAGCGCAAAAAGTCCAGACATGCACATACCTGCTCACTTTGGGCGTGTCAGCCCTCTTGATTGACACCACCCGCTCCACTACCCTTACCGGCCTTTCAGCCTCCATGCTCCGCGTCCCCCTACTCCTCCCCTCGGACTCCCTCACAGTGCCAACTCTCCTCACGGTCCCTACTCGCTCAACCTTTGGCGACCTGGGCCTCTCCCTCACTTCCCGGCTATACACATAGCCCTCATCATCCCCCTCTTCCTCAGCCCTCTTCCTCCGCCTCCTTGTACCACTTCCGGACGTGGTGGTGCCATCTCTGACGCTTCTCCCGTGTCGGACCACAGGCGTGCCCCGTCGCGAAGACACGCGCTCGACCTCCACAGCCTGCGCCATGCGCCTCGCACTCTTCTGCCTCTCAACCGTGGGCACGGAGTAGTACTCCGCCCGAGCAGCCCTGAGATCCTGAATATCCAGCTCGTCCGCCAGCCGCGTCTCCTCGGCGTCTCTGTGTCGTCTCCGCCTCCTGCGTTCGCCGTCCGCGGTGTCTGTCCGGTGCGGTCTGCGGTGCCTTTTCTCTCGGCTCTCAGCCTCGTCGTCGTCGTCGTCGTCGTCGGTGTAGTAGCTGACCGCTTCGCGGTAACCCGAGTCGCGGTCTCGGTCTCGTCGGCGGTCTCGTCCGGAGCGCTCAGTGTAGACGGAGCCCCTAGCCATGCGCGGCGCGGCGGAGGTGTGGTTCATAAAGCACGTCCCGGGGCTGGTAGGCAGCTCACGTGCGGTGTGCGTTGCGTTGCGTGGTGGTGGTGGTGGTGACTTGTGAAGAGCAGCAGGCTGCGCCGACAGGCATCAAGAGGCACGAATCCCAGTCCGCGTTGGGCCCTAGAGCGCTCGGGCTTGAGCGGTGAAGGGCTGCGGGACGAAGCGTGGCCCTGAGCTTGGCTGGATGCGGCAAAGATCGCGGCTGTGTGTCGGGATTCTATTCGAACGAGGTGGTGTGGGTCGGGCTCTCACCGGGCGTCCTTCTGACACCACAGAGCAATATTGGGTCTCGAGACTGAGATAGTGACGAGTCTACTTGGCGCTTTTGCATATCAGGCTACCATACTTGACAGCAAACATGTGCAGATACGTAGGTAGTGTCACCTGTAGTGCACTGCTAGGCCTATTTGAACCAAAAATTGGTAGTTCATGAATCTGTAATTCTGTTTTAAAATTTTCTATACTGATACAACACACTGATTCTACGCTTGTGTACACTTTCTACCACCGCTTGAAGTCCTCTAGCAGAATATACGTACAGCAAGTCAGCCATCTGTGCGTACCGCCGAACTCGAATCGCTGCTACTAGGAGTTCTCCAAAGCAGCCCAAAAACTCTGAATAGCAAGTAAAATTTCACACCTCACGAATGGAATGACGAAAAATAGGGAGTATAGGGAGTGGATGACGCTGTCAGGGATAGTTCTAGATAGTGCTGAAAGGCAGGTAAGGTATAAGACTTCCCATCTCGCAGATCAAGAGGTAGGTATTAGGGAGTCTATAGAACTTGGATAGTCTCAGGGATGGCCCCCTCCAATCAAGGGCGAGGGAGGGTGTCGTTCAGTGTACTGCGCCTCCGCCTTTGCGTCCTGTCCTACAAAGGTAGTTTAGTCGGCACTTCCTCCTCTTCTACATCTTCTCCCAACTCCCTCTCCCCCACCTTCACGACCTCCTTCGCAGCCTCCTCCGCAACCTCATCCACACCCTCATCCACACCTTCAACTATGAGGCTCTCTGAAGGGGGCGATACCATCGATGTCTTCTGCTCCTCCTCATCGATCTCATCCTCCTCTTTGAGGCTTTCCAGGGGCGGCAACAGCATCGACGTCTGCTCTACGGTCCCTCTCTCCTCCTCCACCTGCCCCATCATCAGCTCCACCATAGCATCCCAAAACTCATCATCCCATACCTGCCACCCACCCCACTGCACCGCCTCAAGCACCAACAGTACTCCTGGGATCGGGATCGGAACCACCAGCGTCGACATGAGGTAGCAGCCCCATCTAATCCTTGGCACTTTCGACCACTCCTTGATAGTGCCGAACAAGGTCTTGAAAGTAGATAGCATGCTCGGTGGACTTTCCGTACAGTCCTCGTTCGGGCAAGGGGAGGAAGAATGCAGCCGATGCACCCTGGGGTCCATCTTATCCATGATCTTGTTCGAATGCCGCGAGTATCTCTTCACTCGCTTCCTGGCGGCTTTCTCGGCTCTCTCTGCCCTCTCTGCGTCCCAGATCTCAGAGAGGGATTTGCCTGCGGCGGTTTCGGCTTCCCAGCTCTCCACTTTGGCGAGGACGGAGTTGTAGATCAGGCGGGCGATTTGCTGTTCAAACTTGTTGGGTTGGGGTTGGATTGAGGGGTCTGAAGGGTCGTCAAGGGCTTGGCTGGGAGTTGTACTGATCTCGTGCTGTGTCTCGGAGGGTAGCTCTTTTGGAGCGGATGATGTCAGTGGACCAATGATCGGTTTGATGATATAGCGTTCGAAGGTGCCTAAGGGATTGTCGTTGCTGGTGGCAATCTCACGCTGTTTGACGAGGATTGATTCCTTTTGGGCGGCTGTTAGGAGTGTTTTATTGAGGTAGTGTTCGAAGGCGTTTAGAGCTGGTCTCTGCGTTATGGTTGAGCTTTGGATTATACGCTGCATCATAGAACTGCGGGAATCGAGCTCGAAGGAGATACCTTCTCTTCTGAGTGCTTCGCGATGGGGCTGAGCTCTGGCTAATGGTGCGACAAGGATCTCGGACCTGCTAGCTTGAGTATTCGGGAGAAGGCGATTAATAGTGTCGGCAGAGGACTGTAAGGTCATCAAGCTGTGGGCGTGGGGAAAGTATGACTGCCAACTTGCAGCCGTTTGAACTGTATCCTGATCTAGAAGTATATATTCATGGGTAACCGGCATTGCCCACGTTACTGATTTGCGTACACGAGGCGTTTCCGGGTTGTCTTGAGAGGTCAGCCAGGTTGCTACATCAAGAGCAAATGGACTGAGAGGACTGTGAAACAAGAATGAGGTAGTGAGAAGATGTAAAGAGGGTATAATTTATATCTGCACAACGACTGGGCCCATCTATCTCCTCATACCAAGATTCGAATCGACAGTGGGGTCGGCCTTGTTTGCCATGCTACTCTGATGAGGACCGCGAGCAGTGTTTCCGGAGTAGGCTCCAGAGTTGTCATACTCGCCCTGTGCGACGCGGTTCTGTCGTTCCCGATCTGTGTCAACTGGAGTCACGCCGGCACCGGTTCCGTGGTAGTGGCCGGTGTTCATCTCATGCACGCCGCGATCGACGATGTTTTGGTCTTTGGCCATGCCCTCTCTGCTGCCGACGGCACTGTCTGCGAAGGCATTGATGTTGCCTCGGATGGCTTCACCAGCTCCCTAAATCATGGACGAGTTAGCACTGAGATCACTAACCTCTTCACCACTAGTGAGAGTAGCTTACGTGGACGATTCCAACGCCTTTCTTGATGGCATTGCCAGCACCTTCTCCAGAATGTCCTGCGCCTGATGCAGACATTTTGTGATCGTAGAATTGGGGTGGGAATGATATGGTTAACTTAAGTAAAGTAATTGAGACAGGATAGTCGTAGGATGAATGCAGAACTGTTAGAGAGGACGAAGTGTTGAAGCAAGCAAGTGAAGCTCCAGCAGTAGCCATCTAATAAATCATCCGACAGGAAAGAGCCTGACGTCAACGCGACTGATCCGGCACCTCCGGGGAAGCCACCGCGCAGATGTTTTGCCCTTGTTGGCCTGGCTGGTTGGTGATTCGGTATCGTGTGACATCATCCAAGGTCTTTGTGGTCGTGTCCGGCGATCTACCACCTAGACAATTAAAACCTGACAATAAACTGGGGCGTAGTAAAGAATCCTGAAGGTTAGGGCTGCGCGGCTGCTTTGGTCCATTCTTCATATTCTTCTTACAAGGGTAGGGTCATGAGAGACAAGAAGGCACGAAGATGTCGGCTACTATGTAGAGGTACTGGTCAGTCGGGCCACCGGGATCACGTGAGTACCCAGTATTCTTGTGCAACCTTAGTGTTCAAGGACGGCATGGGAGAATGTACACAATCAGGTAATACACGTGACAGTGCCAACAGCTACCCTTGTTGAATTCTGATTATAGACCGCTCCTGCTAACCTGTCACACTGTCTCCAGAAACCGCCCTGTACCGCTCTATCACTCTCGGCTATCCCAAAGCTCTCGGTAACCAATGTCAATAGCCTCATCGTACATGTCGACAAGGATCGAGCCGTGGGGCTGTTAAAGGCCTCTATTGGCTCACCATGCAACTCCCTTACTCCTTCGCTGGTTGTTGAAAAATGCCAGACCCGCCCAAGTCTAGTTGAAAAGACCCCCAGATAGCAAGTTGAAAAGCTCTCCAGATGGCGAGCGAAATGCTCTATATTTCGTTGGAAGGTTTAATCGTGCTTGAAAGACGCACTGTGTGATAATCCAATTAAGTTGGTGTCGGCGCTGCCGCTCCTGTGATGTCTTCGGCCCCTTCTACTGGCGCGCATGTGCAGAATAGGTTCGTGTCGCCGTACGCTGTTGGAAACGTTAGCTTTGTAGAGATTGAAATCAGTACTGGGGGGACTTACCATCGTCTAATCTCGTGACTGACGGCCAGAACTTCTTCTCCTTAAGATACGGCAACGGGTACGCCGCCATTTCTCTAGTGTAGCTTCGGTCCCATTCACCAACAATCAAATCCTTCTGTGAATGCGGAGACATCTTCAACATGTTGCCTTCTTTCGGCTGCTCGCCCTTCTCTATCGCTTCAATCTCCTTACGGATAGAGATCAGCGCGTCACAGAAGCGATCCAGCTCATCCTTGCCCTCCGATTCTGTCGGCTCAATCATGAGTGTGTTGGCAACAGGCCACGACATAGTCGGAGCGTGGAAGCCGTAGTCCTGAAGACGCTTGGCGATATCAATAGCCTCAACTCCCGCGGAGTCCTTAAACTTCCGGACATCAAGGATGAACTCGTGAGCGCAACGACCGTTTTCGTTGGTGTAGAGGATGGGGTAATATGGCTTTAGACGTGAGAGAATGTAGTTCGCGTTCAGAAGAGTGATCTTGGTTGCATGTGTGAGGCCAACACCACCCATCATCTTGATATACGCAAAGCTGATTGGCAGGATGCTCGCGCTACCCCAGGGAGCACCGCTGACGGGGGCAATAGCCTGATCACCTCCAGTCTTAATGAGAGGGTGGCCCGGTAAGAAGGGTGCAAGATGGTTCTTGACGCCAATAGGTCCAACACCAGGTCCTCCACCGCCGTGAGGAATGCAGAAAGTCTTGTGAAGGTTGAGATGGCAGACGTCGGCCCCGATCTCGCCAGGAGAACAAAGCCCAATCTGTGCGTTCATGTTGGCTCCATCCATGTAAACCTGCCCACCATGCTGATGGACGAGCTCGCAAGCCTCCTTGACCTTCGGCTCAAATACACCGAAGGTACTTGGGTAGGTGATCATGATAGCCCCAAGTTCCTCGCTATGCTTCTCGCATTTGGCTTTCAGATCCGCGATATCGAGATTACCTGTTCCAGTATCGCACTTGATTGGTACGACGCGCATTCCCGCCATCGCGGCGCTGGCTGGGTTGGTTCCATGGGCGGATACTGGAATCAGGCAGATATCCCGCTTCTTGCCCGGCTGTTGATCCAGGTACTTGCGGATAACTCGCAGGCCAGTAAATTCTCCTTGGGCACCAGAGTTCGGCTGAAGGGATACAGCATCAAATCCAGTGATCTCAGCCAAGTCCTTCTCCAACATATTGATCAAGGTTCGGTACCCCTTAGTTTGGGACGTGGGAGCAAAGGGATGAATGTTTGAGAATTCTGGCCAGGATATTGGTACCATTTCTGCGGTTGCATTAAGCTTCATCGTGCAGGAGCCCAGAGGGATCATGGAATGCGTAAGAGAAAGGTCCTTGGACTGAAGATGGTGAATATATCGTAAAAGCTCGGTCTCCGAATGGTACGAGTTAAACACCGGATGGGTAAGATATGGTGACGTGCGTTTGAAACGAGGCGGCAGTTCGAATTTTGAAGAACGTGCAAGTTGGTTCTTGGCGTCTTCGAGGACCTGCCGTTCTGTGCTGCCACTATGTGTCCAGAATATTTCGAGAATCAGCTTGACAAACTTTTTTTGAGTAGTTTCGTCGACGCTGATTCCAATGTGATCTGCGTCGACTTCTCGCAAGTTGATCGAATATGGCGGCTTAGCCGCCATGTCTATGATGGGTCGCGTTTTATCGCCAGTACCTATCACAATCGTGTCGAACAGTACCGGCGCGTTATCAAGCTTTCCCCTCTGGCCAGTAGGAAAACCAAGGACTTTGAGGCTGCTTTGAAGGGATCTCGCCATACGGTTGACATTCTCGGCAATATCTTTCAAGCCCTGAGGGCCGTGATAGACAGCGTAGAAGGCATTCATGTTGGCAAGCAACGCCTGAGCTGTACAGATGTTGCTTGTGGCTTTTTCTCTGCGAATGTGCTGCTCTCTTGTCTGCAACGCAAGTCTAGCGGCGTTGTCGCCGAGCCGATCCTTTGAGAGTCCAATAAGTCGTCCGGGTATTTTCCGCTTGTATTTTTCTGTGCAAGCGAAGAACGCAGCGTGAGGTCCACCGTAACCTAGAGGCACGCCAAACCGCTGAGCATTTCCAAAGACCACGTCTGCACCAAATTCGCCAGGCGGCGTCAGCACAGTCAAGGCGAGAAGATCCGCCCCAACGCTGAATGTAGCTCCTTGCTTGTGAACAATGTTCGAAAGGGCCCTAAAGTCGTCTACACCACCATCGGTATTCGGATATTGGACGAGCACTCCAACAAGGTCATCACCAAGTTTCTCAATCTGTTCGCTCCCGTTTCGAAGGACATCTCCCACTTCGATTTTGATTCCGAAGCCCTCGGCCCTGGACGCTAGCACTGCGATCGTTTGAGGGTGACATAGATGGGATACAAAGAAAGTTTTGTTGGGCAGTTTCTGTCTCGAAACGGGAAGACTGCTGAGGGACAGTGTCATGGCCTCCGCTGCAGCAGTCGATTCATCCAGCACCGATGCGTTTGCAATCGGGAGAGCAGTCAGATCGGTTACCATTGTCTGGAAGTTTAGTAGAGACTCTAGCCTGCCCTGACTGATTTCGGGCTGGTATGGCGTATAGCTCGTATACCAACCCGGCCCTTCCAAGACGTTCCTCTTTATCACCTCTGGTGTTTTCGTGCCAGCATATCCACACCCAATGAAGTTATGGAAGATCTTATTTTGCGATGCAATGCCTTTCAAGACCTTAAGCATATGCTCTTCAGCAAAAGGGCCGTTTTGCTGGCGCATGGGCTGTTTATCGTTCAGTTGCCACGACATCTGGATGTCTCGAGAGGAGAGGACGTCCGGTGGAATGACCTGCTTGACAAACTCATCGAGGGTCGCGGCAGGGGGATCTAGTGTTTTCAGCATCTCGTCGGCAGAGGTAGCCGTAGGCCCAATGTGGCGGCGGGCAAATGTATCCAGCGGGGCGAAAGGGTCGGACTTCGAGGACGTGGCGGCTGCTTTACCGTCAAGAGGCTCATCTGTAGCACTAGAGTAGAATGTTCTTCTTGCAGGACCATTTAAGTTCCTCAGTGTCTGGGCGGTTTGACTCTTGCCACAAGTTCGAAGGGCGGACTTTGGTCGAGACGAAGACTGTCGAGCACGAACGGCCAGCCGGCTGGCAGAGAAGCCTGGCCTGAGCCATGTTGCTTGCATCCTGATGAGCCCGAAGCTCAATTGAGTAGTATATAGCCCTAGAGGGCAGCTTTTTGGGGCTCTTCACTTCGACCAGAGCTGCGGAGAGGATGTCGGACTTTTTGAGGCGGGGCTTTGCCGCACTGGAGGATGTGTCAACAGCCGAGTACGGTGGCTTGTTGATCGCGGACAAGGTGGATATCAATAAGGGAGGGGCAGTAATGAAAAGATGAAGCTTCAGAGAGGCCACCGACGCGTGTTCAAGGCATTTTCGGAGTCAGCACACCGCTTCGGCCAAAAGGTGATGATTTTGGTTCAAGCTCGGAAAATGACGGGCATATCGAGCTGCAAGGATTTGGTTTCTTGATAGCACGGACACTTAATCCAATCCGCGACTAAGAGATCGTAACGCACCGATATCGCTGCCCCTGCGTGACCCGCATGTGGCTGATGAATCGTAGTCCGCTTTACGACGGCCTAGTACCTTTACTTCGCTTTGCTACACTACTAACTAAGCAGTTTTTAACTAGTTCACAATACATCACCCTGAACAAGAGACTTGAAATCATGAAGCCTGCAATACTGCTCGGAGAACCGTGACAACATTGTAGCACTACTGTCTACTATATTCTCACACACGCGTCGAAAACATCCTGAGGCCAATTTTGTACGTAACCGGGGTCCATTTGAAGAAGTTCATTACAATGGGGAAGTGCCCTAGCCCTCCTTCACTGACCGAGAAGTGGAGAAAATGTTTCTGAAGTCTCCTCATCTCGCAGTTTAATAATGCCGAGGACATACCTACCTTCGTGGACTGTGAATATCATAGAATCTGGGCGACTCTACGGTTAATAACCCGTGGAACAGCTTCAGAGAAGACCTAAGTATAGATAGAACCACATGCTCGAGATATGAGCATTCCACAGTTCCAATCCATGTATGATCCATGATGTACCCACTTGCTCAAGTATATACAATGCCACTCGCGCCCTCAAATAAAGGCCAAAACATCAGCATCACTCGTAACCATATCAAAGCATCACGCATAGCACACATCACATTTGGAAACCAAGTGCACAAAAAGAGAACACATCACATTGACACTACTGCCGAATCCACTTCCTAGATCCTCCAGAACCGGAATCGTCTACCTCCCACCAACCGGACTGAGCGGTGTCGAACTCCTTCCACTGCCAGGACTCGCGAGACGCTTTGGCATCGGACTCATCGGATCGCGCGGACTAGAGCTCTGGCTGCTACTGCCACTCCCCGACCCACTGCCGTTGCTGTCTTTGCGACCGTTGAGATGGTTCGCGAACGCAAAAGGGTTGGAGAGGACAGCAACAGAGGGCGAGGCCGGGTCTTCAAAGCCGTCGGTAAAGCCGCTGATGTTAGAGAGCATGGAGGATGAGCGGCCGCGACCGCCTCGCATAGAGCCAGGTGTACCGTTGGGATGCGAGCCGAGCGGGAACTGGAACGCCGGGAAAGTCATTGGAACGCCGTTCATGCCATTGGTACCAGGGAGCGCGCCTTCAGGGGTTGTGGGAACCGACATCTGTGCCTGCGCGAGCATTGCCTCGAGGTGATGGATCGTGTGATGGATTTGAGACGTGTGGCGGTGGTTCTCCGACGCACGACGTTCGTATCCATTGATGTTGCTAGCGTACTGGTTCTCGAGAGACGCTCGATTGTTGAGTTCGGCTAAACGATCCTGCTGCTTCTTGGTTTTGGCATGGAGGCCCTCGGCGTTGCTTGCAACCAGACGCTCGTACTGCTCGTTGAGTCTAGCCTGTCTCAGTTGAAGACGTTCCCGCTTCTGGATGGTTGAGCTGATGTCAGACTGGACGCTTGCGAGCTGACGGTCCGCCTCGGCTTTAGCTTGGTCGAAATTACTGGTGACGGCATTCCTATGGCTGCGCTCCTTCTGCCAAGCGCGCTTCATTGCCACTGACTCCTCCAATTCGTCCTCGGGAATCTCACCCAAAGAGTCTATCTGGAGGGCGAAGTCAGCAGCAGCGTCATCGGCCTGGCGAATATTCTGGCTAAACTGGAGAGCACGTTGACGTTGGCGGTCGTCACTGCCACCAGCGGTAGACAAGCGATTGCTCAGGGTCTCCACCTCTTTCTTGATATTGGTGATTGCAGACTTATGGTCTTTGCGATTGCGCTTGAGTCGATTCCGTTGTTCTTGAAGTTTCTGGTCCGCAGCGGCTATGGAGTTCTTGAGGGTCGTAGTAGGCGAGGAAGGTCGTAAGGTTTGGTGGGTGGGAGTGACCAGGGAAGCTGACGCTCACTGTAAGTATGAAGAGGGGGAAGCTTGGCTCTCTGAGCTCACCTGTTTCTGCGCTGGGGGCGGCAGAGGTAATAAGACTCGCAGAATAAAAGACCTCCTCGTCGGCTGTCCGTACGAATTCGCAAGAGTAATTCGACAAAGCAGTCAAACCAAAGATCTCTCCAGACCACATGTCCGTTCCCTCCTCTCCCAGATATCCCTCCGGATTGGTTTTCTCAATTCGCGCGGAACTCCAATCCGCTCCGTTGACACGCAGATAGAACGGCTTTGTCTTGTCAATACCCGGCCCGGAATTCCTCCTATTTCCCTCTCCCGTATAACAATTCGAGTCCCCCATCCGGTACAAGCTGACCAGGAAATATACATCGGTAGGCCCGACGTTGGCGATCCAAACCCGATCGTCCTCCGCTCTCCAAACAGCATTTCCAATGTGATGTGTATCTTTTGCGTTAGCTTCGCCCGCGTCATTCGCCGCCTGGCTTTGCTCCATCTCTTTCAAAACAGTGACTTTTGTACTCGCAAGAGCGGCCCAGAATGGTTGCTGACTCCGGACATGGGTCGCTTGCTTCCTTTTCTTTTTACCGCTAGTAGCCTTTTCTTTATAGTCGCGGCCTGCGGGAGAAGGCCCAGGTGGGCGTCCGTCGGTACTGGAGCTGCTGGCCACGTCGGGGCCAGACTCCAGCAGACTGGAATTGGTACGAGGTGTTAAGGTAGGAACCGCAGCCTCAGGATCTGTCCTTTTGACTGTTGGCATTGATTGAGATGACTCTCGCCGAGAGAGAGAGCGGCGAATGAGGCGAACGACGCCTTGTGTTAGTATGTGAATGCCAAGCAAACTGCGAGGCCACCCATGAGGCATGGTGAAAGAATCTGAATATGTTGGTGTACTTGGCGGACTCAGTAGAAAATCAAGGCCTCCCCGGGAGAGCCCGGCCCACAAGAATTGGACAATGTGTTGCCGGAGAGGCCTGAATCGGAAGAGATGCGAGGAAAGAATGATGACGATGCACAAAAATATGCTGTTCGTCGTGCCACCTTTCCCAGCGGCAGCCCCTCCGAGCGATATGGCAATGACAGCTTGTGCGAGGTCCAGAAAGAAATTCTGTACAGGGACCCACATCAAGAGCCATAGTATGAGGATGAAAACATCGGCGAAGATGATGGTGAACAGGGAGGGCGTCCCGCCGGAGCCCTGGAATATGTCGGTGAGGGAAGGGAGCGCCGAGAGGGCGGAGAGAGAGGTCCCTGTTTGCGGAGGGACGAAGGTGAGGGTCGCGAAGAGGAAGTGGACGATGGTGAGGACGGTCGGGGGGAGCTGGAGCAGGATTATGAGGATAGCGAGAACGTCGCGCAGAGGACAGGACGAGAGAATGGTGGTGGCCACGGTGAGCATGTTGACATTATATGAAGCCGCGTGCTTGGGCTCCATCCGAAGGGGGGTCGGCGGGTGGTCGGCGGAGCCGTTGGCGTTGTCGAAGCGGCCGGCCTCGAGGCCATCAAGGGACAGGTCGGACACGGCGCGCACCCGTCCGTCAGGTCGCGTGGGCGGCTGCTGGGCCATGGTGTTGTCTGGCGATGGTCCATAGGCATCACCGTTGGACGTGGCCGGCAACGTCATATGCTGGGTCACATCTGGCGGCAGCGGGGGCGTGGGCGGCTGGGGGCTTCCATTGGCGTGTCCGTTGAGCTGGGGATTGGACTTTTGCTTCTGTATGCGCTTTCCAGGGGCGGCCAGACCATTCTCATGCTTTCTGTCGTGCTGAGCGTTGCGTTTCTTCGGTGGCATCAGCAGGCTGACAGTCCCAGGGCTGGCTCGACAGGACGCAGCGAGACGAGCCAGGGAACAGGATGCTCAAGGACTCGGTGTCGGTAACACTCTGGACATGCGGCGGGCTGTGAACGCCGTGGGGGGAGAGGTGAAGGGGGAAGGGTCTGCGCTGAAGCGATCGTGGTTGACGATGGCGCACGCACAAGCGACAAGATTCGGCTCGGCAGGTGGAGCTGGAGAGCAAATCTGGGACTACCACGGCGGGTTTGGCCAGCTCCAACGCCCAATCGGCAGGCCCTTGCAGCGCAGTCTCGCCTGGCTTACGGACAGTTGTGCGCGCTCTTCTCCAGACTCTGCCGGCCACAGCACAAGCGTGGCGAGGCAAGCATCAGGCCCATCCGTCTCGCATCGTTGCGGCACCGCGCAGATCGGACGCCTTAGCCGTGAGCGGGATGCCGCCGACCGAAAGCAGCCCGCCCGCCGACGTTTCATGCCTCTTCTTGCACAGCTGGGCTGCTGCCCGCTGGTGCGATGCCCAGGAGGATGCCATACGTGCGGCCTCTTCTCCTCCAGCACCACAGCGCATGGTGCTTGCCCCCACCCCGCCGGAGCCCTCCCGTTTCATTTGCGGGCGCCTGGGATGGCCTGGGTAGTGAGCAGAGAACTCTGCTGGCTGCGGATGCGATCGGCAGCAAATGAGGTCGTGGCAGGCCCTATTCGAGCAGCACCGCGCACCGCACACCGCATCATGCCCGTCTTGGAGCTGGCGAATCGAAGTGGGCGCGCTGCTTCTTGACTCACCTCAGCGGCCGCCGCCGCGGAACCCTCCGCCCGCCAGCCTCATTCCTGCTGCTGTACTGCGGCGGTATCGCGGTCACGGTGCTGTCAAAAGGTGAGAAAATGATGACACAATGACTGCTGTTCAGCTCCAGCGGCATTGAGTCCTCCTGGCAATCTCCGGCCGCAACGAGAGGCCCGTGGTCGAGTGAGAGGACTTCTGCGTCGCTTGTTACAAAAGGATTCCGGAGCTTTTCTGCGTCTCCACCCCTTCCCATGGGTCTTTTCGGCGGAGAGGCCAATCACAACGGCCTCACGCGAGCTTGAAACAGCGAATCGGTCACGCGCGCAACGGGAATGCATGTCGATCAACTCAGTTTGCATCCCTGGCGCGCAGGGCAGAAGCGGGCAAGTCGACGATAAGGTAAGACGTTATGGCGTTGACTGCGCGCTGCCTAGATCCTCCTTGGCATCTGCTCTATCCCAACTGCTCTTCTCCAGCAACTCGACTCGCTGCAGCATGTCGAGCACCCGGCTGCCGTACTTCGCCTTCGCCTGCTCCTGCAACTCGAACGTCTCGCGGAACTTGTCCACCATGAAGGTCTGTAGCGTTGCCTTCTTACCCTTCTTGTAGTCGTACACCACAATGTCCTCCACGCATCTCGCTGCGGGCCGCCGATGCAGCTCCGAGAGAATTACCACGTCGAGGATGAAGTGGTCGGTATCCGGCGTTGGCATGGACCGCAGTTTATGCAGGACGGTTACATGATCTGGCCATTCCATGGGCTGCATTTACCTCGTCAGCAATCCGGGCAGTTTACTAAGACAGCGCAGCCGCCTACAAATTTATAGTCCGTTCGGATGCTACGCAGGATGAGCCCGGTGCCCCGGTTTGTCCATAGTTGGCTCCACTCGTGCTTACGATCTGGATCGATGGAGTTGGCGAAATTGAGCGCCCATTGAATGCGTGCCGACTCTGCGTATCTGTAGCCCGATTAATATGCCTCATTGGTCAAATATGAAAATGTCTTACCGATTATACGTAACGTTGTTCACGTGTCCTGCACATGTCAATATACATTTCGAGGAGGGGTCGATGCCTCGATTGCGTACCCTTGACTCGACTTTAGCTGTCCGTTGCGTGATGTACAAAGAACGTTTGGTTCAGGACTATCTTACCATACTATCCTGTAGCCACCCGCAAAGCATGGATTAGCTGCTGTACTCCCACAACTGCGTGTCGAGGGGTGTCTACCATTTCTCCCCACACCACCTTCTGTCGGTGGAGGCCTGTCCGGCCCTTGCCTGTAAGGAAGCCTTCGCTCCCAGCAACCAACTCCCTCCAGTCCGTAGCCAGCTCTTGTAGTATCAACCCCGCCTCCGATGTCTGCTCCGGCCGTAGCCCAAACATTATACACTTCCCAATCCGCTTTTGCACCTCTGTGAGCCATCGCGGGTTGAGCCCTGTCGTGGCCGCCTCGCTGGATATCTGCGCTGTCCACGCATATCGGCCATGCGAGACGCACTGGGTCGTTGGCCGAGTGAGGGTCCGGGTGAGACACGGCGCGAAGACTCGAAGACGCATCGTGGCCCAGTGTCTCGGCGACCGAGTGCAATCCGGGAAGTACAGAGGTTTGCGCTACAATGGCGAGCAGCGTCGTGGGGATTACGCGATGGGGGGCTCGTGGAGGAGCAATTGAAGCTCGGCTGTATGAGCCGAAAGCTCGACGTCAGGGCGATCGGCCCAAGCTTGCTGCTCCCCACCTTGCGGGTGAATGAGTGCATCATCCGCCTCCAACGCACATCATCACCACGCTCGCTTTTGCTGGCTGTTGTACCCAGTTCTGTTCCACGCTGCGTACTGTGGCTAGCCGAAACCATGGCCTCGAATGCGTGTCTGAGACACGAGGTCATTCGGATATACAAAGGTATGGTCCTCGGTAAAGCCAGAACTTGCAGAGGTATTGACGTTTCTGAGAGTTGCTTTACTTGGGCCGGGAATATCCATTGGGTTATGATTACTTCAGGCCCCGACTCCACAAGGCCTTTGCGAGCCAAGCAGGCCTTCAGGATGAAGAGCAAATTCGACAGGGCATCAAACGAGCCGAGTTCGTGAAGAAGGGTGAGTCCTCCAATACTTTGGTGGCTTGCGTGTAGAGAGCTGACCCTCAGCGGCCAGAAATCGAGGCCTTGTAAGTGCAGACGCCGTCTAATTGAGCTAGAAAAAGCATTTACATAGTCAGGTATTACCTGAAACGATACCGCACCCTACGCCAAAGATATGAAAAGACCTAAGGAAATCCGTACTCCAATCGAAGAGGCAAACAAGCGCAACTAAGCGGCAAGTAAGCCCAAACAATCCCTAGATTTTATGAGCCCACCACACTCCGATCTCCAAACACTCTCCGTTCGATGCGCCCTTTCCCTCAAGTAGATCTGCCATCATCCATCCCCACCATCGTTGCCATTCTTCCTGGTTCTTGCCACTGACCTCCAGGAGTAGTGGCTCTAAGCTTTCGATCATCTGGATCACTACTAAAAGGGCGGTGTACCTGATCGAGGCTTGCTCTTCCGTCAAAGCTCCGCCCTCAGCGACACTTCGCTTTCCTTTCGCCGATTCGCTCTCCCGGCGCTTAGTGGGATTCCGGTCCGCGGCCTCGCGTTCCCAGCGCAACTCTCCCAGTGGAATTGCAATTCGTCTATAACCAACATCGCGAAGAGTCTCCACCTCCTGCAGCAGTGTTTGCGATATAAGAGTACAAGGGGTGGGTGCTAGCTTCCGTCGATCAAGAGCCTCTTGAATCCACCCGTTCGAGTCTTGGAGGAACTTGTTATGCGCATCTGCGAATGGAGTTCCCGGAGAGATGAGGAACGTGCCGGTGGTTACGGCCCTTTTGTAGACGTCGGGATTCGCTCCGGGAGGCGGTGGTGGATGTGGGAGTATGCTGCGTATTAAATGCTAAATAGGTTCAGTCCCTTGTTCGAATAACAAATACAGTGTGCTTGCTCACGTCTGTATCCCACATCTCCAAAGTACCTCCCGACCTTAAGACTCGTGTAGCCTCATCCAGTATCCGCTGGGAGGGAGCACCCACAGGCACCACAAAGCTCAAGTCCTTGACGACAACGATGTCGAACTCGTCGTCGTCGAACGGCAATGGCACCTTGCGCAGGTCATGCTGGACAAATTTCCAGTCGACGCCTTGCTTTTCCAGACTACCAGCCAAATGGACAATGTCCAATCCTGTGAACGTCACCCTATGACCAGCTGTCTCCAATTGCTCGTGGCACAGCGATGACCAGTATCCGCTCCCACATGCCACCTCTAGCACCCTTGTCGGCGGCCGTGTGAGGAAGTTTGGTGGGGAGCCCAGCGCCTGGCCAAGCACTGAAGTCGCAAGGAGGGTTTGGAGGTTTTGTCGCTGCAGCTCCGGGAGGTCGCAAGGGAGTGGGTAAGGGAGATCGCGGAGGTATCGGCGGCCATGGCGTAGAATGAACGGACTCGAGGCGCTTTCGTCTTTTGTACTCTGAGTTGACGAGCTCGAGATGGAGCCTCGTGTTGCATCCATTGAGTGTCCTGGTGCAGAAGCATTAGAGCTAGAGGTTCCGCCCGAGAAAGTCCGCCCCAGCACGTCAGTCGTGGTGAAATCCCATTGCTTTGCGTCGGCAGACGTGGTCCTCGGCCTTATCGTTGGCGCGTTGGTATAGCGGTACTGGGTTTCAGGTTAGCAAAAGGCGACCGGGTTCGTGCGAACTGGAGGTGAAGACCATCATCCATTCCGCCATGATCCCCCCGTGCCCCACTATATGTACTAGCGCCCGGCCGATGGTATATCTGCAATTGTGCCTTGCGCAGGCGTCAGATAAGCACGTGTGGCCGGGGATTCGCCCAGGGAGAGGATGCGCAGATGCTTTTGTGCGAGGAGCGCGGCGGGCGCTGTGGGGAAAATGCAATGATGCTGTAGCAGTCGGTATGAGACGCAATGTGGCCTCCAGTTCCGGCTATATTAAATCCTGCTACTAGCAGGCCTCTGGCGAGGAGGCATTCTGAGACCAGAACGCTGCTTGGGCCCAAAGCCGAGGTGCCCATGCCAGACGTGTTCTTCCCATCACACAGGATGCGGCCGGCCATCGTCAACATGTTCAGGTGTGAGGTGCTCCAAGTAGCCCTACAAAGGTCGGGGACCGCAGAGAGACCGGATTCTGGTCCGGGGCAAGTGATCTTCGCCGGCGCGAGACGGTGCATCTCTTCAAGCCTTGCCAAGCCGTCATGGGGTTGTGGGAGGCCGCACCTGACGAGAGAAGACGAGCAGCAGCGACGGGAGTCAGTGAGGCTGGAGAGATGCTCGAGATGTCCTGCCGCCGTGGCCTGGGATGCAGGTGGTGTTGAGGAGCTGGCAGGCTCCTCCTATAGCATGCCCTCTATAGAAAAAATCACGTGACCTATCCGCTCTTGGCAGCAGCGCTTCCGTCCAGCGAAGAGCCTCAACCTCTCGTCGGAGCCAGCCAGCATCACCTACCAGCCGACTATTCTTCGCGGACCGCCTCTTGGTGCAGCATATCGCCTCTCGGGAACCATTGAACTGGAGTTGGAAGCCTGCTTCGAATTCTCCCGCGTCTCCAATTGTGCGTACGTTCTTCTATGACGAGCAGTCGCATACCCCATCGCCATACTCCCACTCCATCTCGATCGCCCGCGCTGACTACAGTGAATGCACACCCGCAGGCTATCGAGACACCAATAACCCACGTGACCCCGAGATTCACGAGTCCAGCTTGGCGTCGCCCGCTATCCGCCAACCGGCTCTCCCACGCTCTTTGCAGCCACCATCGTTGAACCGCCCATATCCCGCACCACCGCAGCCGCAGAAGCCCCATTCACCACGCCGCCGTGCGGCTGGCTGTAGCCTCAATCCTTTATGCGTGCCACCTGCTCGCTTGCAGATGTTAAAACGAAGAAGACTGCGTCCTCGATCCCCACCTCCCACACAATCTCCAATCTAAACACCGACCCCAACTCCACACCACCACCCGCTTGGCCGACTGGAGGAACTAGTGAGTCGCACGGCGCATCGATTCTAGATGGCCGATGCGTACACGGGATACCAGCGGGGTGCTAACCAGTCCTTCTACTCCCAACAACAACAACACGCGCCAAACTACCATTCGAGGCAGATCGCAAACCGCACCGGGTCGCCCACTCACAACGGACGGTTACCTTTCAGCACGGACACCCCCTCACCTACTCGATCTCCTGGGCCACAGTCTCCAGCTCACTACGGCATGTTCAACCAAGGGCACCACAACCAAAATCATACTATGCTGAATGGCGCCTCCCATCAGCGGTACGCAATGCACATGAACCTGGGCAAGCCCTTCCAACACCAGCAAAACCATCAGCACCATGGTATTCAACAACACCAACAGCACCAAGAACACAATGGGGCCAATCATGGGACCAATTTCGCGAACCACCAGCATACGATATCGAGCGGAGGGCTGTCGAATGCAACGCCGCATTTTACTCCCGGTCACATGCAGAACGGCACACCCGGCAGTGTAAATAGCGGGCCTGCAAAACCCCCGAACGATCACTGGTATGAGCAGTTACGGCTTGCTCAGCAGGCTCGGGAGATGACGCAGTCGCACCCGCATGCCCGGAACCACCCAAGTGTGAACAAGAATGTGGTGGCTGGATCGACAAACGGAGTTACCAAAGAGTCAGAGAAAGAAGAGAGGAACAGAGCCCTTATTCACGGTCCCGATGATGCTCGACAAGACCAAACGTGGACAATCTTGGACTTTGGGGGCCAGAATCTCAAAGTGCTGGCCGCGCCCTTGTTTCAGTACGATTTCCTGACTAAGCTCTATCTGAACTGTAACAAGCTGTCCTCGCTGTCTCCTACCGTTGGGAAGCTGCGAAGTCTCAACCACCTGGACCTTTCCCTGAACGAGCTGCACAGCATACCTCCTGAAATCGGAATGCTGGTCAATCTAAGGCAACTTCTGCTATTCGATAATCAGCTAGAAACACTTCCTTTCGAAATGGGATCCCTGTATCAACTGGAAATGCTAGGAATCGAAGGCAATCCGTTGTCAGAAGACATCAAATCTATTGTTGTTGACCACGGGACTGTTGAATTGATCAAATTTTTCCGAGAAAACGCGCAAGGTGGCTTAGACCCTTTCATGACCAATATGTCATCTTATACTCACAACCAAGCAGGGCCAGAGCCACCACGAGAACGAGACTGGATCGTTCTTGACGATACGCTAGCGCCTGGTCAAGAAACGTTCACAGCGCTAAGTTACAATATCTTGTGTGACAAATATGCTACACAGGCCCAATATGGGTATACGCCGTCAGGAGCACTGTCCTGGGATCACCGGAAAGAAGTCATTCTTGCAGAACTCCGAGAACGGAATGCCGATATCGTCTGTCTCCAGGAAATCGATCTAGGATCTTACAACGATTACTTCCGCCCATCACTAGCGCATAACGACTACAAGGGCGTTTTCTGGCCCAAGTCGAGAGCGAGGACGATGGCAGAAAAGGAAGCAAAGTTGGTCGATGGATGTGCGACATTCTACAAGAACAGCAAGTACATCCTACTGGACAAGCACCTCGTGGACTTCGCCAATACCGCCATCAATCGGCCAGACATGAAGGGTGAGCATGATGTCTTCAACCGGGTAATGCCTCGAGATGACATCGCCGTGATAATTTTCTTGGAAAATCGCGCAACAGGAGCACGCTTAATGGTCAGCAATGCCCATATTTTCTGGAACGAAATCTTCGTGGACGTCAAAGTCATACAGGTGGCTATTCTTATGGAGCAGATCACGAAGCTTGCTGAAAAGTACGCGAAATGGCCAGCCTGCACAGACAAGGTTCTCTACCGGTTCACCAACGGAGACGGCGAAGATGATCCTGAAGAAACTCCCCAAGAGCCTGCTCCTTCGATGGAATATTCCAGCGGCTCTCAAATACCATTGATTATGTGCGGCGATTTCAACTCGCTTCCAGGGTCAGGAGTCCACACACTTCTCTCTCAAGGATCTCTACCAAGCTCGCACAAAGATCTGGGAAGCCGGAAATACGGCAATATCACCCAAGACGGCATGTCACATCCTTTCAGCCTCAAATCGAGCTACTCGTCAGTCGGAGAATTGAGCTTCACGAACTACACGCCAAACTTCACCGGAGTAATTGATTACATTTGGTATTCGACAACCGCCATCCAAGTGGCCGGTCTACTTGGCAACGTAGACCCGGAATATCTCGAACGAGTACCCGGGTTCCCCAATTACCATTTCCCCAGTGATCATCTCGCTCTATTAGCTCAATTCGTAGTGAAAGGACGAAAAGAAAAGAAGGTTGTCGAAGCCGATTTCGGGCCACAGCGTGATCGAGACAGGGACCGTCGTTGAGCTAAACCTCTTACCTTAGAGATTTCCTACCAAGCGTTCGACCTTCGTTGCTGAAGATCTACGAATTCTGGTCATGACTTCACAGTGGGGATGTTTGCTTTCTGTTTGGAAATATGCAAAGTGGTGGTTGGGCGCAGGAGTTCAGTTATGTATGCTACAGGCGTCTAGTTTTCTGGTGTGTGTTTCAGCTAGTCATTCTCTGCTCTTGACAGTCGGCTTGACCGATGGGTATTCGTGCTGCTTTTGCTCTACGCTTTGATGGGAAAGTCAGGGGCGAACAAAAGTCCAGAGACTGGGCTTGGGGCCTGGTGGATTGAGGCAGGGTGGGTAGTATACGAATCTTACCCTTTTGTCTTCTATTCTTGTTTTTCGATCCTTCTCTCGGCGGTGTCATTTGTTGATGGACTCATATTTCTTCGTTGAATCGTTTTCGTCAATGTCGGGGTACGGATTTGGGATTGCCGGTTCGGTTTGTTCTGAGTCTACGCCGGGCGAGCGTTCAGTTGTACTAGATAGTCTAAAAAGCAGCCGCGTTGGCTCTGCCTTACAGATGCCTTCGCATGGCTATTGCTTCGGTCACTTAGCAGGTCTCGAATAATTATTGGAAAGTGATATGGTGAGATGGTAAGTATCTAGGTGAATCTTTTCAAGTTCTCCCGAAATATCAAGGGTTCTCCCATTCACTGTTTATTTCCCCTTGCCGGCGTCTATCTGCTTCAAACAGTGGCCCGGGATGACGAAGTGGCCCATACGCGTTGATACAGTAGGCTCGATGAACATACACTGACATCCGTGGTCCTGATCCAATATTTCCTATGCTTATATACACTTGCCTGTTACCGCTTGAGGCCCCTTAGCATGTCATTTAGAAAGTGTGAAATGCTCTTTTAGCAAGCTTGATACCTCTCCAGGCCACCTCAGACGACCTTGGACTGGTAAAGGCTTTCGTCCCGACTGGTCTCAGCCTGTATTTGCTCATGGCCATTTCACTTCCACGTGTTACTAAGCACACGTCTCGCGTTATCAACCTGCCCCACGACACCCTCACCCTCTGCAGCCTCCACTTCACCTTTCCTCTGCACGGCTTCCTCACAATCGTCATGGATCCGGGTGTTGAGTCGACCTGGATGTAAGTCGCGCTACAGAGCCGTAAGAAATTTGAATTTCGCTTACAATTACCCGCAGTGAGCTCCACCGGACAGTCATCACCGTCAATGTTGGGCCAGATGCGAAGCCATACATCATCTTCAAGGAACTAGCTTGTCGATACTCCAGATACTTCGAGGCGATGTACGATCGCAAGGATGGCGAGGCTTTTGAAGAGACAAAGTCCGGCATCGTCAACCTCACCGATGCCAATGTCCGCACATTCGAACACTTCTTTCAGTGGCTGGAGACTCAGTCTTTGGATCATGTCGAAGATCATGTCGACTTGTTGAATCTGTACATTCTGGCAGAGTACCTCGGAGCCCTTCGACTACTGAATTCGCTCATCGACGAACTCTACAAACGCCGCCTCGCCGAGTTCAATGACGTGGATATGGTCAGGGTTGTCAACTCCGAAGACAGCTGGACTGGAAATGCCTACGGACACATGTACTCGCCGGCAAAGTCTCTAGAACATCTTCGTGGACAGGTGTGCCCGGACTCCAAGATCCTGACCTTCTTCGTCGAGATGTTCTGTTTCGCCCATCTTCCGATTATCAAGATGGGTACGGAGGAAGAAGCCTTGGAAGAGCTTCCAGGAGAGTTCCTCTGGGATGTTCTGGTCCACCTCAGCGAGATAGTCCGTCTCTGCCTTGATTCTCCCGGACCGACCTCTTCACTCCTCTCTTTGAAGCCCAAGGTCGGCTCTGACATCACTGCATCTTCCCTAGCGAAGAAGGCGCTCATCCAAATGACTCTTATCCAGCTGTCCTTGGTGAAGAAACAGAGCTTTTCCAAGAATTCAGCGATGCACAAGGACATTGAGAGACATCACCTTTGCAGCTACCATGACCACAAGTATGACATGGAGAAGACGAGATGCGCAGAGGGTTTCCAACAGAAGCAGGCCAAGGCAAATAACCATAACATCTGGCCCGACTGGAGGAGAGTCAAGAAGGCGCATGACGCGGCAATCAAGAAGGAGTTTGTCAGGGCGGAGATTTGATTGACGCCGCTGCGGGTGCTCCAGCTATCTCGGGTTTCCTTATGGCTCCAACAGACAATGCTCAACAGGGTGGGGTTTGGTGTCTATTCACAGTGCTCACATTGACTCGGAAGGCTGAAGCCATCCAGTTAGTACAGGTGTCAGCCAAGCATGCCAGTACTCAATACATATAACTTCACTGTCCATTCCGTGTGCATGACCTGATAGAGATGTCAAGGTCCCTCTGAATATATCGATGGTGATGTTGACACGTCCATAGATCTGTGAGCTTCCACTACGCAAGGATTTTTATGCATCACACTTGTTACTCCACACTAAAGGCTCTTCCAGTATACAGATTCAAAACACGAAACCAGGCGCTAGGTCCAAAGGGCGAGTGTCGGGCAAGCGTTTACCCCTTTACGGAAAGATGAAAGCTGTATGGAAGTTTGGGGGACGAACGCGGGGAGAGCCTGGTAGCTGGAGACATCTTCATACAAATGATCGGCCATAGTTTTTAAAGGTGGGCTGATGTAAAAATGCTCACGTCGATGCGGAATGGATAGGTGGGTTTAGCTCGGATGCTGGATGATAGGCGCATCCGGTGGTCCAGCGCGGATATCAAGCCACCGAGTCAGCCGTAAACAGCGGTAATATATGATAGTAACACCTCGCGGTACCATGCGTTTAGCAAATTCAGCTCAGCCTCGGTAAGAATCAGTCTAGAAAAGGACTTCCTCCGCTCTAATTCCATCTATTCCATTTGTTAGCATGTGAACCTGCTAATCGCTTCTATTTTGTGGCTCAGAACCTCGGACTTTGGTACATACATACATCACGCGATCGTGCTGTCTGTGTCAACGTAAGGCTTCAGGATCTGCGAGACGCAATGGATGCCGAGGAGTTCTATCACATACGTGACCTTGGACCGAGGACTATCCGTCCTCGCAGTCCGGAACCCAGCGAGCGGGTGGCTATGCATGGCTTTGCGGCTGATGTGTCGCTCACTGTATTGGGAGAGTCTGGCACATTCTGATCATACCATCGCGGATCTCGACGGGACCCTTCGAGCGATTCTTTTCTGCTACTATAAATTCAATATCATGTCCTCTTCTCTCTAATCAAACCAGGCTACTTCTCTGTGAAGTTCACATGCTTCTACTATACTAGGTCGCAATGGACGACAAACTCGACGATTCACCACAAGAATCTTCAAACCATACAAGACATAGCAACTACCAGAAAGGAGATGACATATCCGGGAGCAGCCATAATGGCTCGCCGCAATTTCAATCAATCGCCCCAAGAAACATCGCGCACCTCCACCGCCTAGCATCACTTGACTCCCTTCACCGTCCTATTTCTCGAGTATCAACCGATAACCCTGACCCAAGAGCACAAGATCCTGCCCTTGATCCATCAAGTCCGCGCTTCCACGTCTACAGGTGGGCGAAATGGATGATAACTTCTATGGCCGAGGACCATATTCCAACGCAGAGATCCGGTTTCTGTTTCCAGGATTTGAACGTTTACGGATCTGGCCCCAGTTTGAACATTCAAAAAGACGTTTTATCCATTTTCATGGCTCCGGTCAGAATACACGAGTGGATCAATTTCGGCGATCAGGACCGGAGATGCATCCTGCACAACTTCAATGGTGTAGTAAAGGCAGGAGAGATGCTCGTCGTGCTAGGCCGACCTGGAAGTGGTTGCTCCACCTTTCTCAAGTCGATCGCTGGAGAATTGCATGGACTCGAGCTTGGTTCTGAAGATTCTCTCTCCTACGACGGTCAGTTTCACCAGACCTAAATTCTCACTCACAAGCTGATTTACCTAGGCAAATCCATTCACGATATGATGACGAGATTCAAAGGAGATGTGTGCTATAATCAGGTATATACGCCTTTTCCCACTCTTACTCCAAACAGTTCTTTTGACGCTAATACTGCTCCTATATAGGAAGTAGAGAAGCATTTTCCACACCTTACGGTTGCACAGACTTTGCGATTTGCCGCTGCTGTCCGGACTCCACGTACACGATATAAGAACCTCCCTCGCAAGTACATGGCAAACTACATGGCTGACGTTGTGATGGCCGCTCTCGACCTCACACATACCCGAGATACCAAAGTCGGCAATGAGTTTGTTCGTGGAATTAGCGGAGGAGAAAGAAAACGTGTATCGATTGCAGAAATGGCTCTTTCTCGTGCACCGATTGCCGCTTGGGACAACAGCAGCAGAGGACTTGATAGTTCCACTGCACTGAAATTTGTTCGCGCCCTGAAGACCGCATCAGATCTGTCACAGATGACACAACTCGTAGCTATCTACCAGGCCTCCCAAGCCATTTACGACATCTTCGACAAAGCTACGGTTCTTTACGAAGGAAGACAGATATATTTCGGGCGTGCATCCGAGGCCAAACAGTACGTAAGTCCTACTACGCATACCATGGTCAGGCTCCGTTGAGTAGCCCAACACCGTCTGTGGTGGCCTAATACGTTATCAAAAACTGTGAAACGACAGTTTTCGCAAGTCTAGTAGCTCATTAGGCCACCTCAGACGGTGTTGAACCTCCTTACATTCAACAGAGCCTGAGAGCCCTCTGGTGTCATTGTTCCTGTAACTGTGTTGAAACGCGACTTATGTTGCGGTTGAACACCCACTTAGGTCGCGTTTAAGCACCCATTCTCGTCGCTTTGAAGTCGGTAATGGTGTCTTCAACACGATTTGAGTAGCACTCAAGGACAACAGTAACACCAGAGGATCCAGTATCTGTTTTCAAGACCTCCTTTATGAAATACGCTAATATATGCACTACCACCTTAAGATATTTCATCGACATGGGCTGGGAATGTCCCGCGCGCCAAACCACGGGAGATTTTTTAACCTCCGTCACCAATCCCGATGAGAGGCTTGCACGTCCAGGCTACGACGCCAGAGTTCCACGTACCCCGGAAGAGTTTGAACGCTATTGGTTGGAGTCCGAGGCTTTCCAAACCTGTCAAAAGGAGATCGAGGCCTACAAGAAGGCTTTCCCATCGGAAGGGCCAGCAGTCAAAGAGTTTCAAAATACCCATCGAGCAGAACAAGTGCGACATACGCTACCTAGGAGCCCCTACCTCATCAGTACATCCATGCAGATCAAAGAATGCACGATTCGTGCCTATCAAAGAATGGCCGGAGATATGACTAGTACAGTCGTACATTCGTTTGTTCAGATAATCATGGCTCCTATCATCGCCTCAATGTTTTTCAATTCATCGAACACTACCGCTGGCCTATTACCTAAAGGGTCTGTCATTTTTTTCTCGGTGATGCTGAACACTTTGATAAGTGTACTGGACATAAACCGGCTATACGATCTCCGACCAATTGTAGAAAAGCAAGCAAGCTACGCATTCTACCATCCATTTGCAGAGGGTTTGGCCTCCACATTAGCCGACATACCAATTCGTTTCGTCAGCGCGGCCATATTCAACATCATTCTCTACTTCAGTACGTAAGGTCCTAATACACATACCAGAGTCCTCTGGTGTCATTGTGTGTTGAAACACGACTCATGTCACGCTTGAACACCCACTCAGGTCGCATTTGAGCACCCATTTTAGTCGCTTTCGAGCCGGTAATGGTGTCTTAAACACGATTTGAGTGGCACTCAAGGAAAGCTACTGTGTCTTGTCATAGATATCCGCACGACTTTCTGCCACCGCTTGTGGTGCCTCATGCTATTTTCAGAGTTCCGAATCAGACAGAAGGCCTACCTTTTAAATATCTAGTAAACTCATTAGACCACCCTAAGCAGTGGCAGACGAGTGTACACACATTAGATCTGTAATCCATCGCCCTGGATTTCTGAAAATACCATGAGGCTCCCCAAGTGGTGGTAGAGAAGTGCGCGGATATCTATGACCACGTACTGTAACTCCAGAGGACTTAGGATCTGTCTCAAAACCCCCCTAATTTATGAAAACCCGCTAACATGTGTATTACAACCTTAAGTGACCGGCCTCCGGAGAGAGCCATCTCAATTCTTCATCTTCCTCCTTTTTAATTACGTCGCCATGCTCACGATGACTTTCATCTTTCGCACGATCGGCGCAGCAACGAAGCGCATTTCTCAAGCTCTCGCAATCGCAGGCGTAATGCTCTTGGGGCTGATCATCTACACCGGATTTGTCATTCCTAAGCATTACATGCATCCCTGGTTCAAATGGATCATGTACATCAATCCAATTGCGTATGCGTTCGAGGCACTGATGACTAATGAAGTCCATGGGAGGAACTATACTTGTGGAGCTACTATACCCGCCTACCAGAATCTCACCGGCGCTACTTTCGTCTGCTCAGTAGCTGGGGCTCTGCCTGGACAAACATACGTTTCCGGAGACTCCTGGGTGGAAGCAAGTTATCAGTATTCGTACTCGCACATATGGAGGAACCTGGGAATCCTCATTGCTTTTGGAATCTTCTTCATGTTTACCTATCTCTTCGCCACGGAGTTCAATACCTCTGCTTCCTCTACTGCTGACCTACTGGTCTTCCGGAGCGGTCATGCTCCGCGGGGATCCAAACGACGCCAACGCTCCAACGCCTCAGACACCGAGTCAAATCGCCGTGCTTCTATAGCGTCGCGGCTAGCAGACGATAAAGAGATGGAAGAGTTTGCGATTGCGCCGCAGAAGGAGGTCTTCACATGGCGTAACGTATGCTACGACATCACGGTCAAGGGCGGAAAACAACGAAGACTGCTTGATCGTGTATCCGGTTTCGTTTCTCCAGGCACTCTGACCGTTCTCATGGGGCCCTCTGGTGCCGGAAAGACTACGTTGCTCGATGTGCTCGCTCAGCGTACAAGAATCGGTGTCGTGACTGGCGACATGTTCGTTAGCGGAAGGCCACTGGAGCCTAGCTTTCAACGTGAGACAGGTTACGTTCAACAACTTGGTAAGTGGATACTCAGGGCATGAAGAAGGTGGCACTCTAATTCTAGAACAAGCCGTCTCGTGTGTACACCTGTTTGCCACTGCTAGGGGTGCTTCAATACATTTTCAGGAATCTGAACGAGATAGAAGCCCTTCGCCTTGGGCTATGTGGAAACTCGTTGAAGCACCTCAAGCAGTAGCAGACAGGTCTACACACAAGACAGAGTGCTTGATGATTGTGCCACTTTTTTCACGCCCAGTGTGGTGGAATGTCATGTACACATGGTCCTTGTACTAACTTTTTATAGACTTACATCTCGAAACGACTACTGTACGTCCGTATGATTTGAATAGCATTAATTGGGCCTTTATGTAACATTTTATAGGTCCGCGAGGCTCTCCGTTTCAGCGCTATGATGCGGCAACCAAAGACTGTATCCAAGAAAGAGAAGTACGCCTATGTCGAAGAAGTTATCAAGCTTTTGAGAATGCAGGTATGTAAAAGCTCAGGTCCCGAAGTATCATATTGCTCAGAAGTGACTAAACACAACGTAGACCTTTGGCGAAGCCGTAGTCGGTATACCCGGAGAAGGGCTCAACGTAGAACAGCGAAAGCTTTTAACAATCGGCGTGGAATTAGCAGCCAAACCTGACCTCCTCTTGTTCCTTGATGAACCGACATCCGGATTGGATTCCCAAAGTAGTTGGAGTATTGTCGCCTTCCTTCGGAGACTCGCAGATCACGGCCAAGCTGTTCTTTGCACCGTTCATCAGCCATCAGCAATTCTGTTCCAGCAATTCGAGCGCCTCCTACTTCTTGGCAACCATGGTCAACCCTGCTACTTCGGCCAAATCGGGCCAAACTCCCGAATTCTGATCGACTATTTCGAGAGGAATGGTAGCAGACCATGTGGACCAGCAGAAAATCCAGCCGAATACATGCTTGAGGTTATTGGGAATGAGAATGAAGCTCTAGAAGCTCAAAATTGGGCAGAGACCTGGATGAAGAGCCCAGAAAACTCAAGACTTAATGAAGAAATTGACCGAATACACCAGAAGAGCCTTGATGCGACGCCGGGAGAGAAGTTAAAAGAAGCGGAACATTCTCACAAGGATGAATCTGAATTCGCTATGCCATTTACTTCGCAGCTATGGGAAGTGTCACTGAGGGTATTCCAACAATACTGGAGGACTCCCGACTACATTTGGAATAAGCTAGGCCTGGGCACGTTCTCTGCTCTGTAAGAATGCCCTCCCGTATGTCTAGCCTGACACATCTAACGATATACAGATTTCTGGGCTTCTCCTTCTACCAAGCTGATGCCTCACTGCAGGGCTTACAAGATGTCCTCTACGCCCTTTTCATGCTCACCGCAACATTCACAATAACCGTCCAGCAAATAATGCCTCGTTTCGTCACCCAGCGCTCACTCTACGAAGTGCGCGAGCGCCCTTCCAAAGCTTATTCCTGGAAAGCCTTCCTAATCGCCAACATCTTCGTCGAGATCCCCTACTCCATCCTCCTAGGCGTACTCGTCTTCGCTAGCATCTACTACCCCGTCTTCGGCATCACCTCCTCCGAACGCCAAGGAATCGTCCTCCTCTACTGCATCGAACTCTACATCTACGCCTGCACGTTCGCACACATGCTGATATCGTGGGCCCCGGATCCCGAAACTGCGGGCCCAGTCGCCATCATCCTTTTCGCAATGTCACTGCTCTTCAACGGCGTCATGCAGCCACCGTCATCGCTTCCGGGCTTCTGGATGTTCATGTACCGTGTATCCCCACTCACCTACTGGGTAGGTGGCATCGCAGCCACAACGCTTCACGGCCGACCAATCCAGTGCGCGGCGCACGAGGTGGCAAAGTTCTTGCCGCCGAGCGGGCAGAATTGCGGCGAGTATATGGCGCCGTACATGAAGCTCGCGCCTGGTCGCCTGTTAAACCCGACTTCGAGTGGAGTCTGCGAGTACTGCCCTATGGCGGTTGCGGATCAGTTCCTAGCAAATAGCGATTTAGAATGGGGCCAGCGGTGGCGGGACTTCGGGTTGTTGTGGGTGTATATTTTGTTTAATGTGTTCATGGCTGTAGTGTTGTATTACGTGTTTCGGGTGAGGAGGTGGTCAAAGGATGATGTTTCGGAGGCGTCTAAGGGGAGGGTTGAAGGGTTGAAGAAGCGGTTTAGGCGAACTTAATGGATGGACATTGAGGTTGTGGTTTTCTGGTGGTTTTTTGCAAGAGTCATAAGTTCTCATCGGTACGATTTTCAGTTCCGAGTTCATTTAGTTGAGGAGAGAGATCAATCTGTGTTACGTCCTTAAGCGCCATGATCAGAAATCTGCGAAAACTCTAAAGGTTGTTCTGATAATATTGGGAATCGTCCCGGGACGCTCCAAGCCAAACCAAATCCACATCAGGCTGACGACAAAAAGTACATATGCGCTTTCTTGAACTCCAAGCCAGCATTTGCCCAAAGTAATGAAGATAGAAGCTCCCACTTACTTTGTGAAATGTTTTTCGCCGTGGAAGATGTTCCCACCCATAGGATGGGAGACCGTGAAGCTTTCAGGAGAACCTTGGAAGTAGATGTTACAGCTCTGGGGATTCTCAATCGTGCTATTTGCATAATCCCATATGTAGATATCGCAGTGGATAGGACTGATAATATTGCTCGCACTGAATGCTCGCGCTGCGTGGTTTGACGTGGATGGTGCAATTTCTTGCATTCCTGATAAACTCGCAACTGCTTTCCTGGACGCAAATGGTGCAGCTTTCAGCGAAGATGGTGCCGTAATCCGGTGTCGTGCTAGTGATGCTGGTTCTTTCGGCACGTATTATACGACTTTCTTGGGGTGTGGAGATGGTGTAAGGCTCCGGCTTGGTAATCTCAATGATAGTTCCGGTATTGATATCGGAGTGTCCTCTACTGAACCCGGTGGCCGCTATGAGCGTAGTAGGCTTGTACGCCGAAGGAGTGCCTTGGAAATCATTCTCTCGTCGTGAGCTTGAAGCATTGCCCATCCCCATAGAGTGGGACTCGGTTTCAGTGTTCGCGGGAGAAGGCTATAGTATGTGAAGTGTGTACATGAAGCCTTCAAGGTATTTATCTGTGAGGCTCAGTTGTCAAGTACGTGTTCTTCTGTTGCTGAGCCGTTCTAGGCCCCATAACGATGTGGTAGTAACCAGGGAACATGAGGAGAACCTACTAGTCCCATGTTGGTTATATGGGCTTGCTCTGAATCAACAATACGCGTACTTGATCTCAAATTCCAGTCGGCGAAACTGGATTGTGTATACTGGACTGGCGTCAAATCAAGCGATATGGCCCAAGCCAAGAAAGCAGAGTTCAAGACTTATGGGGACTCTATGCAGGAAATCGGACGAAAATGAGCTTCTAGAGCGTTTCGAGTGGCGAAACACACATTAGTAGAAGGCAAGGGCCTCTGCTGTCGTAGATGACCACAGGTACTAGAGAATGAGTGCGAATTCGCGATATGCGTGACGGATGAATAGTGGCTAACGGCTACTGTCAGTCGTATGTCAATGGTGTTGAGGAGGCGTTGACAATCCAGCGTCATTGGCGGCCTATTCCTCAGACAGAAGTCATATTCTCGAGCCATAGCAGAGCATCTGATGCCGGTGAGAAGTGTGCCTATCCGCCAAGCCCAGTCACCTGCACGGACCCTCAACCGACCTTCGTCATAAATAGAGGCAGCCCGCAACAACGTCAACACCCCTCTTCAGCTTTCCACCTCCACCCATTTTTCCGCTACCTCCAGAACACCGCCGCCATGGCCGAGGCTACTGCAAAACCCGAATTGAAGACAGATCCCAAATACGACGATTATGACTTCCCCTACATCGCTCCAGAGCCCCAGCCAGGCCATCCTGGCTACACCACTCCAGCGCAAGATGCACAGGTCTTCCAACTTCGATCCATGCTCGAGGCTGCTGGAGTTACCGAGCGACTAGATACTCTGACTCTGGTGAGGTCTCCGCTCTTCTGTCTGCTCTATCTAGCCTAGTTAACTTTTTTGTAGCTTAGGTTCCTGCGAGCAAGAAAATTCAACGTCGAGCTCTCGAAGCAGATGTACGATATAGCTATCCCCTAGAACAAATATACAGGTGTTTACAACCCTCAGGTTCCTCGACTGCGAGAAATGGCGGAAGGAGTTCGGTGGCGGTGTAGATCAGCTCCTGCAAACCTTCGACTACAAGGAGAAGCCCCAGGTCTTCGAATACTACCCTCAATACTACCACAAGACGGACAAGGTATGTGTGGCTATGTTTTGTGATTGAACTAGGCTGATCAGCGTAGGACGGCCGGCCGGTGTACATTGAGCAGTTGGGAAAGGTCGACATCGCCGCCATGGACAAGATAACCAGCCAGGAGCGCATGTTACAGAACCTGGTCTGCGAATATGAGAAGGTCGCCGATCCTCGCCTCCCTGCCTGCTCTCGGAAAGCTGGCCACCTCCTCGAAACCTGCTGCACCATTATGGACTTGAAGGGTGTTGGAATTTCCAAGGCGTCCTCCGTGTACGGATATATCCAAGCAGCCTCTGGCGTCTCCCAAAACTACTACCCCGAACGGCTCGGAAAGCTGTATGTCATCAACGCACCGTGGGGCTTTTCTGGCGTCTTCAGCTTCGTCAAGCGCTTTTTGGATCCCGTCACGGTGAACAAAATACACATTTTGGGTAGTGGCTATGAAAAGGAGCTACTCGCTCAGGTTCCTGCAGAGAATTTGCCAAAGGCATTTGGCGGCACCTGTGACTGCCCGGGTGGTTGCATGCTGAGCGACGCTGGCCCATGGCAAGATCCTCAGTGGGTGAGGCCAGCCAAATGGGAGAAGAAGCAGGGCGCCACGGATGGTGCATCCGATGCTATCGATACCTCTGCCCTGGGTGGGGCTCCAGTAAAGACAGAAGAACAGGCTCCGCTCAACGGCAAGGCACCTGAGACTGGTGAGGAGGTTACTACTGGTGCCCCTGCGACAGCATAGTGGACAACCGTCTCAATCTCCATTTTGGAATACTCTTGTCTATTACTGTTCCCTCATCGCGCATGCCTCCTCATTCTTCGAGTCGCATTAGAGCGGACATTCTGGACCTCGAAAGAAGGCGGGACAAGATGTGCAGTGTGCAGCATCGTGCTCAGATTGCATAATGCACGTTCATCATGACCAGGACACCTTCGCTTGTTTTATTGTGATATATTTCTTTGTTGCTTTGTGGTGTTCTGCGAATCATCTCCCTTTGTCTGACAATCTCACCTAAGGCTATTGTCCAACTATACTATCACGCCTACCTAACATTATGGACACTGGACACTATGGACTATAATTCCTAATCGCGAGAAATACTAATAGAACTAAAAGTAGGTAATAGCGACAACATGGCTCATCGATATTCCCCGTCAGCACCCCCTAGGTCGCCCTCACAGCCTGACCTTACGTTTCGAATCTCCCTCGACTTCATCCTCATCGGTTCAAAACCCGCCTCCGACCTCATCTACGAACCCTCCGACCCCCATCGCCCCATCTATGCCATGCGCACCCTCCTCCAGCACCTCCTACGCCCAATCCCCTCTACCAACCCAACCCATGACGAAAACGAAGACCTCAAAGCCCTCGACATCCAACTCTCCCCCTTCTCCCTCCTCAACCTCTCCGCCCTCAACACCACAGCCTGGACCCTAAACCCTCACCCCGCCGCCACTCTCACGCCCCGCTCCACCCTCGCACTCCCCTCAACCTGGTTCCAAACCGGCATCCGCCTCCACAGCCCCCCCTTGGCGCCCGCCGACCCCGACTTCAGCTGGCGCGAACAGCTCCACCACATCCTGCACACCCTCCACGCGAACTTCGACAACGCGAGCCCCGCCTTCCCGTTCCGCCTCCTCGTGAACGAGACCTGCGACTTCAACGTTCGGGTGAGCACGAGCGACCCAGAGGACAGCAGCGAGCGCGGGGTAGTAGACACAGTAAGTCGCGTGTGGCAGCTGCTAACGGGGTTCGAGCGGCTGTTCGCGCAGGTCAGCGCGGTGAGTCGGCTGGCGGGGACGGCGCAGCCGAGCGCGTTTTTCAGGCTGCAGGATGGGGCGAAGGGGACGCGGCAGTGGTGTCGGATTATTAGGCGTGCGGCGAAGGACGGGGAGTTGGGGGCGTTGGGGAGGGAGTTTGGGTGGGCGGGGGAGAGGAGTGGGAGGAGGGTGGGGTGGGGGTTTGATATTCGGGAGACTGAGACGGGCTTCCGGGGGAAGGAGATGGCGGAGGTGGAGTTTGGACAGCATAGGGGGACGCTGGATTATGCGGATGTCGTTGCTTGGGTAGATGTTGTTGCGGCGATGGTGGAGAGCTGTGCGTGGAACACGGATTCGGTGGTGGAGGAGCTGATAGAGAAGTATGTCGGCGATGCTGGGTTCTCTCCTCATGACCTTCTCCGGGAAATCGGCGCGCAGAGGTTCACGCGCGATCACTATCGCTGGCGTAACAGTGGTCAGGACGGCAAGAACGGTACTGCGGGTGCGGAGCGAAGGGTGCAGATGCGACGGGCGACTGGGGAGGCAGCGGAAGTCGTGAGGAGGGTTGAGACGGAGAGGTGGTTGGATCGGAGGGGGGATCGGGTGGGGAAATTCATTGGGCAGTATGAGAGAGCGGGCGGGTTTGGAGAGGTAAGTGAGGAGGAGGATATTGAAGAGGTGGTGAGTGAGGAGGGGGGCGAGGAAGATGCCGAAAAGGGGGAAATGGCGGCGGAGGTAGAGGCGATTTGGGGCTTTCTTGGGTATGACAGCGAGGGGACGTCGCATTATGGGATGTGATGGGGGAACTTCTGGGCTGAGCTTTAGAGAATGGACTAACTCCCTTTTGTTCATCTCGTTGCTCTGGTTTTATCGTCTGGGCTGGACTGCCAAGATGCTACCACTGCTATAAGGTCTGATTTACACATCGTGTCAATAACATGCCAAAATCCACTCCAGATCGCACGGACTGACTCTCGCTCATATTTCTCACGACATCCAAATCAGCCTATTTCTCATGTCTCAATTTAGAGTGCCAGTCAATAACATACCAGAATCGACTCCAAATCGCACGGACAGGCTCCCGTTTATACGTCTCAAGCCACTGTCCTACTACCCAACTTCTAGGCTCTGATATAGACGGACATGCTTTCTACTTTTTGAAATCAATGTCATATCAGACTGTAGAATTATGAAAACAAATCAAGGTCTAAATAGTGGCGCATGTTGAATCCGTTGGCTCGTGGTCTATATAAAGAACCGGCTCCGTTTCATACATGCAAATGCTTTCCTTTTGTCACAGCCCCATTTGCCGTCACCACATCCAAAACATCACCAAAAAGGTAGATTGCTACTGCCAATCATCACACAATCCCATTACTTCATCACATACAAGTCAACTAATTATATACACCCTCATCCCATCCCATCCCATCTCACTCATAAAATTATATTACAACACCACCCCCATCACCGCCATCAATCCCCCAAACACCTCCCACGTCCACCCCCTGACTCTCTCCGCCGCGCCACCCGTGAACTGCGCCGGCGCCTCCCCCGTTTGCGTCCCTGATGCCCCAATGCCCGTCACTATCGCCACCGTGCTCGTCAACGACGGCGCCACAATCACGACCCCACTCGGGCCTACGCTAATCGTGGTTCCTGATACCGTGAGCGCCGGCCCGCCGACGGAAAGCGTCGTACCGGGCGCTACAACCACAGCGCTGCCGGTTGGATCAACAGTAAAGGTTTGATCGCCTGCTGTGATAGTCGCAGAGGATGCCCCGGTCCCTGTTACTATCGCCACCGTGCTCGTCAACGACGGCGCCACAATCACGACCCCACTCGAGCCTACGCTAATCGTGGTTCCTGATACCGTGAGGGCAGGACCGCCGAGCGAGAGAGTCGTTCCGGGTGCTAGAACAACAGCACTGCTCGTAGGGTCGACGGTGAAGGTCTGGCCGCCTGCTGTGATAGTCGCAGAGGATGGCTGAGAGACAGGAGTCAGGGGGATCGTTTGCGTGCCGACGACGATGCTGGAGCCCGAGGAAGGAATGAAGACCGGCGTGCCCGAGATCGTGGCCGTCGCGCCGCCGGGGGTGAGTGTCGTTCCGTCGACGACGAAGCTCGGGTTTGCGGGGTCCGTGGGGTTCAGTATAGCGGTTATAGAGCTACCGCCTACTGTGATGACGGGGGTCGTAGGAGTAGCGCCGGTGGTGGGCTGGAATGGTATGGTCTGCACACCCGAGGGGGCAGATATGATGACGCCTGTGGTGCCGACGCTGAGGGTGGTAGAACCGGGAAGCGTGATAGGGGGTGCGCCGGGGGTGAGGGTGGTGCCAGGGCCGATAGTAACGCCGGTCGTTGGGTCGACGACGAGAGTGCTGGAGCCGAGGGTTATAGTGGCAGATGTAGGGGCGGTGATGGGAGGGGCGGTGATAGCGACGCTAGAGCCTGGGACTGCGGTGATGACGACGAGGGCGGAAGCTGGGGGAGCGCCTGGAACGGAAGAGGCGGGTTGGCCTGGGCCACCTGGGTTAACAACGCTCGTAGCTGGATTGCCTGGGTCACCAGGGTTAACGACAGTCGTAGCTGGATTTCCTGGTCCGCCTGGATTAACAACACTCGTGGCCGGATTCCCTGGGTCGACAACGCTCGTGGCCGGATTCCCTGGGTCAACGGCACTGGTGGCTGGATCTCCGGGATTTGCGATACTCGTAGCTGGATCGCCTGGATCAACAACGCTCGTGCCGGGATCAATCACTGTGCCAGGGTCTTCAGTAGACGCTGGGGGAGCAGGATCAATCGTTGAAGGCTGGCCAGGATCGTTCACGGAAGTCTGAATAGGATCATTCGTCGAAACTGGAGGAGGTTCTGGAGCTGGGCTGGGTGATGCAGCAGTTGTAGTGCCCGGATCTGCTTCCGTTGTTTGGGGAGGGAGATCTGAAGATTGAGCTGGTTCCGCAGGCACTGATGTGGATGTAGAAAATCCGAACGGTGCAGTCTGCACAGCAGTAGGCGGATCTGCCAAGCCGAAGAAGCCAAGAGAGCATGTAGACCAGGAAGGGTCCAGTTGGCGAATAGCGGCTGGCATTATGATTTGAGGGAAATACTCATTGTCGTAGACCACGGAGCAAGGGGGAAGTCGGACTTGACAGGCAGGTTGACCGTAGTATGCACTGTATGGTATTGGCGTGTTGAAGTCTGCAAAGTTGAACGAATATGGGATATCGTTCTTTGGGTATCCTCGCATGCTCTGGACCTCGCTCGAGGGAAGCGCGATCCACGAACCTGAATGAGTGGCACCCACCGCTCCTCCACATGGATCATGAGCAGAGGCCGTCGCGATCGAAAAGTATACATTCCCGGCATAGAGAGTTTTCCCGCTGACAACTCCGTATGGCCCAGTGGTTACCGGAGTGTATGCTACTCGACATCAGCTCTGAATTAAACTCGGCATAAAGCACCACGTGACTTACTAGTAGTAGGATAGTCGGGGAAACTTGTTGCTTCACCACCAGCAGGCCAGTTGGTACACAGGTTTCGCGTTACGTTTGAAGTGACAGGAAAGTAGTACACGTCAATGCTAGCCGGATCAATGGTGCACCTCGTGCTGACTGCTTTACAGGTGTCGCATGCTGGCTCGCTGGGTGACGGCGCAGTCGTTATGGCCGCGCTCGCCCATGCACTAGATGAAGAGCTGTAAGAACTCCATAGATCCGTACAATCGGAAAGGGCGACGGAGCACGTCGGAGAGGGCACGGCGAAAGTTGGGGCCGTCGAAGTAAGTGTCGTGTAGGCGTAATTTTCCGCGTCTACACTTGTGCTCAATATAGTATGGGATCCTGCGTAGCATATCGTCCCACAGCTTGTGTGACAGGTATCCGACGCATATATTGTGTCGGTCACCGTATAGTCCACTGTTCCTGTTGAAAGGAAGGTTGTGTAATCTGATGGTGTATAGTGTTCGGAAGCCGATCTCCACGCCTCCCATGAGCTATCGCAAGCACTCGCATATGCGCTTCCTAAGGGCTGTTACTTAATAGTTCGTAGCTAGTATAACCGTCATGGTTCCTGGCGACACAAAGCAAGCATCTTGCAAAACCCTGGACGCAGTCGCTCTTGAGAAGGAACAGGGTAAATTGAAATTTCTCGTACCACTGCCGATTGAAGCGAGCGAGGTAGGGCTGCTGGAGGTGGTCCAATTTCCCGTCGCTGTTACTGAAGGCACGTGTAAGCGACGATCCTTTGCGTAATTCCCGCAATCCGAGGCTGGTGTTCTTACATGTTTGTGCTCTCGCCGTCCACGCAGCGCACAACGCGGCTAGTGCTATCTTCCATTGCATTTCCAACATGATGGTTCAGGGACACAGCGGCTGCAGAACTCATTGTAAAGCAGTACGGACATGTCTCGCTATTTGTACTCGGAGGTCGGTGGCTTCTGGCTTCCCAAGGCGGTCACGCCGACGAGCAATATATCCTCAAGGTACAATCGCACAACAGGCCTAGTGTAGTTGGTGCCTGGTTACGTGCTTGCGTGATTGGACAACCGGTGGCTGTTTCTGCTACCACGCAATTTCACCTATAGCCAAGAATCAAGGGTGCAGGCATGTACCGAGGGGCTAAAAAATGTTTTTGGTGGACCTTCGCAGGGTTATAGATTGCACACACTCTGTATCGAATGCGCTTACGCTCTTTCTGACATTGCGCAAAACAGATGGTCTTTCACCTGCCACATTCCTGTTTTCGCAAATGGGTTGCTTTTACGTCAAAAATAGATATTTTTTATGCAACGAAAGTCTAGACTTGTGGTGTAAGAAAGACGAGGGTGGAAAACATGAGTGAAATAGCCAGACATCAAATATCGTATTGTGAAGTCCAAAAGAAAGTGGGACAGAAACAAAACTGTTCTACACAAGCAGTCTTAGGCTGGTACCTGCGATTGAATACCTGGTCTGATAGGCGCTGAAAGATCAAAAAGGAGTATTTGGTCCCTACCTGGTTGTGCAAGAATTGCTCTGCAGCAGAGCCTCTGCATGTCCTTATTTCTCAACCTTTCATTCTGGCACGCGTAGTGCAGCATCAAAGGTTGCCTGGACAGCTTAGTCATTTTCCGGAGTGGTTCCCGGGTCATAATCTGAGTCGATGAACCGAAGCTGTAAGAGATGTTTGACTCGAGTGGACACGATTCGACAGACAGTCGAAAGCGATGGTATTCAAGCTGCTGCGAATTTTCAAGGGACCTATCATGGACGACTAAAAGTAATGATCGCAGAGAGCTGTCAGATTATCTCATTTTGTCAAAAGAAATGAGAGGATGGAGGCAGAGTGGTTCTACAACTGCGACAGGGTGCTTTTGGCGATCAGTCCGTAAGTGTAGCCTTGTTGTTCTGCTGGTGACACTGAAGCCAGCATGCAGTAGGGCTGATAGCGTATTGACACTTTCTCGCCACAATTTGTGTTGCATGGGTATTAGGGGCCTGGAGATGCGCGAGATCTTGCCACTGCGGATGGACCCTCATTAGACTCTTCTGAGGTTCCCCAGCGGGGAAGTGGTTGGTCAGGATGACAATTTGACATCTTATCCACGGTCTTGAAGATGCATCGTGGTCCTCCACGCGGTGGCATACAAGTGCCAACGGACTAACGTATACCAATGCCGACTTCGGCAGATTGGTATCTTTCTCTCAGATATGCCTCTACTCTTGCATAGATTTGCCCCACAATCCAGCCAAGGATCAAGCGGTGAAGTTGAAATAAAGAGATCTAGAACGTGAGGTTGTTGGCACCATGTGGAGAGGAAACAGACCCACAATTTGGACATACACATGTTCACTCCACTCCACAGGTCCACGCCGCACTCGTAGGCTCAGGGTCTGATTCATGCACATGCACGTGTAGTGAAGTTACATGTGCCCGCAGTACAGCCGGCTCCAGACGTCCCCACAAACAAACACGATTCAAACGGAGGCGTGCCGATTCTGCTGGTGGAGCCGTCAATACTGCGACCTCGCGAAGCACGCAACAGGGCGCTAATGACTTTCTGGCCTGACAGTCGCGCAAGGGAGCGATTTCGGGAGCGGTTTGAGGCCCAACTTCCCCAGGATCTGGCCGTGCTGCGGAACAGCCCCTAAATGCGGAGATACATCCCCTCAGTTAACGGCTTGCTGGCGACGAGATAAAACGCCTCCCGCCGCGGGGTGCATGGAAAACACGCTGCGGGAAGAGACGAGGTGGTATGGCAAGGTGGTGACCTTTGTTACTTTCTACATTAGGCAGGAGGTCAACTACGCGAACGCAACTCGGAGATGGCGCCGTTCGCTAGATTCGGCGGAGAAGTCGTCCTTAGGAAAACGCTACGGTAGATGCACGCGGCACGAGATTCGATGCTCGGGGGCTGGGGAGGTCGGGGCTTGGGGTCTCCAGGCTGGGGCCACGCCGGCGTGATGTTCGATGGCACGCGCCCGTCCAGACAGACTCGTTGCAGCTGAAGACGAGGCGGTGAGGGCTGAGAGATGGGGCCGTCTGCCAGGAGTCACGGCAGTTGTCCGGTTGATGTTCGGCTAGAAAAGCGCCAGCTGGGCGAATTGCGGGTGACTAAGCAGACATCGAGCTGGAAAAGCTGGCAGACTTCGTCGGTGGCGTTCTAGATCGGAGAGGTGCATGCTGCTTTCATCGGCGCTGCGAGAGAAGGCGGAAAGGTTGCAGGGCTAGAGGCTTGAGGCGTACTTTCGCCCCCTGGCTCGCCGTTGCACCAGCCGGCAGCCACGCACTCTGATCCAATTGCTTGTTTATGTAAGAAAGCCACTGGTGTTCCTGATCAGGCGGCCAAGAGGAGTCTTAGCCAAGCTTATCGGGACCTCCGTCCTGCGTGCCAACTGCCTTGAAACAACGTCGCCGCGCATCTTGAGCCCCGTGGCACGGCAGACTTCGAGAACGCCGCAAACGGCCCTTTCCTGGCACGACGTCTGACTGGGGGTTTGCCTGGACGGCACAGGGAGAACAACAAGGGCACGGAGCGGGCGAGCATCCAGAGCGCTGACTCCGGGCCGCATCCCTTCATGCAACCCTCAAAGGTGCAGAGGTGTCAATCTAGTGGTCTGCCACGGGGCCAATCAGTAGCGGAGCATATAGTAGCGCCCGCATTGCGGAGGATGATGCCAGCAGCGTCTCGAGTCCGTGGATGGACTCATGCAGCGGCGGGACTGGGAGCATGTGGAGCTCGCAGTGCGTGTGAAGCATCTCGTAGCGGAGCTGGCCTTGGCAGTCTGTGATAGACTCCTTCGAGCGGCAGCATGCACATCCATAACCTGAGCCATGGATGATCAGCCTGCCCAGAGGCCCGCAACGTCTATGATTGTCGCGGCACGGCCATGCCACATCCTGGAGGACTGCAGGCCGTCCCGGAACCTACAACAGCCCTGTCTCTGCTCTTCGCTGGCGTTGCAAACTTCGCCCTCCGTATGGAGGCGTCACCAGCCTCGTGAGGAGCGGCGCAAACACCACGACTCGGCTCCACAGCTCCAGCGACGACAAAGCGCGCCGCTAATGAGATACCTCGGCGAGCGTCCTCCGCCATCATGGGGCCTAGCGCAAGGCACGGGAAGGATGCGTGGCGGGGCCACCGCTGCGAGCACAGCGCGTCTGGCGTCCTCGGAGGCTCACTGGATCAAGCCCTGGTCCGCCTGTAATCTCGTTGTAATTCGCTCGCAGGAGCTCCCGGGCCCATGGCGTCGCTGGCGGCACGAAATGTCTGCAGGCCAGACGGCTAGAGCGCCTTCCAACGAAGCTTGATGCCTCCCCCATGACCCCAAGCTCGACCCCATTCCCCGACGCTTTGCCCCATCTTTACGATCTCTCCGCCACGATCCCTTGGCCCATGGGGTCTCTACCTCCGCCGCCTTTGTTCACCCCGCTGGCCGCCCACCTCGTGACAGTCCAGCTGGAATCAGCAAGGGATCCGTCCCAAGGACCAGCCGCGCTTTCAGCCGCCGTGAGCCTGGTGCCGGGCGTCTGGGAGCCGGGCATTGGCTCGGGCTGCTGGCAATCCTTCTCGAAGGATGTGCAGCCTGTTCCGGATAGGTCCAAATAAAATGCTACTGTACCCGCAGCAAAGCGCCACAGCTCTCTGCGGTATCACCAGCGCAGGGGACACATGTATTAAATAGAGCCCGCCCACGACGATCTGTGATTTCGACTCCATCCCCAGCTCTTTGATCCTCCCCGGGCCCCGCTCTTGCCTTGTTGCAGAGCTTCACTCACTTCACTCACTTCACTCACTTCCTCCCTCTTTGCTCCACCACCAAACACAAGCTCCACCACCAAACACAACGCCATCAACAAACACAACCGCAACCATGCCGGGCGGAGGAGTTGTCCCCATCAGCGGCACGACTGATGTCAACCGCGTCGAAGCCCCCGTGACTGTGCGCGCGTACCTCATTGTCGCCTTTGCTGCCTTTGGCGGTATCTTCTTCGGGTATGACACTGGCTGGATGGGAGGTGTTCTTGGAATGCCCTACTTCATCAAGCAGTACACCGGCAAAGAGTATCCCGCCGTCAAGTTCCCCGGCGACACCAGCAGCGATGCCTACAAGGCCTACAAGGACGCCTTCAAGGTCCCCGCGTGGGAGCAGTCTCTCACCACCTCAATTCTGTCCGCCGGTACCTTCTTCGGAGCCATCATTGCTGGTGACGTCGCCGACTTCATTGGTCGCCGAACCACCATCATCATGGGCTGCTTCATTTTCACCGTCGGTTGTATCCTCGAGACTGCTTCCACGAGCATCGGCGTCATGGCCGCTGGTCGTATCATCGCTGGTCTCGGTGTTGGTTTCATCTCTGCCATTGTCATCCTGTATGCGCCTCCCCATCCTCGTCGTCTGTCGCAATGCTAACAATCGCAGGTACATGTCTGAGATCGCGCCCAAGAAGGTCCGTGGTGCCGTCGTCGCCGGATATCAATTCTGCATCACCATCGGTATCCTTCTCGCCAATTGCGTTGTGTATGCCACCCAGAACCGCAAGGACACTGGCTCCTACCGTATCCCGATTGCTGTCCAGTTCCTCTGGGCGATCATCCTCGGTACCGGTCTTGCTATCCTCCCAGAGTCCCCACGTTACTTCGTGAAGAAGGGTAAGCAACAGGGATTTCATCTATTCACATGTTCGTACGCTAATCACGTGCAGGCAAGCTCGACAAAGCCGCAAAGGCACTGGCTTCTGTCCGCGGTCAGCCCATTGACTCCGAGTACATTCAGGATGAACTTGCTGAGATCATTGCCAACCACGAATACGAGATGTCCATCCTGCCGCAAACCACCTACCTTGGTGGCTGGGCCAACTGCTTCAAGGGCAAGATCACTGACGGATCATCCAACATCCGCCGTACTCTTCTCGGTGTTGGTCTCCAGATGATGCAACAGCTCACTGGTATCAACTTCATCTTCTACTTCGGCACCGTTTTCTTCCAACAGCTCGGCTCCATCTCCAACCCCTTCTTGATCTCCTTGATCACCACCCTCGTCAACGTCTGCTCTACCCCGGTGTCGTTCTACATTGTCGAGCGCTTCGGTCGCCGAACCCTCCTCATCTTCGGTTCCGCCGGCATGATCACCATGCAGTTCATTGTTGGTATCATCGGAGTTACCGCCGGGAAGACCTCGGAGCACAACCATGCGGCCGTTAGCGCTATGATCGCTTTCATCTGCTTGAACATCTCCGTCTTCGCCATGACCTGGGGCCCCACTGCCTGGATTCTTGTTGGAGAGATCTTCCCCCTCACCATCCGATCGCGCGGTGTCGGTCTCTCGACCTCGTCCAACTGGTTCTGGAATTGCGTAAGTCAACTCCCAAATACCGTGTTTCAAACAAACAGCTTCTAATCGTCTATACAGATCATTGCCGTTATTACTCCTTACCTCGTCGGCGATGGTCCCCACGATGCCAACTTGGGCGCTAAAATCTTCTTCATGTGGGGTGGTCTTTGCTGCGTCTCGCTCGCATTTGCCTTCTTCCTCGTTCCCGAGACCAAGGGTCTCTCGCTCGAGCAAGTCGACAAGATGTTGGAGGAGTCTACTCCCGCCACCTCGGCCAAGTGGAAGCCCCATTCCACCTTCGCTGCTGAGATGCATATCGCCGAGAAGCACCTCGAGATCCCCATTAACACCGAGCACGTTTCCGATAAGGCTGCCGACAATGTGTAAACAGTTTCTCATGTGATGGAATTTCTAAATGGTTGCCGTGGAGCGAGGTCGATATATCCCGGGGAGTGAACTGGTCTTCCCTTCCCTGCATTGTACCTGGTAGATGGCTTTAGGGTCTTGCCTATCGGACATAGAAGCATAGAGGAAGCATCATCATAATACCATGTCTTTCTTGCTTTCACCTTTGAGACTCTCTGCATTGCATGTGATTATTCATGCGTTGTCCATGTCTCGCCTGTGACAGTGTTGAGAAGTTACACTACTGCCCAGCATTTTTCGTATATGCTGTGCCTCGAGAATCTGTACATGCGGTTGGGATCGGATAGAGACTTGTTTCAGTTGCTGGTTGATGAGGTCGGATTTGGAGTTGAATGCGTTGCACAACGTGATACAAGGCCGGGACCCAGACCCAGCGTCTGGAACAGCTGCAGGAATCCAATACCAAAGCAGCGACCCGCATTCCGGACTTCTAACTTGGAACAGATCATCTCGTCTGGAGGGGAGTACCTGGTCTCTGGGATTTTGATGTGCGGAGCACGTGATCAGACGCTTTGGCCACCTCGGACTTCATCTCATTTTCGCTCAAGATAATCCTCGCGATGGGGACGTCCACGACTCAACGCGACCGTTAACGAATATGCCTCATAACTACGTAGTATTCTAAATTGTGTGGTGCCGTAGCGAGTTGAACTAGGTACTCCGTACTCCGCCTCCGTCCGAGCAAGACCCGAAGGATTCTGGTAACTTCCTAGGCTGAAATATACAAAGGTAGAAACATAGCTTCGACGCATTGACTTCCCTTTCTTTCTCAGAGTGAAGCTTTTCAGAAAGTCAGGTTGTTTATTTCCATATTTCCTGCCGTCGGGTCTTGTGGAACTCAAACGGTTCTTCAAGCCGCGGATGGAGTTAGATCTGGAGTAAGTTGGATGCGTTTTGTCAATCAGACTATCACAAGTCCTCCCAAGTCTATACTGGGTGCTAACACTGTTAGTGCTTGGAATTACGTAGAGTTCTCCCTGGCCAACCCTTCTTCGCAGAGTCAGTAGAATATATAACCCAGCAAAGCAATTACTGGACATTGCAACAGGTGACAGACATCCACCCACGCTGCCGTGTCACGCCATACTTCACGTATGACCTGCGCACTGTTATCAACGTTGTAGTGAGGCACCAAGCCACGTTCGCCACTAAGAGCGGTGCTTACTCTACCGTTGACGGGATTACGATTGACCTGGCCCAGCTCAACACCATTGAGCTATCCCCTGATAGCTCCAGCTCCTAGATAGGTGTTGGAAGCACTTGGCTCTCTGTATACCGCGACCTTGCGCTCACATCCGCTGGCCTCTCCGTCACCAGTGCACGTGCTGGCATCGTTGGAATTGGAGGCTTCTTCCTCGCTCGGCGGGGGATCCTTCTGGAATTATGGGCGCCATAGCTGGGTCTGCAACACAATCCTCGACTACGAGGTCGTCCTTGTGAATGGCAGCGTCGCTTTCGCAAATGAACACGACAACCCCGATCTCTTCCGGGCCTTGAAAGGAGGCGGAAGCAACTTCGGCATTGTGACGAAGGTCAAGCTTCCGGACTTCAAGCAAAAGCCAATGTACTTGGCTGTTACCTGGTACGAGGAAAATGATCTTGGTGATTTCTTGGCTTCTATGGAGGACTTTACCGCGAAGGCCGAAGATCCTGATGCCAGTCTATTCATGACTGTTGCATGTGACGCACAATGGGGAATGTGTTTCAATCCGATCATGTTCGTCAATACCGCCAGCGATACTTCCTCGTCATCCTTCGAGTCCTAGAGAATTTTCCAAGTGTAGAAAATAATACGGATAATATGGATATGGGAAATCTTAGTGAGATGTTGAGCGATTGTCCTGACAAGAAGTTTAGGCGAGCTTGTTTCTCTTCCCTTTACAGCATCGGTCTCTGGACATCACAACCGTCCTGATAAGGTCTAGGAAAGAGAGATTTACACTCACATTTCGAAACGCCGGATCCGCACCGTTGTAGCACAGCTAGCGTCTCATAATCGTACCTTCATCGAAGGTGCACGCATGATCGCCATTACATTCCAGCCTCTCAGAGGCCGACACCTTTCCTCCTCCAACAACACCTTCGGCCTAGACGCTGAAGATGAGCCCTTAACTCGTAAGCTCTTTAGTCTTCCTTTCCCTTTCAACACTTCTAATCTACCTTACCTGTGTTTGCAGAGCTCCATCCGAGACCACCGTTTCCATGATGAAATGAAATCTCCAGAAAGCCTCGTTCGCAAGAAAGCGGAAGAGGCGAGTGTCTTACACCCGTTTGCCACTGCTTGGAGTACCCCCATGGGATTTCGAAGGCCTAGGTGTAATGTCAAATTTCAAGCAGTGCAAATCGCAGTGCTCCTTGGCTCGCTAGCTACTAATTAGCTGGGCTACTCCTCGCAAGGTGTCAAGTGAGCAAGATTGGAGCCTTCCTCGCTACAATGCCTCGTCATAGAAACCCATACACTTGTTTACCGCTGCATGAGGAGCTTCATAGTGATTTCCACGTTCCGAATAGGAGACAAGCTCGGCATTTTGGACAACTAATAAACTCACGAGGCTATCCCAGACAGCGTTAACAAGGTGTACGCAGATTGGAAGTGTACCCACTGTCCCCGGTTTCTATTAGTACGTTGGAGCCCCACAGGCAGTGGCAGGAAAGTGTGCAGATACCTATGGCAAGGTACTGTATAATGGAGCAACACACAACAGGCAAGAACGATTCAGTAATAACAACGACGAAAGAAACTATACTCGGCCACCTCTCTCAAATGACAATGCTACATCGCAAGGCTTATCCTATCGTTAAACACCACATACCACCCCCTCATTGATTCATGCACTTCTAAAATGGCTTACCAAGGCTACGTCCAAAACTGGTGCGACGCATGCAAGACTACAAACTGCCCACTAAAATACCTCGCCTTCCACGACAAAGTGCTCTGCTCCGACTGTAAGTCTCCCCTACCTCCCCATCACAACTAATCCCAACTAACACGAGCCCTAGGCCGAAAAGGGCACATCTGCGACCTTGATCCCCCCTACGAGCACACCTTCTCCAAAACCCGCCTGCACGCCTTGGACCCGAACAGACGACTCAAATGGATGGCTCGTTTCGCCCGCCAGCTCTCCGCCGACACCGTGATGCACAATCTCGCAACCCCTGACGCGATCAATGCAGAGGGCTTTATCCGCCGCATCTGCCCCGCCGTTGTCAAACACGCACTTTGGATTGTCCTCTCGTCGGCTTTCAAAGCTATCGGACCAGGGTTCGCGGTCGAGGGCCAGACGAGTGCAGAATGGGTGCTCCGTCCGCGCGGAGGGAGAGCGCTGGTGAGGTTCACGGTGTCGTGAGTGCTTCGTGCCGAGCGGGAGCGTTGGATCAGGGTGTGTGTGTGTGTGTGTGTGTGTGTGGATGGCTGCTAATTAGGGATATGAAATCAGGAATTTCCCTCCCTGGCGCCAGCGCTCCGTTGGAGAAGGGATGCGTGGGTCGCTGCTGTCGTCCGGGCTCTTGGACTTGGATGCTTGGGAAGTGTTCTCTTCCACTTCGACGCAGGCAGATACAGAATGGAGTTACCACCCGTCGGCGGTGGACACTCCCTCCTCGGAGGATGAAGCGTTGGTACTTGAGCTGCAGGGGAAAATGAAGGCGGAGAAGTGGCAGGCGGATTGGAAAAAGGCAGTGGAAAGCGGAGAAAGGCCAGTGGTCGCGCACGGCTTGTCATTAGCCGACCAGTTGGAAATGTCTGGAACTGGGAGGAGCTTCACCGGCATGGATCGCTTTCTGTTCAACGTCTCTGAACGGCTGGATCTTTGGATATATGGAGGGTCGAAGACGCGGGTGTTCGGGGACCCGCCGTCCTATCCTTGAGGGTTATACAATGCCTCGTCATAGAAATCCGTACACTTGTTTACCGCTGTGTGAGGAGCTTCATAGCACTTTCAGCGTTCCAAATAAGAGACACTCGGTAGTTTAGACAACTAGTAAACTCGTGAGGCTAACCCAGACAGCGTCAACAGGCTGTACACAGATAGAAGTGTATCTGCTGCCTCTGGGTTCTACAAGGACGTTGGAGCCCCACAGACACGAACAGTAAAGTGTACGAATATCTACGGCAAGGCACTGTAAGAAGACACCGCCGTTTCAACGATGGCTTGGAGGATTAGAAAGGACTGAAGTTGGTGTAATTCGTTCGCTCTAGGCAAATCTATTTCAGTTCGAGTGTGATTAAGGGGGTCCCGAAACACCATAATATTAACTACCAACTCCAACAGCATTTGTAAGCTTCGCATTGTTACTCTCATGAACGAAAAACCCGCCTTAGATTGTCCCCCGCTCTGCATGAAATCCCCCTCTTTTAACGGTTCCCGCTGTCATATGCATATACCCCTAACACAAGCCCACTTAATTTTAGATCACCGTTCCATACCAAAAGCCAGCCGTGGAATATGAAATGGTAGTCTGAGCTAACACTGTCTGGGGTGGCCTGGGGAGCTGTCAGGTGTGTTAAACTTGTCGTTTTCGGATTGGAAAGAACATACCAGGGAGCCTAAAGCAGTGCTAGGAAAAGTGTACAGAGGTGCTAGGCCATAAGTCTGGGCACGCGGACTAATCACTTCTTGACTCCAATCTTGCTCACTCAACACCACTGTGAGGAGCAGCCCAGCTAGCAAGCAGCCAGGCAGTTGAGAGGCAGTCTAATTCGCACTACTTGAAACTTGACATCGCATGTAGGTTTTTGAAATTCCATAGGGTACCCCAAGCAGTGGTACACGCGTGTGCACAGACTTATGACCTGTCACGGTCGCATGCAAGAGTCAAACCAGTTTATAGGAGTGAGTGCGGTTAAAAGTTTCCTGTATTTGCGCCGTAGCGTTGAGATCGGTCGATCTATATATGGGTATCTAACGAAAGACAAGCTCGTCGTCGTTGGTGCCAACGACAAGACTCCTGAAATACCCTGTCTCGTTCTGTCTCTAGAGTCTAGAAGACTAGAATGAAGTCGCTACAAGCGAGAGAACCATGCATCAGACGCTGAACCCATCAGCGAGCACCTCAGCGCCATTCCCAACCCACCACATAATCGTCAAACTCCCCAAGCGAAGCGCCTACCCGTGCAAACGCCATAGCCAAAAGCCAAAAAGAGTTCAAGGGGCACCGCCACTCAGAAACACTCCATACCACTCCCCTCTCCACGCCCCCCTCAACGTCCCACAAACCTATTCCCCCTAATCTCACTCCCTCCCAAACTCCTCTTCTCCTCTCCCTCTCCCTCCCCCTCTCCCTCAACCCCCCTACTTCCCCTCACCGCCCCCACAATCTCCTCCCTCTCGCTCTCCTCGCCCCCCTCGCTCCGCCCTCCCCTCCACGGCAAGAAGCTCATTGTGCGTTCGTTCCAGCACAACCCCCCGCGGCTCGGCAGATGCCACCGCGCGATCCCCATGCACGCCGCGCTGAGCACCAGACACGCGCCGCTCCACATCTGCACGGTGATGTAGTCCCTATACCGCTGGACCAGCGCGCCCGCAATAACGGGCCCCGCGAGCGCCGGGACCGCGGCGCCGCTGTACATCATGCCGACCCACTGCCCGAGGCGCGCGTGGGGCCCAAACGCCACGTCGGTGTCGTCGTCGAGGGCGACTTGGCGGAGTTTCTCGAGCGCGTGGGGCGAGAGGGTGGTGGGGAGGGTGTTGAGGGCGGCGGTGTCGGAGTTGGGTATGAGGTGGAGGGAGGGCGCGCGCGAGGTGGAGACGCAGCGGGAGAGGCGCATGCGGGCGAAGCAGTTGGCGAGGATATTGGCGACGCCTGCGGGCGGCAGGCCGATGACGGCGCCGGAGAAGGCGCCGAAGAGGACGCAGAAGGCGATGGCGTGGGTGGTGGAGGCGGCGAAGGTCCAGAAGAAGAGGATGAGGAGGGCGCAGATGAGGGTCGTGGCGATGTGCATGTTTAGGGGGCCGAATCTGGAGGGGGGTGGGTAGTGTTAGCTTTCGGTGTGTTTGTGTTGGATGGAAGTACTGGATGCTTACTTGTCGCTAAGGAAGGCCATGATGAGACGTCCGCAGGTGCTGGATCCGTTCATGATGCTTAGGAGCCAGAAGGTCTGGATGGGATCTTCGTGGCCTGATGTCTTCGGCGGGCTCTGTGAATTTGCGGCACCGAGACCGTCACGGTAACCGAAGTTGCGAGTTGCTGCCCACTAAGGAGAGAGAACTGATGTTAACTTCGGAGTGTCTCTAGCGGATAAGGCTAAAGTTGACTGACCTCTTCCAAGTTAAAGAATACAGGGTAGAATCCACCGAAGAGGAACGCGATCGATATCATGTACCAGCAGAAGGCACTGTTCTTGAATGCCGCGGTATCAATCCATGTTCTCAGCTTCCGGTAGCTTTGTGGTCGTGGATGTTCGTGCTGTGGATCGGGAGTTGCGAAGATGAACGAGAAGAATCCCGTGCCAGCTGCGACTGCGGCTACGCATCTGACGGCGTTGTTAAACCCAAGGATGGCAGTGATGTATCGTATCATTACTGGGTAGACGACGCCAGCTAGACTCGACGTTATCCTCTGAAGTCCTCGCGAGGAGAGATATTGGGTTGAGGTATTAATCGAGAGTTGAGAAACTTACCAACACTCGCACCACAGGCTACAAACCCAACAGCCAGCCCTTTGCGGCGAGGGAACCAGGTAGCAGCAACTAAATATCTCATAGTCAGTGGCTATGGAACCATTGTTGCGATGCTTTGTAAATACCTTGAGAGCTAGTCACAAAGTAGCAAGCCATTCCTAGCCCAGTGGTGAGACCCTGAGTGAGCCAGATGAAAGCATAATTTCCTTTCGCACCCGTTTCGGCCGGTACCGCAATACTAAGCATCATCAAACCGAACGGCACGAGGAAAGCGCCCGTGCCGATGACCACGCGGAAGTGTCCAGCATCGAGCAACCTCCCCACGGGCGCGGAGAAGAGCAGGACCAAAAACGACTGCGTCGAACCGATCAGGTTGAGTGCCAGTTGACCACCGGCCTGGTCTTTCAGCGTGTGGCCCATGTAGTAGGAGGCGAAGGTTCCATAAGCGTTGACGAGGCCCCAGCTGTTGAACATGAGGAAGAAGCATCCGAGCCAGCAGAAGTAAGCTCGCCAACTTCGTGGCCAGTTGATCTCCATGCGAGCGTCGGCACACGTTTGGCTCGCTGCCTCGACAAAATCCATCGTAGCGGTCGTGCTCGACATTCGAAGGAAGATTTTCGTTTCGTGTTACGGCCTCGGTTTTGATGGTCAAATATGACGAATGGACTGCATCAAAGCTGTATAATAGCGCCAATAATGAAATATACCGTAATGCGAAGGGGTTTCAATGGAGATGAATGGGCCCTTGTAATAATGGCGATTTTGAAAGTAGACTTGAGGGATTTTGATCAAAGAATGAATCTTGGGCAGATTTTTGGATATGGCGGGGATATATAGCCACTAAAGTTAGTGGGGATCAGTTGGTATCTATAGAATTGGCGTGCTTCATGAGTTAGTGACGTTATGTGGGAAGATGATCAGGCTCATTCGTCACGGAGGAAACCCAAGAAGCGCCAAGACGAGAATCTAACCCACCCTCCGCTACGTTTCATTTTGTACGCCGTAGGGAGCAGATTAATACGAGAGCTGCCAAGCTAGCGGGGAGGTGCTGGTAGTCTGGCCAGAGATAAAAGTGTGGTCTACCAATGGAGTGCTGGCGGCCAGTCGCGGTACCACGGTTCCCCCCTTTCCAGAACAATCAACCACGACATTCCGTTGAGACTAGGTCCCATGAGGAGCATCAGAGAGTCAGATTGTCCCGAGGAGAACATTGACGTAACCGGAAAGGGGTTTGGGCTGGGGCTCCGCCTCTGCCTAGAGAGGCTCCAAGAGTTTTGTGCCCGATGGGTGATACAGATACGTTCGGCAAGGAGGCGTCGCCGCTGCGCATTAGCGGAGCGGGAGGGCCCGCAATCGCTTGGCAAGCTGGCGGAGTGTACGGCGAAGCGCAGCCGTGTGGAATTCTGTCGTCCGCTCGCTCAGCAGCTCCACCGCAAGCGGGTAGGAGGCTTCTTCCAATCCGCTGAGGATCGATGCAATCTCCCGTCTGTTTTCTGTTCACCCGCATCTATAGGCGTGTCTAGCTCTTATTTCTGGAGCAATCCGGAGCGATAGTGCGACGAAAAGTGTAGGCCTGATGGGATTTGTAATTTCTAGGCATGATACATGCAACTTGGCATGGGAACACACATATCAGGGTGCTAAAATGAACGCAGAGATATGTGGCAGACTAGGCAGGGAGACGAAAAGGAAAGATAACGGAGACTGCAAAAGCATTGAGTAGATATACTACCATGGAAGAAGCAATCCAAGGAAAATCATTGAGTTGTCGATTGCCTGAAAAGCTTGTCCCACGGCTGCCTCGTCACCCGGAGGGCTGAGCCTTTGAGCCAAGGGAAAGTACGTCACATTGAGATCTGCCATCTCAAAGACCCGTGGCAGCGGATGCAAGCGAGCTGAAGAATTGCGGTTCTGGAATCGGGTGGATTTGGCCACGCTCGGTACAGCCCCCTGACGCTGATGCATACAGGTGTTCCGGACCGACTTGGAAGCGTCGCCAAGATGCTGTACCAGGACGATACTCAGCGCCAAGTACAGACAGATGAACACGTCTCGGTATTGTGGTTGGAAATACGGACACGTTCCGGGGCTTCCTGACGGCAGGATTGCAACTCCATCTCTGGCTCCCCGGCGAACTCTAATTGATCTTTCCGAGATACGCCCGGACGATCTTCTGAGGCAATAAAGCCTTTCTTTGTCCGGTGCTCGCTTTCAAAGGCCAGGAGGGTCATCCATGGAGTTTTATCCAACAATCGTTTCGAACAATGATTCGTGAGGTCCACTCTAGTGAAGACCGATGACTAGCATCGAACAGTCGGAAGAAAACGTCACCATGCCTCGTGCAGGAAAATTCCACTCACTGTTATCTATCTTATCAGCAGGATTCCGGGGAAAGAGATGGGCATCCGATACCGGTGCCGGGTACATAGTCTTGCAGAACTCGATGACAACGTCGGAACAGTTCTTGCAGTCCAATATAGTTAATGCTTGTATAAACAACAGTCGTTGCAAACCACTTCGACATGTCTGAAGCATCCTATGTGTCAGCAGCCACATGTCCTAGGGGTCGACCAAATACTTCACGTACCACGTGCCTAGCTCTTCATCTGACTTCTAAGATGCAGGTTCCGGGCGCCAATGTGATGCTCCTATGGCCGCTCGGCTGTCTAGAATGCAATATGTTCGCCGAGAAGTCTGGAAACAACCTTGGACGCCGCGAGCGCTCTGGCGATAGTAACAGATCAGTCTCTTTACGAGCCTAGCGCCAAAAGAGAGTTGCGGCAGTGCTACAGCAGCAACCTATTACAGAGGTGCGGAGTCGGGTCAGCAAGATCAGCCCTGAGAGAAGCGTGAGGGCGAGGCGTGCATGTCGCGTGACCAGGTTGTTTTCCAGATTCTGTAGGCGATCTCGCCACATGGGAAGAGAATGAGGAAAACTTCTTCCAGGCTTCAGAGTCAGACGTGTACGAACGTGGCAAAGTGTAGTTGTCTATGTTTATGAGTTGTGAATTGAGTCAAAGGTATTAACTACTCCAGCTATTCAAGCCCCTGAGTAGTTGTCGCTCCATATACCGCAGCGAAAATATAGAAGGGCAATCCCTTCAAATAATCAGTATTAGACCCGCAAATCGGATTCTCCCAAAAGCATGTGAACGCCGGTTGCCGAAAACGCTTCAGATAATCAAGGGAAGCATTTCGCGCTGTGCTGCTAACCAAGCATGAGATCCTAGTTCCGATCCCGATTTTGGCCCCGTTATATCCCCTTGATAGCTACTGTCCGCTCCGAGTTGAGCTTGTCCGCGTTCCGCTCGTGGCTCTCTTTCTTGCAATCCTCGAGCCCCTCGCACTTGTGGTCCTCTAGCAGGCGGTGCTTCCCGCAGAAGTGGCCGGAGCAGAAGCCACAGTCGCCGACGATGCGCTGGGCCGCGTCCTTGCAGGTTTTGTAGCTGCACCGGATCTTCTTGGGCGGCATTCCGCCACGCAGAGGTAGGGCCAGGTGTAGTGTCGCTTCCCTCGCAATGCTGTAGTCGGCGAGGGTAGACTCGGAGTCGCAAAGGTGCTTGCCGGCGAAGACGAGGCGGAGGTCTGACGACGGGAGGTTGGTTCGCAGTGCGAGCAGCGAGCGGAGAGTGGATATAGAGGTGTTTGAAGGGACGGTGAGTGGTATTGCTGCTGCTGGTTAGCCGGATGAACGGAGCTGAGGCTGCTGGAGGGTACTCACTGTCGCCTGCAATGTTCTTGACGAAGATCTGCATTCTCTCTTCGGACTCGGCGAGGGACGAGGCCGACGAGATGGAGGAAATGCTGTTGGAGCGAGGCATGGCGGCGAGTAGAGGCGTGAGTGTGAGTGAGGGAGCGAGGCGTGCTGTGATGACGACAGGCGTGGTGGCGCTGTGAGCAGTGGTGGAGATAAGGCGAAGGCGGGCGCGAAGATGGCAGGGAGGTTGGTTCTATGAGGGATTGTAAGAGCGAAGGAGAGTGTGGCGCGAGGAGGTTGATAAAAGGCCGGTGGAGGGAAGTGAATCAGCAGAGCAGTGTGAAAGGGTGTTGTTAAGCAGGTGACGGGGCTTGGACAAGGCGGAGGGCCATATTACTCTGGACGGGCGATGCGGCGTCGGCGGCAAGCCCCAGCAGCTGCGAACTCAGCGCACGAGTCGGGATCGTGCATCTGGCCCTTCGACGGCTTTCCATGCCTGCAGCATGCCCGAGTCCCAGCCGAGCCGTCCGCCGTGCCTGTGAGGCTGGCCTGCCGCCGTGTGAATGGACGCCGCCGTGACTGACAGCCCGTGACCCAAGCCCAGCCGGGGCCGAGTCATCCACCAGCAGCCGAGTTCGCTCTCCTTCGCTGTCAAAAGTCGCCTCTGCTCGGTACCGTCCGTCGTGTCGCGCGGCGCCAGGTCTGGCCCTGCCCTGGTGGTGACACGTCGTGCGGTGCATCTGTTGAGCCCGCGGGGGGGCCTCCTTCTGTACACGTACTCTGCTCGCACTTGCCCACCCTCGAGCGCTACTCACCGACATTCTGGCTGAGCTGATATTACAACAGCTAGAGAGCGCGGGAATCGTGCCTTTGGCCTTACCGCCGTGCCCATGCTGCAGATTCCGTTGAGCATCGTGATGAAGAACGCCCAGACGTGATATGCAGCTCGCCGGCGGTTAGAACATTGGCACGTTTCTACACATCGAGATTGACTCTGAGTTTGAGACTTGCATCCAGAAAGAGCCCCTAATACATTCCCCGTCCTATATCCCCAGGTTGTCCTGTATTCCGAGGTTGTGATACAGTGTGGTAGGTTGGAATTTAACCTACATTTCCTATTTCGTCCCTTTTTTAGCTCAGTGAAACCCCCTGGACAGCTATAGATGCGGATGTTACATCGACAATTCTTCCTGTGCCTCCAAGTCTCCCCACAACTCGGCATGTTCCACACAACAGCTTCGGCTAGAGCATGCTCTTCGGGAACCCCTTCATGGCCTGTCTCACACCCAAATCTGCCAATATCTCTTCTGTACCACCGAGAATAGCGTCGAACTTATTGCCACGGTTGAACATCTCGATGACCTTGCCCATTCCAGTCTGGGTCAAACCTCGTCCTCCAAATATGTTAACCGCGTCGTCTGCGATTTCATGGGCTGAGCGCGTCGAGTACGACTTCAGCAATCCAATAGGGCCACCCAGCAGTTTCGCCTGCTGCGCATAGCTCATGTTGTTCATCTGATAAGCAATCTGCTCGAGCCAGGCCTGGTTGGCTTCCACGTGCGATATCATCCTCGCCAGCCTATATCCCGTCAGCCCTAGATAAATTGCGCGTAGAGTGACATTCGGGGTTTGCATTTCGGATTCTGCCGCTAGCTGGCTCCGTTTCCAGTCTCAATCTTTCGTGACTGTTTGGAAGAGGGAAAGCAATACAATGACTCACTTTTGCCTAATCACGGGCTGTTCGATGAGCTTCTTCCCGAAAACGATCCGCTGGTTGGACCACTTCAAGCACTCCTCTACTACCGTCCGAGATGCTCGAACCACGGCGCAGACCATCATGAACCGTTCATGGTTGAAGTTGCTCACTGCGTTGATCAGCAACCTGAGTACTTCGACTAATACGGCTTCTTCTCTTACTGATCACCCCGAACCCCTTATGCTCCTCTCCCAGTAGATTCTCCACCGGAACCTTCACGTTGTTGAACTCCACAAACGCCGTCCCCGCAGTCGTCGAATACGACGTCTTGATCAAGCTCGTCTCGACCCCCTCTCCTCTTGGAACCAGAATGACCGAAAACCCCTTCTCCGTCTTGCACCCCGTCACGAAATAATCACACCACATCCCATTCGTAATCCACTTCTTCGTTCCATTCACAACGTAAAACCTCCCATCCTCCGTCTTCCTTGCCGTCGTCCGCAACCCCGCCACATCGCTCCCCGCAAATGCCTCCGTAATCGCCAAACACACCTTCTTCCGCCCACTCAACACCTCCTCCGCGACCCGCTGCTTCACGCCCTCATCCCCCATCCACTGCAGTATCGCCGGGAGGCTAATAGCCATCCCCGCCATATTTCCATCCTGGAACCCCCGCGCGTTCACCCGATTGAACTCCTGCGCCTGGATCAGGTCGTGCAGGTAGTCGAACTCCTCCCCCTTCACGCCCCCCGGCAGCACCTTCCCGTGCAGGTGCTTCCCCGGCCCGAGCAGCATCCTCAGCATGTTTTCTGCGGCCATGCGGTCGACCAGCGCTTGGCTGATGTACTTCCCGTCGCTCTCGCGCGCCTGCGCTTCAGGGTAGACGTGTGTGTCCACGAATACCCGCAACGCCTTCTGCAGCCGCCGATGGCTGTCGTTGTAGTACGGGCTCTTGAACTCGGGCCGTAGCCACAGCGGCTCCGCATAGGGCACCGGGCACAGGTCGCCGGGCTGCGGGACGATGGCTTCGGGCGTCTCGCCGTCGAGCACGCCGATGCGGAGGTGCGCGTACTTTTGCAGGATGGCTTGCCGGTGCAGGTTGTAGAAGGCTTCGGTCGCGTCGGTGCCCGCGACTTGCTCGAGCACGACGGACCCGCCCGGGTGGGCGTCGGCGAAGTCGGTGAGGTCGTAGACGCGGTGGTCGATGATGCACCACAGGGAGTCGGGGGTGTTGTGGGACGCGACGGTGGCGCGGGTCAGGGTTTCGTGAGGCATTTCGGGCGGAAAGAACGGGGGAGGAAAACTGAAAGGCAAGGGAAAATGAAAGAAAAGAAGGAGTGGAAGAAGTTTTGGAACTAACTACATGGTGGAGCTCAATGGGACGTTAAGAGCTGTCGTGGTTCAGCGTAAGGTCAGCTTCGAGCTTTGTGATCGGCCGAGTGGCAGGTGCCGAGGTTCGTGGTGCACTATTTTGGAGACCCCGCGGCCGCATATCAGATCTGTAAATGCGACATGCCCTTGCTAGACTTGGTCTATTTGTGTATCTGAGTTAGTGTTATGCAGAATATATCTACAGGTTAGCTGTGGTGCGGATTGCTAGACGAAAACTTCAGCTTAACTGCATTGCTAGAAGTATAGCTTTTCGAGATCAATCTTCTTCATCTGTTTTGTATAAAACCTGCCGTTCACCACACACGTTTCTACCATGTTTAGATATTAGAGGATGAATATATGGTGATCGGATCATGTTGCATTGGTATCTGAACTACACAACCTCCGGTTTTGAATGAGCACAACCCTTTCTCCATCTCTCCATTCGCTATCCCATGTCACCCATCATGCTTACGCAGTGAAAGCAGACGGGAAAGCCGCCACGTTCTTCGCAATCGGTCCGTTGGTAGACAGAATCTTGATGTAGCAGCCGTCAGGCTTGATGGTGCCGGCCTTCTTGGCCTCGATGTATTCCTCGCGGCGCATGGAGGTGAAGCCCCAGTTCTTGGAGACGATGATCTTTTGGCGGCCGGGGAACTTGTACTGAGATCGGCGCATGGCCTCGAGAGCGTGGGCACGTTCTAAATTAGATTTATAATCAGCATTTATAAGCCAGTTTTGAGGCTATTGAGACATACGGGAATCCCTAGTTCGGACACTGAGGAGAATCTGTCCGATCTTGACACGGGCAACGAGACCCTGTGGCTTGCCGAAGGCACCACGCATACCGGTCTGAAGACGATCGGCACCAGCGCACGACAACTTGAGCATGTTAGATTTGCACTCGTCACTTAAAAGGGTGATATCTTTACCATCTTGTTGATGCGGACGACGTGGTAGGGGTGTGCCTGAACGCAATTAGCCTATGCCGTTTTTGAGTGGTTTCTGCTCGAAACATACCCTCACGCGTAGATGGAACGCATCTTTGCCACCGTTCTTGGTCAAGTACCTAAATCCACTGTATCAGCCAGAGTTTCCTTCCTCAGGTGCTTGGTATGTCCGTCGACGGTCGGGACAAAAGAGACTGGATTCAACGCACTTGTTAGCACTGCGACGAGTTAGCAAAAATTCATAAAGGCAACGTTTCATTGTCTTGAAGCTCCGCCTGGGATTGATTGAGCCTCCTGGGGGTATATTTACCAGATACGCGCGGCTTCGAGCGCCTCAGAGCTGAGCTGTTCCAACTCGTTGGAAACAAGATGGACGCAGAGCGGGAAGTCGTCCACGGAGGCACGCTTGCGGCCCAAGTCGAAGATGCGGATCTTGGGGTCGGGCACACCGCGGTTGAAGCGGGACTTGGGGTACGGCTTGTTCTTGCAGTAGCGGTAGCAGCGGGCAGGTCGGCGGGCCATTTTGAAGGTGTCGGGGTGAGGTTTCGACGGGTGGAGGAGGATGAAAGAAAGATGGCGACGGCGACGTCGGTGTTTTGTGCGATCCGCTGCTTATCAATTCAAATTGACGTTCGCCCCGGAAGTTGGCGTCTCGCTTAATCTCTCACGTGATGCGCCCTAATGCTCACCAACCACAACTTCTATACCGAGATTTGCAGTGAGAAAATGGCTAACCGGCTGTCGTATTCTGCAGGTCTCAGCAAGGTGAGTCACTGTTGCCACACGAAAGTGAGGGATATGGAGTCACGATATGCAGCAAGGGGTATGTAAGCATCACGCCAATCAACTCCTGCGCTAGTCTGTTACAGGCTCTCGAAGGGGAACTACGCGGGGTATATTGACTCCGAGCGTCTTCAGAGTCAAGATTGTACTCAGCAATTTGAACGATACTGCAAACAGAGAAAGACCTCGCTGAGCATGGACTCCTCCAAGCAATTTAAGCCGAATGCGCTGGAAGAAGCATTCAAAGATTTCCTGTTTGTAACTATCATACTTTCGTGGAACAGTCTTGTTCAACTGTAACCTTCTAGTATCCCGTCTCTCATGAAACCCATTTATAGTACAAACCATGCATCCGCCTAATGCCTGCATATGCTCTACTTTACAGACTTGCCAACCTGACTCGCATGCTTAGTACTCCGAACTGATGCGATCTTCAAGGCTATGGAAGCATGAGGATCAAACCGAGTCTCTGAGGCTCAGACTTCAACGTTTTTCATTTCACCTCACTCGAGGACATTCCCCATGGCCTTCCAGCCTCCTTCAGCCCATGGCGCCAATGAAACTGCTCTCTGAGCATCTCCTAAGGTTCCTATGCCTGAGAATGCCTCACTCAGCTCCACAGCACCGAGTGCTCCCAATGGTGGAACACTCTTCTCCGCCGTCTTGAGCGCCATCTGTGCCGGGAATATCTCTTCGCTGACCTCGGCCAGTTGCGCCCATCCAGTCACCTTCCCAGGTGCAAGCATGATACTATGTCTGGTCTCCCTCTCGGCGCCCTCGTCGCCGCCATTGATGAATGCAATAGCATCAAGGACCTCCTCGACGCGAATAAGCTGTAAGACACCTAGATTCGGCTTCATCCTTAACGAAGCCAGATCATCGCGAACTGCTTCCATCGTCTCAGTATCCTCGTCCAGCGCAGCCATGGCACCAAGCAGTGTGATTGAGCCAACGTGATTCGGATGCTTTGAGACGCTCTCGAAGAGCTGCTCGCGTGCAACCGACTTCTCCTCTTCGCCGCCCTTTGCCCAGAGGACCTCGGCAACAAGACACACTACGTCAGGCGAGCTTTGACTCTCTTCTAGTGCCGTACGGAAAGATGCTAGGGAGCTGTCCATGTCGTTGAGGTAGAAGTGACCAAGCCCAGAAGTAAGCCGAGCAGAAAGTCGAGTCTTGCGAAGTACCTCTGGGGTCATGGAGCAGGAGTCAGCGTCAGAAGTCAGATCTAATGCTGTCTCTGCGTCCTCTACAGCCTCGGAATAGTTGTGAGCGGCAAGCTTATTCCTCGCTAAGTCTGTCTTTGCGTGTGCATACCGAGAGAGCGAAGCTGGGGATTCTGATTCTTCGTATTCCTGTTCAGCTGTACCGCATAGAGAAGTCAGAGCCTCGATTGCGGCGTCGTGGTTGCCAACGCGTTCCATGAAAAGTGATGCAAGGTGTCGGTATGGCACATCATCAGGTCTCTGAAATGCGAGTTGATGGAGGGCGAAGAGGGGTTGTATTAGATTCGTAATGTTGCTCGAGGCAGACGGGGTGGAGATGAGATAGTCGAACGATGAAAGGGCATACTGTCGCTTCGAGACTAAGCTCGCAGAATCGGAAATCTCAAAGGCGTGGGTGAAGTGTGAGAGGGCCTCCGATGGATCACCGTAAAGGAGAGCAATGAGACCCTCTCCGAGCCAAGCGTGAGCGTAATCTGGATCTGTAGATTGCGCACGAGAAAACGCTTGATGAGCGAGCTCCAAGTCGTTTTGGATGAGGTAAAGGGTCCCTAGGTTCGTCCATGCGCGCACGCTGCGCTCGTTTAGATGGAGGCTGCGGACGAAGGAGTGCTGAGCTACTTTGGGATTCAATGGCGTCGTGATGACACCAAGAGCGTTCCAAAATTCGGAATTTCCTGCCTCAAGTTCAATAGCGCGCTTGAAACATTTCATGGCTGCTCTGAGCATTGTGGTGCCTGCCTTTCCTTGAGAAGAATCCTGGTTTTGTTCGAGGCAAACATGAGCGCGATGTTCCGTCCATCCCAGGTTATACCAGGCCACTGCTTGTGCATGTATGTCGTTTGCACAGCTATGTATAGCTCGCTTCTGAGAAAGAATTGATGCATGCAGGGATCGAGCGAGAACAGGGCTTGTTTGGTCGTCTGCAGACAAGAGACCAAGCTGGCCGGATCCAATGCCATCAGTCTCATGGAATAGGTCATAAATGCTGCTGTCGATATCAACCTTCAGCAGGCTCTCTATCTTCCGCAAAGGTATATCGCTTAGCCGCTCTTGAACCCAGGAAAATATAGCTGAAGCATCTCCAACGGCTTTCCATAAGTTGAAGGCTTGTGGCTTGTATTCGGACACAGATATAGCGACGCCGATTGCTCGTAGGGCGCTATCGGCGGCTGCCCCAAAGAAGCCAGTCTCAATATTCCTCCAAGCGCTTTCTACCAAAGTCTGAAGTAGCGCAATACAAACTCCAAATTCTTTAGGTCGTTCTTTCAGCACTAAATCGTACCCTCGAATGGCGTCGTCAAACTCTCCCAGTTCACGATGAACGTTCGCTAGCATGTACTTGGTAAACCAACTCTCGCCGGACTTCTTCATCTCAACTCCATCTGTGGGATTTTCCGCATAGTTGAACGTTCGCGAAGCTGAGTTATAGCGACCGGAGTTGTGATAGCTCTCTCCTAGTCCAACATAAGAGTGGTAATCATCTGGACTGATTCGGAGGGCTGACAAGAACGAGATGATGCTTTTCTGGTACTCTTGTTTGTTCATCTGAACAACACCCAAAGCAGAAAACGGCCAACTCACGCCCTTCTTCTTAGAACCAGGCGCCGGCCTAACTTTTCCAGAGCCGACCACCCGTTGCGCAATAACCTCGACAATGTCCCACTCTCCTTGATCTGCAAACGACCGGGCAAGTCGTTCGGCTGCGATTAATTCATAAGAGGAGAGTTCGAAGGCCTTTTGGAAACATTGCCGAGCCCTCTTTCGGTCCTTTTTGTAGTCCTCGTAGAAGATTCCGAGACTGGTATATGGAGGTGCAAAATTGGGATTGGCCTTTATGGAGGCAAGAAATCTCGCGTATGATCCTTGTCGATCCTTGCGAGCAGAGGCAGAAGAGTCTAGTTCCCAAAGGCAGATTCCGATTCGATACAATGTCTGCGCTCGGAGTTCTCTAGCGCGAGGCAGCTTCAAATCCATCTGGGGATACTCAAGGAACTCTTCGAGTTCACTCAGACCAGTAGTATAGTCTCCGTTGAGAGCTCGACACCAAGCCGCTTCCGCACCGATACGTACATTGCCCGGGTCATTCTCAAAGGCCTTATCAAGAAACGTAACTGCTTCGGCATACTCTTCTTCCTCTTCTAAGATCAGACCAAGTCCTATAAGAGCAGGAGTGAACTGTGGCTTTCGACGAAGGATCTCTTCGAATATATCTCTCGCCTCTGGATGGTTTTTTGGGGCCTGGTGGTGAATTAATGCTGTCGCGAGGGTGCTATTGAACGCATCTAGAATCTTCTGGAATTTGAGGCCCGACTTCTTGGTTTCGATTGCAACAAGTTTCAGTCCCCTACGGGTAGTCTCGACGGCGCTTTCATACTCTTCCAAGAACAGATAGTACTCGCTCATCAAACGGTGAGCCAGAACTGAGTCTTTGGCTTCGTCCACGCCATCCTTAGAATTCATCAGTCGAAGTTCCGCTCTGAAAAAGCGTCAGACTAACCGTCATGAGCACCAAACAATCTTCCGAAGTGAGGGGAACATCCTCCTCGTTTTCCTCGTCGTTCTCGAGGCTGACACCTCCTTCTGCAGTAGCACTAGTAGCTCTCAGAGGAAATTGAGAGGCGCCGCTACTCAGATAGCCCTTCAGGACCTTGGAAAGTCCATTGTCAGGGAAGAAAGTGATGAATTCGCGGACGACGCCAATATCAAAGTCTTGAAGATCTTGTGCACCGTCTAGGCCGAGGCCTATTTGATCTGTCATTCTGAAGGCGTATGATTACCTGGTACTTCCATGGACAGGGAGAAAGAGTAGGTGATTGTGTTGCCAGAAGAATTCCACAAGCGGCGTCGAAGGGAAGGGTGTTGTGGTGTTTGACGTAGGGCTGAAAAGTCGCTTGACCTCGTTCGTGCTAGCGGCAGATCGACGCCCTTGACATCAATCATTTCGAGCTTTCACATTCCATCGTCTCACTATTAACACTTGCTACGCATGAGTCGTTAATGCCTATAGCTTCTAGCTATCTCGTTCACTAGTAAAGATGCCCTACCCTCTCACTCCCGTACGTCCCAAACGGTGATTCATTCTAATTGCCAGAAAACCCCCACCATGGCCACCAAAGCCGGCCTCAAAGCCGCGAAGGCTGCCCTGGACGCCGGAAACTACCCCGAGGCTATATCCCAAGCCAACAAGGTCCTCAATCTGGACGCGCAGAACTACTTCGCGTAAGCTCGACTAGTTCCACCTGACCATCTAGATCTAACAGCAACTCAGGAAGCTGTTCCTAGGCCGTGCTCTCGACAAGTCTGGCAAAACGCAAGAAGCCGCAAAAGCCTACGAGACCGCGACACAGATCAAACCCGACGACCTTCAAGCATGGAGGGGATTGGAGGGCGTGTTAGAGAGCCAGGGTCCCGCTGGAGTGGACGAATACATACCCGTGGGGCTTCGCCTGGCTGAGATCTACGCCGCTGCGTACGTGCATGGCCCACAGTGTAGACTGTAGCCGAGAAAAGATCTAACAGGTTGCAGAGAAGACGCACACCGTGCCCAGAGTAGCATCGACAAGCTCGTCGACTTCGCCTGTAAGCACGGCACCAAGGCCCAATACGCCAAAGCGCTTGCGACGCAGCTTCCCACCAGCCCCGTCTATTCGTTCCTCGAAGGCCGCCTGCCGCACCCGTCCCTCACATACACGCGCCTGGCTGAGATCACGGAGACGTCGGAATCGGAGCTAATAAACCGGCTGATTGGCGAGCGCAAGACACGGCTCGGGGCGAGGATCGCAGAGGTGACCTCAGAGACGAGGCGGGAGGTCTACCAGAAGAGCGAGTTAGAGGCGTTATACCAGAACATCATCGACTGGACGAATGATGATGAGACGAGGAGGGGGTATGAAGAGAAGCTACTCCAACGTGCTTATGACCTGCTTGTCGTGTTGCCCATGCAGGAGAAGAAGGACAAAAGGGAGCAGGTCATGAAACTAGCGCATGACATGGTCATCATCAAGCATCCGTTCTTGTTGGCATGGCGAATCGAGTTTGAATGGAAGGATGGTTGAGGGCTCTGAGAACCAGTTGAGGCTCCCCTGAGGTGATTTTATCGTTCTGAACGACCGTGACGACGTTACGATATTCATGCATAATAGTTGCACGTTTTGGCTCAGCACACGGCGTTTCGTAGCTCTAACATTGTGGACCAGAAGCGATACTATTTTCAACCCAATTTTCTACGAGATCTCAAATCACACGCCTCGAATCATGTCTTTGAATACGTGATTGGTAGCTTGACGGACCTCTGCAGGTACTACTGAGATCGAGCTTTAGATGCAACGGCTTTAACGAGCTGAATCGGACCTTGGGTACTTTGTATCTTTGGTTACCACTCTCTTGCACTAAGCTCTAGATTAGCCGTCTGCGTATGAAGTTTTTGAGTACTTGATGCGCCCCTGATGGACCTCAGCAGATATCACTCAAAAATACTTTTAATGTCAAGCGTTGAACGAGCTAAATCAGACTACAAGGTGCCTATATCGTTTTTGACATCCTATTGCACCACACTCGAAACTAGACGCTTCATAGAATGATTTTGAGCGGGGCTAAACTTTTTGACGGACCTCTAGACGTACTGCTCAGCGCAAGATCTTAATGTCAACTCCTCAAGGCCCTGCTTCAGATGCAAAATCAGCCTATTAACTCCGACAGAAGCCCTAATGATACCAAATCTCCAATAAACCCAAAACCACACTGCCTACTTCTTCCCAGCCAGAATCCTCGCCTTCTCCTCCTTCGAGAAGATACTCTCACCCTGCTGCAGGGCATGCACAAGCATAGGCAAGCTCCGGTCTTGGAAATCGCTGGCCTGACGCACTTTGTCGAGGTCATCCGCGAGCTCGGTGGTCACTCTGCGGAGGTAGAAGGATTTGAAATCTTCGCTTGGTTCTTGGGGCTGTGGTGGCGGCTGCGGGAGGTGTTAGGATGATACAGAATTGGGAAAGAAATGGTATGTCTGGGATGCTGGTGGATTGAAGAATTTACGGGTAGAAATGGGATGTAACAGAATCTTGTTTGTACAGAACAGCCGTAAAAGAAGGGGCAAATACAGCATCATCGACTTCCTCTGAGTCTTCAGAGTCCTTTGAAGATTCGGGCGACTCCCTCTTCTGTATTTTTCGCGGGTTCTTCTTCTTAACGTCCTTCGTCGGCTGAGCCTTCCGCCACGTTAGAACCGGAAAACCCACTCCCGCCATCTTTTAAGGTGCAAAGACATACCTTGGCAGCCTTCACATCTTTCTCTGACTCACTACTACTCTCCGAATCTGACGACGAGGAGGATTCAGACGAGGAAACTGTTCAGCTTGAGCTTGGTACTTGGAGTCGATATGAAAAGGGTTGAGGAAGTGAAAAAGTCTTCTATTCAGGATGAGATTTACCTTCTGTCCGTTTCTTCCTCCGCCTCACACGTGAGGGTTTGCCGCTGTTAGCTGAAGCGGCTGGCATGTTGCTGGTGATCAAAAGGATGGATTGATGCTTGGGGATAGCTGCGAAGATAGGTCATGGCTTTCGGCCTGAAAAAATGTGTGGTCTGTGATTGGTCGATAATCGCAGGGGTCACGGTTATCGAGACATCAAACGGTGCCAGCATATTGCTAACTACTGATTGAATGGCTCACATTCCTGTACAGTACGTGGTCATAGATATCCGCACAATTCTCTAGCAACACTTATAGAGCCTCATAGTATTTTCAGGAATCTAGGGTAACGGATCACAGTTCTAATCCATTTACACTCCTCTGCCACCGCGTGAGGTGTCCTAACGAGTTTACCAGATATTCAAAAAGTAGAGCTTCCATCTGATTCCGAACTCTGAAAAAAACATGAGCCACCATAAGCGGTAGCAGAAAGGTGTGCAGATACTATGACGAGACACACTATGAAGTGTCACAACGTAACCCAGATTCATTTTAGTTGAGCCAACATATAGAATCTGATCAGAACAATTATTGGAGCTATCTCATGGCTACCAATTAGTCTCTATGAGAAGCCAACTCGGGCGAGAACCTCAATACAAGCAGTGAAACCCTTTGAGACTCCGTACCAGCCAGAAGTCAACTCCAAGACCCGCCTGCTCCGAAACATGCAAACCTAAAAGTACAGTCCACGCTCTACAGCCCTTGCTTCACCACCCTCAAGTGCTCTCGTCCAGAGTGACGTTCAGGCCACGAATTGGGACGTTGGCAGAAGCTTCATCCTTGGCCTTCCGCTCTGCCATCGCCTTGTTCCGCTCCGCCTGGGTCTGCTGCATCTCGGCCAGCCTGTCCACGGTCGCCTCAACTCCACTCTCAACATCGCCATTGAAGAGGACCTGGTATTCCTTCGCCGTAGCCTCTGCTAGCTGATTCTCAAGGAATTTCATTGCCTTGACGCGCAAATCTCCAACCGCTTTCTGGAACTTCTGATCATCTTCTTCTCTCTTGCGCTTTGCCAAACGGTCCTTTTCAGGGCGCTCAGCCTCCTCCGCCTTGCGCCTAGCAGCCAGCAAAGCCTCTCGTTTCTTCTTCGCGGCGAGATACCTAGCGGAGTGGCCCAGGGCTGCGCCCTCCTTTGGCGGAGTCTGAGGGTCAATCGGAGGCGCTGTGAAGAACAGAACGTGGCCTTGTTCATCGCAGTGGAATTGTTGACGGATTTCCAGGGGGATGTTCGCATTAGCGTGGTCATTCAGGTGGTAGACCTCGACGGGCTGCGGGGTCTTATAGCCGAGTGGCGGCGCTCTGACTGGGTTCTGTTGATATAGGCTCTGTGTCTGAGGCGTCGCGTACTGCGCCATGTGATGGGTCGGCTGAGGGGTTGCGAAAGGTAGGTGTGGGGTGATTGCCGCAAAGCTCGATGGTTGGGAGGCCGGCATATGCTGCATTGGAGGCACAGGTGAGGCGGAGTGCTGATTATACTGCTGCGTTTGCTGCGGCGTGTAGCTGGGCTGAATGTGTTGGGGTTGGGGGGTTGGCGCAGGGATGGGGGTTTGTCCCGAAGGCTGCCCCATGGCGTAGTCCATCCGCGATTCGTTGCTGTAGCCGTTGGTAGCTGGAGGCGGAATGCTTGATATTTGTCGTGGCGGAGGTGGCGGAGGTTGCGGAGGAGGCGTCGGAGTCGGCTCTGGTGGTGGGGACTCCTATTTGAGCCGTTAGCGTTGCAAACGGGGTGCAAACGGGGTGAGAAGCAAGTGAAAGACTCACCTTTGGATCACGGGGCCGCCTATGAACGGCTCCAATCTTCGGCGGTGCGTTCTCTGCGCCCCACTCGGGTTTTGGGAGATCATCGGTCTCCTTCTGATCGTCTTTGAGCAAGTACGCGATCGGGCTGGGCACCTTCTTGAGCTTGCGGGGAGCGTCGAACAAGTCCATAACATAGTCTTTGTCGCGGACCTCGTCGGGTAGACAGCTAGCCCAGGTCTTGATCTTGTTTAGTTTGTGCTTCTCCTCGTTGTAGCGAGCTTCGCAGACATAGATCTCCTTGTCGGCCGGGAAGTCACGAGGTCGGCCTTTGTTGTATCTGGTGAAAAACATAACGAAGCATCGGTCTACCACTTCATCGATCGGATGGTCGCGATACTGGCCCGTCTTCACTACTTCGTTCTCGAGGAAATGGCGATCAAATCGATGGATTGTCTGCTCGGGGCGATAGTACCAACACGCGTTGACCCACTTGCCGCCTTCAGCATCTTGCCAGGTTCGATAGATTTGGGCGACGATCGGTTTGGTAAGATCGTTAGCGTTTTGGATGTGAATCCAGTCACCTAGAAACGTCAGAATATATCACCACTATGGGTCGCATGATGATCTGCTTACCAACTTTCCATAGCTCGCCATTGTGTAGGATGCCGTTGGGCATAGGCAGACGACCCTCCTCCATGACGTACTCATTATCTGGTTTCTCCTTTTCTTGCTGAGCAATAACACGGGCCTCCTTCTGTAGGTGAACAGCATCTTTGTAGACTTGGCTATCGTCCTCGTTGTATTGTTTCGCATTTTCGAACATCAATTCCACGTCTTGCATGAACTGGTCCACAGAGTTGTACTTCTTCCGCTTGAGCTTGCGCTTCAAGAGGTCCATGGCCATCGGGGTCTTGATCTCCTGGTGATACTCTGGCATAGCAGCCTTGTCGGGAACGCGCTCGAAATGGCTGACCATGAGCTTGTTTAGTGAGTTCCTGGGCTTCCTAATACCCTTCATGATCGCCTTGATGCGGGCTTCCATAGGGGTATCAACGCGCGGGGGGCGGCCTCGTTTCTTCCTCGACTCAGGATCGTTTGCCTTCGCCGCCGGGTCTTCCTTAGCCTTTGCGCCTCCTTCCCGCTTCGCGATTGCTGCAGTTGACCGCACACCCCGCTTTCTCTTCCGCTTTCCATCGTCTTCAGAGTCTTCTCCCTCGCCCTCGCCTTCACCGTCTTCGTCGTCCTCCTCATCGTCCTCCTCATCCTCTTCCTCGTCTTCTTCTGCCACGGCCTGGTCCGGGTCGGGAATCTCGCCGATGTATGGGAGCGTCCCAACCTCCTCGGTGATGACCTTCTCGTCAACAAGCTTCTTGAGTTCCGATTCCAGCACACCCTTAACTTCTAGAGCATCTTGATAGGCCTGGGAGTTGGCCAGATTGTAGACCTGGGCGTTGTAGGGAACGAGAGCGCAGTCCCTCACAAAATCTTGAAAGCTCTTGTATTCCTTCGCGCCAATCTTCTGCTTGATGATGCTAAGCGCCATCGGTTCTTTGATCACATCGTAATAGTCCGGCACCGCTCGTTTGTTCACTTTGCGCTGGAAGATTTTGGAAGGGTCGTAGCCACTGCGTATGTATGTTAGCTCATGCGCCCAACAGCCCCTCTCTTCCCCACCAAACTAGGATATATTATCCGAACGTACTCTTCCATGCGATGCCCATATATGGCGTTCATCACGGTCGACATCCCCTTCCACTCGTCTTCGGTAACGATCGAGGATCCGCCATCGACCTGGTTGGTCTCCGTCGACGGAATCGGTGTGTCGCTCTCGGCGCGCTTGGCTGCCATGTCTGCTCTGAATGCCCCCGAATTAGTACTTATACCCCGCGAGTAGCAAAGCGACTGCGGCGTTGGGCGTTGGCTTGCGACGACCCGGGAAACGAAGCTGGGAACGCGCCAAGCATTGATCTTCCGCTAGCCCTCTATGGGACTAGTGCTGTATCCACTTCCGGCAACTCTTGGCAGGCAAAGGAGCTCAGGTGTTTTCGAGGTTCCGTTACCTTTTTGCATATAACTCCACATCCACAACCTGTATCACGGATTTGACGCCGAGACGGGATTCGCCTGGTCTAATCGTAATTTTGAAGAAGTTTTGGAGAATCACGTTCTCCGCGCCGTTGTCCTAGCGGTGGGTACCATGGCTCCACACTTTTTGTTACCGCCAAGCCGACGCGGAAGTGCACGTGCTGACAGCCCTATGGGAGGGTCTATCATTCGGCAGGGTCATGTACATTCACCGTCTTGTCGCCCGGAACTCCTCCTTCGCCTCCTCACTTCGTTTCAGCTTATAAAACTCGTACAACCTGGACAACAGCTCACCATACGTGGACCCCACAATCTCACTGCCCGACAACGCTTTCGTCCATTTCAACCCGCGTGTTTGTGCTGCACGACCACAGCCAGCGAAGCAGCCTCAGAAGGAACCGAGGATTACCACGACCGGTTTGCTGGAGAGCCTCACCTCTAGAATCGACTCGGCCTACCTCTGGCACGATCAACCATGCGCTTAAGGATACGAGCGCCTTCGGGCGTCTCTACAATCACACTCTCAGATGACGCCACTGTCTCCGATCTGCTCACCAGCATATCAGAAGCTTCCAGTCTCCCAGAGTTTGACCTTAAATGGGGGTTCCCGCCACAGTCTCTCGATCCCTCACTCTATGGTCTTCCGACTCTCCTTAAAGAGACTGATCTCGAACTCAACGGCGAGCAACTAATAGTGTTGGCACGAGAAAGCGAAGGGTTGGCGCAGGCTTCCACATCAGAGCCGTCCTCCCAAAGCACATCGAACACCCTCACTCCTCCCCCCATACCTACAAAATCGAAACCGAAGAACCAGATGGGGCCGTTATCCTTGAAGCGGCGGAAGAATGCGGCACTCGAAGATCCACCGGAAATACCACTGTCCTCCCACGGCGCCACTGTCGTGCTCCGCGTCATGCCGGATGACAACAGCTGTCTGTTCCGGGCCATCTCAAGCGCAGTGCTGAGCGATGAACTGGATGCTATGACGGAGCTGCGGTCAGTAGTTGCGCAGGCTATCCAGAGTGACCCGGAAAAGTACAACGCTGTCACACTCGAGCAAACACCCGACGAGTACTGCAAGTGGATACAGATGGAGTCTTCGTGGGGTGGATCAATCGAACTTACCATCCTTTCGGAGCAGCTCGGGGTGGAGATCTGCAGTATCGACGTTGAGAATTTGCATGTTTATCGATTCAACGAGGGGCAACCGAGGAGGTGTATTGTGGTGTACTCCGGGGTCCACTACGATACGATAGCAATCAGTCCATCGGATCCTCCGCATACGCATGCAGACTTGGGCGCCGAACTAGACCAGAAGGTCTTCGACGCTGATGCAGATGAGATCTTGGAAGCTGCAGTGGAGCTCTGCCGGAAGCTCCAAAAAGGAGGATACTATACAAATACCCAGAAGTTCTCAATCAAATGCAACCTGTGCGGATGGAGAGGGAAGGGTGAAAAAGAGGCGGTCAAGCATGCTACTGCGACTGGGCACAGTGACTTCGGCGAGGGTGATTGATGGAGCGAGAGACTGATTCTTCACTACGAAGACATGGATTAGAGTGCCGTGGATTACAGCGGGAGCGACACTATCACGTTTTTAGCATACACGGCATGGCATCTTGGGGGATGCGGTAATATACCCTTTCACTGGCATCTTATTTCTAACTGTTAATATTCGACATCACCCCTATGCAATTTCATCCAGATTTTCCACTTTGATCTTCCAATGCATCCGTCATTACTTATAGCCGTTAAAAGGTCTATTTTCTGTGTGAACCCCCAATGTCGAGTGAAGTTACAACGACCTAAGAACCCCCAAGTCTCCCATTTGACATTACACTTAGGCAATGTTTGGATTGGTCGCCCGTCTGCGCTTGCTTGTCTTCGGGAAAGCCCTCTGCCGGTCTGGGATCCCTCCTCCTTTCGATTCCGTGTGTCGCACGTCTAGCAGCCTTCGATCTGTGTGACTGTGGTGCCGTCGGAAGTGACACACATGCCATGGTTCTGGCGAGCGGCGACATCTACACGAATTAGCTTGAGGTTCTTCCAGGTAGATCGCTATTAATCTCACCATCAGTTGCAGGAACAGGAGCCGCAACAGCGAAGGTAGCCAAAGAGAGCACAGCAGCGATAATGGTGGTGAACTTCATATTTGCGGTTGAAGGCGTGTAATAACGAAACGAGATGGCTTGAATTGACTTTTTTGAGAGAATGTAAACGGTCGGCCGGCGACAAAGGAATGTGATGGTAAGAAAACAGAGTACAGCTTGAAAGCGAGGTGTGTAGTTGATGGGTTCATCGCCAAGTGGAAAGCATGATCTTTTGTATGATCCCCCGCCCGCCAAGCCATAGCATTGCCAGCCCCCTGGGACTCGAGACAGACATTGATGGAGAATTGAGACCGATGCGGTATCGAGGCGGCCCGTGAAACCGGATAGTTGACGTTCCAGCGGCGCATGAGGGCGGGTGGCTGAGGATCTGATGACGTTGGCCCCAGGCTGGCCTATGGAGTGCCTGACCTGGGCGCCGGGTTCTTGGGTGAGCTTGTCTTTTGGGGCTGTGGAGGGAGATCAGGAACCGGAGATGGATATCTGTGCCAAGAGGCGTGTCAGGCTGCTGATTGTGGCGTCGATTGGCGCCAGTGCGTGTAGCGCATGAGATCCGTTGAGGCACGCGCTCTCGGTCGTGTTGCAGATGTGAAGCTCTTCGGACTTGGTTGCATCTTAGCCTCTAAGCGCTCGCGAAGCGCCTTGGCGAAGCTCATAAATGTTTGTATAGAGAACCTTCTTGACTAGACGTAGTCAAGTCTGAACGTCTTTATGTGTGTTGATTGAGAAAAGCAGAAAATTTGGAAGACCTCGCCGATTGAAACGGTGGTCGAACAATGCTGAAACCATCCATTTTGGGAGCAATTTTCCCAAAACCTAGCCAATCAAAGATCACATCGGCAGACGATTGTACACCATTTATTACTCTTATCTTTGTCTTCTCCCGGATTGGCTATATAGCATTTCGCGCACTTGAATTGAGAGAATCTTGATGAGGTGTGGTTGCGGTCGGCGGCTAAACCACGTTTGGATGTAGGTGGCCTTGCTGCAAAATCTTGATCCAACTCCGAGTCTTCTGTCCTTCGATCAAGAGCCCCATACGTGACCTCCTTTCGTAGGGAACCATTATAGCTTGAAAGTTCATGCCTGGGTTGCTATCTTAACGCTTGCAACTTTCATTCTGAGAAACACTATAGTGCTTGAGAGCTCTTTAATCGGGTAGATGCGGACATGGTAAAGCCGATGTGTTGACCGTGTTACAAATTCGATGTCGCTAGAGTCTCAGGACTCTCAGGGTATTGCTTCTGATTGCTAGCCTCAAGGCTGAAAGGAAAAAAGGAATTAGAATTGTCGGTTCGTACCTGTATTCAAGCGTACGTCATATCTAGTTTTGATGGTTCTAATGACTGAGTAGCACGGATGGACTCTACTTCATTTACCCGCGGACACATCAGCCCCCCTTAGCCCCGCCCAGCTACCTGAAAGTGAAGAGAATCAATGATAGTCGTGAAACTTTCCTCAGCGATGGCCACTGTTTAATTTTAGTTTGCTTCGTTGGTGCTGTTTGACTTAGTATAACACCTCTTCTCAGAGGGAGTATGCATATAGGAAGGTTGCTTTAATCGGTTATTCACATACTTCAATGTGTGGCAGTTCATTTTCAAGATAAGGAGCAGTGTTGATTTGGAGTACATGCTGAACGTTTTCTTTCCCGCTACGAGAGATGTCTCATCACTACCCAGCCCAGCTGTCCCTTCCGTATCCACCTCTATTCCATCTCATCCATCCCCATCCCATGCTGTGATCTCCTAAGACTCCCGCACAGGACAGAAATTTCTTCTTCATACTCCCAAACAAGCTGAGCGGTATAATGAAAAAATGGGGTTGGTTGCTTTGTGCCGAAGCAGACGCGCAACCGGGCACCAGACCACGCAATGATCCATTGCACATGAGGCACCAGAGGGCGAGTCTGATGTGCGTGGTCCAAGCAAGGAATCGAACCTTGAATGTCGCCGTCTCAGCTGCCAGAAGGCAGAGAGGCGCGGCTGTCACGCTATTTCCCAGGGTAGACGCGGAACGTGCCACCAGCACAACCGATCGGCATCCTTTGACCAGAGGTGAGGAGCGCTGGAGATGTTTGCAGTGCTGGCAAGCGGTAGTGGTGATGGTGGTGATGACTTACGACGCCCATGAAGAGGAGAAGAAAGGAAGAGGGAGGCATGCGCAAGATATACTGTGCGCGCTGCCAAGTAAAGGGGTACCATGGGACCATGGGAGGCTATCGAAACATCCAGAACCGCCAAGCAGGACGTCTCGTTGCTGAAGATGCTATTGCGCTATGAAAAGTGCGTGATAAACTCTCAAAAGGCGTATGCCCTATAACAGTCACTGCATCTTGCTGATGCGTTCACAGCAACGGTGACCTTTTGCTAGCGATGACTCCGCAGTTTCAGGTTCTCGGTATCACTTGCAAGTCTTCTTTGCCGCTGCGTTGTAGGATCATAAACTATGAGGAACTGCTGCTTAGGCATTCGATATGTAGCTATCGTGGTGATGATCCTCATCGCCGTTGAGAAAATGTGAATGTAGGTCGCTTCGTTGACACGCTTGCAGGTGCTCGTGGCGGCTCTTGCCTTTCTTGTAAGCATCGGTCCACCACCTCTTCCTTCCTTCCACTCAACACCACCTTCATCTGCCTTAGGCACATCCTCTCTTTCTTTCGCTCTTCAGCGACGCCTAGAGTCTCACATACAGTCTTTCTCTCCTCCTTCACCCGCACTGAGATTCTGTCAACACGGCCTGGTGAGGTGTCGCAGCCATGACTGACATCAACACATGGCGGAAGAAGATTGCGCACCCAACTCGCTCAAAGACACCCGTAGCAGATGACGGGGACGACCGCCACAGCGACAATGGCTCCGAGCGCTCGACTTCACGGCTAAGACCTAGGCCGAAGCTGACAAGATACCTGTCCAACTACCTCGCCATCTCCGCCCCGCAAAAGTCCGACGAGTTGTTTTCGGACAACTTTTGGGACAACCTTGGACAGCCTGCAGACGTCGAGCCAAAAGTTGATCCCTACATGGTGGTACAGTCAATATCCACGATGCTCCTCAGGAATCCCAACAAGCCCCTCCCAGTGGCTCACAACAGCGGCCTCCTGCACCTTATCGAGAACTACAGAAACCTCCGCGAAGAGAAGGAGAAATTGGACGAGCTTCTGAAGGAGACACTTGATGGCTTCAAGGAGGCAGAAGAGCGATGGGCTACCGAAGAGCATAACTTCCGAAGCGAGATCAGACGGCTAGAGTTGATAATCGCAAGAGGCAAACAAGGAATGACTGAGCTAATGAGGGCGCGACAAGGCAGCGTGATCCATCGAAAGCGCAAGGTCCATAAGACACAGTCTGAGGAGCAGCTCGAAACAGCGTACGAGTTCTTGTGGAGAGACCAGGTTAATCAAGACTTCTTGAGGGAGGGTCAACGAGGTAACAATCATAGCATTCCGAGTTCTTTCTGCGGCATACTGACAGAATATTATCTAGTGGTTCTGCGCTCAAAGTCCCCATCAAACCAGATGAAAGCATTATCCAGGACGCTGTCCCATATGAACGTTCACGATGACCTACCTGTTGGCACTCCCCCGGATAAACGACACAAGCACTCGCTATCATATTGGACCAAGAGTAACGAAGTAGCTCCGTCACACGGTGAGAGCATGTTGCCATCTCAAGGCGGAGGTGCGCTTAAAACTAGTCAATCCGATGATCCCTCGGACACCTACTCCACTTTCAGTTCTGCCGGAGATGCCTTACCAGATGAAGAAGGGGCAACAACAAATACGATACTAGATGCAAGGGCTGAAGGGGAAGACTTCGTTGCGTTACGAGACCTCGTCATTCAACTTGCTCGTCGGCGCGGCATATGCATAGAGACGATGCTCCCGCGGCTTGTGGATATTTTCGAAGGTAAAGACGATACGATGTTAAAACAACAGTTCTCCGAAGCGTCCTCAAAACCGAGACAAGATACTGACAGTGGAGATTGGGGCCTTGAGCGTCGACCGAGACACTCTCAATCGCAGCCTCAGCTAAGCTCCGATCGCCACCCTCGCCGACATTTCTCCTTTGACCCTGGAGATGATATGACCATATCTGCAATGGATCAAGTCGCAGCCGAGTTTGCGAACCCCGGAAGCAATGTGCAGGCCTCATCGTACTCTCAAGCTCAGAAGTTGAGCTCCCAGGCGCCTCTAGCTGTCGACACTATCACCAGTCCTGAGACTCGAAAACCGTCCATGATACCAACTCCTCTCCAAGAGCATCCCTTAGCGCGAGTGCGACGAGAAGACTCGCCGTCTAGCATTCTGACGTCGGTTTATGAAGACTCACTGACGCGGAGAGACTCCGCGAGCTCGGTCAACAGCTCTGCGACAGCTCTTCGACACGGTTCCTCGATCAAAAGCAGCAGGCGTTTCTCAGTCGGGCCGGGTAGTTCTACAAGTGTGGGGGCTAGGTCTGGGACCCCGAGATCAATCGAGCATACGGCCAATGCCAGAAACAGTTTCGCCTTGGCAGCTGCAAGAGCTGCAGGAGGCGGTTCCGGTCAGAGCTCTGGCACCGAAAGCAGTGTCACGACTAAGAGCAGATACAAGCAACACTCGAACACTGGTTCGAGGAATAGTAGCTCGTCCCATCTTCCCACGCAGAAAAACCTTCATGGCAATCAACCCCAGGACGGATGTCTTGGCTGCTAGGGAGCAGGGAGTTTTGGAAATTGATCGGACCTTAAGGATTGAGGATACGCGGACAAGATCGAATCCATAGTCTCATCACGGTGTATAGGCTATACTGGGACTGCGACAGGAACTGTAATCGGGGAGGCGTATCGGAAGACCCTGCATACCTAGGTATATCATGCCGGTGGAGCATGTCACTGGAAGCAGACTGGTTCGCTTGACTTATCCCGTATTTCAGACGCGGTATTATGCTGTAGACTAAACCCAAACAGGAACACACTTGATATCAACATCTGCGTGCGCCAGTGCGAGACCGCTCGGGGCAGCAGACGGCGGGTTTTCTTCACAGCTGATGTTTGCGATTGAATTCTGACCAGCCCCACGTTACAGTATCCCCGTCGAGCTTCCTTCCCCCCACATGTCGTATGCAGAGATCAGACATTTGGCTTTAGCGGTGAAAAATAAACCAATGTTGTGGTCGTCGGAGCAGACTCCGCACTCCGGTTCACGCTTTGGGATAACTCTGGACGTATTTGTGGACCCCTCGCTAGGGGCGCAATGTCAAGAAAAGATCATGTCATGTCCCACCAGCATTTGTGAATTGCAGGCTGATCACCAGGTGCATGATCGCTCACAGCTCTCGGGTGCACGCCGACGACGCCTCAGCTTGCCGGTTCAACCGACGACGTTCTGAAATTCGAAATGTGGGCTCGCAATTAAACGCTCATTATACACATCTCATCTGAAACAAGGCCAGCAGGCGAGGCAGACAGTTTAACGCACTCGATGGATCGCTAGCAGGGTAAACGGGCACACATTTCAAACCAGTCATGGATTTCTCATATGCTCGCTTTTGGTCGACACTGACCATATGGCAAGGATAGGGCGTTATAAACTAGGTACACTCAGAAAAGGGACTCCGGGCCGTTTTTTGTGCTGGTCCCCGATGCGGACTTGCCGTGACAACTGACAGTGCACTCCCTCGGCCGGCAACAGGGGCCAGCAGAGGACACTAGGACACATGGTGGAAAAACATATGCGTAAACCTTACGACGTTCCTACTCGGAGTCGACCCGCAGCGAGTGGTGGCAGATGAGCCCAACTCCCCCTTGCTGCTGGCAGAGGCAAAGCACTCGGTCGTACAGGAGATGCTCCCTACTTGGAGGTGAGTCTCTCCGACGCGCCTAAGCAGCGCCGTCACGCAACATGGCATGATGTCTTCGCGCTCGAGTCTTGACTCTCGACGACACCAAACGCCAGTGCAACGGCGGCACCGCGCCCTGCAGGTCTACGCGGCGCCACAGCTGGCTCTCGACCGGCGTCTGTGCCACACGCCATGGCGAGCCACAGATCGACAAGTCCACGTACGCACCGCCACGTCTAGACCGCATTGGGGCCATGCTCATTCGCGGGGTGAACATCCTTTGTGGCTCACCCGGCCTGTGCCACAGCGACGACGTCGGCCTCAGCTGCTGGCGTGATGATGTGCAACGCAGGCCAGCAGCCGATTCGCGAGGGCCCAGCAGAGGGAGCACGCATCGCGGCGGACGTCGCAGCGGCGCAGGCGATCGGCGCACCTCGAAGGGCCCAAAGATGACAGCTCCAGCTCCACGCACAACGAGCAGCCGGGACAGCGACGGGCTGCGTGGGAAGTGCCATGACCGTTGTTCCGGCCACACGCCTCTGACTTGGCAGGCATCGCCGGGCGCTCCACATCTCCCAATGGCCGAGGCCGACGTCAAAGAAGAAGCGCTGCACGAGGCAGCATGACGAGGCGGCTCTTCCCTCTGCTTGAGGCCCATGGCCGTCCCTCGGCGCGACAACGGGCGCGTACGGTTCGGGCAAGCGGCCGTCCTTCATTTCGGCTCAGACGGTGGCGGGTTTTCTAGAAATAAAGAGAGCCTCCGCAACGGGCCAGGACGGCGCGCAAGCGACGCAATTAGCTCGCGCTCCAGCCACAGGATTGGCCGCCGGAGCCGTTTGGCGGGCGGATCGCGGGCAGCATCCTCGTCGTCCATCCGTCGCTCGCAGGCAGGGGCCGGCTGGGACTGAAGGGCGAGGCGGGCCACTGGCTGGCCGTGCGAGGCGGCAGAACGGGGCAGCATGGGCAGCATGGGCCGCCTGGGCCTCATGGGAGATGACAATGGCGAAATGAGATGGGAGTGTGGCAGATGAGCGGGATTGCGATGGGGAAGTCCGTGGAGCGCGCAAGCCCCGCCGTCCAGCGCGTTTCAAAGGACCTTATTACCGGTGGCGTCGGCAGCACTGGCGCAGCCACAGGCCCTCGCACCAGGCCGCCCGTCGCGAGAAACCGCGGCTGGGAGTCCGCGTGTCTGCAAAAGCTGGTGCATGGTGCTCCCCGGCGCGCGGCGACCTAGGCATCTGCACCCGCCGCTGCAGCAGCCAAAGCGGCAGCAAGCGGCGCGACTCGCCCCGGGATGCTGGGGGGCTGCATCTGCCACAGTCGTAAGTGATGCGACACGGCTGCCCATCGCGCCCCTTCAGGCCGAGTGATGTCGCCGGCCCTGACGGCCTGCACGCTTCTGGAGCGAGACGTAGGGAGACGTAGGGTTGTGGCTGTGCTGCCGCCAACCCTGACAGCCTACATTACCTACTGGAGCTGTCGATGGGGTGCTGGCGGCCACACGGCAGACCTCACGCTCCGGAGTGTCTCCCTAGCCTTCGCAAGCTCTCTTCGACCTGCAGCAACGAACTCACAGCGCCCGCGTGTCCAAGCGCTGCCAGCCCACCCCGACAAGCGCTGCCCGATAGCAGACTGACTCTCTTATGTATGCGCCCGCTGCTCCTGTGGCTTGACCTCTCCATGCGCCATACCCAGCTCCCCAATTCCATGTTTCACACCTCCACCCGTCTGGAGCCTCCCACCGACCTCACTTCTCTCGATGCCCACGGCTGCGCAGAAGAGCGACTTGCACCCACCAGCGATGTTTCGTAACCGGTACGTCCTCTGCGAGCAGCACTGCGCGCCACTGTCTACTTGACCGCGCGCCTGCTATGCCCGCTATATCGATCCGTGCCGTAGACTGACAGAGCGCGCAGGACCAATTCGCAGAAGCCTAACGACGAGCTTCTGGCGACCTTCAGGGCCGCATTTCCCCATGTCGCGCAGACAACTCGCCCGTCCGCCCCCAGCACTGGGACAGGGCCGACTCTCACCGACGCGCTCGATGTAGCGATGCATTCTCGGTATGTAGTCTCATAAGATGTGCTCCTCCTTTGCGCTGTCTTGGCGCGAGCATCGTCTTACACCTCCCTGAGCCTCGCTTTGAACGCAACCCCACCACCACAGAATTCCTGACGCCCCAAATAACTGTCTACAAATGCTGTATACAAATACTGATATTCCGCGTCTATGTAGCAATTTTCCCGATCATGAAGACATCAAGGACCAGGACCCCACACCCCGAGCGTCCAACGAGCCATGGCGCTTCACTCCGTCGCTGCTCGACCCCAACAGCTTCGCATTTGCGTCCTTCGCAAACCAGCCTCCTGGCTACTACACGCCCACTCCTGGCGGCACTAACACGCTGTATCATAGCCAGGCTGGTGACCTCCACACCCCGGGCTTCAGTTTCGGCCTGGGCACGCCTCTGTCACTTCCAAATTCAGAGCCTAGCAGCACCCTCCACGCTCCAGCTACGCAAACCATGCATGGATTTCACCCTCACATTCTCAGCTCACATCAATTCCAAAACCCCAACCCTTTCGCGCTCCAGCAACCGCAACACGGCGCATACGCACCTCATCAGTTCTCGCACCATCACTCGGCCTTTGATTCGATGGGCCAATCTCACGACGATCCATCTATGGATAACGTGGCACCAGACGTAGAGATGCATGAATCACCCGTCATGTCCTTTCCGACCTCGACTTTCAGCGAGAATATTCGCCCGGCTGTGACCCAGCAACCACAAGAGAAGTGAGTGAATGTTGCCAGCTCTCTGGATCATTTCTCCAGATTTGTTTTTGCTAACAGCACGCAGTTTCCGCTATCACGTTACTCTCAATGCACCTACTGCCATGATCAAGAGTTCGGATGAAATTCCGGTGACCTACCTTAACAAAGGTCAGGCGTACTCGGTGTCAGTAGTGGACACGGCGCCAGTGCATGCGTCGGCCACACCGATCAAGTATAGAACGTTTATCCGTATCTCCTTCGAAGATGAGCAGCAGCGACAGCGCCCAGCGGCTTGCTGGCAACTTTGGAAGGAAGGTAGAGGAACTACCGAAGCCCATCAACGACAGGGCCGTCTCCAAGCCGTAGAGTTCGTCGATCCCAGCCAAATTAGTGGAGTTGATGCACATAGTCGTCCAAGATTTGAATTGGAGTCAGCTTCATTCGATGGATTCGCAGTCACTTGGACGCCCCTCCCGAACTCCTCGCCCGAATGCTCCATTGCCATGCGATTCAACTTTCTTTCGACGGATTTCAGCCACTCCAAGGGTGTCAAGGGCATACCAGTGCGGCTCTGCGCCAAAACCGAGCTTCTGAACAGTCTGCCGGGATCTCCTCCCGAGGCATCACAGCCGGAGTTGTGCTATTGCAAAGTCAAGCTTTTCCGCGATCATGGGGCTGAGCGAAAGCTCTCCAACGATGTTGCGCATGTCAAGAAGACTATTGATAAGCTCAAGCAGCAGATTGCGCAGGCAGAAACCGGCATGAGAGACTTTGGTAAAAGGAAGCGCAGTGGCTCGATCTCGAAGGCAAGCGGGCCTCAAAGGCCAGGCAAGGTTCCCAAACACAAGAGGACGTGGTCGATGTCGTCCGCAAGCTCAACGGGCAACCGAGCCCCCGCCGAGGAGGACCTGCACTCGAAATTGGCTACACTTCAGGACATGTTCAGCTCAACGAGACCCGCAAGCGTCATGTACCTCAGAGGGGAGGAACTGGACGATCCCGACGTACATCCGGTTGCACTCGTGGGGGAACCTCAGGATCTCACAAAGATTGACACCACTGTCGACACTACCATGTGGGAGAGGCAAAGCACGAACACAGCCAACACCTCATCAATAGTATCTCCGACACCCAGCTCGCTATCTATCGGCTCTGGAGAGCGAAGAAGCTCCGCTTTCCAACAACCGACGCCTTTCAACCCACCGTCCAGGATATCATCGAACGAGTGGCGAAGCATGCCCCAGACCGCAACAGGAGACCTTCAAGCCATTGCTGGCCCACAAACCATTAGCGCACCTGATATTCCTGTGAAAGTACAAAAGGCGCAGGGCGACGATCATACTCTTTCGGGATGGATTGAAGCCTTGGGCGTCGATTACTCTTATCAGCCGCCACCAGAGCGGCTCCTCAAGCCTCGTAAGTTGACCTAATTTCAGAATGCCGAGTGCTCGCTACTAACGTCGCACAGAGGGATGTTTGTATGTACAGCCAAGAATAGCTGGAAAAGCGCCCGAGGACAACTATTTCAGGGCTGTATACCTCATGCAGCGGACGCTCAAGGACCTCGTGTCAGGGATCGCCGCTAAGATCGACATCGAGCCTACCAAGGTCATCCGGACCGTGCGAATCACCCAGAAAGGGCTCCAGATACTCTTCGATGACGAAGCCGTGCGCGAACTCCCAGAAGGCCAAGATATGACTGCCGAATTTACAGAAATCACACCACAATCACCGACAAAACGAGAATGGGATGCCGGACCCACTGATATCCAAGTGGATGGCGACGTGGGCGCGATTGAGAACGTCAACTCTGCAGGCTATGAGCTCAGACTTCTCTACTAGGGTCGGAACCTCCAAGCCGTTGAGGCTCCGAAATCCGCCTTGTAACGACAATAACGACAATGTACTATTCGTACACACAAAGCACTGGACCACGCGCTTTAGGGAACGGTTCAAGACACCGCGGCGTTTTTTTGCTATTTTCAAGTTGAAAGATACCACAAAGCTCAAGCTATGGGCCAGCTTCTTTATTCTGTTTTACGATACCCATTCACATTCTGTTTAAATATTACCACGTACACGCCTGAAATTTGAACAACCAAAAGAGGAGAGACTGGGCTGAGGTCTGTATGTCCTCAGTCAGATTAGGGCAGGCACACACACAGTCATTATGGTTTCACAGACTTTACCATAGGTTTTTGTCTACTTGGCTAATATTTATGCTTTCATTTTACTTTACTGCTTCCTACTTAATTCAACCCTGCAACCATTTCGTTCGCATTACGCACGAGTACTTTAAGCCTACTGTGTAATTTTTTTTATTTGGTCCACCTACAATGTTGGAGTATGGGAAAGTCCCTGCTTCTTTCTTCAAGCCTCGGTCATCACGGGGCGGACTTTTACGGGGTTTCTTGGAAGGGAGGGCGGCGACGCGCCAATTGAAATACTACACATTGCATGTATCAAGTCCGCTGGACGACAGGCCTTTCGTTTGTTGTCAGAGGCTTTACGGCGAAAGAAAGGGGTTTCGGTTTTGCTACAAGAACAGCCGACCGATAGCTCTCTTTCCTCAACCGGCTCCTCTATCTCACACCTTAGTTACCGAGAGCCCCCTTTTCCCGGGCCCCTCGATTCTCCGACTCCTACTGTGTTCTCAGAAGGCTTTCTTGGCTTCAAGACTTGCCGTCACTGTACTTGTGCGCCAATATCGCAGTAGAACCAATCAAAGCACCGTTGCTACCCCCGGCAGCAACTGCAACCTCCTGCAGCATGTCAGGACCGTTTCATATGCCAATTTGCTTGGCTCAATGATTTGACCGTCTTGGGCCTTTGACTTGGAGTGTGCCCTGACGCCTTACGCGTCCTTCTACACCGTTCAGCCCTGTGTTCCCGTGAACAGCAACGTCTCCGCGACCGTCGCTCGCTTCGAGAACAGCACATCTAGCGCCATGAACGTGCCACACCATCTCCATCCTCGGTACCTAGCACGGCGCAACGAGTGGCTAGGGAGCGCGCGCTTCTCCCACCGTTGGCGACCTCGTCCCGCCCGTCCCCTCCGCTCTCACTTTCGCGCAAGCAAGCCCCCAACGGCCGCTCCGCGTATCACACCACGCTGCTGGGGCGGAAAATTGCGCCGAGTCCACACCGCCGGTCGCTTGGGCCCTACGGACATATTCGTGATGGGAGCAAAGGATTGTGCAGGCAGGACAAAGGAGTCAGGAGACTACAACTCGCACCGGCGTCGCAAGGCCTGGACCGACGACGTCAGTTTTCTAAAGATAACAGTACCGCTCGGCTCGCGGCGGCTGATCTTGGGGGGTGGAGGAGGAGGAGATCTGCGCGATCTGCGTTGCGCGCGTGCTGGATGCTATGGATGTGGACTACGCCACAGGTGTTTTCGCCACAGCTAACGTTACGCGTTTCCTAAGACCCGGGGCTCGCGAAGGGGTCGCGAAGGAATGAGTGGAGTGGCGGGGCGCCTCGACTTGACTCGGTGCTGCCAGCGCAGCGCAGATCTCTGCGAGGCTGGTCTCGTGACGGGATGCGCATTTGGGTGTATCAACGACAAGATTGGTTGGAGTCGATATGCGGTCGCCACAGTCCACAGTACCTCTCCTCACCGCTAGCTGGAATTGAGGTTGCGGGATGGAGGGGTTCGCCCGGGTCGGTGGGATTGGGTGCTGCCCCTGGCGACGCGACCACGATGTCCATGTCTCGGCCCAGACAGAGAGGTACGTGTGGGTTTTCGCCACTGCGCATGGCTGTATGCTCTCACCGATTTCTCGAAGGAGGAAAGGATTGAAGGCAAGGCCACGGATGACGCGGAAAGTTGAACTTCCTTTCCCTTTGCCGCGTTGCTCCGTCCAGAGTCACAGTTTAATTATTGGGCTTCTCCGGCCGACGGAGCGAGGCGCTTCCAACCAGAACCCATGGGACAGTCGCGGTGCAACGATCTGCACCCTGTACCTTGGGAGCGGGGAAGACCCCTCTGCCTTTCCCACGCAATGCACTGCCACAAAGGGTCTATCGGCTTTCTAGACCGTGGGAGGTGCAGATTCCGGCGGCCCCATCAAAGTCGCCTCTACCCACGATCGACAGACAGGAGTGCCCGACTGGGACTTTGACTTGGAGGCACCGCGGTGGATGCGAGTTAGGCAACGTTACCATGGATGGAATAGAAGGGCTTCGGGGATAGGTCTTGTTCAGGAAGGACTGTGGCGGCGCGATGGATGGGAGAGAGAGGGTATGACGTGGGACGACGCTGGAGGACAGCGACAGCCGGCGGAAAGACGCCAGAGATGCGGATACCCTGCATGATGTTTGCTTTTAGAGCCGGACAGATTCCGAGGCTGGGTCGGATGCGCGGGTGAGGTGCGCATCCGCCGCGCGTGGTGATTGGGGTGTTGTTGAAGTCTTTCACCAATGTCACGTGATGGGAGATTGCGTGAAGGAGGGCTCACTCGATGAATAGCGTGTCATGAGAGAAATAGTTATGCTATTCGTATCAAAGAAGAATTCTTAGCATTCTATCATGCTTTGGATTCATGAGTGAGGCGTAGTTGGTTTATAAGTCACGTGATCTGAGGACGAGCTCCTGAGGCCCCTGCCCAAAGCTCGCTATGCTACTCACCGACCTCACGGCTGCTCCACAGCTCTTGGAACTCTGACTGATGACGAGAGGCTCGCTACCGGCGTTCAATTGAGCCTCAAGGTCTCCAACCTTTTCGCCGACTACCAAGAACCCTTCGACTCTGTCACCCTCATCTGCAGACAACGTGGCAGATGTCTCGTCAAGGCTCTCCATGTCTCGCCAGCACACCATCCGGAAAAGAGGCCCGGATGCTCTCTTCTTGCCTGCCGCCACCCAATCCAGCAGCACCCCATGCCGCCCCTCCAATCCGCGCTCCAGGCACTCCACCATCTCGCTCAACCCACCGCTTCTCGCGCGTGCTAAGGCTGGGGAGGACGAAGCACGCAGGAAAGACCCCACAGCGATGAACCGCAGAACCCACAAGCCCCCCTTAACGACTCCACACTGCCATCGCAATCGCACCCCTGTCCATCGGCAACTGCGTGTCTTCCCGTGCTGGCTGACGCGCTTGTCGACAATCCCCGTGCTTGCTCACAAGTCCGAGCTGAGACCCAGACCCCGCACCCACCCCGTGGGATACGGAGGGAGGGAGGACAAAACAGCCAACGCATCCACGTCAGCATCGTGGGGAGGACCAGCAAAACCCCTCCGCATCAAACTCGTCCTTGACCGCTCATGCCAGCTCAGCTCACCCGGCGGCTCTGGCCTCGCTTCCGGTGCGTGGTCGCCCGCCTGGGTGTGCCCTGGTGCAGTGCTTACGCGACCCACCCCTAGGCGACCGACCCTCAGCATGCTCAGCATGCAGGAGCGATTCGGGTTTGGTCGGGGCGTGGGACGGTTTCCGCGCCACGGCTGCTGGTGTGCATGAGACGAGTTCCGCGAGGGGGCGTGCCATGTCCGGGTTGTCCAATCCAGCGACGCCGGGTGCATTCTGCTGCATACCGCTTTGGCTGGGTGGCGGGCTGAGACCGGGCAGTGCTCCGGGATGCGGAGGTGGTGCGAGCGGCGAGGGAGGCGGGAGATGTGGGTGTGGGGGCGATGGTTTGGAAGCGGCGTGTTGTGCAGGTGGTGGAGCTGGCTGTGAAAAATTGGTTTTCCGAGGTTGGGTTCGAAAAGTGTTTTTTTTTCGTGATTGAGTTACTCGTATCCGTATTCAGTAGCTAGATTCAGCTAGGTTAGCAGCGATTGGATGGTGAGAGGTGGCGAGAGGTGATTTTCGTGTGGCGGTGCGGTTGACGTTGACGCGGTAGCTAGAATGGACCTCGAATCGAGGCAGAATCGAGAGCAGATTTGGAGCAGCCTCGCCTATTACACAACATACCAGATTGGCTTGAGTGGAGCAGTATCAGAAGTGTGGGATGTAACCATATATCTGGCTCGGTATGCCGATGCGTCGCCCGAACCTCAGTCCGAAGGTTAACCCGCTTCGGGGGCGCCGTTTGAGACCGTCAACAATTCAGAGCACCACGATGTACCGTCGGAAGGCTATTCAACGGCTCATAGAACGTGCTCTCTTAGTGGATTCGAGGAATGGAAGCTCTTCACGAGGATTACGTATTGCACCAAAGTGTCCGAAGCTTTTCCGCGGATGGCTGACTTTTTCAAGGGAACGGTTTTTGATACCGATTTGTGAGAGAAATGAGATAAAAATTGGAAAGTTAAACATCGAGAGTAGATTTCAGAGCACTAGGAGAAATAGGAGAGACCATTGGATCGATAAAAGAGAGGCGGGCGTATGCCCTCGTTAGCATGGAAAGTGAAAAGTAGAGAAAACCATTACCTGGACATAACGACGAATGTCAAATCACCATACGAACCATTGAGCGTACCTCCGCAGTTACGAGCGAGGAGGGCTTCTATATAAGCTTGGAGAAACATGGAGGTTGATAAACGCATCATACGAGGAACCGATATATGACGTCAAACGCCCACAAGGGCCGCAGTAGTTCTGATGGAGACACCCTTTTTGCAGGTATCTCGAGGAAGGTTGCAGGACCAGAACCTCAGAGGCAGACTTCAAGATTAATATATCGAATTGACCTACTTGTGGACGCGGTCCAAGTATGCTTGGCTGACGATGCGAAAGCTCTGCTCAAGCTCTGCTCATTGCCTATTCTGGCCAACATTGGACGATCACGATGTCACTGCCACAGATCTTCATCAACATATCCTCATCCTCCTAGTCTCGTACTGTGGATGTTGTCGAAGCGAACAAACATTCTCTTCTTTTGATTATAGCTGTTGGTTTCGAACCCATATTTTCGTGCTGTGCGCTGCTGATGACTGATGCATAGTTCATCCAAAGGTATTACAGACTATGATATGCGTATTCTAGACTATTCTATGCAGTCTACCCGTAGCAATTGCTACATCTGAGACTCTTTCGCTGGATATTCTCACATTCATTCTTTTACACCTTTTGCTCTAGACGCGGGCCCATAAGCGGAAGGCTGCAAACCAGAAGTTAGTCAGCATACGTGTCGCAGCGTTCGTTGTTGTATATCGTAGGCTGAATCTTGCGGTCGAAAGCAAGTCATGAGAGAGCATAGCTTCATAGAGCGAGTATCTTCGAAACGCACGATTTCACTTCACGCACGTAACAAGCATCTGGACTAGCGAAGGTTTTATGTCCAGTAAACAAGGTTATCGATATTGAATCCTGGTCTAGGGGCCTGGCACACAAGGATGCTAATAGACGTCGGTTTCGTTCCTCCTAAGCGCAGGCTTCGGGTAAGGTTTCTTCTTATCGCGATCCCTATCATCTTCCTTAGGCTCTACGTAAGCCTCACTCCTCCAAAGGTGAGGCATAGGGCGATCTTTCACCTGCCCTCAAAGAACCATCACTAGAGGTAGAACTCGTGTTTTCGTCGAATTCCTCTGTATACACATGTGTCCGGTGTGATGTGGAGCCGAAGCCAAAGATCCTTTTATGTGATGCATGGCACTACTTCGTTCTCTACCAATCTTCAAGAGCCCCGCGGGGGCTAGGCGACATAGGTGATAATTCTGACGACAGATTGCTATCCTCTTCCCACTCGCTGATTACCGGAGATGGCCACGACCAAGCGCATAATGAACATCTCAACCCCTTACAAGTGCTACAGATCTTGAACACATGCCCCTCTTCCATACTGCTAATGAAAATATACCACTGGGCATCTGACAATCTGCACCAGCAAAGAAGCTGGAGCATAGACTTATGAATGTATGGTTCTCCATGCATGAAACCCTCTTTATCCTTTATATAAGTAATCTTGCAGGCTATTTGCCAACGTAATTTGAAGTCTCTGCTAAACAAGCAGTCTACCATGTCAAACGTAAATGCCGATTTCAAGCAGCAGGAGGGTGGCATGAATTCGGGGCTGAAGACCGCGTGCTCAAATAGGTAGCACAAGCACGTGTAGCAGACCCGATGTCTACATCTCTTCATACCCACTGATCTATGCACTTTAATCAGCTTAATTCCGATTACTACTCCTAGATGCCCTTACTGCTGCGACTCTGACTCGATTACTTCATAACTATCTCCCGTATAATTTGAGTCTGTCTCTCCGTAATCCCATGTCTCCGCGCTATCGTCTGTGTCCACATCATCATCTGCAGGCGGAAAAGGGGCGGGCTGCATTGGTGTTTCTCCGTGTTTGTCGTCGACGAACCCTATAAGACTATCAAGATCGTCATCTTCTTGTATCAAGCAACACATGCCGCAAAACCGGGACCCGCTGTCGGTCTGCTCCATGGTAGCCTCCGCGATGGTAGCAGCCGTTGGGCGGTCGTGTCGATCGATCTTCAACATTTCTTTTGTCCAATTCAGAGGTGAGTTATCTATGGCAGAGCCTTCATTACTGAGTATGACGAGTAGGGTTTGCAAGCCCAGATCATTTTGACGAATAAACCGTTCTTGAGTTCCTTCAAGTTCGAAGTATGTATGAAGGCGGTCAACGGTCCAAGACTTGAGCGCTGCTGTGATTTCAAGGAATACGCAACCAAGAGACCATACATCCGAAGAGTAATTGCGTGATTGCTGGAGTGAAACTTCAGGAGCACAATAACGCGGTGAAAATGGTGCGGGACCTGACGTTGTACTCTGCGTTCCATTGTAATCTTGGGAGATACCAAAGTCAGCGAGTAACAGCTTTTTTCCTTTCACAAGAATATTTTGCGGCTTGATGTCTTTGTGACGGATCCGATTATCATGCAAGTACCGAACCGCGCAGGAAAGACATCCAAAGAAAGTTCGTAGTGTAGCTTTTTTTGCCAAAGACGATAGCACAGTATCTGAGAGGTACGCCGAGAGGTTCATATCAGCTACAGGGGACATGATGAAGCAAAAGGATGTCGAATCGGTATAGGTGCCGATGAGTTGAACTGTGTGCTGATGCCTGAGGGTTTTCAAAATGTGGATTTCTTTGATGAAGGCCTCAACCGCCTCGCGTCTCCGCGCGCTGTCAAAAGCTAGACGGCGGCTGATGCTTTTTCTGGCGTATTCTTTGTAAGTGATGAGGCTAATCACTCTATCAACTTCTCCAAATCGACCGGAGCCAAGGACTTCCTTGGGCTCGAAGGGAATGAACTCCCCTTTCCCAAAGTGCAAGTGTTGACCGTTCTCTCCCTTCTCGAGGTCCATTGACTTGGTCAATATCATCCCTTGCGCGCTGATTATATCCGTCCGTGTTTTCGGGGAAAGTTGGGATGGAAGCGTGCGAGGCGAGGCAACGGGAAACGAATGGTCACTGAAGCCATCTGCTATCATCCGGTCGAGCTCGTGGAGCTTCCCGATGGCGCGAAGAACGATATAGGCCCGGGGGAGCTGGCGCCATTTCGGGTTCGTATGATTGAGGAGAGAGGATATCTCTTGGATATCAGCGTCGGAATAAGAGGCTCGGCTTTGCCATGTTGAGTCTTCAGCTCGAGGGATGAAGTACTGATCTAAAAGTTCAACTGCTCGACGCGACGCAGGTGTGGAGGTTTCCATATAGATCTAACATAGGCGAGGTATTGAATAGTTCTAGCATAGATGGAAGCAGCTCTTGAACCCAGAATCTATCACTAGTACGGCGGAACGATAGAAAGATGGTTAGGATTACGATAGAGCGGTTTCCTCTCATAAGTTTGTAGCCTCCTAGGCCTCAGCCTATCCTGCATGGCCACGTAGAGAGTGTCCATGCAAGGCTGAGACTCTGTTGGAAATCTTGACCGATAGCGACAACGCTATGCGTCTTCACGATGAATGAGAATATCCATATAGGCACTTTCGAGAGAAGATGTAAACTGTAAAGACACTATTCTAATGTTGAAAAAAAGATCAGATGGAGAGCAAAGACTTTTGAACGGAGGGCTGATGAAAGATGCTGCGAGAGGACGAGAAGCCACCAAATTAGGGTAGGCCCTGGCCAGGTCCCCAGGAGAAGGTATCTTATGCGCCACACTTTAACAGGTAGGACGCCACAACGCGGGGATTCCCAAAACTGCACTGCTTCCGTCTCGTGCCGCAGTAACGCCGTCACTTGACATTTAAAATAAACTCCCATCACCTGTCACAGCATACAAACACCTGGTACTTCCCTCGCTGTGATTCTTCTTTTCCTCACCTTCTGTATTCTCACACCAAACACACTGTAAAGCTTTCAATTGAGCCAAATATCGAGCTTTGATACCCCGCGACAGCTCTCGCAAGCATCCGCGAACGATGGAAGTGCCTACAGCAACTTCCTTACACGACATCTACCCCGATGATGCTATCCCCGTGGAAAAGACGCGCTGGGAGAAGCTGCTAGCATCGTTCAAGGAGAAGTATGGACACCAGGCCGACTTTGTATCCAGAAGTCCGGGCAGGGTGAACCTGATTGGCGAAGTGAGCATTCAATTTTCTTGGAGTGTCAATTATGTCTCTCAGACATGTTTCTGTAATCACAAAAGGCTAACGACAGCGACCAGCATATCGACTACTCCTTATACGAGGTCCTCCCTATGGCTGTCACCGCCGACTTCCTCATGGCCGTTGCCGTCCGCCCTACCACCGGCAAAGCCACCGTCCGCATAGCAAACGTCCTCTCGGAGAAATTCCCAAGTCGAGAATTTGAGATCCCAGCGGAAGGCGAGGTGCCAATTGACGCGTCTGCGCACGAATGGACAAACTACTTCAAGTCCGGGCTACGAGGAGCGACAAAGCTATTACAACAGAAGAAGAAGGATGCACGATTCACATCCGTCGGCATGGACATATTATCAGATGGCACGGTACCAAGTGGCGGCGGGCTATCTAGCAGCGCAGCTTTCGTGTGCACGAGCGCGCTAACAGTCATGAAGGCGAACGGAGAGGAGAAGGTGGACAAGACGGAGTTGTGTGAGCTGGCTATTGTCTCAGAACGGGCGGTTGGTGTGAACTCAGGAGGCATGGATCAATCTGCTTCTGTGTTCTCCCTACGCGGAAGTGCTCTTTACGTCTCCTTCAAACCCAGTCTGACCGCCACACCAATCTCCTTCCCATCCACTTCTCCTGAGCTCACCTTCGTCATCGCTCAATCCTTCGTCGCAGCCGACAAACACGTCACAGCGCCTGTATGCTACAATCTCCGAGTCGTTGAGTGCACATTAGCAGCTGTCTACCTGGCAAAGGTCTTCAATCTCAAAACGCCACTACCAACCGACTCATCACCCCTCGGTACCTCTCTCCGCGGCTTCCACGACACCTACTTCGAGGAGAAAGAAGGCATCTCAGACAACAGCAAAACTTCCGTGACTGATTTCAAGGTCCAGCTCGAGAAGCTGGCTCAGCTAACTCAAGACTACCTCATACAAGAAGAAGGCTATACCCGCGCCGACATCTGCGGCCTGCTAGGCATCTCTGAGGATGAGCTCAACGCAAAGTACATGTCCAAGTTTACCGTCCGCGCAGAACGCTTCATGCTCCGCCAACGCGCCCTCCACGTTTTCACAGAAGCCGAGAGAGTCATCAAATTCCGCCAGCTGCTCTCCTCGCCACCCACAGACGGCGCCGGCGACGCTCTGCTCACCTCCTTGGGTGACTTGATGAATGCTACGCAAGATTCATGCCGCGATGTATATGATTGTAGTTGTCCGGAACTGGACGAGCTGTGCACCCTTGCTCGGGGAGCCGGCGCGTATGGGAGCCGACTCACTGGTGCTGGATGGGGTGGTTGCAGTGTCCATCTCGTGCCAAAGGACAAGGTTGATGCCGTGAGGAGTGTGTGGGAAAAGGAGTACTACCGGAAGAAGTGGCCAGAAATCAGCGACGAGAAGCTGGCTGAGGCGGTCGTTGTCAGCAAACCGGGAAGTGGGAGTGCGGTGTTCAAGGTGCTAGGTGATATGGTTGTTTGAAAGCGTGGAATAGAGACCTCAAAGGTTTGGAAATGGAGTGGTGCACTCCAGACGGACGGAGTATGGCGAACGAGTAGATAATTCTATTAGCGAAAATCTACCCCGAACACGGGTCTCGAATAAATACAATGCATGCCATATCAAAAGCAGGCCACATCTTTCCACAAACCATGTGCCTCTCAATAACCCACACTACCGCCTCCCAAGATCAATATCTAACACCTCTACCATCCTCTCATCCCTCCCCGCTTCTCCATCCAACCCAAAGAAACCCCCAACAGCCACATCCACAACCCCCTCCCACAGCCCCCCAATCAAATCCCTCAACTCAACCCCCGTCTGCTTAAAATCCGGAAAGGCATTCACCTCCAGCAAATACGTCGTGCACGCCGCCTCCCCCCCATCTTTAACCAAAAAATCCAACCCAAACACCTCAAACGCATTCGGCAGCGGCTGGAAATGCACGCCCATACCCCTCGCCGCCGCCTCAAACACCTCGCCCGTCACAGCACAGATCTGCTGGAACACTTCCTCTTTCCACCCCTTACCGTCTACTGCTTCTGCGTTGCCGACGGCGTCGGGCAACTCCCAAAACAACCCCACACTCCCCTCCCGCTCCCCGGTCTCTTGCAGACACGTGTTCGTCAGATGCGCGCGCAGGCCCGCGGCACTGTTGACGTCGGCACCCGCGGCGGGGGACACCCAGGGCGGGACGTACGGCGCCGCGGCGAAGAGGGCGAGCATGGGTTTGTAGACGAACACGCGCAGAGCGCCGTAGGCAAGGACGTAGGTGCGGATGTGGAATTTGCGGGGCGCGTCGGCGGGTGCGCCGGGAGGGGGCAGTAGGAGGGGCGGGTGGATGTAGGGCTGCGCGGTGAAGTGGCGGAGGTGGGATGTTATGATGCGGTCGTCTGAGGACGTCGCTTCCTTGGGGGGTTGCGGGAGGCTGGTGCTCTCGTTCTCGGAGGGGGAGGGGGAGGGAGAGATCTCGTTGTCGTCGTCGCTGTCGCTGTCGCTGTCGGGATCCCATTCCTCGAAGATCGCTGTGAGTTCTTCTTCGGAGCTGAAGAGGCGGATGCCCTGCCCGCGGTCGCTGAGGCCGGGTTTGAGGATCCACCATTCGCGCTCTTGGGGGTCGCTGCCTGAGACTCGCTCCTCGCGGGAGGTTTCTTTGGCGGTGTTCCGGTCCCAGCTCTCCCTTAGGCCCCAGCATTCCAGTACTGCTTCGTCTAGGAACTCGACGTAATCGACCTCGAAGCTCTCGCCGGGCACGACGTTCGTTTTCAGTACACCGTCGGGGTTCTTGACGATCCAGTTCGCGACGGTGGTGGCGAGGTAGTGCTTACGGATCAGCGCTTTACGGATAATGTAGGCGTTTATGAGGGATGTGGTTGGATGGGCGAGAGCGTGGTCCAAAAAGAGAGATTCGTATGGGAGAATTTGCAGGAGGTTGGGTTCTGAATCCTTTTGCGGGGCTTTATCTGGTGACGGCGTGGTAGAAGGGAGATCCAAGAGGGAGGGAATGAGGTTGTACTGATCGGGAAAGCGTTTATTGAGTGCAGAGAGGATGAGCGGTTGGACGTAGGGGTCTTCGTAGGCAATTATAGCGTAGAAGGAGGGCTGCTCAGGCTTGGATGCCATTTTAGCGGAGAAAATGTCGTGATATGACGATAGTGTAGGTGAGAATTAGTGGAGTGCAGAATTTTTGTAAAATCGGCTCTCGTGAGTCTTCCTCGTGCTATATCAATTAGATTGAGAAGCATGTGTATTCGAAAAACGTCGTGTGATAGTTAGATCGCAGGAAATGAACGTCATAGTAACTTCGAAAGTAGAAACAAGAGCTGGTAGACTAGTATAGAAGCGACAGGAAATTGAAGAGGAAGAATGCGATCACCTAGACGAAGATCCGTTCTCGTGGAAACCCGCTTGAAGAAATCAGGACTTTGAAAGAACAAGTTCACTGACAGTCGATGTTCTGATGATGAGGAGCTAAGAAAAGGTGAGCATCGAAAGGCTCTTCAACGAAAGCTAATTTCTCTTGATAGGGTCTACGCAGGTTGCCTATAGACAAGCACCATCACCGACGTCAAAATTGAGCCGTGAAAGTTGACAACCGGTTTAACTCCGGCAATATCAGTCAAGCGATCTGATTCGCCTAATGTCGCTCCATATAAACCCATGAGGATATCCTATACCAATGCAGTACCAAACACCATACCCAGGCCAAAGCCGCCCAAAGCTTACCGCATGCTGGGAATAATCTCCAAGCCGTCATCATCGTCATCGTCCTCGTCCATAGCAGCTATCAGCCCAATGTCCATTCCACCAAGACTATCCCGTCCTGGCTCCCTGATACCCTTCTTCTCGAGCATGAACCTCGCTTTCTTTTTGGCTGGACTGACTTCCCTCTCCTCTCGCTCTTTCTTTTTCGGAACAGGTAAGCCTCGTTGGAAAGCTCCGCCCCATCCCATCGGCTCACTTGTCTTGTTGGTGCTGCTGAACCCCGTGCTTCGTTTACGCTTCACAGGACTTAGTGTGACGTCTCCAGCTTTTCGACCCAGCAGACTCAACGTTTCTTCGCCGAGACTCTCGCCCTTCTGCTTCTCGGCCTCCGCTCGTTTCTCTTCCTGTTCTTGCTTATCAACACCTCTCGCTTTCATATAAGCAGCGCCCATACCATTCCCCGCCTCACCTAGCCTCTTTGCTAACTCCCTCTCCCTCTCCTGGTCTGCGAGCCGTTTCCGATGCGCCTCCGCCCTGCCCACTCCGGTGATCGTATCTTCCTCGTCTAGTAACTGCGCGGCACTCCTCGACCCAGGAGCAATATAGACTGTCTCGTGGAGATTTCGATCATGAAACCTCCCCTGTCTCACTAATCCATCGTCTTTACCGCCTTGTCCCCCCCCCCTCCCACCGGACCCGCCACGCCCGCCCCTGCTACCACCACCCCCTCTCGTTCCTTTTCCAAAACCTGTCATAGTGTTGACCTCCATTCTACCCCTTTTGCTCTTATCAATTGCCAGCTCGACATGGAAATCACAGTACTCTGTCTTTCGTCCATCGATCCACTGCCGACACTCCTTGCCGTCTTTTTTGATCGCCTTGCAGAATCCCAAGTCCCGCGCCATGCCAATTTCCAGCACAGTGTCTTCGCTGCTTGATAGTTTGAGTGAAAACTGTCCGGTGGCACGGTTTCGTGGCGGCATGATCTCCGGATTCAGCACTGCAATGATGGTCCCCACGCTCAACTTCCAGAACTGGGAGAAGCCTGTATCGAAAAGAAACAAATCGATCTCCCACTTCAGATCCGTCAAGTGCAGTACCATGAACTTGCTTGGCCCATTTGCAGCATCGTCTGGGTCGTTGTCACTAGCGTTGATCTTGCGAGCGTTCTTGGGCGTTAAAGGAGATGACTTCGAGGCGATGATGCCTAGCACCACATAGTCGGATTCAACATCTGGAGTGTCATATTCTGGGCCTTTGACTTCTTTGAGAAGTTTCGGGAGATTATAGAGGGACTTGCCGTCCAGGGTACGGGTTAAAGTGTTGTGCGGGATAAGACGTTTTGAGAGGTGGAAGCCAGAGAAAGTCTCGAAGATTGAAGGTTCGATGGATTCATTGACGTTAGAAAGTTCGGAAGAGGGGTTTGCGGTGGATGGAGGAGGCTTAGGGTTGCGAGTGTTGCTAGCTGAGGATTTAGAGGAGAATGTGGTGGTGGTGGCGTGAGACCCTTCTGATCGGGAGGAGAGTGTTGATCCACTTCTTGGTGTCGCGGACTTCTCTATAGCGGCTAAGGAGCGGCTCTTTTGGAGATATTGAGTATTATTGACAGGTGGGGCCATCGCACGGCTTTCGGTCCTGGTGCTGCTAGAAGATAGTGACGACATTGTTCGTGATCCTGGTAGATCTTGAGACGAATATAAATCATCCGCGCTGACCCCGAAGCCACGACTTCGCGAGCTCTCAATTCTCGAGAGCTTGTCCTGACGCTCCTTGTCATTCAACCTGCTTTCCGCTATCCGCTCGCTGAAACTCTTTCCCCGTGGAGCAGGAGTGCTAACTTCAGTCCGACCTCGTTGGGAATTCGCCCGCGATAATGATCCAGTAGCATCACGAGCAGCATCGGTCCGGTGGTTGAAACTTGATGCTCTCTTCAAGGACACATCGTGAGCTCTCAATCCTTTGTCGATCCCCAATAACACGCGCGCGGGTGATTTTTGAACGTCTGGAGCTCTGCTGTTCCGCACAGGAGATCCTGGAACCTGGACAGCGGATTGTGGACGTGGAATATCGCGAGGTACCCGTAACCCAGATACCTTGATGGGTGCTGAAGTTGACGTATTTGCCCGCGACCCCGTCCTTGAGCCATTGTCACCCTCTTCACTCTCCGCCCGCCTAGCTCGTGCTTGTTTTAGTTTTTTGAGCTTCAATCGTGCTTCGATTGCCTTGAGTTTGAGCTCCAGTGTCTCCTCATCGTCGTCCTCGTCATCTGATGAAACTCGCCCCCTCGACATTGGTCGTCTCGTGGAAGAGGGCCTTCGTAGTGGCGATGGGGAGGGAGAATCGCGATCACGGCGCTGTTCCAGCTTCTTTCGGCCACTGGGAGAGCTGAGTAGGGCGTCGTAGGGTGATTTGGGGGGCCAATTTGGTTCTCCAGATGGGACTAGACAAGTTATTAGCAAAACGCCTGCGACAACACGGAGGCATTGTAAAGGTACCTTTCGACATAGCGGATTCCCGTATTATCATCGCCGTGTAGTGCTACAGGTGTGGTGTTGATCCCGCGCCAGTGATGTCGATGGCGCAACGGCTGCTGGTCCCATGTCCCGCCGAATTGGGAAGATTGTAAGCGGTTTGCTCCCCAGACTGTCAGTGAATAGCGTCTATGAATGAATTGGCGCGTCTGGTCGCTCAGCTGAAGTCTGACTGCGCTGTGGAATGTTGTCGTTGCAGGGTTGTCGTCACCCTTGTCCCTTCTAAATGTGAAACGAAGCCGGGGAACGCGATTTCCTCCACGCCCGGACGCGTCGACCTTGCTTGCATTTTGATATCCCACAATCAGCCTTCAAACAACACAATTATCCCCCAAATCCGACCATAACAGTACTGATAACTGTGAAGCTACGCTGAATACAAATTATCACTTCATTGGCCCTTCAAAATGGCTCGGACACGCTCAAAACCAGCCGCAAAAGTATCTAAAGAAACCATTCCCCCCGAAACCATTGCACCCGCTGCACTTCCTCCCAGCGCCGCAGATCCTCCTAGGCTATTTATCCTCCCGAAAGACACGTCCCCAGATTCGCGAATTGTCACATTGTCTCACCCAGCGACCGCGACACCAACTCGTTACTACTTCTGTCCAGAAAAAGGATTCTATGAATTTACCAAAATCGCGGCGCCGAGAAGCTCTCCAAGGAGTTGGCTACTTGCCCCACCACGGATACAAAAGACAGATATAGATAGCAAGAGCAACGTAATTGAAAATGGGGGAACTTGTGGTAAAGAGGCGGACACGGAGGCTGCGAAAGAGGACACCGCGTCAGTGGATAAAGGCTACATCACCAAGTCCGCAGATCTCTTCATAGCCACACCACTCGATATACTCTTCCTTCTCCTCCCCGCTCTTGCGCCCAAGTCGACCCCAAAAGAACATCAGAAACAGCTTTTCCTCTCCCTAGACGACCACCTCGACACCCTCGCAGCAACTTCTCCGCACCTCAGACAACTCCTACGCACCCCCAAGCTCAAGGAACGCATAGCAAAGCGCATGGAATCCGTGGCCGACATCGTCGACGCCGGCGACGAGAAAATGTACCGCCTCTCGTACCCCAGACTCGTCTCCATCCTCCTCCAAAAAGCAGAACGAATGGCCGCCAACGGCCTACCCGCATCCATGGAAGAGAAGTTCGTCCGGAGCGCTCTCGACGTGCCTATCTTAGACATCCCGCGCGAAGACAGCGGGATCAGTGTGTTCGAGAGCAGCGAGGCCGTAGACTTGCAGTCCCAAACCACCACCGCCACAACACCTACTGGAGACTCGCAAACCACAGTCAAATCAGAGACTACAGAAGCGACATCCACCACCTCCCTCCAACCGCCAGCAATATCGGCACCAGAAGGCATCCCCCACCTCCTCCGTCTCCGCACCGCCCTCTCCCTCCTCCTCTCCCTAGTCCCGCCTACGCTTCACACGGCTATCAACGCCTCTCTCGTAGCTCCAACAATCGACTTCACCCCTTTAACCACCCACCTCGCGCACCTCTCTTCCCTACGGCAGAAATCCGCCGCGCTGAGGTCCGTATCCGACAACATCAGCCGCAAGCGCGCCTTCGACGAGGACGCAGACGAGCAGGCCGAGATCCGGGCGGAGAAGCGGCGGAAGAAGGAGGAGGACGAGAAAAGGAAAAAGTCCGAGAGTCGGGGGTTGAAGCAGCTGCGGAAGGCGGATACGAGCGGGATGAAGAAGTTGAGTAGCTTCTTTACCGCGAAGCCGGCGGTGAAGAAGTGAATCTGGGTGTATAGGACCAGGGAGTTGTTTGTTGGTTGGATTATGTATGAGGCGTTTGGGTAGTTGAATTTTGGATTACCTTGGGAATTGGATTGGGCGGGCAGAAAGCGTTCAGGCGTCACATCTGCATCGGCGGCACACGTGGAGATATAAGATCTATTCACTACAACTATGTAATTTTGGGCTTGCCGCTTCGAAGAATTATCCGCCGTCTGTGCTATGAAAACCTTTTCCAATATGCCGGAGGACCGAAAGGACAGTGCTTGCCTGTAAAACCAGGCTTGAGCTTCCAACTACTGATACCGTAGTCTCAGCCTTTAACCAAAAGCAAGAACCGTATCCAACACCATGCAGCCCTAACGGCAGAAAAGGTCGTTACAATCATGAATGCATCCCGTTCCTCGCATCCCGCGGTCCCAATCCACTCGTCCCAGCATCTTTACCCATTAATCATCATCCTACTAGCTCCTACCAGCTCCAAGACATCTCAGATACCGCTAGCTCCATTTCGGACTCTCTTTCCAGTTCCCTCCAAGACATCACCTTCTCTCTTCGCACCTCGTCCACTCACAGCCCTCGCAGTGGGTTTGACACGCTGCCAGGAATCGAACGGACTCGTCTTCTTGCCCTTGGCCTTCTGCTGTGGCAGCACCGGCGTCCGTATCTCTTCCTCGCTCTGGACGTCAAGCTCCATGTGCTCCTCCGGCTCGTCAACTACAGCATCCGTTTGGCGAGTCCGCCGCGCGCGTCCGGTGGAGGGCGGCGTTGCGGGAGAGAATTGGGATTTCACGGGCGTACTGGCTTCGTTGTTGACACGGCCTTTGCCTTTGCGGGTGGAGCTCGGGATGGGAACCGGAACTTCAATGTCGGTTGTCGCCTCTTCCTCTGCGAGTTGAGCGGCTTCGCGCTCACGGCGTTGCTCTTCATTCGGGAAGAGCAGGCGCGGTTGGATGGTTGAGCGGGTGAAGGGACGGCTAGCGGCTGCACCGACTTGACGGCGGACAGCGGTAGTAGGGGCGAGATTAGTGTCATCGTCGCTCCCGGAGGAGGCGGAGGCGTCATCGAATTTGCGGAACAGTTTGCGGCCGCGGCTGTTGGGCGTTAGATATTTTCAAGTAGGTGGTAGCTGTGGGTCAACTTACAATACGTAGATCATGCCCTCGTTATTTCGCGCCTTCTCTTCCATCTTCCTCACACGCTCTTCTTCACTAGGACTAATCTTCCGCCTCTTCGGCTCCGGTGCTGCAATGCTAGCGCTTGCCTTGGTCTTCCCGTTCTTGCTGCGCGTGATGAATGGGTTGTCTTCGTCCGGATCCAGGCTGGGAATCCGCTCCTTCGTGTCGGTATAGATCTCGATCTTCTCCTCGTCCTCATCGTCGCCCTCCGCAAATGACTGCAACGTGAACGCGTTCTTTTTGCCCTTCCGGCTCTTTCGCGGCGTCGGCATGGCGTCCTCGATGGTGGCTGGGCGGCTGGGAAACAAAACACGAGCCGTAGAAGCGATGGCGGAGTTCTGAAGGTTGCGCTTGCGCGGTGTTTTCACGGGAGTAGGTAGCATGCCGCGTGAGTCTAGGACGGAGAGATGGCTTGTTGTCGATGCGTCTCCTGCAGGCATGTCGTCTGAATCAGAAAAATGGAGACCTTGGTGTTTACGAAGGCCGTTGTTGACGCGTCGGCGGGGTACAGAGCGCGGACTCTTTGGCGCAGAATGGACACTTGGCGAGGAGGGTGAAGACGGCGGAGAAAAGGTCTGGCTGGACGTGCCCGCTGTTTGCTTCCGGCTGCCGGTCGGCGTCGATGCGCGCACGGAACGATGCGTTTTCGGCGGCGTAGAGTTGCTGCTTAGGAATGGCTTGCGTTGAGCAGCAACGCGGGTAGAACGGCGGGGAGAATAGGGCTCATAGGCGTCGTAGCGCGCGCCGTGGAGAGGTGTTGGCGGCGTGTGGACGCGGGATCGTCGAGGAGGGGTGGTGGCCATCGTGAGAAGTGAGAAGCGAGGTTCCTTCTCGTCTAAACGAGGGCGCAGAGAAGGAGCGTGAGAGCGGAAGCGTGGTGTGGTTCGATAAATATGACGATGTAGGTGCAAAGGTAGCTTGTTGTCGATGGCAAGATTAACAGAGAGTGAAATGGACAGCAATGCACGGTTAATTCGCACTGACAGCACTCCAAACGAAATGTAGAATTTAGGGAGAGGCAGAGATGGTGGTCGTGGGCGTCGGAGGGGGGAGATGGAATAGGGCTGCTTCTCGTCGGGAGAGGCTGGGAAGGAACGAGGTTGGGGCTTGGCAACGGGGTCAACAGCATCACGCACGATCCAATTCACTCGAAGAATCACAACCCCCACGTCAACACAAGCGGGGAACAGCTCCTTCATCAAGCAAACAACGAAACACGCCGAATTGACGCCTTTCTGGTCGCGACTGTCTCAGTCTGTCAATAGCACGCACTCCGAGAACATTCCCCACCATGGACCACCCCAGTCTCGACGACTTGACCCTCTCAGACTCCGACGACGCGTTATTCGACACCCCCGCCACGCGCAAAGGGAAATCAAAAGATGCCAAAGCGATGATCGCGTCCGAAGAAGCTCCTGCGGCCCCAAAAACGCGTCCAGCAGAGTCCCGATACACCACAGAAGAGGCCCGAGAAGCGGCCCTGCGGAAAGAGCTAGAGAGTGTGCGCAGTGTCAACAAAGTCATAGAGGGTGTTGTTGAGAGCTTAGAAAAGGCGAAAAGCAATATGGATGTACGTGAAGCAAGATCCGTGCAATATGAGGATGAAGGAATCATATTCGATATCCTTTGCACTAACTTGATCAACAGACCGTCTCTCGCACTGTTCAAAACGCCTCGACCCTACTACAAACTTGGACCCGCATCCTCTCCCAAACCGAACACAATCAACGACTCATCCTCTCCCCGAACTGGCAGGGTGCCACTCAAGATCTAGCCGATATTGAGAACGAAGAGATTCAGAAGCAACAGGCCGCTGCACGACGCGAAGCTGAGGAACAAGCGAGGAAGGAAGCTGCAGCGCGCAGGGTAGCCGAGGAGGAGCGGAGGAGGGAGGCAGCCTCTTCAAGAACTCCAGGGCGGGGTAGAGGAAGGGGTACAAGAGGTACGAGAGGGAGCTCGTCGACGGGACCAAGTGGGTATGTGGGTGTGGGTGGACAAGGCGGTAGAGGGTTACCTAGAGGAGCAAGTTCAGCTGGGAGAGCGGGGAGTGGTATCGGGCGAGGTTTGAGAGGTCGTGGCAGAGGGCTGGGTTGAGGTTGTGAGTAAAATATCACAAGCTCTCGATAGAAATTTCAGGTTCAAAGAAGCAGGCTCGTGGCTGATACCCCAGGCGAGTGATTGGACTTTTTTTGCATTCTATACCTTTGACGACAGACACACAAACTATGGCCCCATATTTACATTAATCTAGTCAAAACGCTTCATGAACCTCGAGCTCGCGCCTGTCGTTTTCCATCATTGATGTGTCTTTCCGTCTTGCTTGTCCATAGAAGCCAGTCATGATCCATGCGGGCCTATTCCAGCGCCTCCTTCCGCAGACTTCGAGCCATCGTCTTGGGCATCGGGAAATAGAAAGTGTTTCCTCTTAAAGTACTTAAGCCACCAGCCTCCATTCCCTCTCTGTGATGCCAGGGCCCATGTCACCATGCAATTCTCTTCGGTCTCTGAAAGATTGAGTCGCGCATAAGCCGTATGCCGGTTATCTTCAATGATACTTGGGGGTTCCTTGTCTATCTCCAGCTTCAGCCGGCTACCGATTTCGAACCGCTCTTCACAATGACCCCAAGTATAGAGCATCGTGGCGACAGCCTGTATGACGATACAGATCATCTGGTAAAAGAGACTGGGCGATCCAAGCGTCAACGCATTGCCGACAAAGGCAGCCCAACCAATGCATCGGACGGCAAGTTGCTAGCGCTGCTAGTGCTCCTCCCGCTGCTCGAACTGGACGTCGTTCTCCTCTGGTTTCTTGCGAAACACAGACGGCGATGTCAGCAACGCTAGTATGATGCCGCGAGTGGCGCAGATCGTAACAGCAGAGCCCGTTGGGAGAACCATGAGAACCTTTACTTTCTGCCCATTTCTCTCCTTCATGTCGTCGATCTCCTGGATTCTTCTATTCGCCTGAAGTCCTTCGTGATTTTTCACTATCTGGTCAAGCACGGATCGTACTTGTTGAAGAAGAAACCACCGAACTACGATTGAGGTCGCAATGAAAATACCGTTTGACAGACCCCACCAATCACCTATAAGTGCCGGAAGCACTACCAGTACGCAAAGCACGAAGGCTCCCATGACACTGGATCGATTAACCCATCCTGGCTTCTCTTTCTTTGACTCCTCATCTGTTATGCGGATTACCGTTCTAGCTTTCTGCACCTCTCTGCGTGAGTGCCCAAGAATCCACCTTGCAAACCAGCCGCTAGCGTCTGTCGCTTTGATTTCGTCTGTTAGGTTGTACAGCTCGAACCCGCGTATCGGCTTTAGGTAGGCGTTACCAGCCACAACATGTGCCCCTAGAAGCGGCAAGAACTCCAGATATCGATGGTATGTGAGCTTTCCGATAGCCTGGTCGACTTCACGAACGCCTAGCAGTGTCACTAAGCCTAACGCGTCGATCTTGAAAGGTGCCCATTTTGCGAGACCTCTCAGCGGCAGCATCGTGTAGAAATTTGGTATTCCTCAAAACATGTAGAGCGCCGGCTCTTTATCAGTTGCTACCACACTGTTTGATTGGTAGAAGCCGGAAGGGTGAAGAGCTTGTCGACAAGCATCTACGCAAATCTAAGTATTTTCTGGCCCGCAATGGAAAGCTGGTGCATATACAAGATAACTTTGGACGCACTAGAAGCTTACACTATCGGGACATCGGTTTCCTTCCACTCCGTTGCCGTTGATCAGGTAGTTGCCTACACGTTCAATACTCCAAAGTAAGTCTCGCGTCAGTGTCTTTTGTGAGTACTAGCAGATGATATCGTCTGAGGTAGCCTGTCTAGTTTACACACCCTTCATAATGACTCGCTTACACGACGTTCAGGCTCTTAATACATCGGAAGACTTCGGACGGTAACACCTCGGTGTACACAGACTTTTGTCCTGGTACTGTATTGTCTTCATGCCCAACGGCCGCAGAACAACACCATCTATTTAGGTTTGCTGTTCCCACCATACAGGGAATGGACTATCTTCCATTACCTCGCGGGCGAAAGACGACCTTCTTCGAGGTCCCCTGCCTCGAGATCCGGGATTATTATGGCTTGGGATTCTCTTCATATCCTGAAAGACTACGTTATAAATCCAGGACAGAGGATGAATGGGCCGGATCTTCAAAGACCCACCATGTTATTTCAAGGCGTTTCTGGGGTCATCTGGACACGATTCTGCGTCGACGAATATCGGGTCGGACATTTGTACGCCACGGAACTCATCACCCAGAAGTCATCGACATCGCAGACTTGATGAAGAATATCAAGGCTACTGATATTAAGGCGCTCTGCGATACGGTTGGCACTATATACTAGACTCTTTTTGACTCTGGAACTGGTATCAAATCGGGAATTTTTCTTGAAGATCATGTTGACATGTCAGGCAAAATCTCGCTGCACACGTTTCTGCTTAATCAAAATTCAACACACTTAATCCCACAAGCCCCATTGGATACCACCATAATGTTTTCTATTGGCGCTCTTATCGAATGGGTGGACCAAACAGGTTCAACAGTATCCTGGTCCGGTGAAGGCGATGGCTCTGATAGCATGCAATGTTAGTCTTATTAGCATGGTGGTATTAGATCCTGCACTCTCTTTGGATCTTCTCTATCTTACTTCGCTACACACCTTCAGTCAAAATCCAGTCTGTATACTCCCTACCACTACTTGGGTAGTTCGATAGGTCCTCAGAAATCAGGATAGCATACAAAGCGTGGTACAGCAAAATTTGAGCTGGCTTTCAAGACCTCTTCAGTACTTCGCACCGGCTGCGTGATCAGGCAAATCCGGATAGTGACCAAGAGCGACAGTAGGTAATAGTGCCCAGTGCACACATAGCATGGTGTCTTTATAATGCGTTTGTTCATTCAATCCGCGTTCTAACCCCACACGTGAGTACAGGGACCTCCACAATGTCTTCGTACTACTCTTCGTATTTGATATGAGAATTCACAATGTACTAATATGTCACGTTGTGAAGAGTGAATGATCTCATATATATGCTCTTCATATCTCGAGAATGTGGAAGTCCACCCCAGTTCCACTTCCCTTTTCCATAACCACATTTCTCTACCTTCATCCCCTTCAGCACTTACACAAAGCCCCCACCCCCCAGTACCAACAACATAGCAGGTACCAAGTCCTCACCGTTGCTCCAGGCCATGCCATCAGAACTAACCTTCTTCAGCTGCGGTCATCACCGGCTGACCCCCGATGACACCACGGCGGGCGAACAGATCAAGAAGGGCAATCCACGGATCGCCCATCACACGATCTCTAGGCTTCCTTGCGAGTCCTGCTCTCGTAAAGACCTGCCCAACGAAGGAGACTCCGGAGATCCCTATCTCCTTTCCCTACCGCACCTCAGCTCAATCTTCATTGCTCATGGCTACGGCCTGTCATCCCGCTACGCGGCAGCCACTGCCGCTCCTAGGACTCCAGAGCATGAAGAAGCTCGGCAGCACATGGCTGATGCAGTCCAATCCTTCGCAGACTTGACAGAGCAATACCTGAGCGGTAGGTCCCCAAAGCCGCCACTTGAGATGATGATGAGCGTCATATGCAGCGCGCTCGACATTCTAGAGTCGTTTGCATCTGTAGTCGCTGGGCTCGAGAAACCTAAAGAGCTCCAAGATCCCGCAGGAAGCCCTGGCTCTGCAGAGAAGGAGAAGAGCAGGTTGGCCAGCGAAGCGCCAACCTCGAGCGAGGGAAGCGCTAGTGTCAAGATGACTCCCGCGTCGAGCGTGAGCGCGACTGGCCCAGGTCACAAGGCTGACCTAGGAATCAGCACCAAGCTGAATGCCGAGGCGCCAGATTTTGTAGTTCACAACCGGGTGAAATATCCTCGAGCGCCGATTGACGTTCGGCCTGACCTGGGTCCATCAGTGGCGGCTCCTCTCTATCGTGACCCGAGCCTGTTTGGCCGCTATCCTTCGCCTTATACTGCTAACTTCGCGTCTCCGGATCCAGATAGTTCGTGGGTTCCTGTGGTATTCGACCGCCCGACTCCTCGCAACACATCGACGCCGCCAGAGAAAGATTGGGATTCCGACCCAGCTTCCATCCAGCAACACATCGACCTCATCACCTCGATCCATGAGCTTCTCGATAGCTCCACGGCCGACAATGGGGGCGCTGGGTTGAAAGACCAGAAAGAGCCCGCCCTGCCAACAAAGATCTCAGCTGCCGTGCTGCGCAATGCGTGGCCGTGCGCCTTCTGCGGCGTGGAGTGCTTCTGTGGTGGCGATGGCACTTGGTAAGTGAGATCCTATTCCCCTCCTAGTAAAAGTGAAGTGCACCGCGACGAGATATTTCGCTTGCCTCGCCCTTGAATAGGCGTCCTATGATGGTGCGCTGAGCTGTGATGCCGGCGGAGACGCATCCGATCACTGCTAGAGATTCTGGCGTGATTGCTGGCCCTAGCTATCCTCAAATGAGAATGACTTTCCCCTGAAGAAACCCTCAAATTGTGAAAAGAGATGACGGTAATGACTGTAGGAACCCCGAATCCAGTGGTGAAATGAAAATAATAATGAGATTGACCAGGCAAGAGGTGGCCGCTGGGTGAGGTGAGTTCCCTACGTCATGTTTATTTACCTGTGAGCGTGACTCCTCAACCGATCTATATATTCCGCGTAAATTGCAGACCCCTCCATCTACTAATTGCCCAGCAGCTCAGTTGGTCGGCCACATCGTGTGTAAGCCCGCGGCCGGATCGCAGGCATTATACCTCCCGAGGTAGCGTTTCACTACCGTCGACAACCTCACCCCTGGGTCTTGAGTTCGATTCTCGATTCGACCTTTCGGGTGTTAAAAAGTCGAGTTGACTTCGGGCGGCCTGGTTCGTAGAGAGGCTTGGAAGCCTGGTAAAGAGGACGTATGCAGTTGGTGCGTGAGGCTGAGAGTGGCCGGTTAAGATGACGGACTGAAATACTGCGGGCGGGCGGAAGAGAAACCTCTCCGAGGTGGCTACACCCTCGAAAGAGGGTGGTGTTTTGCTCCTCAGATATTCTTTTTATTTATTACTCTTTTAATTTCCGGTCTGGATGCAAATAGAACAGAAGGTCTTACTTACTATTGCGTGTACGTGCTTGCTACTATTTTTGTATTCTTTTTAGCATTAGATAATCAGAGAAGGTTGGACATGATAGAATATAAAATAGTAAGAGACGCCAGTCGCATTGCAACATCATACGCTCCGTACAATAAACAAAGCTCTTACCCTACTATCCGTTGCAAACAAGGAGAAGTATAAATGGCAAACCTTTCTATTCTAGCTTCCAGTAGTAGCAAAGCCCAATTGGTATCAAATAAGCCAAGTCGGAAAAGTAGAATTACAAAGGTACTTGCTGGCTACATCCAGCACCTCTTCTCTCCACGACCGTCCCGTTCCTCGCCCTCCTACGCCCTCCTACGCCCACCTCCCCAGAATCGGCAACGCTCTATATAATTCGTCATACTCCCTACCTACCCAGCCCGCGACCTTCCCCGCCCTCCCCACAACCCCCAATCCCCCCGCCATCCACAATCCCGCCACCGCAGCCGCAAGCCCATTGACCTGATACCATCGCCTCTTCTTCACCAGCTCCTGCTCCGCCCCACTGCTCTGTCCATGCCGTGGCGCGAGCCCCAACCACCGCGCCCAACCCCACACCACGTGCCACGTGCCGACCGCAAGCAGCGCCGTGAACCCAGCGCTCGAGACCACAGGATGTAGCGCGAAGCCATGGCTTATGTACGACAGGTTCACCAGCGCGCTGTCCCCGTGCAGGTACATCGGTAGGCCGCGCGCCGCGAGCATGTGGAAGCCAAGTAGCGGCACGAGGGCGTATCCGAGCTTCGAGGTTCCGCTGATGGGAGGCCATGGGATGTGCTTCCGGTCGGATTGGGACTCGGCGCCGTATCGTCGAAGCGCGATTCGTCTTCGGTAGAGGCGCAGCGCGATTCCTGAAGCAACGTGGGTGAAGAGGGGGAGGACGACGAGGAAGGGTTCCATGAGGGCGGATTGATAGGCTGGCCGGGTGAGGAGGAGGTAGGGTTCGCTGGTGGGTACCGAGCGTGTCACAAGGGGGATTAAGGAGGTGTTGACGATGTGGAGGGAGGCGAAGGCTGTGAAGGTGTAGGAGGAGTAGCGTTGGATGCGGGTTACTGAGACGTGTTAGTGGGTAACAAGACTGTAGAAAACGAAGAAGGGATTTCAGAAGTATATAGAGGAAGTTCTTACGGTAATATGCAGGCCCATGATTCCCTAATCCCAGGGTTGAGGTGCGGGAGTATCCTGGTGGCGGCGAGGGTGAGCTTGACGAAGGGAAATATCCATCCTTTGAGTATTCTACAGGCGTCTCCTCTACGGGGGATGGCTCGACTTCTGTCAGGCCCAAGAGGCTCTCCTGGTCCTCCATTTTCCGTGCTGTCGGGGGTCCGCGAAAGTTGGTGATAGCGGCTTGGGGTTGAGACCAAGGTTCAAGATCTGTGACGTCTCGGTGGAAGTTTGGCCGAGGCCCGCCGCCCTGCATTTTGTCGTCGATCCTCAACACCAAGCACCTATCACCAACCGCCCAATTCAAAGCCTCGCCGTCGCCGTGCTCTTGATGGTTCGAGGTACTTGATCGATGCTAATCACTGTTCCTCTCTCAAGGCTCAACCGTCTACACGCCTTCTAGTCATCTCACCTGATCATACACCCATCAACTCGACATATCGGCTTCTCTCTCAAAACCGCCAACATGCCTGCAGTAACGTCGCCTTGCTCATTCGAGATATCTCATACTAACTTCACCTAGCCTGGCTACCGACCCCCCACAAACCCCACTTTCCACTGTGACCTCTGCAACAAAGGCTACACGTACCAGAATGACTACGAAAACCATCTCAGCTCCTACGACCACTCCCACAACGTGCGCCGCGCCGACTTGAAGAAAAATAGAGACCCCCGAGCGGCTGAGAAAGCAGAAATCGCTGAGCGCAAGGCAAAGAAGCAACAGGCTCGACTTCTGGCAAAGGTGAAGCCCATTATCGTTACAAGCACTGGGAGCGGCTTCACGAAGATCCAGGATCTGGCGAAGCAGGCTGAGGCTGAGAAGAGCGAGATGGAGGATGTAAAGATTGCGGATAGGGATGCACCGACGGTGGGAGTGGGATTCACGGGGTTCAAGATCCAGGATCCAGCGAAGCAGGCCGAGGCCGAAAAGGAGAAGATGGAGAATGTGAAGATTGCGGATAAGGATGCGCCGATGGCGGGGTTCACGAAGATCCAGCTTCCGGCAAAGCAATCTGAGGCGAGAAATGACACGCATGACAAGAACGCACTCAAGAAGCGCCCCGAGGCCGAGGTCGAGCGCAACGAAGATGTAGCGAGGAAGCTAGTCTATAACATCGATGGGGACGACATGAACGCCATGGTTGCTAGAGAGAGCCGTGAGAAGATGGGCGATGTGGAGATGGAGGAGGACGGCAATGCGAGCGAGAATGATAACTTCGGGTACGAGTATTATGACCCGAGGTATCCAACGGAGTGTCGGCAAGATTGCGAGGGGCGGTTTGATAAGTTGAAGGCTTGAGGGGAAAGGTGTGAGTTGCGGTCTTGGAAGCATTGGACTGGCGTTTTGGTATACCACTGGATTCCTCCTTCACGAGCATATGATGGGCAACTTACACTTGCACACGGACATCTGGACGAAAATGAAGGCAGGACTTGTATGATTTGATGTGTAGGATATGATGTGTAGGGCTTTGGAAATAGGCTGGTTTCGCAGTCATCTTGAAAGACCTGAATCACGACCGCATGGTGACTCGAGAATAACCGAAATGATAGATACTTTTCAATCACTTTTGTAGTTCCATTCCGGGCAGGTTGTCTAGTCCACCGGAGGCTGTGATAAACTCGTCCCAATCCACACCTTGCTCCTCGAACATCTGTTTTGCTTTCTCGGCGGCCCGAACCTGCCGTTCAGGAGTGAAACCACCAGGCTGGCTGCTCTCATACTGGATGAGCTCGATCCAGCGGAAGAAGAGGTTCTCCTTCCCAAGCGCCATGAGCGTGTCCTTGAATTGCACGATTCGCTTCCTGCCCTCTGTCTCCGAACCCTCGTCTAACTTGTAGCAATTCCAGACAACCCATTGACCCTCTCCCTCCTCTTCTCCACACCACACAAACACGCTCTTCTCCAGAAACTCTTCCTTCAACTCCCCTAGATCGAGTAACTTTGTCGCATCCACCATAGCCGCAAACTCAAGATCCCAATCCTTGTCCATGAGCAAATACCCCGTCTTGCCCTGTACCCGGTTCCTCTCTATCGCTGGCAGGATCCGCACCTTGAAGAACGGACTCTCACCTCCTCTCTTCCCACTCCCTCCATCCTTCGCCGCACCCAGTAGATCCGCCCGCCCCCAGCCCCTACTGACCCGCACATATACCTCCGCATCCCGAAACCCAACCTTCCACCGCCAGCTCACCGGCGTCTCCTCCCCTTCATAAAAGAAGGTGTATGGCCACGGCGCCACAACTACCACAAGCACCCAATCTAGAAGGAAACTCGCAGCTCGCCAAGCAATCTGCGTCACGAGCTTCCACTTCGTTGATTCTGCTACGTAGATGGTGTATTCGTTCGGGTTGCCAAGCATCGAGAGTATGACGCCCCAATATACTGGTATTATCGCCCATGCGCGCCAGAGCAGCAATCCCGCGATTACGAGGTTGAGTAGTACCGGAACTGTGAATATGTTGCGTTTGAAGTATGCCGGATGCCGGTCTATGTGTGTGATGTAGACGGATTTCTTGGGGAGAGTGGCAAGAAAATCTTCTAGCTCTGGCGGCGCGGGGACGAAAGGTTCGGGGATTGGAGCGAGTTTCGTTTTGTAGGCTTTGGTCGGAGGGGGTTTTTGGGCGCGTTGTTGGCGTTGTCGAGCCATTTTGGGGCGGAGGGAGCGATTGGGTAGGAAAAGGAGTGTATAGAGGAGGTTTTAGAAAGAAAGGAGCATGTGCAACGCATGACGGAGCGTTGGACTGGGTTTAATACTGGGTTGGATTCGAGAGAGCTCGGTTTTCGAGTTGTTCCGTTGCCGAATAGGGGGGAATAGGAGACTATCGACTTCTGCTGCATTCAGATTTCCCCCGACCTCTTCCTCTACGTACCTTCAACTGTCCCAATCCTCGATTGTGTCTTTCAATCATAGGGCCTTTCTATATTCTTCACGTACTTACACTACTAGCCGACCTACACACAGTTGCGTAAAGATTCAGCATATCCCACCATTCCCAAGCTTCCATTGTTAGAGTTCATTGGTGACCACCAGTGCTTCAGAACGACTGCATTCCCATTAGTCGATCGTATAGCTCTTCCCGCAGCCCTGGGGATAGCTCTACCGCTCGGAGCTTTATTGATCTTGGGATCAACATCGAAGATCTTGCAAAGTAGTGCCCTCTACACAATAGGAAACATCAGTACAAAGAATCTACCGCAAATCGCATAGCTGCTCAGATACCAATCGAGCTCTGCTAGGAAATTCTTGGACATCTCAATCTTCAGACGTTGACCAATTTTCGAAGAGTTCACCAACAGACCCAAAGAGCCATTGATGAGATGCCGCAGTACAAAACAGTCTTCAATTATGCCCTTCAGACTCTTCGAGCGTATCTGAGTACTGGCGTGGCAAAGCATGTGACCGTACGAGAGATTATGCTTCAATTGTACTCGAACAATTGCGGTTCTTGTGGTAGAAGATTTGAAATCATGCTGTACCTACTTACTTGTGAGCAGCTGTGGTTCCACTGCCTCGAAACAGAAGTCGAATACCTTCCTATGGTAGAGTACGGCCTTAGGTCCCAAGACATTCTCACCGATGAAGAAACTTCAACGCTACCCCGCCTTTTATCACTCCCCTGAAGTATTTTTGGAATGAAGAATACCTCAGTGGCCGCATTCCTATCGTACAACGCTCAAAGGTGCTCACAACCCTATCATCATTAGGAGTTCCTGCCGTCCCCTAATCGATCAAGACAGCATCTCTGATTATGATCTTGATTTCACGGACTCTCCTCAATACCTTTGTTTCATGAGTGCAGTGACAATCCCATGCGTTGATCGAAAGGACAACAATCAAACCACAGCAGGATATTACTGCTTGGCATGTTTTGATGCACCGGGATGGCGTTTAACACGTCGCGACTTTTCGTATCATTCAACCGGAGACCTTCCAGAACTCAGTTACAGAGACTCGAAATGTATCCGAATCAGCTTTTCTCGAGCCACACAGATCTAGCATCTCATTATGAGCGATTTCACCCCAACGAACTAGTACCCTCGACAACTCAGATTCCGCCCCCAGTGGCTTTACCTTAGCAATATCCGGGAGTATATCAACGATTAAAGAAAAGGGTAGCAGATCAGTACTCGTTGTGTTAGTAGAACAACATTTCATAGCTGCACAAAATCTTCTCATTGCCTGTCAGCACCATTGCCTTCCCCATTTTTGTCTCTATCTTGAACGATGAGGCTAGGAGTATTTCTTCTGACAAGATGCAGCCCCACACAGGTATCTGCATTCCCGCCGCCCATCTCGCATAGCAAGTATCATCCGATTTCTCTCTGAAACGACCCGTCGAGCTTTCGTCAATCTAGGCGTATTCTGAACTATCACTTTCAATTGGAGAAAGGGCAGTCTAATCTTGCTTCAATCCGCACTGCCGGTTCCGTATCAGGCCGTCTCCAACCATGACACGGTCGATGACCCTGGACATATATTCTTGCAAATGTATGCCCGTTTTGTACTACGTTATCCAAGTCTAGCCCCTTTCAGCCTAGTGCGAATCCTGCAATGCTGCATGATGTATTCCCTTGTCGCTTGGGAATATAATAGCGCGCCGATTCCCAGGTTCCAATCAGATTTTTCCCAACTACATCAACTCGCTCGAGTCTCATACCCAGTCCACATAACCATCAATTGAATACCAACTTCTTGTGTATTTATCTACTTTTGCAGAAGGACGCCGCGGTTTTTCTTCAATTGTGTCGTCTCACTCTCTTTCACAACCCATCTATACGAAATCCGCCCTCACACATCGCCAACATGCCTTCCCTCGCCCTCCCGCCAGGCTCCCTCATCCTCGTAACAGGCGTCAACGGCATGATAGGCAGTCACATCGCCGACCAACTCCTCGCCCACGGCTACCACGTACGCGGCGCAGTGCGGGATGTCCAAAAAAGCTCCTGGCTGACTGAGTTCTTCAGCCAACGCCACAAGGGTGCCAAAATCTCTCTAATTGCTGTTCCCGACATTACCGTGGAGGGCTGCTACGACGAAGCGGTGAAAGGCGTCGACGGCTTCATCCACACCGCCTCCCCCCTCTCTGGCAAGACCCCCGAGGAAACCATTCCTGTTGCCTCAGCTGGGACGTTGAATGCGCTTAAATCTGCTACTAAGGAGCCTGGTGTGAAGAGAGTGGTTTACACGTCTTCCTCGATTGCGGCTACGATGGCGAGGCCGGGTGTTGAGTTTTCGATTGATGCAACATCCTTCAACGAGGAGGCGATCGCAAAGGCGTGGCAGTTCCCGTCGGATGAGCCGCCAGAGATGCATGGGTTGTATATCTATGGCGGGAGTAAAGCACAAGCAGAAAAGGATGTTTGGGCGTGGTTGCGGGAGAATAAACCGCATTATGCGTTCAACTCTGTTGTAAGTTCCTTCAAACATGTTTTCGTTTCATCGAGAGTGTGATGAGGCTACAGCGATAGGCCACATAATTGTTCACACGCGTTTACCACTGCTTGGGGTTACCCAATACGGTTTGGAATCTCTAAGCGTAATGTCAAGTTTCAGGCAGCAGAGTCTGATCTGCTTCTTGACGGACCGACTGCCTGATAACGGGGCTGCTCCTGACAGCCGTATCTAGCTTGCAAAGTCGCACTCGGGCAATGGTAGATCCGTGTGCTCAGACCCACGGCCTGGCACTGTATAGTACTGATACGCTGACATTGTGACACAGCTGCCAAACTGCAACATCGGCGAAGTGCTCCGTCCAGACAAGCAAGGCTTCCCGAGTATAGCAACATGGGTCCGGGTCCTGCTCTTCGACCCTGAAACGCTGAAAGTTTACGCGAAAGTAATGCAGCCTCGTGCGTACCCTCCTAACTTCTCATCTTAATTATTCGACTCTTAATCCTACACAGAATGGTATATCGACCCCGTCGACGACGCCCTCATCCACATCGCCGCTTTGATCTACGACGACGTTACCGACGAGCGCCTCTTCGCGTTCGCGGAACCATTCACTTGGAACCAGGTCCTCTCGATTGCGAGGAAGCAGTTTCCAGACCGCTCGTTTCCGGAGGATATCGAGGGACAGGAGCCGGATCGTTGTACGGTGCCGAATCAGCGGGCGTTAGAGCTGCTGAAGAGGATGGGAGTGGAAGGGTGGACGGAGTTGGAGGAGAGCGTGAAAGTGCTGGGGAAACAACTTGTGGAATTTGGGAACTGAGTCAGTAAGGGAGGGTCAAGCTAGCAAGCCGAGAGAAACAGTGACAAGAGAATAGGGCCTTAGGTTCCTGTTACAAGAAACTCGACATTGCGCCTATATATTGGAGAGACTATGGGGGCAACCCTAGCAGCGGCAGACGAGTGTGCACAGTCTTATAGCTTGTCGCTCACTCTGGGCATGAAAAAAGTGGCACAATCATCAAGTACTCTGCCCATGTGTACACCTGTCTGTCACTACAAGAAGTGCTTCAACAAGTTTCCACATAGCCCAAGGCGAAGAGCTTTTATCTTCCTGAAAATACATTGAGACAACTCAAGCAGTGGCAAACAGGTGCACACATGAGAGCTATTGTGCCACCTTTCCCATGCTCCGCATATCGCTATGGCTGGGCTGCTATATTGCAGATACAGTACTCAGACTAAAATTTCCTTAACCCTTTCCAACGCCGCTTGTGGTGCTTCGAAAGTAGTGACAAAGCCTGTCTGTGTACACCTCTCTACTACCGTCTGAGGTAGCCTGAGGGTTCGAGCAGGTCAAAAGAATAGATCCGAACCCTTTTTGGATTGCCAAAAGCTCTATGAAGCTCTTCAAACGGTGTTCGAATCGCGATGGCTTCTCAACCTTAAATCTCATAAATCTTTTGCAAATGTACCAAGCCCGCAAATGCCTCCCTTGTAACACAAGGCGGCTGTGGGTATGTGAGAATCACCCCAAGCGGCTCGAAATCGCGTGCCAATTCGTCCAACCAGTCCCAAGGATACTTCACCGTGCGTAAAGCGTTTTGGAGATCGGAGGAGACGAACTGTGGAATTGGACGGAACTCAACATGAACTCGCTTAAGCGGAGATCCGCATGCGAGTATTGTATCCATGAACTCTCAAAGGGCGTCCGCATTAGCTTTTCTAAAGCTTAACAAGTTCGGACGAGAGGATTTGAGTTTGTGACTGAAGTCCCAGATGAAGTTGCTCAGCGCAGGCGCTGCCAGAGATGACGCTTGGTCGCCGAGATCTTGCTGTGTGCGGTATGGTAGGCGCGCCGAGAGATGGAGGTGGTGTAGCATGGGGTATGTAGTGAGGTTGAGGTGGCCACCAGGGTTCTCAATTATGATCTCCAAGCTTTGTAGCGTCGGGCGATGGGGCTCAAGAGCTATTGAAAAGTCATTGAGATCGAAATTGTTGGGAGCGAACTTATTGCGAGAACAATGGCAGTCCAATTGCTCAAGGGCTTGTGGCCAAGCGAGCAAGAACGTAAGACTTTCAAGGCGGCAGCCGAAATTTCGCAGTGAGAGGCTGGTATAGATAGCTGTACGTTCCTTTCTCTTGATTGGATATCTAGTCAGTACTGTGTACTCCCCGACTATTCTGTAATCAGTGACTCCTGTAAGCTGCAAGCGCCGAACGGCCGGAAAGTCGAGGTCGAGGAATTTCACTAGCGGGTTCTCATAAAGAAGGGAGGTTGAAGACAGATACTAGGTCCTCTGGTGACCTAAGTGAGTGTTCAAACGCGACTTGAGCCGTGTTTCAACACAGTTCCAGGAACAATGACACCAGAGGAACCTAGTGTATGTTAGAGGACCTTACATACTCAGCCACAAGTGTGGAGTACCCCAGAGTTCTCCTCGAAGATCGAAGGATTGCACCTTTGAGAGCTTGATTAAGAATGTGGAGGCAGCATCATACTCTTAGCGTAGCGTCTCCTTCGCCTCAGCTTCTCGTCGCAGTATATATGTGATCTGCAAGACGTGATCATCATCCTCTTCAGAAAATGGAAAGGCACTAATATGAACTCTGATATGCAAACACAGCTGGGCGAGCGTGGAATTGGCAGAGAGTGATCGCGAGAGCAGCTTCGCGGACTCGGAAAGAGGAACCCGGCTTCCGAGAGTATGAGGTTGCAGAGAGATGGCGCGGTAGAGGAAACGATACGCTAAGTCGCTAATCCGTCTGCTCACCAGAGCAAGAGACCATGGGGTCTTGTACCAGTCTTGACTTTCATCGTCCACGGCAAGACTGGCGATCTCGGAAAGAAGTTCGTTGGGCAGGCGGAGCAAGTGCGAATCTCCAGAGGCGTGGGTTGATGGCACGGCTATAATGGTGAGGGGCCTCGCGTGCACAAGACAAAACTCGGCAGGTGTATATAGAGGCTTGGCTTGTTGGTGTAGGTAACTAGCTAGAAAGAGGCATATGCGGAGATGAAGTTCCTCTCGCGCACGTGGCCGTTAATAGTCAGTGGTCGAAGAGATACCTAGTGTTCTAGAAGTTTAGCTTACTCTATACTTAGATTAGTATTCTAATATAAAGGTAAAATTAAGGAAATTAACTTATAGGGTTTTGGATGTAAACTCCAGGTATCGGATAGCACGGTCCGTTGTAGATTTATGGAAGGCATAACTAACAGTTATTAAAGAGGCTTTAAAGATTTCGAGTCTATATAACTTTATAACAAGCTATGTTTCCGTTATTAAGAAGTTACAAAAGAGATTACGCACATAGCTGACCATCGTCAGGCTTCCCCACTGCACGACAGGAAAACGAGCAATGGACTAGCCCTCCTTCTTTCTCCACAGCCCCCCATAATAGCGGCCTTGAGCTTGCGTCATCAGGCTCCGACAATCCGGGGTGACAGGCTGCGGCAATCGCAGCACTACAACTTCCTGCAATCGGCATCTCCGACCTAATCGTAAATCTCGTGAAAACGAAGCTGATCGCAATAATCATGAAACTAAAAAGCGCCACTATGCCGTAGACAGGACGTTTTGAAATGCCTGTTGTGATAAAGTCTTTGCTGGGTAATCTTACACGGGTAAGATCGGTGCCTGAGGACTGGTAACCCCAAACCTCCACGCTGATGAAGTAGAGGCATTGCGAGAGGAGCCAATGGAGGAGCCCAGAGACAACCAAAAGGGGCACTGACCATCGATATGGAAGGGACAGGAAGTAAGTGCTGCGCTGTGAGCCTTGAGGGTTACTTGAGACGCGAAGACCCCGTCGGCGAACTCCATACCGGCTCCATTCATCAGCTAGGACCACGCTGGTAATTATTCCGTTGAAAAGGAAAAATAGCGCGGAACCGTAGATTTGAAGAGCGTTGGAGCGAACTACATTAGCAATGATGCTGTTGTTCGAGATGGTGTTGGTGCCGGATATGTAAGTAGTCTTCCCGGAATATGTCATCGCCACGATCAAGCCGCCTTCGACCCTATATGTTGTCAGAGGACGAAGACTCTAGCACACTCAGAACTTACCAGAGGAGGAAAGACGCTCGCCGAAGTGTACTTGTCACCTTTTGCCATTGCAGACGCTTTGATTTGTATCTCTGAGGTGGTATCTGCCATCCACGGTTGACACTCTCCGTCTTCTTGACTATCGACTTGCTCAACAAGCTACTCTTCTTCGACCATTCGTCAGATCTGTCGAGGAAAGAGGCCACAGCGTCGCCAGTGCTTAGGAGTGGGGGTGCCTTAATAAGAAAAAGGAGGCCAAGCATAAACAGCGTTTTTAAGGAAGTGAGACCAAGCGTTATTAGTAGCAATGGGACGCTAACGTGCACCGTACATATTTCCTCATTGTCATCACGGTATTCTGACAAGCAGAAGAGTACCGGATAATGTTGTGCAGGACTTCCCAAAGAGTATATCCACTCGCCGTCCTGAAACAACTCATTCTTTATAGTCGATGTGGAGTGGTCAATAGGACTGGACGAATTCGCTGCCCACTCCTCAAGACCGCTACATTTATCGGTGGTGTCTTTGGATTCGTCTGGATCCTCAGTGGTGCTTTCGAATTCGTTTGGGGCATCGGGAAAGACCGAGCCGGATGTGAAAAATTTCTCGCCAGTCATGTTGAGTATTACTAGTACGTTGCCATAGTGAGAAACGATCGAAGAATTGTAGATATTGTAGCAATCTATGCTCTTCATCCTTTTCAATTGATCGGCGTTCGCTTTTTCCTGGAGCTGCGAGACTAATAGGACGTCAAAGCCGCTGCACGTTTCAAGCCCGTGATCTGGTGCGACACTGGAAAGGTCCAGACTGGAAAAATTCTGAGGACTCAGTACTCGAATGTATTCATTTGTCGGGGTCGAGGAATACACGACGGAGTTGTAGCTGAACGCACAGTCAGTTCAGTTTTGGCCAAGGAAAGCTCAAATATTTACCTCATGTGCAGGCACATGGAGGAGAGGCACAGAAGAACCCAGAGTAACGCTCTTGAAAATGGGATGAGGGGGAGGTTTCGAAGGCTCATCACACCAATGTCGAGCCATTTTGCTCTCGCGTGAGCCTTGTCGACCTCAGTTCTCGTTGGCGCTGACAATATTTGCTTGGCCCGATTAACAACCAGAAAACGCGCGGATGGTAGGGTCAACAGATCTCACCATGCAATAATTACTGCCGCTCAAGAGTATTGTCCCGAAAGCGTTTATAAAGAAATGAATCACGGTATTCCATTTGTTGACTGTCGCACAGTTATCTTGGAACAATACGGCTTGGCTAGACGAAATGGTGCTGTCCGACTGCTTCTTCACTTTCGTCCAGGTCAATAAGATCAGATTTATGCAAGTGACCACTGCGCTAGCAGATGCGACGATGAGGACGCCAGGTCTCCAGCCTCGAGTCCACTTGTCGGTCCGCTTGCGGTTTGATTTGGAACAGAGTATCTCTGTCTCTGAGGCGCTGACATCTCTGTCGGGTTGCTTCATCGCGTCAGAAGACGCCGTTCGGCTACAGGATAGAAAAGCTGTAGAAAAGGAGAGCGAAGATGAAAAAATGCTTCGCAGGGCAGGATGCTATTTATAAAGCGGTCAGATACAAGATGCGCAAGGAAGGAATGGCACTGCAGTATTTAGCAAACAAGGCTAAAGGTACGCCAGTCTGCCACCTCACATCAATAATCGAATAAATGGTCTTGTAGCATACATACAGCACGTCAACACATCCTCCAATCGCCTGTCACACTTCAACACAGGCGTCGCGCTGTTCCGACACTTTCATCCACCTTTATCACACTCTTCGATTGCGTCCGCGAGTGCTCACTAGTATTCTTCTCCCGGATTCGTTATCAACGATTCGACGAGGCTTTCGCATCGGAAAAAGATGATCTCCCAAGGGTGTGATGGTGGTGCAAGGCAATGCATGGCACAGTGCAAGCCAATCAAGGACGAGCCGTAGTCGTGCGCACGCTCTGCAGCTAAAACTGAGGCGATGAACTCACCCGCCCCCGTCGCCAATCATGTCGCCAACGTCGGATCCACAGAATTAAAATCTCACCTGCTGCTCAGTTGACCACTCAGTCCTCTCCAACGCGCTGATAATGCGTTGGCCCCAAGGAGGTGTTGCAGTCCACCCTCGAGAATGTTGACAGATCCTTTAACGTAGAGTCGATAATATCTCATCAATTTTTCATCAAAACCCTAGATACTGTAACCGCAAGACCCGCAAGAGTCTAAGGAGTTGTACGATATGAAATTCGAATAGGCATTCTGCTAGACCGTAGTGTCTACGTCGAAAATTACTGTCGGCAAGGTAGGAAACGCGCATATCCGCCGCACTCTCGCATACGCCAGGCCGGACGCCTCCGGAAGAGGGGAGGCGGAGCAGGGGAGAATACTTGGCAGCAATTATAGATAGTACGAACCGCTGATCAGCTCAGCCTTCATTTCGCTTTCGCATCTTCCGCTCGTTGTTGTTTCAACGGTGTCCTTGAAGCATCATTCTTGTTTATCGAGCGATATCGACCGAAATTATCGTTGATAGAGCGGTGTTGACAAATTTGCACGTCATCAATAGGGAGCTATAGTAGTACCAACTGCACCGTTACTCCATTCACACGTACTGGCACGACCACAATACTCCTATGGCGGAAGCTAGCAAAGGTTTAATAACCACGAATATACAATCGCCAGCTCATTCTGTCAAAAACAGGGAGGACGCAATACCCACAGGATGGAAATACAAACGCTTGAAACTCGGACCCATTACCCTTCCATGGTATGCCTCACCTAAGTCGCAGTTGATCTTGGTGTCGTTCGTGTGCTTCTTGTGTCCAGGTAAGATTGTGCAATACAATAGCATTCTGCAGCTAACTGACTACGTGAAGGCATGTACAATGCTTTCAATGGTTTTGGTGCTTCAGAGCAACTTAGCCCATATGCTAGTTCCGCCTCAAACTCTGCGATTTATGCTACTTTTGCTGTTGCCGGTTTCTTCGCCGGCCCGGTCACCAACACCATAGGTATCAAAAACGCCGTCTCATTCGGTAGCCTTGGATACTGTGTCTACGTTAGTTCATTACTACACTATAACTTCAGTCATGAGATCGGCTACAACGTCTTCGCCGGTTTGTTGCTTGGATGCTGTGCAGGCATTCTCTGGTCTGCGCAAGGCGCGATTATGATGTCGTATCCACCAGAGAAACTCAAAGGCCGGTTTATCTCCTGGTTCTGGATAATCTTTAATTTGGGCTGTGTCATCGGAAGCCTGGTAAGCTGAAGTCATTCAAAATATAGCTATATACCGCAAACTAATTCCGACGCTAGGTTGAACTTGCCCTAAACATTAACATGTCAGCCAACGCTACTCTTCGCAGTAGTATCTATGTCGGCTTCTTAGGCATTACGTTTCTTGGAGCCTGCTTATCTTGGACATTGGTTGATGCTAAGCACGTCGTGCGCTATGATGGGTCTAGAGTTATTCTAATGAAGCACCCGACGTGGAAGACAGAGACTATTGGCCTTTGGGAGACAATTTGGAGTGATCCCTATATCATACTCCTTTTTCCTATGTTCTTCACGTCTAACTGGTTCTACACGTACCAGTTCAACGACGTCAATCTTACGCAGTTTAACACGCGTACTCGCGCACTTAACAACACACTTTTTTGGCTTGCTCAGATGTTTGGGGCTCTTATCTTCGGCATGGGACTAGATTTTCCTAATACTAGGAGGACTACGAGGGCAAAGGTGGCTTGGGTTGTTATGTTTGTCCTTACCTTTACAGTCTGGGGCGGAGGTTATGTTTTCCAGAGGAAGTACACTCGTGAGGATACTGCCTTGATGGATCACTTTGTATACGATTGGACATCGGATGGCTATGTCGGACCGATGTTCTTGTATATCTGTTATGGCTTCTATGACGCAGCATGGCAAACGTGCGTGTACTGGTAAGCAATTTTAAGTCTGCAAGGCAATTCGGAGTTTACTTACTTAGTAAGGTTTATGGGCGCTATCACCAATAACAGTCGCAAGCTCGCCAATTTCGCAGGCTTCTACAAGGGCATTCAGTCTGCAGGTGCAGCTGTTATCTGGTATTTGGATGGCTTCGATAGCCCTAGGCCATATATGAGCCTGTTCGCTTCATGCTGGATTCTGCTTGCCGGCAGCTTGGTCACTGCGCTCCCGGTCATATTGCTAAAGATTAAGGACACTGTACCGCTCGAGGAAGACCTCAAATTCACCGACGAGACTGTCGAGGACGTCATCGGCCATAAAGTCATTTACGACTCCCCGGAGCAGGACAAAGTTTGAGATATGTTCTTGTAGGCGTCGGTAATCATTTGCGATATTTCTCTCAAACTTTTACAGCTTGCGTATGACGTGTTATTAAACTAGTGTGCTTGGACCCAGCCTTGTGTGCCTATATTAAAGTGAAAACATACTATAAAAAAGGAAAGTTCCAAAGGTTCAAAACGAAGATTCTCTGCTGGAGTTATTACTAGATGAAATGAACGTGGTGTGAACTGCTTCATATCTGCGCAAGGAAAATGCCGTCTTTCATGCCAGAGTTGAAAACGAGTAATAGCTAGCCAGGTATCGCCTTTCCGAAGACTCGAGCTGAACTCAATAAGGAAGCTCTAAAATATCAGATGCGGCTTCGCTGCTTAAGTCGCAAACCCTCTTGGCCAAGTACTGCTACGGAATTCTTCCTACGTCCTGGCAATTTGAGACGTACCGACCGACTTTGTCCATGTGGCTATATGTTTGCTTCTAGCAAAATTGATTCAAGGTCGTCTTGTGCTTCCAACTCCATCTTACTCGTCAGTTTATTGATCCGACGCGCTTCACTCATAGCGTCACCGCAGTAACGTGCTGCGAGATCCATCTTTCCACTGCGCCGACACCACCGCCAGCGACGCTGCGCCATATTCCACCAATGGTCTACGTTTTGCTCTGAGATCTGATAATCATCTAGGGCGCACGACCATATCGTCAACTGCGTATCAATGCTTTGCTCTCGCTGCAGTTGTTGTAATACTATTGTCAACGGACATCTTTGCCCCAGGACTTCGAGGGCGGCATTGGCCATAAACTCTGCAAATTTTTGAAGTACCAGCTCGCGTTCAGAACCCCATAGAATGGAGCTGATACAGTACGTTATCCGTGATACCGAAACAACGGTACCGTGGAGGTCTTCCGTCATCTTCTTAGCTGCCTGGCCGAATGACCACCGAGCTGCTGCAAACGCGTTCTTGCGCCAGTACGCCATGCCCTTTATTAGTGCACTAAATATCGCATCTGGAGAAATTTGCCGCCCTGTTAGCCACTCCTCTCGCTCCCTCCCTATCAATGCTTGCATCGCCCGAAGGAACACGTCCAATTCGGCAAATCGGTCTGGAAGTGCTGGAGAGCGTGGTACGGATGAAGCTTCGGTTGCCGCGTGGAAGAAACCAGTTACAATAGGGTGCCTGATAGCACCAGGTTGCAATGTTTGCCGCTCGTAATGATCACGTCCATCTCGCTTCATCATCCTGCTTAGGTGATGGCTATCCAATGCCCCAGATTTAACGCGAGACTTTGCGTATCGAACGAGCTTGTCATGACGAATCGGGTTAGATTCATTTATGAGTGGTTCATTGTGGAGAATCTTTGCCAGGGCTTTCTCCTTCTCGTCGGCTTTGACCTGTTTCGAAAGCCCCCAAGCTTTAAGTCGCTTCTTGTACATCTGCTCACTGTGGATACTTAGACATCACCCGGCTTCATAGGAAAGCATAACTTACGTGGCACAAAAGTTATGCTCTTTGTCTATCTTTTGCATGGCGTCTTGAAGAGTCATGTCCAAGTCGATGTAGTAATACTTGAGGCTCGGTTGTATCTTTGCCCACGCTATTTGAGTGTGAGGCCGGCGTCTCCTCATGGCGACTGGGCTCCGGGGTGGAGACGACTCCTTGGGGGTTTGGGAGCTGACAGGGGTGTCCTGCATCGCTCGACAGTCAATGGTTGCTAGATGAGATGGCATATGTAATGTAGTACAATTAGGTGCAAAGGTTCTTAAGTTTGACAATTGTGGAGAAATGAGGTTGAAGCGCCCAGACTAGCGTGCAAAGGGTCTTAAGTTTGACAATTGTGGAGAAACGAGGTTGAAGCACCCAGACTAGCGTGCAAAGGTTCTTGAGGATCGGCATTGCGCTTGACTACAAACGGCCTACGCTGCTTGGGGGCTGAGCCGATGAGTGCTCCAACCGTTTCCGCTGGAATCTGCACATACAACCTCGTCGTATTCTACTGCGTCTATTGCGTGCTAATGAAGCTTGCAGAAGGAACTGCAGATGGCGGAATACTTGGTCAAGTTGTAATAGTCAGTGAGAAGATCTCGCTGTGCAGTGCTGCGGTAGCATGGTCCGGGCGGTTCGCAAGCTTTCATCGTCCAGTAGACACCTCCTGTAGGAGAGTGTCATCGCGGCTCTGCATGAAATTTAGACCTACCTTGAACCTCATTCCTGTGTGGCAGTGTCTGCTATTTTGTTATTTTTGGAAAGGCCGATTTCAGCTTTGTCGACGTGTCGTCGCGATAAGCGCGATGATGTCTGTCCGCGATGCCTTGAAGTGTGGCCTCCTTTTTCTCACCCCGATCCTTGCGCACTCTCATGTCTGCATGATAAATTCTATTGCATATTCTGTTTGCTGTTCATTTTGATATTGCTTACATTAGAACATGCCGGAGGACGGGTCGGCAACAGAGGCAACTGAGCTGAATACTATTTCTCACGGCCCGAGGAATGTTCTTCAGCCTGGTGGATCGCCGGCCATTCTTTCCAACAACGCGACTTCTCCGCCAGAGGGACTCGTAGAGCCCGTGTGTCCAATCGGTACACATTTGGGAAGAGACTCGAATGGTTCTCAGTCGCTGTCGGACTGTGTAAGCAATCAGGAAGCTTCTCTGCCAAGAAATGATTATGAACAAGGTCCACCATCGGGTGTAGCAACTTCTATACCAAGGACTACCGGTGGTGACAAAGTATCTTCGCTAAGTGGGGCTAGTAATGCAAGCGAGGAGGATATAGATGATTCCGAACCCCAAGAAACGACAATATCGTCATCAGCTTCGCGTACCCTTATTACTGGCTCTGTCTAAAGCTGATATCTTTCAGACGCTGATTCTGAAGCTGGTCAAGATGACGAATCGGACTCATCTTCATCAGCAATTCCACAAGGATCCTCGCATGCGCCTGCACTTCAACTGCCCACTCGCTGGCTACCTGTGTCTTTACAGTCTTACTATGTTCTGGCTGTCATTAGATCTCAATCACCGTTGAATTTGTCTGCATTGGGCTTCTCGTCTATTCACAAAGCACAACGGGCTGGTCAACAAGCATAGCACTAGCGGGTTCAGTTTCTCATGGAGATTCATGCCCACGATGGTGGCTGTTCTTTACACGCTACTATGGATTCCACTCACGAAAGATGTCATCCGCACCGAACCTTGGGCGTTGCTGTCACTCCCTGGCGGATCGACAGGGTCGGAGTCCTTGCTCCGAGGCTGACACTTTTAGGGTACTTCAAACTGCGGATTGCGAGATTACATTGTTTTACAGTCACTAAACGCTACCCAACTAGGCATCCAAAAACCTTCGGGCAAGGGAAGCTACCTAGCATATATATGCAGTACCCAGTATCTTCCTGCACGCGTGCCTGTTAATGTCTCACTTTCAAATTCGGAATTTTTCGTATCGGTTGACGATGAAACTTTCAATCGGACAAAGCAGACCATGGACTCAACATTCCTCGATGAGGCACAGTTCGAGAGCTCTTCTATCAACGAAACCGACTCCAATAACCTACAGATCCTCCTCACGTAGAACACTCCTAACTTTCCTCACTTTGGAGGGCCACTTGAGGCTCTTGCGGCTCAGTACAGCCATGACATTGATGCTCTGATGTCGGCACGCGACCTCATTGAACAAGCAAATGCTGTTAAACAGCGATTTTTTTCTGAAGGACTGTTCTCCGTATGATCTAATCTCGAACATTCCAACGACACTACCGCAATGCCTTTCTCCATCTCGGTGACAAACACTCCACTGATCGTCAGTCTTGGGGTCGGAAGTGCGATATGCGTGACATTTTTACTTCTGACTGCCCTAGCTACTGGGCTTTTCTACTTGACGAGGCTCTCACGGAGACCACTTGGGCTCAGAAGAGATCCAATACCATAGAGGCTGCTGCAATGGCGATCCAGGGCTCTGAGGCAGCGAATTGCTTTGAAGGCTTGGACAGAGTGCCTGTACGCCAGGTAGAAGCTGCCTCAGGTGATCACCAGTTTCTCGTCCAATCTGGTAAGATACGTCAACCTCTCAGCAGTGCAACAATATCGTTGCCTCGGCGGTCATCTCAATTGCCTGAAGCGACAGCGTCTCGCTCGAGGACTAGGTCTCTCTGAAGCGGAGTATGATGGCGAGGACTGGCGGCCACCGAGTCTATGCCGCTGGATTGGAGCCCTATTGGTTCTATTCCAGGTCTCCATCATCGCTGGCCTTGCCGCCATCTACGCCACGTCTCAAGGAAAAGGCCTGTACGAGAGTGCATTGGCCTATAAGACCGATATCAAGCTTGGAAACTATAGATTTGGTTCTCTGGCACCGTCCAGTATTGTCCCTACTTTGATTGCCTTTTTTGTAAAATTATGGTGGCAATTAATCGATGATACTTTCAGGGGTCTGACGCCTTTTCTTGCTCTTCTGCAGCGGCCTCAAAATCCTTCGGATGCAGCCACTTTGTCCTATGCATCCACTCCTACTCTTTGGATTACTGTCAGGGCTGCCAGAAAAAAACACTGGATTTTGTTTTTGGTGACGTTCGACGCCTTTACCGCGGAGGCCTTGTAGGTCTTCATGTCTGCTCTTTGGACAAGAGAGCCTGGGTCCGCAGCGTACAACATCGATTTGAGGCCAAACTTGGAAATTCGTACAGTACCCCATTGTTTCAAAGTTATGCTGGCACCGCTTCGAGCAGTCGCACTTTAGCTTGGCCAGATATTACACCACATCTCTTTGGAGGAGCGGGCTATCAGAGCTCGTGGTTATTTAGCGCTCTTTCTCAGTGCTCATACAACAGCTCATCTCCTGCGTTTAGCAAGAATGGCTGGAGTTTTCCGATAATGGATCTTAGGAACATCACTGCGAGTGTGGCCACAATTGGAGGTATCAACTCCACCGACCAAAGACAAATGCAGGGCCCCGCATTGGACATTACCTACAACACCAAAGCGTTATCTGGTAGAATGGAATGCAGTCCCATACCCGATACCAATCAGTGGATGTCAACTCGAAACCTAACCGATCCAGCGACATGGGACGTCAGCTCCAATCCCAAGGGTCTCGTTGTCGGGTACGAGCTTTCGAGCCTCATTAGACTAAACTACTTTGTATCCTACACCGGCCAGCCGACGACTTCGAATTTCGCCGTTGGACAATGGCTGCCATTTGGATACGGAACTGAAGAGGCAGACTTTTTGAGCACCAACTTCACTGTGCTTTGGATGAATGCTAGCCACCCGAGCTCGTATCATGACACCACCGATGGGCCGACTCGCTTGATTTTCGCAGAGAAACCTCAAATAGCAGCGCTGAATTTCATGACGATATTGGAAGCCGCAAATGCTAGTAAAACTGTTAGCGTCAGCGACGGCAGTGTCCAAGGGTACAAGCTGTTGGATGATCCGAGAAATGCCACGGAAGCTTGGGCGGAATTTGACACGCAATATGCCAATGAATCAGCTTACAGACAGCCAACGGGTTTGCCCCAGTATAACAATACCGTCCGATGTGTATGTTCCATTCTACTGATACACTGGAACTAAAAGGTACAATAGTTGGGGTTACCTCTTTCAGATTGCGCTTAGGGAAGCTTCCAACTACCCCAAAGAATTGGCATTTGGAGTTAATAGTGATGGAGCGGCGCCATTCAGCTTCCAAGAGGGAGATCTTTACTCAGACTTTTACAGCTACGCCTCTCTGGCCCTCGTCAATTACGACCGTCAATCTCTGATGGACACTGGAGTTCTCGCCGACGTCTCCAAGAAGGTGTTTTCTTCATTCTTTCAGTCATTTATATCATTACCCAATGGCTACGACGGACACCGGGCATACCAACCAGTAGGCTCCAAAATGCCGTTCGGTCCCGATTTTGAACCACGGGTGACAACAACAGCATTGTCAACTCAAATAGTGACTTCGACTTCGCGTTCCGTGTCACTGTAAACTGACGTTCAAAAGAGTTACGGTCGCTCCGACGGAGAGAATCACCATCCGTCGAAATATTACAATCCCAGTGTGTAGACCTACCAGGACAGTGATAAGGACATCAATATACACCACGGTAGTAGTCACATACCCCGAAACATCTTCGACCCCTACCGCGCTACTTCTTCGCAACAAACTTCCCGGCCAGTGCCAAGAAATCCCCTAATTGAGACAGGTACTGCGCGCTTAGCCCGTCGTGCGAGTGCATCTATTTCTATTGGTGCTCCGGAAGCATCGAATAATATATCAGCTACCCTCTCGATCCGCACCGAGCTTCTAGTCATATCTCCGTTTTCCGTCTTCTTCAGCGTTAGCATCCTTGCCATGTTGGTCATTTCAACGCTCATAGTCTACCTCTGGAATGGCTACTTCAAAATGCTACCCCGAGACGTAGATTCCCCAGCAAGCGTCTTCGGCTATGTGTATGCAAGCGAGAAGCTTCAAGAGTGGGCTAGACAACGAGAGGAGAGCCAAGGGTTGAATCATAGGCCAAATTCCTGGCTTAAATGGAAGAGGGCAAGGTCGGCTGGGCCAAGGACCTTGGATAGTGATCATGATGTTTCCTTGCACATGGGGAATTTCACCGGCAGGGATGGTACGAATCGATAGGCCATTGAACTTCAAGATACGTTGGAAAACCAAAATCAAGGTCATAGTACGCGGGATTGGGCGTCATTTTTGCGACGGCGAAATAGACCTGCAGACGCGACGAACGGGCGAACTCAGGTTGAAATTGATGTGAACTCTGATTTCTATAGACGTCTAGCTAGTTGTATATATACTAGGGGAAGGAAGGGGGCCACCCCCAGGGTGGCGCGCTAGTAAGTTCAGATGAGCCCTGCACAGCTGAGGCTTCAGCTCGGTTCTCTACAGCTGAGATTTCAGCTGGGTTCTCTACAGCTGATGTTCGGAGAGTAGCTTTCTGGCATATGAGTTGTTGATCCTAGGTTGTAGTGCTGCAACCTGAGTGGCGAGTGAAGATGACGCTGAATCTTCGGTTTGACTTCTGTTCTGATTTATAAGATGACTGAGCAAGTTTGGACAACCCGGACTACTTGACCGGAGGAGGTTCTGGCATTAAAACTACTATAAACAGTTTCTTCTTCTACGCGATAGTTTTTAATGATCAAATCCCGTCCCAACCCGGAAACTTACCGTTTTAAACCGACTTGAGCGCTTTTGTCAATCCTAATCCTGCTGAAGAACAGTTGGGAAAGGGAGTAAAGGTTTCGCAGTCCTAGAATGATATACGAGCTCGTATATTAGGTATACAGTACTCCTTATTGGATCAAAAATTAGAACTTCGCTTCCTGACTCCATCTAACGAGTTCGTGGTCCAGACCTTTTCGACGTCGAAAATCTTCGTTACTGTTGCTCGAGCATTAAGCTTTGCATTAAAGGTATGAGGAAGATTCAATTTGCATCCTCTATAGTAGCAACTACTCCGTCCTTCGAAATATTGTCGCCTCGCTGACGTCTGCTACTTCGATAATTCTATGTATGGAGACGCAACTGTTTTACTGTTAACATGTATTTGGCCGAGGATCGCATTCTTTGCTATATTTGCTATAAGTTGGTTACAAAGAAGCGCAGTAAATAGGTTCCTCGATATTTGAAAAACTCCACTAGGGAAACAGATGTGCCAGAAGGCGTCGCGGAGTTCATTTCACAGCGTTGTCGCTGGTTGAATGGCAGCTTTTTCGCCGCTATATACGTAGTGGTCTATTTTTGGAAGATTTAGCAATTTGGTCACTCACTTCGAAAGATCATGCTAACTATTAAGGTTGTATACTAAGTAGTGAGCATGATATTTGCTTGGTTCGCCTTAGTAAGTATCTAGGTGTAGTTATCGTTGTCACTCCGCTGGGACTAAAGCTAACACAACAATCTAGGCCAATTTCTTCTTAGTTTTCCGAATTATCATCCGGTCGTTAAGCGATCCAATCCTGTTAGGAAAAGCCGGCTTAATTTAATCAGTGTTCTTCGAAGGGTTATATGTCGCTTGCCTGATAGCCTGCTTCATTCTTGTACTCGGCAATACACCAAAAGGCACGAAGAGAATATACCTAGGAATAGTCTACTACTAGGCAATCGTCATAAGGTAAAGTTAATTTCTTATTCTATTAGTCCGCCAGTTAAGACTAACGCATTGTGCCAGCTGTCTCATGTTCGCCTCCATATTCGTAACAGTAAAATTACTCCGGTCAGAAGTGAAAGCATATATTTACGTCATTCCTCCAATATCTGCTCTTGACCCCGAGCTACATCAACATCCTTAATGTGTATGCCTTTTGCAACACGGACGATCTTAGCTAGGGAACCAAAGCGGCAACGACGCACCCGGTAATGGATCAGCTAAGTAGGCGAAAATAACAAATTTAAAATAGCAGTTCCACACCCAAACATCTAGTACGAAGAAGAGCTTGCAGTGCTTTGCGGGGAGGCTTCGGAAGAAGAGAAATCGAACCCTAAAGACGAGAAGAAGTTTTACTATACAAGAGTGCGCTCGGGAATTGTCATAGGCTAGATCTTCGGCAACTTTGCACGGTGTCTTTTTGTGCTAAATGCTGGTAGCGTTGGGATAATCACCAAGTCAAAGATTCCTGTGGAGCAGACACAAGCCAGGAATTCGGGGATATATCGCTTCATTGTCACTCCACAGAGGCAGGAATTGAGCCTCAATCGGCTGGGACTTCCCATCCTGAACCTTCGGAACCTGTCACTTTGGAAACGGACGTAAGAAAGGCGCCGATTTATAATAGAGATCATCCCCGAGAGAATAAGGAGGACGAGGACAAAAGCGATGATGACTCAGGGTTTCCGGCCTACGTGCCTAGCCAATTACAACTTCTACAGAGAGGGGTTGGGGTACGGTGGCCTACCCTGCCTACCGCTGCCTACTGCTGCCTCTAATTAGTACTTATGCCTACGCTCCCTATGTAGTATATAGTCTGCTCGTACGGCTTCACAAATCAAACAGAGTTCACGTCAATTTGCAACCTAAGTTGATGGCGATAAAACTGTGTGCAGTTAGGAGCCAAATGGGTGTAAGTATCTCAGCAAAGTTGGCAATAAGCTCAAGGCTGATTCAGCACTTTCAAACCTTCCTTTCCCAATATATCAGTGATATTGGTGCCCTATGTTCGATTCCCTGATCCAAAGCGTCCGTGACCGCAGAGTTGTCGACAAGCACCTCACCACACAACGCATCAGAAAGATAGAAGTCGAGATCCTCTACGGCGAGACACTAGACGAGCACGGCTGTAATCTTGGTTGTCCCATGCGTTGGTGGACCCCGACAGGCTCATTGCCCACAGAGACTTCATCTTGGTAATCGAAACAGGCTTGACTCAACAGAGCTTCCTAGAGAAGTTGCGCGATGTTTTGTACAATCTAGTAGATTACTTTACTGCTCTACTACTATAAGTCGCGTAGCTACTTAGTTCCTCTCCCCGATCTAGCTCCTCGCGACCTGCCTCCTCCTCGCGCCCTAGCCACTCTCCGCGATCTATGGCTCACATCAGCATCTGAGTTGACATCATCTTCAGCTGCTCTTTTAATTCCCTGACCATCTTCCTCCCATTTACCTTTTATTAGTACAATCAATTTGTCTAGTGTATGACCCCAGACGTTTGCCGAGTCTGTCTTGTCAATGTAACAAAAATAGTACCGGTCGATGGAGCAATTCCTCTCGATAAGATTGCCGACACTGGTCTTGACAATACATTCAAATTCCTGTGATATGATTGTTGAGTACGGAGCGACATAGATGAAAACTATGTCTCCCTTGAAATGTTGTTTGTCAAGCCAATCCCCTTGTGTCAATTTCTTGAGCACGTCTTTGAGTTGGGCGGGCTGGTGTCCGGATACCTTTACCTTGAACTATGAATCGTCAGCAGATATCGATCAGTGGGATTATAAGTTACTTGACCTGTATTACAATGAGCACTTTTTCATTTTGGTCATTTGTGAGAACAAACATCAAGTCTGGTCCCCCTAAGTTGCCAGGAAACAGGAAAGTTGTGTGGGTTCCGTTTTCAACCCCCCAGAGCCATTCATCGACAGAAATGGATCGACTAGGCAGCTCTTGACTAGTAGCTTCAAGTGTGTCTGCTCGGTTTTGGCGCGTGTAGAGATAGTAGCTGTCATAACGCTTTTGGTCGTCGACTAGAACAATTTCATCCTTACCGGAATTTGAGACGACATTGCCTCTCTTCCGCATTTCCAAGGCTTCGAAGAATTTGGCTCGTCGACTAGCACTGATGTTGTCGGGCGGACTGGCATTGATGTTGTCCTGTGACAGAAAGTTGTCGAGCTTCTACAGCACGATTAGCGCGGTCGCAAAACATCTTCACCAAAAGCGTCAAGCACTCACGCTGGTGAGGTTGAACTCTGCAATCTTCCCAAGTACAGCTTGAGTACCATTATCAAGCTGGCTGCTGGCTGAGAAAAAATCGTTCATCATTCTGTCGTAAACCTTTGTCGTCCGGAGATGTAACATTACTGCATCGACGGCAAGAGGTTCGCAAAGCCACGCCCGCACTACTTGAACGGGTTCCTCAACTTCATCGGGGTCGATGTTGGTGGGATCATTTTGTTGTGTCGGTGGCGCCTGGTTACCGTGTGATTCTCCAGATCCAATCTCCTCTATGAGTGCAAACCCCTCTGATACGAGACGTGCAGTATCGTCTTCGATGACAGACGATTGATTGAAAACGTCAGCCCAGATAGCCAACTTGTATAGCTTTTCAATCCAGGGCTCGTCCTTGATGCGTCGTAATTGGTCCAGAAGAGCCTTTATCACGGTATTCCTAGTATTCTTTGCGGCATCCTTGACAAGTGATTCTCCTTGTTTGTCAGGAACTTGAGCGTGTGTGAGAATGTCTCCTAGACTCGGGTTGCAGCACTACAACCTAGGGTCAGCAACTCATATGCAGTAACGTATCAGGATAGCATGCTGATACAGGAGGAAGTAACAGGTAGTGCAACAGCAGTGCTGCAGCACGGTATCAGTACTGTATCAGGAAACAGGATGAATCAAGTAACGCGTCAGGAAGAGATACCACGTTATGCCCCCGGGGCTGGCCCCCCTCCTTCCCCTAGTATATAAACAACGAGCTAGACACCCATAGAAATCAGAGTTCACATCAATTTCAACCTGAGTCCTAGACTCTCTGGGTTTTTGATCTTTTTGAGGATCTCTTTCAACACCTGTTCGATGAACAGAGTAGACCACCGATACCTCCCAAAAAAGGAACGACACTCTTTTACTACGGTGGTACGAAGTTCATCCATGAGGCTTTTGGGCTCAACAGAACTGCCTGACACGACGCATTCGACGATGGCTTTCAGATACGCCTGGTGTTGAGGAGAGAGATTCACTTCAAAGTCTAGAGATCGCCCGGCTCGGATCATCAATGCTCTCGATGATTGACTCGCACTCTCATCGATGATACCCTGTATGTGTTCCTTGAAAAGTCTCCCAAATGATCCAACGCTGTCGATCATGGGGCAGTAAAAGTCGACAGAGCATTCTGGCCCAATAACGATGACTTCCTTGGGAGTCACAACCCCATACGGCGACCTTTTCGCTAATCGACGGACTTCTGTTAGTCGTAAAGAAGTGCCAGATACGATGCAACGAAAGAAATCCGGTTGCCACATGGAGTAAAAGAATTGTTTCCCCATCTTGGTCTCAAACAATGTTTGTGCTTCATCGATGCACCAAAGAATCCGAGAATACTCTGGTGGTTCATCCTGAGACCAATGATTAGGGCGTCCGGAGAAGACCAGCCGGTGGAGTCTCCAAGAAGCGTCGAACATGTCGCAATCTTCCGAGCAACTGATTTGCAGGCGCGTCCAGGTGTTATAGTCCGAGCTACCCCTAAGGTTTCGAAAGACGTTCAAGAGCTCTAGCCGTGTCATGAATAGGGAACTGATCAGGTATTTGAGCTTTACCCGGAAGAATGGGGACCCGTATATTTCCTTCAATTGGTTCATGTCGTTCCACAGCGACTGAGTGTCTTTCGAAGCTCCTCCATGTACGGGCTGAAGGATACTCGAATCTTTCGTTAAGGAATCTACTCCCGGAGCAATGAAGTATACCCCCCATTCGGATCTTAATGTTTCTAAGATACGACGAGTTTTCCCTGTCCCAGCCGTGCCAAAGAGAATCGGAGACTCGGTAGACACTTGCTTTACCTGTGAAGCGGGGTTAGGTAATACCTGAGAACTGGAACTGTTCCCTGGCCCTATGACATCCAGTGATGCTCGAAGATATTTATTCACGAGAATGGATAATCTACTCTGTACGTAATGATTGAGTCCAGTAGCGAGTGGACGCTGGCAGTCTTTGAATTCATAATTCCAGCAAGCGCCTATATGTATTAGTTCATCTTGTTACAAAATATGAAGATCATCAAATATGCATTATACCTAGATCGGCCTGTTGAAGATCGGATTTGACTTTTTCCAGCCGCAGGGAAATATGGCTGAAATATGGCGTGGCACCGCTGAAAGGATCAAGTAACGCTAGCTTCTCAAGCTGGTTTGTAATTGCAGCGAAAGACACGCCAAGCGATCCTTCGTTCTTCGTTATCTAGGCTCGAAAAGGATCTGACGACAAGACTTTGTCTTTTTGGAAGTGGGTCAAAATGTTTATCCACTCTTCGGGATAGCATCCAAATGCCTCCCAAAATATATCATCTCTCCCAGTCCTGGATGAAGCGACGTTCTCAGTCCAGTAATAGTTCGATGTCATCACCACCGGGGAAGAGGAGGTTCTATCGTAGCCTTGTGCGAGACAGAAATTGGTGTCCGCGAGTAGAAAAGGCAGAATTTCATCGTCAAGTCCTGGAAGCAACTTGTAGGGTTTGAAATCTACACCCAGGAACCAAATGTTAGCACGGGAACAATTTCGAGAGAACAACGCCGCTTACCAGCGTCACCACGTAACTGCTGAATGCGTTCCCCGTATCGTGCCAGAAAATATTGCTGACACCTGTCATTGTATTCTTCGTCGTTCATTTTTGGATCCGGCCTTGTCCGGTGCAGAAGGAAAAGGGGGAAGAGGAACGATGGGGACACTGAGAGGTTGGCAACGATTGTTCAGCCTCATTCAACACCCCTCGATTGACGAATATTCGCACAGAAGAGGGGTTAGGCTGGAAATTTGGTATCCACCAATGTCTTTGGCGACTGTTGGAGCCGGGCAAATACAATTTCGAGTATATCCGAAGTTTAAGAACACAAGGTGCTGTTATAATACCGAGATTTGTTAAAGGAAGAGAACGTGATTCAGAATACGTGCTGATCCAACTTCCCCGCACGATGTGATTGCCCCAAGTCCTTATCAATCAGCGATGCGGCTGAGTCCGCCCGCCATCCTCCGCCCGATATAGAACCAAGGCTGAAGGTATCGAGGCCCAGCTGAAAGGCATGAACGCCACGTCGCCGTAAAAATCAACTTTTGGGGGAAAAAGAAACTGCAAGTACTCTGAGTTGAAAACTAGCCTGTCTATTTCGAAAAGCACTATTGCGGCTATTTCACAAGGTAGACGGGCCTGGATTGAGCTGAAGGATAAAACTGGAGACCTGCCGCCAAGTCTGTCCCCTTTCCCTGGCGTAGAGAATTGGAAGCCCGTTTTGGCTCCACCCTATTTAGGGTAAACCCATATCGCAGTCACAAATTTCGAAAATGGACGTTTGTGACGCCGTTTTAAAGGCTCCGTCTAGTAGCACGGTTCAGCCCTGCTGCTGCATATGCCATTCATGACGAGGGTCCAGTTTCGAAGATCCTAAAACGGACGCAAATGCCTACAGCCTAAAAAAGGGCCACCAACGCTTGCCTTAATACCTATATCTCGTCATGCAGTCCTCTAGGGCGTTTCGCTCACTATGCATGCTATAGCCTTAGCAGCACGGAAACAACATAGTTGAGGGTAATGCCCTAGGCGGAGTCAGATGGTGTACTGGGGGTGGTACGGAGGTGGGAGGGGAGGTTCGGGATTGTGGTCTGTGTGTTTGGTGGCTGGATAAGCCCACTCATCTCACGGCGCCTGCGAATTGGGCATTGTTCAGGGACTTTCTCAGAGGCGAACTTCGTATAGCAGGGTTGACGCCTTCATACTCAGTCAAATTCCCGTTTGGCGTGGAATATCACATGGCTGTTCTATTCTCTCTAAATCTCCATAACCCATCCAATCAAGGAGCCCCAGTCACAAGACCTCAAACGTCTAGCGTTGTTGGCCTACCTTCTCACCCCCAGGCCAACACCACTCATGAAGTGCATACCCTCATCTCTCATTCCCAAACCCCCCAACATCATTCCTCCAATGAGTGCTCTTCTCTAGGAATAGAGTAGGAGATGCTTATAACCTCTACTCGACTTGATCGTAGAGAGGCAATTATGCTACATCGTTAAGTCCGGAGTCCGCGCAAGATAAGGTAATTTTTTAATCATAGACAGAGATCTGAGGAATGCGTTGGCGCGTCAGTAAGGTAGCTACCCATGCACTACAAGTCCTTTATCAATGCTAGTTTTGGCACACCCCGATAGAGAATTTTAGCTTGTGTGAGCAGCTAACTTCGCCTGGAGCTGGAGCTGGAGCTAGCAAGTGAAAGTCTCCCTTGCACTCTGTCCATCTCACCATTTTCTCTGCCTTCGGTATGTGGACTAACAAGGCGAAACTCCAGGCTCAAGTGAATAGCTTGCTTACCTGAGCAATTTTCGTGAAACGGCCGGATAAAACCTTGCGCATCGATAGACCATCGCCTTTCGACGGAGTCAACGCTGATACCACGATGATCGTAGCGCCGTGAGAAGGTCAACTTCCCGTATCCTAAAATAGCTCGAACAGGGCCAATGCTTTTGAGATCTTGAAATGCTTCTGTTCTTTTTCGTGCAGATGCTAGCACATTAATAATTGTCAAAGAAGTGGAAAGTGACCTTGAATTGCCACTTGAAGCCTCCGAAAATGATGGCCAGTAAATTTAATCAGCTAATTAGGTTCCTGGTAACCCTTTCTACTCCTCAACCTCTATACTCTGGATGCTTGGATTTCAGGCCTGTAGATGCATAAGAAACGCCCGTTTTCTCCATAGCTGTTTTCCACGCTTAAACGCCTTCTGAACCATAGGCTAAATTTCCCGAAGAGACAGCTTTCCAAAGCTATCCGATATTTTTTGTTACCATGCTGAAAAGTCTGCAGCGCTTCGTGTGTTTTGTCACCTCACTCAACGTCCATCGCCATCAAATCTTGGTCGTCAATCCCGCTCATCTCAAACTCGTCCGCTAGCGCCCCACTCGTTTCCCCTTGCTGCACATCAGTCTCCACACCCCAATTCATCTGCTGCTGTTGCGTTCTAAGCATCGTGATCTCTGCTTCCGCCTCCTTCTGCTGAAACCGCTTTAAATCTTCGTTGCTCCACCAACTAATCCCCTCCTGCATCTTCGAACTCCACGGCACACTCATATCTTCTAGAAACTTCTTCCCCGCCGCCGTCGCCTGATCAACAGATAAATCCGAATCGCTATCTAGTAAGGCATTTTGGATCCACTTGGGTAGCTGGTTTCTCTTCTTTTGGAACCTCCGGTCTGCAAGCACCATGATCCCATAGTCGTCCTTGCCTCGTAACACGCGCCCCAGACACTGCGCGGCATGCCGCATCGCGTCGAAGGAGAGAAAGTCATTTTCCTTAATGTGGTATTTCTCACGCAGGAACGCCAGCCGCGCTCTCAAAATGCGAGACTCGGTATATTGGTAGGGCACGCCGATACAGAGCACGGTACGGCCGTAATGATGATCAAAGTCTATACCTTCGGAGACCTTACCACGCGCGACGCAAAGCAGAACAGCGCCGCGGCCGTTATCGCACGCGCGACGATATGTTTCGAGGGCGAGGCTAGTCTCTTGCGAATCGGGTGTTTCAACTAGGACGAGTTTATATTTCCATAAAACGTCAAGGATTTCCATACCAACCCACATGGAGATAATAGATTCCATGTAGAGGTATGAGGGGAAAAATACGACTACGCCGTCTGGTGTGAGTTTGCAGAGGTCGATGAGGAGTTGACCGTAGTTGTTTACCACGCTGGTGTCGTTGCGGATAGAGAATGAGGACGACACTGGGCCTTGGTCGCTACCACGGGTCACGGTTATGGGCAAGAAGGATTTTCGCGCTAGTGTCATTGCGTACGATTCCTGGACAACAGTGCTGAAATCGAGCATCTTTGGATAGATTTCTAGTGGCGATATCGTTCCTGAAGTGATGATAACGGAGGAGAAGCGCTCAAAAACAGGTTTTATGGCTATCGCGGCGTCTAGGCATATGAAATGCAAGACTGGATGTGGCACCGTGGCAGTCTCAGACACATTCTCGTACGGCTCAAGAATGAGCTCAAAGCCCTTGTCGTACGTCGCAACAAGTGTGGCGAAGGTGGCGACTTCCTGAAGAGGTTTGTGGTCTTCGATGCTAGTAAGCTCAAGAGTGCGGACTAGAGAAGTGAGGCGCTCGGCGCAGAATCGGAGCGGCTTCTTCTCAATGAAAGTTAAGTCTTTGAGATGCTGCAGGAAGGAGGGCGGCGTCTCTGAAATCACGTGCCGTGCTGCCATGCGCGTTTTGACATACTCGATGAAGCGCTTTAGAAAGGCAACGAAATGTTCGGCACGCCGTATATTGCCAGGAACGGCCTCTTTAAGTAGGTCATCTGGGAGAACTGGGTTAGCCATAAAAGAGTCTTCTGTACGGGCTTCGTCTTGCTCTCGCAGGCCATCAACGAGCTTTTGGTATTCGTTCTGCAGCTTATCCGCGTCCGAAGACTTCATTTCCGCAATTTTGCGATCCAGGTTGTCGGCTCCTCGACTCGCTTTTCGGAGTACGTCCTCTGTTATATCGATGCTGAGCGATTCTATGCATACGTTGTCGATATTGTGCGCTTCGTCAAAGACAACGATGCTGTTCTTTGAAAGCTCCTTTGAAACTTGTTCTGCAATTTTGGGATCAAGCAGGTAATGATAGGAGTATATTATCACATTGCAGAACGACATCATTCGTCGCGCCGTGAAGTACGGACATTGCTTTTGCTGTTCACCGTGTTGTAGGAGACCATTGAGCGTCCAAACGCCGGGCGGAATCAGGTTGTGAGGCTCGAGTAGGTCCAGGTTATCGTGGTAGGTGCACAATTCCACGTTTTCTCCTCTCTCTTTCTTTTCTTTCATGAAGCCTGCCGTTAGGCTGCGACATCGGGCATCAACAACAGCGCCGCTTTTCTCCCTCTTCACTTCCGGATGGAGACAAAGGTTTTTTCGGCTGGTGAGTCCCAGGCCACGGAATTCCTCAACGTAGCCAAGTTCGTCTGCTCGGTATTTCATCAATGCTTTCAGTTCAAGTAGTGCCTTTTCGATCTCTGACATTGTACCTAAAAAGTTACATCAATAAGTGTAAACTACTGTAGTTATAGGCGCAAGTGCATCTTACGTGAGCAATAAATTAGTTTCCGAGTTTCCGGAACCGCAATTTGGTATGCGACGATCAGAGACAGCAAGGACACGGTCTTTCCTGTCCCTGAAGGCATCTCCAGGACACAGTGACCGCCTGCATCGAGGGTGCGTTTCAGGTCGCGCATGTACGCATACTGCTCTGGATATATCCGTGGATATGGGAAAAGAACTTCCAGGTCACTAGATTGATTAGCAAAAGAAAGGCTAGATTGCATGCAGGGCGTACTCAATGCTGAACCTCCTCTTGGTAGCTCACGAGCTAATTTGGAACGCCAACTCTCATCTGGGTTGCGTACACCCTCTCTTTGCGTCCGGTTGTCACTCTCTAATGTCAAGCCACAGGCTTACCGTGTAAGGGAGCAACTCTGGTAGCCTTTAGGGGGGAATAGCAACGTTCTGGCCAATGAATCCTCAAGTCGGTTAAGTACTAGCCCAGAAAAGAGGTATACCGGGATCGACTCAGTTTAGCGCTATGTTCACCGGACGTAAAGAGAGGGTTAGGGTGTAAAGGAACGCAAAGTGCAAGGTAAGACATATCGTTGCCCCGCTCCGCTGACTCATCCCATGACGTCCTGTTATGTGACTGCTCACCGCCCAGCTCCTATTGGTCAAATTAGCCCTACACGCAGTGAGATTCAAATACTTATTCTTGCGTTTTCGCGACACAACGTCTTGAACTTCCACCTGATATTGTACTTAGCTATTAATCAAGGCTCCTCTTTGGGCCCTTGACTTCTGCTTGTAGTATTATCGTGACATCCATCTAATAAGACAACATAAAGGCAGAAAAACACGCTAAGCCGGAAGAGGAGGCCGCCTAAACCAGCGGGAGAGTTACCTTGAACAACTTTTACGATCTAAGTTTTTTAAGCGTGCAGAAGGCTCGGTGTCTTGTACAATACTTGTTGGCGAGAAATGCGAACCAATCGTGGGTCCCGTTCAAAGGCCCGTTCCGCGGGCGAAAAGTACAGCGCCTGCCCGCGGCCGGTGAACTAGCGCGGATATCATGCCACAAAAGCCAGCTGCAAAAGAGGGATAGTCTCGAAAGTAACGCCTCGCGGTACTGTGCTGTTAGCGGATTCAGCTCAGCCGTGGTAAGATTCAGTCCAGACAAGGGTTTCCTCCGTTCTAATCCCATCTAGTGCATCTGTGGCGTCAAATCCGCGCTAGTTCACCGGACGCGAGCAGGCTCTGTACAATAGATGACAACAGTCGGCTGCTCCCGTCTCCCTCACCCCTCCTAGATTGCGCAAATCACTACCCTTTCCAATGTTTCCATCACCAGGCTGCTATTTATACACCCCATTAGAACCAATCACCAGCAAGACCAGGTCTCCATCAAACGCTCAAGTCTTGCGAAGCCTGACACCCGCCACCACAGCCACGAGTCGGGGGGGCTGTGCGTCGTTCCCCCAGACTCTTGCAGGCTCTGCGATTTGCTGTGTCCTGCATGCATCAAGTCGAAGCCACCTCCTTCGAATCAGCCTCGACGTTCTGGCACGCAGTCCTTTCGCTTTCGGAAGGTAGATGTGTTCGATCAGCCAAGCCTTGGTACCCGGGTACTTCCACCTTGCACCTAAGCCAGGCACCGGGATTATGCAATCTGACAAGCAGCGCGTATAAGGACGGTATGCCTTACGCTTCACATTATGCATTTCATTACCATCCACTCCCATTCCACTATCTTTCGGTTCGCATTTTGCAACTTAGCTCCAATCATGTCTTTCACCGCCCCCTCCAGAGCATCCACCAATCCTCAAATCCACCCTGCAGTACTATGGGATCCCTACGCCACTCTTGGGATCGAGCGCGACCAACGCTGTGTTGGAGTGGCTACCTCCCAAAATCGGAAATGTCGTACTGCGCTCGCTTATGCGAATGCCAACGATATGCAGAAGCTCCTCCGCAAGCTCTCAACCCGCCAGCCTGATCCAGACGCATTAGATCCAATCCTATCTCGTATTGCCGGCTATGGCTTATGTAGGAACAAGCGGAATAAGCACCAAGAGCAGTGCGATACCGTTGTACAAAGTTGGAAAAACAAGATCCTAGAGACTTATCCCGATGGAATCATCGAAGTAGCAAACACTACGGTCCATGAAGCCGCCACACCAGGACTACCAACTACTCGAAGTACTCCTTCTAGCCGTTCATCACCCGAATTTGACGACATAGACCTCGCCAGACTCCGCCTCGTTCGCCAAGTCCTTGAGGGTCTGAACGAGCTCTCCACGCGCTCAAATTCTCGCGATACTTCAGACACACCTGTCCCAACCATCGAGATCCCTCACCAAGCGAGTAGCTCGGCACTGAACTCCCGCACTACCTCCCCTGTCCCTTCACTCCGCCGTTCGGCATCTTCTCATACCCTCTCGCCTCATCACGACCGTACCTCGTGCCCTTTGGGTCTCACCCATGAACCTCGCCGTGCCCCCGATGACGAGTGCCCCATATGCCGAGAACCTGCATCAGACCTCTCGGAATTGACATGGTGCAAGGGTGGTTGTGGACGTAGTATGCATACAGAGTGCGTAGAATTATGGCGGGAATCACGGATGCAGAGGTGGTTTGAGGAGGATGACATGGACATGGACATGGTCTTTAGGTGTGCGCTTTGTAGGACTGAATGGGTAGATTGTGATTGCGAGGAGTGATTTTTGCGATTATGAGGGGAATCTGTGGAGCCTGTTAGTGTTCGCCGTGGATTTGGAGTTCATGCTGTCAAAGGCTAGGTGTTTCAGGTGTGCTCTACTGTCGAATTTTCAACTGATTCTCCCTTTTTCTTCTTATGTCCATTTGTTTCGTCACCGCATACAAGGTGATTTTTCCTTTATGCAACTCTTGTGCTTTCAGATTCTTCATCGCTATTAGATTCCTAAAAGCGCCCGTGCGGCATTCACTGTCCCGTCAGTGATCACCCTGTTGATCACCTGTCCGCGAGAGGAAATCATGCTTCTTACAAGAATATCAAAAATGCATAAGAAAGGATTGAGTGCGGGTCGATCCAAGACCTTCGCGAAGGCAAAGCCTATGGCTCACCAAAATAAGCTGCACAGGGAAAAGCCCAGGGAAGAACTTTTGATTCGCCAGTGCTGCCAAGGCTACAGGTCTACAATATTTTTCACAACGGTCTGTTGTGGTGGTCATGGAAGTCACGCTTTCTCACGGTGAGTCTCTGCATTCGCTATCTCTTAATGCTCACAGTGCATAAATATCAGCACTGTTCGGTCAAATTTTAGGAACCTTTCCTTACCACAACACCTGCCACCACCCCCCCGAGGCTCACAATATCCCCAACCCACTACCTTCCGTTTACCAACTCTCTATTTCAAAATGCCCGTTGCAAGCCAACCCGGAAACGAGCTAGCTATGCACTAGGAACGCGCGCGCAAAGATGACGGTACGCTCAAAGTCGAGCATAGAGGGAGCGCAAAGAAAGCAGATATAGAGCAGTGGTTGAATGGGCTAACAGAACAGGGAGAACATTTGAAATTAGATCCCCCTGAGCCGGATGATAGCTAGTGGGTTGAGAAGAGCGTCTGTGCTACCGCAACACCTCCGTCAACGAGAATACCGCTATCGGTGAACCCGACGGGCTCGCGATATGTTGGGGGGGAGGAGCGACACCCTGCAAAAGACGAGGAAGAATACTATGGAGAAGAAGGAGGCCAAGAACGAGTTCGGCAAGCGGATGGTGGAGCTCAAGAAGCGAAAGAGCGGAAGAGAGAAAGTAGGATGATGAGAGGACGCGAAGAATGAGAAGGACGCTAAGCGACAGAAAATGGAGTAGGACGGAGGGAGGTCATGCTAGTGTGGAATGCACAGTTCTATCGCAGTTTTCTTATTGGGTAGAGGAAAGCTTGGAAGCGACACGGAAACGTGATTACTTCAAATTTGGCGAGGAAAGACAACCATAGATATTGGACAGCTGAACCATCAGATATCCGAATCAGAGCACCCGTCCGTCCATGGATCAAACAATAGGCAAACAGCGTCCCTGCAGTCCTCCGCCCAATCTGGATCATTGAAGTACGAAGCCACCGGCGTAGGTATGCTTCACACTGCAACACTAAACATACGAGTGCTCGACTCCCAGATTCTATGAGCCCCCTTTCCTTCGCCGTGGCAAATATTTTTGTGCAGTATGGATGCATCGGGTATTGGGTAGGGAATGCTGCATCGGGCATTTGTAGAGAAGGCTTCGGCGCGGTGGGTCGACCAGTTGGCCAACCTTGGTTCAGTCTGCAGAGGATACCATGGTAGTCACGTTCAGAGCGCACACGGCGACCTTCACTTCTGCCTATAAAGCTCATGTCTCTTTCATTTTTCCCATCGAAAACCTCACCTCGTAACACCAACTCAGCGGACCTCGTCGACTCCTCTTCGACAACAAGATATTCCTCGTCGTGACACCAAATCGGCGGACCATGCCTCGAGGCAGGCTGGATAGCTCAGATGACTCTTGGGAGTTGGTGCCTCAACGGAAGACACGTAGGCTAGGGAAAGGGAATGCACAAGAGTACGTCGTCTCATCTAACAAACCCAACCCCGACGACACACCTAAACCCAACGGCATACCTGAACCCAACGAGATGCTTCAGCCCACCCAGATTCTTCGACTCAACGAGATACGTCGACTCGGCAACTCTGAACCCAGCGACATACCTGATCCTCACGAAACGCGCCGACGACTCAACGAGCCAGGCCGACGCGACGAGATGCGCCAACCCACCCAGATTCTTATAGTCAACGAGATCCGTCGACTCGACGGCTCTGAACCCAGCGACATACCAGACCCCCACGGGATGCGCCGACGCCTCACCGAGCTAGGCCGCCGCGACTCGTCCCTCCCCATCCTCTGGCATCCGGTCGAAGCCCTCCGCCTCCGCTGCGTCCAATGCTGCGAAGGCGAATCCTACACCCGGCACCGCGGATGCCGCGCTCTCCTCGACGTCAAAGCCCTCACCGCCATGGTCCGCGTCTGCGACGCCATGGCGACCACGCAGCCCGATCCCGCCGCCCTGCTCCCGGACCTCCAACTCCTCGCCCGCCTCTGCCTCTGCACCTCCCACACCGGCCAAATCGCCCGCTTCGTGCAGAACTGGGAAACGCTGCTCCGGGAAGCGTACCCGCGCAGCGTCGTCGCCGCACAGCCGCAGCCTCGCATCGTCCCCTCGCGCCACCCCGACCACGACAGCCACCTGGAGCTCGCGCGGAAGCTGCGAGCGCTCGACCGCGCTGCCCAGGAGACCGCGCCAGCCGCCGCCGCCCAGACGGCCAAGGCGATCCGCTGCCCCCTCTGGAAGGCCACCCACGTGCCGCGCCGCCCCGTCGAGGGCGAGTGCCCCATCTGCAGGGAGGACATGGACGACCCCGTGGTGCTGACGTGGTGCAAGACGGGCTGCGGGCGCACGTTCCACCGCGAGTGCGTGGATATCTGGCGCAAGGAGTGGTCGCGGATAGAAGAGCAATCGCGGTGGCACTACGATGAGCGGCAGTCGTTTAGCTGCGGGATGTGCCGGAGCATGTGGGTCGAGTGTGGGTGTGATGAGGTGAAGGAGGGGGTGCAGGAGGTGGTGCAGGAGGAGGAGGTAGGGGTGTTGGAGGCCTTGAAGCTGTTTTGGGAGGAGTGCGGGAAGCCGGGGTTGCGGGAGTTGATTGAGTGGGGGGTGCGTTACTGCGGGTGGTAGTTGGATGGGAAAGATGTGGCTAGGGGGAGGGGGGAGGGGGGAGGGGGGAGGGTTCATGTTTAAAATGTTTACGGATACTGCGGGTTTTACCTAGGTAGTTGGATGGGAAAATTGTGGCTAGGGGCGATTCATGTTTAGAATGTTATAGAGATGTGTGGAATGGGTTGCGGATGAGTAGCGAGAGAGATAGATTGATAGACCAGTAACCAGAAAACGAAGCTAGAAATCTATTACGCTGCGTGACTTATTGCACTCCTTAAATACCCTGACAGCACCCGCTCACCCTAGTTCAAGATGTAACTCACGCTCCCAAACTCACCACCTCAACAACCCCACTCCTCTCCCTTTCCAAACTCACCTCCACCCACCCATCACTCTCAACCCTCACAATCTTCCCATCAACACAAATCCGCCTCCACCTCCCCTCCTCTTCCAGCCCCTTAAACTCCACCCTCAACCCCTCCACAGCCTCGTACCCCACCGCCTCCTCCTGCACATGCTTCCCCCCATCATACGCCAGCCCCATGACCCGCATCACCTCGTCGCCGCCCAACGGCCCAAAATGCACCACCCTCAGCCGCGCCTCCAGCGGGCTCGACGCCGGCGAAATGCGAAACGTCTTCTCCAGATTCGACACCAGCGTCGCGAGCACATACATATGCTCGCTCCGCCCCGGCGCCAACGCCTCCCACTCCCCAGCACCCTCGCGACGCACTGAAACCAATCCCTTGAACGCGTGCGGCGGCCCCCCGTCCGCGGGGAACAGCGCCTCTTTCGCGGCCATGCCGAAGCGCGCGGCGCCGTGCGCGCGGTACGCGGCCGTGTCGCTATCGCCGACGAGGCACGCGTGCATGCCCCACGAGCACACGACGGCGCCGTAGAGCGCGCCGCCCGGGATGGGCTCGGAGTCGCGGGCTTCGTTGGTCAGGAGGCGGGCGCCGGGGGAGAAGCGGGCGACGAAGAAGGGGAGCGGGTGGGGGGTGCCGCGGGCGAGGGCGGAGAGGCCGTGGGTTGCGTCGCCGGCAGGGAGGGTGGAGTGGGCGAGGGCGTTGCCGGTGCCGAGGGGGAGGAGGATGATGGTGGGGGGTTTGAAGGTAGGGGAGGAGGGGGTGGAGAGCAGGGCGTTGAGGATGTCGAGGAGGCCGCCGTCGCCGGAGAGGAGGATTAGGCGCTGGGGGGTGCCAGAGGCGGCCGTGGGGAGGAAGAGGGTGGTGGTTAGGTCGGTGACGGTGGAGATGGATGCGGTGGTGTGGAGGGTGTAGTTTTTTGTTTCTTCTAGGCCCATGTGCGCGAGGAGGGGCTGAAGGGCTTGGGTAAAGAACGTAGAGGCGAGGCCGGTGCCGGAAGCGGTGGAGATGATGATGTGGGTGTGTACATTTTGGAATGGAAGGGCGTTAAAAGCGTACTTTTTCTGTTCTTCTTCCGTTAGGGAGGTGGCTGGTTGGGTTTTGATATGCGGGATGCCATTGTCCCCGTCTTCCGTATAGACGAGATCGAATTGGCCGATTTCACCAGGTGTCGGAAAGATTCCGATGATGCTTTGCGGGGTGGCCATTGCGGAGGTCTCGGACACCAGCTTGGTGTTTGTTGAAGAAGAGGTCCCACAGAATGCATGGTGTCACCTCTTACCGGGGATTGTGTAATCTAGCTGTAGGCATCCAGGAAGGTGTGAAGTAGTGATAAGCACGCCATAGAGGTGGCACTCTAATCCTACAACAAACCACCGCGGGTGCGTGTGTATGCCACTGTTTGGGAGACTTCAATGCATTATCAGAAATATGAACGAGACAGAAGCTTCTCACCCTGTGCCTGTAGAAGGACTTCAAGCAGTGACAGACAGGCGTGCATATTGTTTGCGGAGTCGCTTAACCTGTCCCAGACACTAACCCGTATAAGACAGCTGTCTTTGAGGCATGAGAGCGATATCCCAGGCCACTATTCGCTGGGTTTGACGCTGCGGCCACCATTGTGTTTCTATAGCGATACCAGTCACGATATCAGTATACAACCTCCAACAATAGCCCGCTGGTCACTGGCAGTTGACAAAATAAGCCTCGCTTGTGCCGTCAGCAAGTCCCTCATCCGTCATCATTTCGGTCGCCAGCCTTCCGAGCTTGTCCCGTCCAAGCTCCGCTCATCTATCATCACATCAGCTCGCCGCCGCCAACCTCACCCACCCCGTCAGCTGTCCTCTCAGCCATCGCAAACCCTTCAAAACACACATCCACCATCTGCAACTCACCACCCCACCGGCCGCGCCCTCCATCCTACCCATCCGCGCACCGCCGCGCACTCACCAACCTCGACCTCAATCTCACCACCACAAACCACCCCGAAACCACCACCACAATGCCGTCTCTACCCTCCCTCACCACCCTCACCACCCGCACCACCCGCACCCTCCTCCTCGCCGCCCGCGCCGCCACCAAAACCCCCAAGCCCGCCAAAATCCGCCCCAAAAAACACGGCATCTCCGGCTGGGCCGTCTTCCTAATCGTGCTGCTCATCCTGCTCATCCTCGCCGCCGTCGCCTGGGTCGCCTACTCGCGCCTGCGCGCCCGCCGCCTGGGCCTGCCGCCGCCGCCCCTCAACCCCTTCGCCGCCTCGCGCAGCGGGCCCAGCAGCAACTACCCCGCGCCCGCGCCCGGCGGCCTCAAGGGCTGGCTCGACACCCAGGTGCGCAAGTTCAAGAACCGCCGCTACGCCAGCGGCGCGTACGAGGAGCCGACGGGGTACGGCGGCGCAGGTGGCGGCGCGCCGCGCGGGAGGGCCGGGCACGGGCCGCTGGATCCGGACGAGGCGTGGGATGCAAGAGTCGGGAACGAGGCGTACTACGAGGAGCAGGAGCTGGGGCTGCATGCGCCTGCGCCGGCGCCCGGGGGCGCGGCGGCGTATGGCGGGCCGACGGGGTATACGGGGGCGTATGGCGGGGAGGGGTTCAGCGGCGGGGAGAGGGGAAGGAGCAGGACAAGGGAGTTGGATGAGCGGTATGAGGAGGAGGTGCATGGCGGGGCGAAGCATGCGACGAATCCGTTTGGGGACGATAATGCGGTTAGTAGTTTGAGGGGGGTGAGCCCGCGGCCGTTGGAGACGGAGAGGACGGGGGGAGCGTATGGGGCGCCGGCGGGGCATAAGAAGACGGAGAGTGCGGAGAGTAGTCCGACAGAGCGAAGGAGTATGTTTAGGGAGAACATGTAGGGGAGATTCGTTGGGTTGGGTTGGTTGAAAGAGGTTCAGTGCGGTATGGGTATTGGTATGGGATGAAAACGAGTCACAGAGCACGGTTCCAAGCGTTCATGTATTTGTTTGTACGAAGCCCATTTCTCTACCTTGGGTAGGCTTTCTCTGTTTGTGTTTGTTCTTGAAGCCGTGGGAGGGGCCCTTCAAAATATTAATCCTCAATTCAGCAGCAAATGCAACTCCCACTACTTTTGAATTGACAACTGACACCCTCCTCGTTCAATCCGTGTTCTCTGTTTTGGATTCATCGTGGGCTGGGGTTAGGAGCCTTGATCAGATGTCTGTCAATTCGTCCAGCAAGTGATACATGTTACCGCCCACAACGACCTCTTGTCCGCTCTGCTTAGCCTTTCCGCTCCGCCTCGTCTTCTTTGGCTTCGCTGTTTCGGGCCCCTTCTCTTCGACGCCAAGAAGCGCATACATCTCCGTAATAGCCTCTGCCAATTGTGGATTCTCTTCGAGTGCTGGTTTGTAGTCCTGCTGGATGAGTTGGTCCAGCGGCGGAAGACTGTTTAGACTATCATGCAACGCTCGAACTCCCTTCGTGAAATCATCATTCTGCTGCGCCACACGATGCGCCATAAAGACTGTCGTAAAGCGTTGCAGCATTCTGAGCGAATAAAGGACGGCTTGGAGCTGTGCGTCGATATGTCTAGTATCCCAGTTGTATTGTCCCACGGCATTGGTTCTTGAGCCAAGGAGCTTTTGTACATTCACGCGGAGTTGGAGGAACGCCTGGTCCGTCACGGAGAGGTCCTGCCACATTGAGTATACGCCGAACAATCTCCAGGTGCATGGAGGCGGCAACTCAGAGCAGATCCTCAACCATGTTTTGATATGCTCGGTGAATGTAGCGATCAACATTGGATAGCAGAACAGCTGGCGCTCCTTTTCCACGATTCGCCTACCACTTCGAATGACCTCGTGGATAACTACAGGCTTGATAGTGAGTGTTGCAGTTACGATTGAATAGCCAAATTGTCGAATTTGCTCGCCGCAATTCCAGGCAGAAGCTCGATCGACATTTTCGATCAAGACTGGAAGATACACTGTCAATCTTCCCAACAAGGACCGATCGAGAGGGCAGGAGAGAACTTGTTGGACAAACTCCGATATGCGAGGGTCCAATCTACTCAGTATGCTCTGTAGAAGAAGCTGCTGTGAGTCAGCTGATTCAAACCCGGCAGTTATCCGATCTTGTGCATAAATTGAGATGTTGTAAATTGAACCGTCTTCAGTGGTGTGAGGAATGCCATGGTCGTCCAGATTGATGAGTGTCGAGGTTCTTTCCAGAGCTTTAGCTAGTTCTACGAGTTCGTTCATAGTCTTGTGTCGGTCGCGAAGTAGCTGGTAGGCTAGTGAGCGAATGCTGGCCAGACCTAGACGATTAGCTATGCTGGTTGGCCTGTATTCGAGGACCTCTACTCCGGAGTCGTTTATATCGACATATGGAAAGAACGCGACGGAACCTTGCGTGCCCAGATCGTGAGCGAGAAGGTCCGAGTCACCAGTCAGTATCATGCTGCCGAAATCTCTCGCATGCCTTGCACACCAAGAATCGGCTTCTCCCGGCATGACTGCAGTGAAGAGGTGAAATTCGCTCTCAAACAAAATCTCCAGGACTACAGGCACAATGAACGGGGCACCTCTCGTAAGTCTCTGTGCGTTGGGCCTGCTGCTGTCGAGTTCAGCAGTGCTATTGAGCAACCGCTGAAGTCGCTCCTCCTTCTTGTAGTCAGGTAGAAAGCCATCGAAATAGATGGCACAGCTACGTTTATTAGTTGGGATCTTAACAATGATGCATGAGCTTCGACTGCGCGAACTATCGATCTTGACACAAATCAACGAAAGAGAAATGCAGTGATGAAACACAAGAGCACACCATCCGGGAGAGAAAGGGTAAGAGGAGTCGAGACACCTACACACTCAACCCGCATACCCGCAGCGATCGGAGGAAGCCTAGCGCAGCGTCGCCAATCTCACGGTAGGACGGCGTGCGAATGCTGGAGGTCTCTATCGTTTTTCGCAAGGCGAGTTGGGCCGCATGGAAGGCCAGGCCGGGGCCGTCGACAGCGACTCGCCTGGGGTTTGCTGCATTTCTCTCGGTGAAATGAACCGTCTCGGCAAAGGGCTCTAGGTGGCCGATGAGGCGCGGAATACCCATATTGACTTGAATCACGCGCGGCGTGGCTGTATCATTGGGGAAAAAGCGAGAATAGAGTGGTCCGCGAATTTGAATCTATTCTAGACTCGACACGCCGGACGACTGGAACTGGGAGCGACCGCGCTCGAGGGACAAGAACAGACGCCTCAACCGTGTCTTTGATAGCACCCCGAGCGTTCGATACGGGAGCGGAGCGCCGAGACAGTTGTTGAGATAGTGCTGGCGGCGCGGAGGCTCAATTCGATAGCTGTGCAGCACGGGCTGGCGCCTCTATCCAGCTCGGTCGAGAGGACGGTCCGAGCTGTGCTAGCTGGCCACGATGGCGGTACTGGCTCTGTGATTGAGCTGCGTCGTGGTGATGGCCCTGATACCGCTGTGACTGGGCTGCGTCGTGGTTGATGGCGGTGAGGTTGTTGTGATGGTCTGCATGTGAGGCGTCTGCCCGCTGCTGGTTGGCCTCTGCCGATCCTGCGTCATGTTCAAAACCCCCACTCGTTTCCCTCCCCTTCAGGTCTCCCCACCAGCAAAGCTTCCCTTTCTCCCTTACTCCAGCAGTCCAGCCTAACCTCCTCCCGCCGCAATCATGAGTGTTAAAGAAGTCTCCCTGAAGCCCTTTACGGACCAGAAGCCCGGAACGTGAGCACCCTTTTCCCGTACCAAACTTAGCGTCTTAACAGCCCTTTTATATCCTTGCAGCAGCTTTATGAGCTGGATAGTCTGCCTCAGTTTTTTCTCACATGCTTTCCTTTGCTCTCCCTCACTTCTCAGCTCCCAATGCCCTCAATAAACGACTATGGCTGACCAATGGTTCCGCACCAGCTCCGGCCTCCGCAAGAAGGTCAAGGTCTTCCAGCAGGAGAACTACAGCGAGGCCTTCGTGGCTAGCATCCTCCTCTCCATTCCTGAGGGCGCTGATGGCAGTTTCCTTGTGATTGGTGGAGATGGCCGCTACTGGAACCCGGAGGTCATGCAATTGATCGCCAAAATCGGAGCTGCCTACGGAGTGAAGAAGCTGGTCATCGGTCAGGACGGCATTCTCAGCACTCCTGCTGCCAGCCATGTTATTCGGATAAAGAAAGCAACCGGTGGCATTCTCTTGACCGCAAGTCACAACCCAGGAGGTATGTTGCACCCTCCGGCGAGTCTCGCTGCCTCCGGTCTAGACAGAGAACTTCTGGCCTGTTGTGCCTCAGCTAAGTTGCACAATTTACTGACATCATCTCGTGCTACAGGTCCTACTGAAGACTTCGGCATCAAGTACAACCTGGCCAATGGAGCACCCGCTCCCGAGAGCGTGACAAACAAGATCTTCGACACCTCTAAGACTCTCACGTCCTACAAGATTGCCGATATCCCGGACATCGACATTCACACAATTGGCACAAAGACGTACGGGCCGTTGGAAGTTGAGATCATCCACTCCACGGAAGACTACCTAGTTATGCTAAAGGACATCTTCGACTTTGATCTAATCAAGTCTTTCCTCAAGCAGCACTCTGACTTTAAGGTGCTGTTTGACGGTCTGAGTGGTGTCACTGGGTCATATGGAATCGACATCTTCGAGAAGGAGCTTGGGCTTCCGGGCAGCACACAAAACTGTATCCCAAAGCCTGATTTTGGAGGTCACCACCCAGACCCTAACCTCGTGTATGCTCATTCTTTGGTCGAGGCCGTTGACAAGAATGGCATCCACTTCGGAGCTGCCAGCGACGGCGATGGCGATCGTAACATGATCTACGGTGCTAACAGCTTCGTCTCTCCAGGCGACAGTCTGGCCATCATCGCTCACTATGCTGAGCTTATCCCATACTTCAAGAAGCAGGGTATCTACGGCTTGGCACGAAGCATGCCCACCTCCGGCGCCGTCGATCTCGTCGCCAAGAAGAAGGGCGTCGAGTGCTACGAAGTACCAACCGGCTGGAAGTTCTTCTGTGGTCTCTTTGATGCCGACAAGATGAACATCTGCGGTGAAGAGAGCTTCGGAACCGGCAGCAACCACATCCGCGAGAAGGACGGTCTATGGGCCGTCGTCGCCTGGCTGAACATCATCGCCGGTGTTGGCCAGCAGACAGGGACCACTCCCAGCATCAAGTCGATCCAGAAAGACTTCTGGACTACTTATGGCCGCACATTCTTCACTCGTTACGATTACGAGGGATGTGAGACCGAGGGAGCCAACAAGGTGACTGCACATATGACGGAGCTCATCACAACCAAGAAGGACGAGTTCGTTGGCTCGACCATTGCCGGCCGCAAGGTCCTCGAAGCCGACGACTTCTCCTACACAGACCTCGACGGCTCTGTGAGCAAGAACCAGGGCATCTACGTCAAGTTCGACGACGGAAGCCGCATCGTCGTCCGCTTGTCTGGCACAGGCAGCAGCGGTGCCACCATCCGTCTATACATCGAGAAGCACACAAGTGATGAGTCGACATACGACCTCGATGCCCAGGTGTACCTCGCCGACAACGTCAAGCTCGCCACTGACCTGCTAAAACTGCAGGAATTCGTTGGCCGTGTGGAGCCGGATGTCAAGACCTGAATGCATCGTGCCATACGCGTATTTTCTTTGTAGATGAGATGCCGTCGAGATACAATCTGTTTTCGTGAGCGATTTGCTACCCCTCAGGTGCTGCATTAGGGAAGCGGACGGACGACTGATGGCAGAGATGACGTGATGATATGGATCTTAGTTGACGAAAATAGCTGTTAATAAAAGCGTCGTTCTTTGCATTCGCGACAGATTAGCCAAGCGTCGCATAGTGACATAGTTGAGTGATATCCGATATACAACTCCCAACCTGGACACGGAGTTTGTATCACGTCATATATTTCCCTCGAAGCATCCCTGGGCCTTTTTAAGACTCTCTTCAGATTATAGTCTGACCTCGGAAAACTTCACTCTTATTCCTGCCCGTTGTGTGGTTTTTCTCGTGTATGCTTCGACTGGAGCCTGATTCTCGCTCTACGTTGCCGATGTGCAAACTGTCGTCCCAAAGAATGATCTGACAGGAATGTTCAGCTTTTAGTTGCGACGGAGGTAGTCAAGATGTCAAGTACTGTAATAGAGGAGACACACCAAGCTTCTCGCACAATACTAATCTACTGTAAGGTTAGGAAAGACACCTAGCGTCCCCCCCCATTTTTCTAAAAAAGAGGAAGACTAACGCCGAACCAACCAAAGTCAAAAACTGAAAAAAGGGCTTCAGTCTCCAGCACAAGGCTAGACAACCAATGCCCTTCACCTTGCCGATTTGCAGCTAAGTCGTGTCCCGAAGAGATAATCAAACGCACTCGTGCGAGAGCCCCGGTGGGGGCACTGGTATTGGCCGCTCTTTCCAGATCCTCCTCCAGCCATCACTCTTGTTGTCGAAAGAAGGAAAGTCGATGTGGTAGATGCGGAAGTGGGCGGCCTGGCCCTTCTATAGTCGAGAAGGCCGGAACCTGCTAAGTGTTAGTAACAGATTAGTCAGCTCAGCGGGCAGTCCGAGGTTAAACTGTCCCAGCGGTGTCGATTAATTTCTTCTAGCGTTAATGAGTAAGCCAGGTACTCTGCACGCGCCGCTCCACCTAGCAATATCGCGGAGTCTGTGACGTGGAAGGTCAGGGAAGGTAAATCGTGAGGTGGACGATATCACGTGCCTCTTTCACCCCTCACCCTGTTATATCACAACATGTGGGTGCGTCCGGTGGTCTAGCGCGAATATTGAGCTGCGAAGTCAGCCGTACAAGGGGGGTAATGTATAGAAGTAACAGCCTGCGGTACTGTGCTTTGAGCAGACTAAGCCCAGTCCCGGTAAGATGTTGACCAGAAAAGTAGGTCCTCAGCTCCAATCCCACTTGTTTTCTGTACACAGCAATTATCTAAATCCAACCAGCTCTAGGATATACAGAACTACTCTCAAGGCGCTCCTGCGCAGTTCAGATCGAAAGTGCACCAAAACGACGAAATGGAATCATTATCCTTCCCCTTAAGCTGCCCATCCTGCCTATTCGTCATACTAAACAAGCTCGTGTCAGGCGAGCACTTCTCGTCGTCATAGAACTTGCAGCAGCCGCCCCAGACCTGCATGAGCGTGATGTCGTTGCTCTCGATCGAGCTGCACGTCTGGTATACCACGCGGCGATTGCGATTGTAGTTATCCGGCCACGTCTGGATGTTGATGCTGGGATTGCCCTCCGGTTGGGCGTCCGTGTTCGGGTCGGCTACCATGACGATGGTCTGGTCGGCCTGCTCCGCTGGCGAGGGAAAGTGGTTCATTGGTGCGGCGTCGAGGTCGATGCTGATGTAGTAGTCGCCGGCGCGGACGTTCTGCAGCTTGGTTGCGATGCCTAGATCTTGCCGCCGGTGCTTCCTTGTTGTTGTGGTGGTGTTCCAGGATGGTACATCGTGGGTTGCGAGCTTTATGTTTCCAGCTTCTGTTGCAGCCAACGTAGCGCCTAGCGCTACGCAGTCTTGGAAAGTCTCGGACTTGACGATGCGCTTGACGAGGTCGGACTTCTTGGCCGCGTCGATGGCCTGGTCGCTGGCTTTGACTGTCTTCTGGGGGTCCTTGAGAGCCATGAAGCGCTCGCCCCCTGTTTTGCCATTGGCAGACGCGAAGACGCGGCCCGCCTTGCTTGCAGCGACGCCTCCTTTGCTGACTGAACTAATGAGTGCTCCAATATTTGGGAACCCAGCTGTCTCTGTATCTACTGCGATCGTGATTGGGGTCACGACGTCGACCATGTAGTCCTCCAGGTCCTTGCTAGGCACAGGCGAGTCGTCCTCCGGCTCCAGAAGCCCGTTCATCTCGTCGTCAGTGAGTGCAGTGGTGTCGGCATCTGGGATCCAGGTCATAGCTCCCAGAGCCAGGCAAGCGCCTCTCCGTGCCCTGATCTTCCTTTCCCTTTTGCGACGTCAGCTGCGGAGGTTTGAATTACTGGAAGAACTTACTTCTCTTTCTCCGCGGCGTATTGCTCTCCGGCCTTCTCCGATACTTTGATTGTATTTGCTTTCAGTGTATCGGCCTTCTTCTTTTCCTTCTCCGGGGTGGAGCGGCAGCTATGGGTGATCTTGCCTCCCTTTACTTCCTTGAAGTCAAGCGTATCGGGGTCATCGCATTTTTTGTCAGGCTCATCATCAGGAGCGCATTCGGGAGCCTTTTTCTTCGTTGCGGTGGAGGCAGATTGTCCCTCGGGGCAGCTGTTGGGGTCGTTCTTGTCCACACACTTGGGGTTTTCTGTAAATTCATCCTGTATCAAGGTCAGCTCGTGAAGATGATCTGCCATACATTGCGTAACTTACCTGACCAGGCACACTAGGGTCAAGTTTCTTGCCCTCGGGGCATTTTCCTTGCTCCTTCTTCTCCTCGTCGGTCTCCTTGGGCACGCAGGCATCGCCATCCGCATTGACCTCTTGGTCTTTCGGACAATCCTCACATGACTGCTTCGTCTCATCCCAGACTCTCCCGTACGTGCAATGAACTTTCGGTTTACACGATTTGTTGTTCGGGTCATCGGCACGCTTCGTTTTCCGGTGATAATGGTCGATCAGGTTTTCTATCCCTGCAAGGGTGGTGTTGTCGGAGCGCTCATCGAGCAGGGCGGATAGACCGCCGTCTGCAAGGAGAGCTGCACTCCTCACCGTAGCGAGCGGGTTGCTGTCTAAAGAGCGTTTGTCTGTACCGGCTATGGGTTTCCGGATCCTGAACTCTACGACAACGCCATTGGCGCCCGTGGCAGTCGTAGCAGTGGACTGGGTAACGAGTGTGGAGAGGTGAAGGGCACCGAGGAGCCAGGTGGAAGGCTTGAACTTCATGATGCAAAATGAGTGGACGTACAGAGTACAATAACACTTCTAAAAAGAATGACTGAAGGATAATGAGAGTGATGCGACTGAATGTATTATGTGGGTTGAGAGAACGCATGACGGGACGCTATGTCAAAGTATCTGAGCTTCAGCAGATCTGGTAACGCTTCAGGGTTGCATGGGTCAGTAGTTGGGTTCTCAGTATGGACGTGAGCGCTCGGGGATGAAGATCCTAGAAAGTTTCTTTGCTGTCTCCCCTGCTAGGTGGTGCCTGCTCACAAATGCATTTCGGAATGTTGGTCCGAGAATACGCTTGCGTGTGTAACAATCAATCAGCTATTCCTTAGTACATACTCCTCTTTCTGTGAATTTATGTGACGAGATCTGAGGGTGATGGAAGGAGGTCTCGTTATGGTTAGAAGAATCCGTCGGGGATACGTCTTGGCATGTTACAGTTGGGGGCAAGTCAGCACTGGGCATTCAGGATGCACACTAAAGATAAGCACCGAAGCCTTGTCCCGCTCTAAAAAAATCAGCATCAGAACATCGATCCTTTCGATCCTTAATCTGGTACCTGCATAAGCCCATGTCGCCATCCAACAGCCAAGAATCACAAGCATCCTGTTCCTGTTCCTGTTCCTGGTGCAACCCCGAACTCAGAAAAGCGCAACGCTTAGACTAAGTATACTTTGAGATTTCTACAGGGTTGTTTGAATAACGAAACCAAAAACCGTCGTAACGAAGTCAAGAGTCGTCCGGCTTTCCTTCCTTCCACTGACACTGAACTTTCTTCCTTTCCTTTGCCAAGAGCTTCGCGACATCTCTGTTTTCTTGCGGGCACACATCTATTCTACCTCACTAGTTATCCAAAGCATCCACGCTGCACTTCTACAGTCAGTCCGCAATCAATTCCACAGCGACACTCATCACCTCTTCAACTTCCTTGCCAAAAGCAATCGCCCAACATGCACGCACTCTCGCTTGCACTCCTCCTCTCCATCATTATCTCAACCGCCGCTTTCAGCATCACATGGATCGAGAACTCAGAGTGCGAGGGCAAGACAGCACCACTGGGCGAACTCAAGCTCACGGACGGATGCCAAAAGGTCGGCGGCGGCAACTCCACAGGCATGGAGGGTCTCAACATTGGCTGGACTACGGCAGAGGACAACGATTTGGTCGTGGCGTTCTTTGGGGATGAGAACTGCTGCAATGGAATCAACATCGGGAGCTCGGGATGGACTCCGGATTGCACTTCAAGTGTAATGAAGAGCTACAGGGTAATGGATCCGAATGATATCAACAAGGGCAAAGACGGGGAGAACTACGACTGTGTAGGGAATGAGTGAACAGCGATGTGCTATGTTGAAGAGAGTCCGAGTGTCGTGATTGAGGATAGTGGGCAGTCGAAGTTGAAAGGTGATGGGTTAATGTGGCAAAAGCTATGTATTGTTATGGTATCCGGGTCCAGATTTGGATGGTATAGGATCCTCCGTTTTGCTATTGGAAATCATAATAAAGCTTGAGATTGTTTAAAGTACAAACCCGAGAGGAGGAAAGAATGGGACACGTGATAAACACGTGAGGAATGTAGACCTCCACTTGACATCATTTCTAAGGGGAAAATAAACGCTAGCCTGAATACCTGAGCACTGAACACAACACCTTGAAGGAGGAGGATTGGACACAAATGCTAAAAGGGTAAATAGCCTAACCGAATTGGTTCCACTTCGCGAGATGAATCAGGAACTCCGCCCCCTTTAGAATATCCCGACCACATCTTCCCAACCCATGCTTTTGGGGCCAATACCCAACGCGGCCAAGACCTTGGTATTAACGCCAAGTGTGGATGAGGCTGAGATCCATGAACCATGAACCCACGGGAGAGGTTATGGCCGCCGATGGTGCGACATGATGTTCAGCCGCCATTCTTCCATCTCTGGCCGGAATATTATCAGACATTGGCAGAAGTATGGGCTTTAATCTCCAAAAGTGGGCTGCAGGATCGAGTTGGTAGAGCGGCTATCCTTGTTTGTTTATTCTAGGATACGGGCATCACCATAGCGTCTCGTAACACCCAAAGGCGGGTAAATATGGTTGTACTTCACTTCATTGAAGCACTCTACTGCCTTTCCTATCACCTCTCTTTTCTCCAACTGATACGTCTCTCTCTCAAGAGCTTGATAATTTCCGCTTTGCGTGGTTGCAGCTCACACATTCATTTATTTCTTTCTTCAACACTCGTTTTCAAAATGCCGTCACTCACTACATTGCTATCTATCGTGCTCGCGCTTAATCCCTTTTTTCTAACCACAGCCTTTCCAACCAACCACGAAGCTCCTTCATCCAGCTTCCTGGAAACTCGACAGCCCGTTGCGTTACCCGCAGACCCAAGGATTGGAGATGTGCTGATACTCCGGCACGACCAAATACTTCGAAAGCGTGGATTCGATGATGACAACAACTCCTCCTCTTTCGAGGCCTTTGCTTTCGACCCCCGATTTTACTCCCACACCAAGCGGGCAGTCGAAGAATCACGCTTCGACTCCATAGTAAAACATGCTCATGCCAGTCTTCACAAAATCCTCCCTAACCAACTCTTCAAACGCGCCACCCCCCCGGACTGGGACGAAGAAGACGCCTTCAAATGCGGCGACACAAAAGTCATGCTAAACGAAGCCGTCAACCCCGAGAGCGGCGCCTCAGGGTCCGTGTACCAAGGCGTAACCAAAGACGGCGTGAAAGTCGCTCTCAAGATGTCTCAAAACAAGGGCGTCATCGACAAAGAGTACGCCATCATGACCACAATCGGGAAGCAGGACCACATCGTGCAAGCCCTCGCCAAATGCGAGTACGGGCTCAACTACGTCATCATGATGGAGCTTGCGGAGCTCGGCACGCTGCAGCCTCGCATCGTGGCCCAGACGTATGTGGGCAATGAGGTGCTGGTCAAAGCGGTCATGGATCAGATCTTTGATGCGGTGGCGTACTTTAACGATAAGGGCATCGCGCACAACGACCTAAAGGATGGCAACGTCATGTTCAATGCAGGCGAGGTGGTCAAGGTCATCGACTTCGGCGAGGCTACGACGGATAAAGTCGTCTCGAAAATCGACGTCGCGGGCGGGATCAGGGGACCTGGTAAGCTTGCAACAACCCACCCTTTGTAGCCTTCCGTCTATCATTTCCACATTTCTAACGCCTATCATTTCAACAGAGGCCGAAACCGGCTCCACCCTCGAAATCGACCCCATCTCCAACGACGAGTGGGAGGTTGCCGTCCTCATGGTCTCCATGATGATCGGCAAGAAGCCCTGGACGTCCGCCGCCGCTGCGAACGCGCGAGCCATCTGGGAGACGCCGGCGAACCCGAGCCTCCGCGCTGCGGCGTGCAAGAAAGAGTGGCCGGACTTCTCGGACGACTTCTGCGCGGTCCTGGCGGATGTGCTGGCGCCGCAGCTTAGTCGCAAGAAGCTCGATGTGTTTAGGACGAAGGTTGCGAATCCGAATCTGAAGCTTTTCGATGATTGTAATAAGAAGACGAAGACGTCGAAGCGAGATACGGAGGCGGGGGAGATGCTGGTTGTGGCGGTTGATGAGCGCGCGGAGGAGTGGGTTGTGCGGGCAGTGGTGTATTAGGATCATTGCTTGGTGTTGGACTTTACTTCGATGCACGAATATGTAATAGACTGGTCATCGAACGGTGGGAGTGAGTCCTACATTTCATAGTCAATGTGAGCGCTACCCTCAACGTGTCGATAAAAGGTTTGACTCGGTATCTCTGAGGTGACCTGGCAGGCTTGATGACTGTTCACAGCGATGAACTCTTGAACTCGCCCGGATTTCTGAAAATATCCCGAAGCACCGCAAGTAGAAGCAAGAGAGAGTCAGCGGGCCTATGCTGAGGCATCATACAAAAAACTTCTTCCACCCTCTCCTACCGTCTGCCACCTGTTCCGCTGCCTCCTACACCTTCCGCTTAAGCAATCCCTTAAAGAAATCAAAGCTATTACTATCACTCTGCAGCTCCCAAATCTTCCCCGTCGGCCTGTCTTCCCACCCCAACTCCTCCGCAAGCAGCAACCCCCAATCTCTCGTAATCCCCTTCACTCTTGCCCGCACCCCTCCTTCCGCCTCCAGCTCCACAATCTGATTCGTGTGCAACCAGCCATCATAATACGCGCCCTCCGCCTCTCTATCCCACCCTTTTGCACAAAACCGCCTATACAGCGTCTCAAACTCGACGAGAATACTAGCGAGTAATTTCTCCATCTGAAACGCTTTCAAGCCTTCTTTCGCTGCTAGCTGGTTCAGGCTAGTCGTTGGAGAGGGGTTCGCGACATTAATCCCGACGCCCACTACAAGTGTGTACTCGGAGCCAGAGTAGCTCGAGTTCACGAGAATCCCGCCGATTTTAACGAAGTCGGTGTTGCTGTGTCGGCCGTTTGTGGGTTTTGGGGCGGTAGGGCTGAGAGCGTAGATGTCGTTTGGCCATTTCAGCTTGATGGGCAGTCTATCGTAGCCTGGCGCGTAGCCTTTTGCTCCCTTGACGAAGGCGAGGGCGGTGAGGTATTGCACGAATATCACGGGGGCAGAGGCGGTGAGCGCGATGGGGTGGCGGATGACAGTGCTGAACATGAGAGAGCCGGGAGGTGCGAGCCAGACGTTCGAGCCGCGGCCGCGGCCGGCGACTTGCATCGTTGCTGTTGCGGTGAAGCCTTGAGGAAGGGTGTTGAGGAGTTTGGGGTTTCTGGATCGAAGGGTTAGCTTGGTTGCATATATCTATGGGCAAGATAAAGTGGTACTTCTCGAGGATGGTGTTAGTGCTGGTGACGACTTCGCCATAGAGAAGATGGGTGCCGAAAGAAGGTTCGTCGATATCTGATTTGCTCTGGAAATGGGCGAGGTTTGCATAATACGCATCGTGGTTGAAAGATGGAGTCTCTCGGCCTGAGGGAAGCATTTTCTCGTGAGGAACAATCCTCTTGATTACTTTGTCATAGTCGATGATCTTGTCTCCAGATGTTGAGTCATCGGAGCTTTCGGCCTCCAACGCCTTTTCTTTGGGGGGCGTATCTTCTGGTGAAGGCTTTTCTTTCGAGTTACCAGAAACAGCATCAGGTAGTACACTCGTAACCGCCTTCACAAGACTACCCATACCCCACGTCGCAGCCCTCTCCACGTGGAATGTGTCGTTCTCCGCCTGCACATACTCTGCTCCATCAATCAAAGTAGTGACTTCGTGCCAAGATGCGAGGATTTCGGCGACATCTGATGGCGTGCGAGCAGTGAGGTGCAGGCGGGAGAGTGACGGTACCGGCTGCTCCTCTTCATTGACTTGCAGGCCTAATTTGACGAGACATGCCTTCATAAAGGCAACACGAGTGGCATCTGATGCTGCGATAGCATCAATCGCGGCTGCGTATGATGGTGGGCCGTTCGATTTGTTGAGGTTGATAGGGGCGAATCTAGACTTGTCAGTCATTTGACCAAAGTGTAACTAAGAGATCAGGATATGGGCATACTCAGGATGGGGCCCTGTAAGAATAGCATGACCGTCGCCAATCTTGCGGTAGACAACAGCAGCCTTACTGTCTCCTGAATCGACATGCAGATCCTCTTTGAAGCTCGCCAAAATCTCCACGCCCCTCTCAGCGAGCTTCTTCGCGTCCACAAAAACGCCACCGCCGTTGTAATATGAACGGAACAATCCAGGTACGGTATCCTTAATCGAGGGAAGAGCAGACCTGTTTATCTCCAACTCGACTGCTCTCGTCCCAGCCTCGCTTTGATACACAAACCCCGGGAAAGCCAGTCCACGACACGTTCCTGGGAAGAATCCGAGTTCTCTGTCGCCAACAACAGCCATTTTCTTATCATCTACTTCGAATTCGCATCTTGCAGACCCGTAGTACCCACCAGCACAGAATCCGAGGTAGCTACCTCCTCGATTCACGAATTGCGTGATCTTGCGGTTACCCGCCCCGTCAAGCGTCCTACAGTAGCCCAGATCTGCACCACCAGGAAAGACAATCAAGGCGCAGGTGGCAGTCCAGGGTTCCTTCAGGAGGGTCTCGCCCGTGATTGGAATAACAGCGTATTTGGGAGAGAGCAGGCGGCGAAGGGTGTAGAGAGTATGGTGCACGGATTCACTTGTACTTCCGTTGCCTATCTATCTTTAGAAGAGAACAAAACGATGATCAAATGACAATGGAAAACAAGACTTACCGGAATATACAAGCACATTCATCCGTCTCGAAGCCATATTGAATTGGTGGTGACAGAATGGCCTGAGGCCCGAGTGCTCCCGAGCTTCACCCGAAAGAGGAATCACACGATGACAGACTCGAGCACAGCGACAACAAGAAAGCTCTCCGAAACACTAAAGCGATGTCAAACAACGCGATCCAGTCAAGCGAGTCGAATGCGGCCGTGGATGATGACGAACCGGATGATTGGTGAGAGCAATTGATGAAATATGTTGATGACGAAGAAGAGGTTAACGAATTGAACTAGGGACAAGAGAATCTTCAGCACCGGCTGCTCAGGTCAGACATCAGAGAATGCATCGATATCCCCTGTATTGATTGATTGATAGTGGAAAATTCAAAGATGACGGACTGCTACTATGATACGAAGGACTGGAGGGCGTGTAAGAAGGAGGTAAGTCATCGATGGTTGTGGATCGGGGACCGACAAAGTTGCCGGCTTCCGTCATGCATGCTCTCGTCCAACCAACCACCTGCAAACTATACTGACTCTGCTGCACCATTACAGATGGAGGCTTTCCGTGAATGCTGGAAGAGACAAGGCAATGAGCAAAGAACCGACTCTAAAGATGCATGATGGCAAATGGCGGATATCCTAATACGTTGGGTGTATTTTAGTGACGGAGACCCAGGTCTCATCGAGTGAGTTTGAGGGAAGTAACTTTATATTACTGTGTATCATAGGTAGCAGAGACTCTCTCGGGCAAAGCAAGGCGTCTTTTGTAATACATCCAGTTGGAGACTATCCACCGCTCCTCTCCTCCTTGTCACTCAATTTACAACCATGGAATGCTTTGTGAATAATATATGAATAGTATGCACTTCTCTGCCGCCGTTCGAAGTGTCGCGATGCATTTTCAAAAGCCGGAAAGATACGGAATTGAATCGTTTAAATTAAATTTTAAATTCGTTATGCTGCCTCAGGCGGCGATACCTACCCAAGATTGTCGACTGTCTTCGATCAGGATACTACAATATCCCGGTATGGGTAGAGCGTATACTCTGCTTCACCGCTGCATGGGGCCTTCCCACATAGTTTCGAAAATCGAACGGCCTGTAGTCTAGAATGGCGCGATTCAGCGAGGCTGTCATAAGGCTCGGTGTACAAATTTGGCCGCTGCATAAGGTCCTCCGACAGCTTCTCATATTTTTAAAGAAGAGTGGTTTGAAAGACTAGAGATCAAGCTCGGCCACCTCAGGCGTCGTCCAACTGGATGACACACTTCAATCAGGATGTTAGATACGCACATAGAAGTGGTGCATTCGATATCAAAACACTACAGCAGAGTCACGCTCCACCGTGAAGCTCACTCCAGTATACACAGACCCAGTAATCCAACTCCGCGATCCCATCCCTTCCCCTAGCACCTCAACGCTTCTCCAGCACCTTTCACTGAAAAGCAGAGACGCCAGGATGCCAGAAACAACAAAAGAAACAACCTAAACACCAGACGCGGGTGCTGCATGTGTCGTCTTTCGCCTCTCGTTCTACTTTACACAGCCTGGCTCGGGCTCTCCCCTTCGGCCACCACCGCCGTCCCCAATCCGCGCTCTGGGCTCTGTAGCACGAGCTGCTCGTGCCGCCGCGCCTTGACAAAATCAGAAATGCTCTTGATAAGAATGAACCAGCCGATGACCATCAGTAGATAAGCAATCCAGTCGCTCGTTGTTATGCCACCCGCAGCAGATACAGACGATGGAGTAGGTATAGACGGCGCGACAGCGTTCGGGTCGAAGTCATGGCTATTTGGGTCCGGGGGCGCGCCGTTGAAATCGCCGTCGCCCTGGCCACCGTTCCCGCCGCCATCAGAGATAGGGCCCGCGCCCTTCATGCTAAAGCCGTACTGGATAAGGGTGATACCGAGGCCGGCGCGGGAGCCGTTCTTCGCCGCGTGGGTAGTGTGGAGGAGGTAGGTGAGCAGGAAGCCGACGAGCTGGAAGGACATGGAGATCATGGCGTTCCAAACAAAGCTGAAGACAGAGCCGACAGGGAGGCCTTCGATGTAGACGGCGTTGGAGTCCGAGAAGGGGCCGCCTGGGGCGAGAATGGTGGTTTCCCAGTATGGAGGAGTGGCGTCCAGGGCGGCTTGTTCGTAGGTCTGTGGGGGTAAGTTAGTATGAATAGTCCCGAGAGTAGACATATTGGGCAGGGCCTTACAGGAGGCTTCTCTTCCAGCTCCTCTCCTCGTGTTGGCTTCGCGCTCAGGTTTGCAAATACGCCGTCGTTCTGACCACCCCCATATATTCGCCCTCCTGCCGCTGCGCCTACTGCCGACGCTGGTGTAGCATTAAAAACAGGCAGTTGTGTTACTCTCCTCTCGATCCCCCGTGGCCGCACTTCGTCGCTATTCCGATGAAGTCCGTGGTCCTCTCCATCGTCGGACGCCGACGAAGGGCTCGCGCGCATCAGCCGCTGCCGGTCGTCCATCCCATCGCCCTCCTCATCCTCACTGTCGGCATCGTCGAATGTGTCGGCGAGGGTGCGCTCGGCATCGGTGGCATAGGGATCGGCGGTTGGGCTCAGCAGGTGGTGGCTCCCAGTGGGGGACGAGGCGTGAGAGCGGAAGGATGGCGGCGGCGAGTTGGGGATTTGCTGTGACGACTGCGGCGGCGGATTCGTGTGCGAGAAGGAGGTTTGAGGGTTTGAGTGCGGTGAGGTTGGCGAGTCGACATCGTCGTTGGCGGAGACCTGGGGGGCGTTAGCGGAGCGAAGGAAGGGGGGTGCGGCTGACATACCCGCTCGTAGCCTTGCGGCATGGCTGCGATTGTTGAAGCAAGAAAAGGTGAGGGTTTCAAGGGTAGAGAGAGTGACGGAACGAAGCGAAAAAAGAGTCGGCGGAGAGGGTGGAGGCTGCAGTGGAGGTAGGGAGACAGGGAGACGTGGTGTGGTGATTCGTAAGGCCGCGGGACGACGGCGAGTTTCCATGCGCGATGGTCCGGTGCACTGCCACAATTGGAATTATACGGCGGACTGCAGGGGCGGCAGCGCGTATCAAAAGGTGCCGACATCATCGATTTTGCGTCGTGGCTGTATCCAAACACCAACAAATATGTCGGGCCCTGTATGTGAAACTCTCGTCGCGTGTGGCTGCAATGGCCATATGGCGCTGAGTCTATTCAATTGATCTCAATAGCTGATACTGGCAGAATATCGCAAAACACTACACCCGCCTCCTAGCCCTCTGGCCCAAAGACCCCCTCCGGCCTACCCTCCATTTCGACAAGGTCCTCCAGCATCGCGCAGCCCAGGCGAGTGCTGGTAAATCAGACCTCAAGGCCGAGCTGGGGCAAATCAATGCGGCGTACTCGCTTCTCGAGAATCGATATATGCATAGGGTACGTCTTTGCAATGTTCAAATCGCCGAGTCTTAAATGAGGCTCCAAGCTAATTCGAACGGCCTGATAGAATCCAACATCCAAGCGCCTTCTTAGTCCTACCTCGAATCCGACCTACTACGACGACCTAATCGCGGAGCTAGAGCAAGCGCCGAAGAGGTCATGGCTCGCTAGAAGAATTGAGGGCTGGAAGCGAATGATCAGATTTACATGATAAAATATGAAAACGCTCTATGGGTATCATATGGTCGGCTTTGTACGCTTTAAGAGGTGGTGTATAACATGTGCGGTGCGCAGGGCTCAAGAAGAGGCGTTTCGGAAGGTCGGATGTCGTAAAGATGGCTATTTGGGAAGACTACGGATGTACAATAGAAGGGTACCTAAAAGAAGACAACAACTGTACAGTTATACACTGTGAAATGGACTAAAGAAGTCTGGTCGACTTGAATGTGGTAAGAAATTTGGACCGGGGCAGTCCATGCGGTTGACACCCAATATAGGCACGTTGTTGACGTGACTTGTGCATAAGGGCATAGAAGAAAGGCGGGAAGAACATCAGGAGGAATACATTTGGGAGGCAGTGCACGCAATCTGAATCCATCTTAGCATGTTTTTGACGTGGTTCGTGAACAGGGTTGGGGTAAGAGACTACGCTAGAAGTAACGACGATCCAAGTTATTTTTATTCTATGCTTAACGAATATTGAAGCAAACATTGATTAGCTACAAGAGACCAGCTTGCCTTCAATTTCGTTATCAAGCCTCAGCCGTCTCCTTTTCATCCTCACCACGTTTTCGACACGTCTTACAGAGCTGGAGATCGTCTCTACGCTCGTCTCAACCGTCAAATTCATCTATTGACTCGCCACTCTGTCTCCCGTTCGAGCTTCCGGAGTTTCGAGCCATGAACCCCGAGAGGAGCCACACTTTGTCCACCTGGATGGAATAGAAAAGGGGAAAGAAGCTAGAGTGTGTATTACGACTTTCTAGTCGGGTTTCTGTCTTGACAAGGCAGGCAAACGTAAAGCTGGTCAAACAATTTAGACGAAGCATCCATATCTATTTTATAAAAATCCTTCGTACGGTCTTTTGCTCTTGCGCGAACACTATAAGCATAACACAAACGTTTCGCCTTAACTTATATTGTTTCTGTGGATACGTGGATACTTATTGTGATACGTCTATAGTGCACGCATAAGTAGCGCCGCGCTAGTCCTCGTATTACACCAGTGATGTGCACTATTTGGAGCTGCAGCCCCGGCGGCTAGTTGGCAAAAGCTTCGCCGCCTAGAGCTTTGGAGGGGCAGAGCACCTGCATTGGATGCTTCAGCATTGATCCTTGGACGCTATGCATGTCTGACTATCTCATGAATTTGTGTCGTTTTACCGTGACTGGAACGCTCTGAACTGTTAGCTGGCTCTCCGATTCGAAGCTTGACAAAAGCTGTGCCCCTCTTCTCCATCTCCTTGCAGACGCGTTCCCTGCCATTGGGCGTACCAAAAAGCTTCAATGGCCTCAGCTCCTCCTCCTGCTCTTTCAGAAGGGGCTCCTCCGCTACTAAATGAGCCTCCTCCGACATACAACGATGCAACGGGAACTCTCAATATACGCCAGGATGGCCTCAGCACTCAAACCCAAGTCAGCAGTCAGTCCTCTCTATAGACACCCAATTCACGCGGCCTAAAACACAACATCACTCTCTACTTCCCACCACGCATTCTCCAACCCATCATTTCTTCTTGTAATCTGAACTGACCAAGAAACTAGATGACGGGCGCGTGGACATCCGTATAGACGAAAGCGACGAGAGACTTGCCAAAGAGATTCAGCAGCTTCAGCTTGCGTCTCTGCAAGAATCGTCCGAAACCCCAACCCCATTATACACACCAACATCCTATGGCCAACTATATGAAGCGCCTCCGCCTCTCAACATCGTTGTTCATGTTGTTGGCTCGCGAGGAGATGTGCAGCCATTTGTCGCGCTTGGCCGAGAACTGAAGAACAGCTACGGGCACCGCGTCCGTATCGCTACGCATGGGACCTTCAAGAAGTTTGTTGAGGAGAATGGCTTGGAATTCTTTGAGATTGGTGGTGACCCAGCCGAGTTGATGGCTTTTATGGTTAAGAACCCAGGTCTGATTCCAGGAATGAAGTCGCTGAAGGCTGGTGATGTGGGCAAGAGACGTAAGGGCATGGCCGAAATCCTCGAAGGGTGCTGGAAATCATGCGCCGATGCCAATGAGGTTGAGAAAGCGGATGAAGATACCCCGAGTGCCACGAAGACGAAGCCGTTCATTGCACATGCCATTATTGCCAATCCGCCAAGTTTCGCACATATACATTGCGCGGAAAAGCTCGGCATCCCGCTGCATCTAATGTTCACGTACGTCTTCAGTTTTGCCTCTGATATGATAGTAGATGCATGTGCTAATTGAAGGTTTCTTAGCATGCCTTGGTCACCAACTCACGATTTTCCGCATCCATTAGCGAACATCAAATCATCCAATGCCACGGGTAGTATGACTAACGAAATGAGCTACACACTCGTTGATATGATGACCTGGCAAGGCCTCGGGGACATCACCAATAAGTTTAGAAAGGAGACACTAGGTCTTGGAGAAATCACTCAGGCTGCGGCGACCACCATGCTCCATCGGCTACGGATACCTTATACATACTGTTGGTATGTTCGACCTTTCTCTGCATTGTTCCAAACTTCTTAGCATTTCTGACCTCGCACATCCAACAGGTCGCCAGCCTTGATTCCGAAACCCAAGGATTGGGGTAGTCATATCGATATTTCAGGCTTCTATTTCCTATCCCTCGCGTCCAACTACCAGCCGGACCCTGACCTCGCAGCTTTTCTGGCTGCAGGTCCTCCGCCAGTGTACATTGGCTTTGGTTCAATTGTTGTGGACGACCCAAATGCAATGACTACGCTCATATTTGATGCTGTCAGAAAGACTGGCCAACGCGCCCTAGTATCAAAAGGTTGGGGTGGCCTCGGTGGTGATGATCTTGCCAAACCTGACAACGTCTTTATGCTCGGTAATTGCCCACACGATTGGCTGTTCCAGCACGTCTCCTGTGTCGTTCATCACGGTGGGGCTGGCACAACAGCGGCTGGTATTGCACTAGGGCGCCCAACTGTTATCGTGCCTTTCTTCGGCGACCAGCCCTTTTGGGGTGCCATGGTTGCACGAGCTGGTGCAGGACCTACACCTATTCCATACAAGGACCTTACGGCGCAAGGCCTCGCGGACAGCATCCTCCATGCACTGAAACCCGAGACTCTCGAGCGGGCCCGGGAGTTAGGCGAGCGTATCCGCGAAGAAAAGGGGTGCGAGGCCGGTGCGGCAAGCTTCCACGCCCAAATGCACGTTGACGCCCTCCGTTGTGCGATTGTACCCAGTCGTCCAGCAGTATGGCGCGTCAAGACCAAAGATTCTACGACTGCCGATGTACGGCTCAGTGCCTTTGCAGCGACAGTACTGGGCAACGAGCATTTGCTCGATATCAACCAGCTTCGTCTCTACCGCCCCTACGAGTACGCCGTTGAAGAAAGCGCTGTCATCTCCAATGTCACCGGCGCAAATCCTGTGCTCAATACTCTGGGCTCTTTGGCGTCTGGCATCATACACTGGCCGGTCAACGTTGGCAAAGCCTACGCAGGTATCGTGTACGAGCCGTATAAAGGCGCTAGAGCGGACGGTTGGCGCGGTTTCGGTAAAGGTTTAGGAAAAGGATTTGGACATCTCCTCTTTCCCAAACGCGGCCTTGTCATCGGCGGCAGACCTTACGGCATCCGCGCACTCTACGACACCATCAAGAAGCGGATGGGTTCAGGTACACTGAGCTTTATCCTCGCAGCACATTTCGCGCTCGGATTTGAAGAGGTCAAAAAGTCGACTGAAGAAGAGAGGGTGGAGGTGCTTACGAGGTGGAATGAGCTGGCGCCGGTTTTGAAGAGAGAGACGAGCGGAGCTAGCTCGTCGTGGAGCTTGTCGAAATCTTCGACGAGAGACTCGAGTCGCTCGACGAGCACATCGAAGAGCCGGCGGCGCGATGAGTCTGCGCCTCCTACTCCATCGAGCGAAACTTGAAACAACTGAAATTGGCGCTATGGACGCTGTTAGCCCAGGACGTAATAGCTCTAGTTTGGACGTCTTGAGTCACGTTACATCTATGTCTAGCTTTGGCCGTGAGAGCTTCGTGGTTCGTACGGGGCAACATCGCGTGGGCTAATCGAAAAGCCAGAAGATATGTTCTGTTGAGATGACAAGGCCAACTCTGGTACGTGGTGAGTTATACCTTCCATCTAAGGTACGAAATGCACGACTAAGCAGAGTTCAGATTTTCGAACCACACAAAGGTATTCAAGCTCTTGATGAAGATGCTCATTGCCTCCACTTGCCTACTCTTTGTGATCCCGACGGCTCCAAAATGTATGCTCTTGCTATCGAACAATAGAGACCTATTCTAAAAGCAGCTCTCATGAGCGCTTGCCGCTATAGGATGCTCCTACGCACTCCTGATCTCGACGAGAGGCTAAGACCTTAATGGCCGATTGTCAACCCTCCCCAAGTATATCAAGCAAGCTTCAATAAGAATGTCTGTACAAGACTGAACCCGATCCTGGAAAATTTGGAATTGTGGTGATTTGAGCGTACCGTGCCTCATAGACATCCTTGCAATTCTCTGTCACTACTTGTAGAGCCCCAACGTCCTAGTGGACTTCAGGGACAACAGAGCGCATTCAAAATGTGTCTACTCTTCTCTACCGCTGTCTGGGGTGGCCTCCCGACTTTACTAGCTGTCCAAGATGCCAAATTTCACCTTAATTAAGAGTTCCTAAACTACTATGAGGTACCATGAGCACTACAAAAAAGTGTACGGATATTTTTGATGAGACATTGTACGATTGGCTGGAATCCTGAATGGTTCGTGATGCGGCATACTTTAAATACATCCGAGCCACGGGACGTCGCATAATCAGAGCGCAGCTAATCATTGAACCACCACACATCAAGGCACACTTGCCAGCCTTTTAAGATATATTCTCGTTGTCCGCTATTTCCCTTTTCTCGTTTCCTTTAAATCTACAAACTTCGCCACTAGAAAGTCCAGCATTCGTCTAAATCAACTACGGCTCAACTGTTCGCATCACGTTACTCGCAAACCCACGCATACGCGTAGGAATCTTACGACATACTTTCACTTTCCAAAGAAAAGGCATATCTCACCTCTGAATCACAGAGAACTCGCACTCTTCTGCTCTATATTCAAATCGCCCGGCGCCAATGAAAAGAGTTCATAGGCCTTTCGACAAGCCACTCACCATAATGACCAACGAACCGAGTCTCGCAGCACGTGAGCAGGCAGTCGTGCACAACTCTTGCAGGAGTCGCATTCTTCAACTACCTCGTGAGCTCCTGCTGGAGATTGGGGATCGCCTATCTCATGTCTCCACGATCGCGTTTCGCCAAACATGCCAGGCGCTGCGATCTACGCTGTGACTCGGGTCTGGGATCTTTCCTCTCAATGAGTTCGACCCGGAAATCCTAGCCCTGGAAACAGGCGTCCTTCACCGTTCAACACGTGGACCACTGGCGCGAGAGCAGCAGCTTCAAGTCCGCATCTAGTGCAGCTTGTGTAGTACCCGCCATCCAAGCTATTACTTCACCCCGGAGCAGAGAGACTCCCCGCCACTTGCACGCCGCTGTACTAAAGTCAAACTCTGTGAGCGCCACAGCTTCACCCACAACGAAATTCTCAGAATGGGTGCCACCTTTACAAATTCTTCCAGAACTGTGTTCGCGTGCCAGCACCCCAGCCATCACTTGTATGCCACTCACATCGGACCCGGAGCCCCAAATATCATTCTTTTAGGGCCTAGCCCCAGAGAGTTTTGCATGACCTCGGTGTACCCACTAGGAAATGGACAAAACGTCACTCAAGCTACAGTCACGGCAGCATTGAATAGTCTAGACGAACCACTGTGTTCGCACACACGTCTGAACAATCCATCGATTCGTCAGCTCGCCTTAGTCCTGCTCACGTCACGATCGGACTCAAACTCGTCTGAACGGGTTGCTGCTCAGGTTTTCCCGGCGGTGGTTATTGTGGCTGCGCTGCATTTATCTGCAATACTGTCGCTCCAGGTAGTCACCGGATGAGCCTAGTCGTATACAAGCCCTCGGATCACGGGAGGCCCGAATCCGTAGCGCGGCTACCGGTGACCTCTTGATCGCCCGAGAATACTTAAGGGGTGCATACCACACATTACTGCAGGCCCTCTCTTACGCAAAACGAAGAAGGAACGTTAGCGACGCCTATACCGGTCACGGGCCTTGGTATTCCATGGGGCGGTAACTCCACATCCTCACACGCTGGTGACGCTGCGGCTCCTCGGTCTGTTCTAAAAATCGGAGATGCAATAAGGCGGTGTAACTTGACTTCCCGTTAGTCCGATATTGAAGGAGACGTTTTACCACTGCGCGCGGATAGGTGGCTTAGATCGCCAAGTATGGTGCCAAGAAGCCCCCCTTTCTGCCCAGCCTTGCAGCAGGGATCTCTCGTCGTCTGGATTCGGTGGGGAATGCCACTGCGCTCGTTGGCTGGAACCAAATTCTCGTGTCACAACCTTTCAGTTCTACAGCGTCTTTTAGGCAGCTATATTAAAGGTACTCGGGGCTTTAAGGCATTCCGGTGTTCCTAATTGGGCTAGTCAAGTACCCAATGATCGGCACAGCCAAGATGCCGCAGCATCCTTAGGCTGGGCAAGGACCGTATATATAGTCAGGCTTGGTCCCATTACGAGAAATCCACGGCTGCTGAGCGAACGCTTGTCGATTTTCTATTCATCACGTGATATCCTTTTCTCCCCGTCCACAGAAACTTTCTTTTCGAGAGAATCCCGTTTCTGGCTAAAGAAAGAACCATTCACAGTCCTAGTGCATTGACCTTAACATTACTGTTGCAATACACCCTCACATTTCGCTACATTACATTCTGGTCGGCCACTTCAAGTCTCTATACATACAACGCGCGACATGCAAAATAGGATACATACGGGCTTCGCCCTCCGACACAACGGGTCTTGTCCCGCTGGGAACATAAATTGCGGGACCACAGTCGCGCCGTTTCGTGGCTGCTGTCCATCTGGCTATGCCTGTCCGCACCAATACAATCTTGCCTGCTGTCCGTCGGGTCAGAATTGCACTGCGACGCTCCTAGCTGACGCACACTGCGCAAATGATAGCTGGGACATGTACGACAATGGCGGCTACTTCTGCTGCCAGAAAGACGAAGTGGGATATGCGGAGACGGCGACGGGTAGTAATGGGTGTGCGCGGCCGGGCTACAATACGACTGATGATGAGTTGCAGCTGAGGATAGTGTCGACGGGACAAGGTGAGTTGAGAGCCTAGTTTGTCATAAAGGAGGCGGAGAGCTGACTCTAGATGTGTGTGTGCAGTGTCTTCCTCCACCAGCGCTACGTCTACGACCAGTTCGACATCCACGTCAAGCCCAACACCAACACCTAGTTCAACGCCTACGACAAGTCCCTCCAAAGAATCAAACACAGGGGCAATCGCAGGAGGCGTGGTCGGCGGAGTGGTCGGGCTCACTCTTCTAGTCGCCATTGTCTGGTTCCTCCTCCGCAGAAAGCGGAAACAGGCAAAGGCCAGCATGGCTGGTAGCACGGTATACAGCGAACTTAACGGAGTGAATACGCTGCATGAAGCGGGTGGGCGCGAGGTACAGCAAAAGTATGGACATACCGCACCTCATGAGACACTTGAACTTGATAGCAGGACCTTTGCCGAGTTGCCAGCATCGTGACCATCATAACGCAAGGAGAGTTCGACGCGGATTGGGACATGAGTCAGATTGACGTTGGAGTATGGAAAATACTCAGAATTACTGTTCAGTTGTGTAGCAATCGCAAAACACTTTCTCGACACCACAACAGAGAGGCTTTACTTAAAGCTAGTCAAAGTCTACGGACATCGACACGCGCATCAATAATTGAATACCATCAACGACGGATTCAGCAAAAGCGGGAGGAGAAGATGACACCCCACCATGACCGCCAAGGGCACGACCGCAGTGGCCCCGTTGATTTGCCATCCCCTCGGCGCCCAGATACCCAGATATATCATACCCCCTACAACTGGAATCAAGCAGATGTACATCCATTTGAAACTCTTAAAGATCTTGGGAATCTCCTTGAAGAAATTCGAGTTCTCTTTCTCCTTGGCAGTGGCGCCCCATTGCATGTTGATGCTGAACATGTGGGCGAGGAGCGCGAGGCTGAGATGGAACGAGATGTCGCTAAAGAAGAGGATGAACATAGGAGCCCATTTGAAGTTTTCGAGCATGGCGGCCCCGAAGCCTTTGTCGCCGAGGCGGTAGTGCAGGATGGCGAGGGCGATATTGCTTATGAAGGTAAAGACGACGATGAGGGCAAGAAAGACTATGAAGTGTCAGAGTTTAGCATCCGTTAGAAATCTAGCAAGACGAACTTTTCCAAGAATCCACGTAAAATTTGTCCAGTCGGCCGTTGAACCATCCAATGAGGATGTAGTTCAGCAGCGTTAGAGGAAGCCCGGCAGCTAGGGCGTAATCTATTTTGTTAGGTGAAGGTTGGCATGATGAATGGGACTCGCGAAAATGCTTACATGATGCTATGTATCCCAATATGGTTACCTTGGATGAGATCTGAGTACGAGCCTAGAGGAATGCGAGGAAAAGCTTGGTAAAGGGTCCTCTCCATATCCACGTGTACAGTGGATTGAAGACCATTTCGTTGCAGCCGTACGCATATCTGCCCCAGTTGAGCAATTAATGAGCTATCTCGCACACAAAGAAGACGGCAGTGATGTCGATTTGCAGAAAACCAGATCATATTACGGGGAGCAGGAAAGGATTGTGCAGTACTTACTTTTCCCATCGGGCTATCTCATCATAAATGGTAAGTGAGACACCTTCCTTGAATTCGTCACCGTGATAGGTTGCCAGACGAACTAGATTTCCAGCAATCTGAAGCTGAAGGGAGATTTCAAAGTCTTCGGAAACATGGGACTCTGACCAATATGTGACGAAGCCGTCATCGCCTACCCTTCCGACGGATTGGATAGCTATCGGAAACGTTAGTATATTTCAGTTGACGTATATAGATGTTCACGTCGGTCAGAAGCTTACCATGCCAGCGTAGAAAGGCATTGTGGCCTACGAAGGATACACCCTCTCCACTTCCGATAGAGAACTTGACTGACGAGTATATCATGTCCGTGAAGAAAGCAATACCGTTCTCAAAGTAGTCATAGAGAACTTTCATGACTCCGGCTGAATGTTGCACTGTAGGACGAGACTTTATCAGCTCCGATGGTATCAATCAAGGCTTTCCAGACTCACCAATAGCAACTTCGGGAGAGAAGAACATTTATCGTAGACCATCATCGTTGACGAAGATTCGAGCCGTTCCTTAAATAATTAGAGGACGTATGTATGGTGTAGCGGTTTCCTTACCTCCGTGCGACTCATAGTGGGAGATGGCCGCTTTGAGAGACTCAACCGTAGATATGATGACTCCAGTTAGAGATTCCTTATACACTGGTAGCTGGATGACGATGGGCGGAGGTATGAATCCCTCTGTATACGCCCTGGAAATACTAGGCTTGACAGCAGAGTGAAACCTTGAATTTCTTTTGACACTGGATATTGGGCCGACTGCTTGACAGATATCCCCGAAGATGATGCCGAAGAAGAGGCCAAAGAGCAATAGTACGGGCTCGACTGCGAGAAGAGCTAGCCGAATCCAATAACCATCTATCATCGCCTGGTATATTAGTTGAGAGGTGGAGAGTCCAATGAGAAGAGCCAACCCAACAAAAACCGCACTCGTGAAGACCACCGGTCTGCCGAGGGATTCTCCGTCGGTATATGCCAGCTCTTCTTCCATCTCTGCTACAACTTGCTCTGATATGCCGTCGGGACCCTTCTTCGATTCACAGGGAGGCGAAAATGTAGGTGCGAGAGGGCTTGCAATTGCTGTTGTCTCGATAGTCCCCACTGGGCAGTCCGAGTTTGAGAAGGAAGAGCCTCCACTGCCCCAGACCTGAAGCGGTTAGTAATGGCGGCTACCAAATATTGTAATGAGGGTGAGCAAAAAAGGAGAGCTCAGGACTTGCACTGGACAGATATTGTAGTCGAACTTTTAGGACCGCTTAAGAGCGCTAAGAAAAGACTTGTGGAAAAAACAGGAGACAGATTACGCATTCAAAAACCTACCAATGCCAGTAATTTCTCCTCAAAATCTCCACCATGAGATATGATGTGCTGCAAATCGTCATACCAGACTAGTGCAATCATTTCCTTCCGAACGAGACAGCCGTATTGAAATTTCTTCACTTTCCGCGAAGTCGAAGCGATTTCGGCCAGGGACTCGACAATCTGCAGTTGTGAACCGTTTTGCATACGTATATCTGTTTGGCGGTTTTGGAGGGTCGAAAAAATGACCCGAGTAGTCTCTGTTGACATGGTAAAAGCGACTTCCACGTTGAGGCTCCGCACTGCAGCCAAAAGGTTTGAATTGATCCTTTCAGGCTCGCAGATATAGCATCCCCGAGATTTGCGCAACAACACGCCGAAGCATGTCTCATAGTCTTTTGCATTTGCCAAGGGAAGCCACTGCCGTACTGTAATCTTGCCAGACAAGAATTTGACCATCTGTAACAATGATTAGGAGCGTCCTGCACCCGAAATATGACAACTCACAGCCGTATATCTGGCAGTGTCTCGACCCATGGTTGCTTCTAGTTGTGTCGTCTGCGGTTCCTGTGTGTCTTGTGTGGATGGTGAAGACGCGGGAGAAGAGCTTCCCGTAGCACTGCCCGATGAGCTACTGAGAGAGTAATTCGGTGACATATTCCAAAATACACCGGCAAACGATATTTCTATGGGTTGTATTATTTGAAGATAAACTCGGAGAAGGGGATGTGCCTGTCTACAGCACGACACGAAAATTGGAGGCCTTGTGAGAACATGAATTGCAAGTAAGAGAACTATGGACTGTAGCTATGGATTGACATATTTCTAGGACAAGGGTCATGTTCTATCAGTGACAAGAACCGCATCGAGGATGCTGCCAAGAGAGAACGGGGATACCCGGCAGCCACCGTTGGGCCTTACTGGGCGATCTTCTTTTCCTAGGAGCCTGGGCCAGGATTGCCATCCTATCCTGCGCCGAAGGCTAGAAGCATGGCGCTCTAGCATCGGAGAAAATGTAACGATGGCTGCTCGAAGGCGTTTTCGGGCCGTCATTCAAGCCTTTCTGTGCTGTTGGATGGGTCAGACTTATCGACACCATTTTGAGGCTGAATCTCGGGGTGGCTTTGTGACGCTAGCAGGCTTCGACGAACATGGGAATCGGGAGAACAAGAAACTGGGGCTATAAGAAAGGCGGTGGTCGCCATCAAAGATGAAGGTTGACCGCAAGCGGTCCTCGGAGCGGATCATCCCAAGGCCGACAGTCCCCTTTTCCGTCGGGATTCGTCTCACCACCTATGCCATTCCAAATCTCCATCACCATCACTTATTGTGACGGAACCGCCACGCATGCGCCTGAGTAATCACTCCGAGATGTTCTGAAACGTTTCACAGTCCTGCGTTCTAGAACAACTGCATTTTCTTCTTCCTTGGCATGAATCAAGCATGAATAGCACACACAAACCATCTCCTTTACGGTACATGTTCATCCGCCTCTCTTGGTTCATCCCGGGCTGAAAATTTTGCTCGAGGCTCACCGACCATCTCTCTGCTTCCACGTGCGCAGTCTAGACTCGAAATCACCTCCTAGAACTCTCCTAAGTCGCCGATAACTCGATGTTGATAGGGTCACCGTAGCCAAGTATACGCCCTCTCCAGACCGTAGCTATCTGCTCGACAATTGCTCGCACTATGACCACCTTGGACCGTCCTGCTAGTCATTGTCGGCTCCTGACGTGTTCGGACATGGTCAGCATCTGATGGCTTAGCTATCAATGCCGCAATATGCCACTCCGATATATTCTTGGCATAAACTAAGTAATTGTGGAACATAAAGTCGTGTTAGAATTGGTCGCCGTCTACGACAAAGCAGGACCATTGTGCCAGCAAATATTCAACCTCTTTTAGCAAAGGCGCTCAGTAGTGATTTTATTGCAAGTTGCAGATTGGACCCCACACAGCCCCGAACGCCATATCAAGCCACGAGGCACTCACGCAAGTTTCGGCGTCATCCCATAGCTGTCTGGACCTCTGATCGGATTGTTTTAAGGTCTGATTGTCTGCTTTGTGATGTAGAATGCAAAGTTTTATTTACGGCTGTTTTTAAGATACCTCTATGTGTGTAGCCATCCATTTAGATAATTCTGATATATTTTCCCGTCTGTGCATTCCACCCTCTCGAAATATATTGTAACATCATGTCGAGCACGACTACCGAGGAAATTCAATTTCGTAACCCATTTGGAGACGAAAACGCTCCCTCCGCGCCTTCTTCCAATGGGTCAAAATCTCCACCTAGCCTGTCCTCGACGCAGGCCAGAAACTCAGCTCGAAACTCTTTGGTTATACAACGCTCAGATGACTCTGCAAGATTCATCGCTTCGAATGAAAATAGTATCAGTGAGGAAAAGCATAGATTCCGGAGCTACAAGCTTGTAGGCGAATACCAACAACCCTGGATTCTGGATAAAAGGCTGCACAGGACCCGCATCAACAACTACATCGTGTGGGGATTCATCGCGCTTGGCTTTCTCCTTAGCGCGTGGATTTGCTTCAGTACCATAAAAAAGATTCCAAAGACAAAAGTGTGTCTCAGGACCATAAAATTCATCCCCGGCATCTCTGACACTTGCAACAGTATTGCTTGGTCCTGTCCGATGATTTCCAAACTATTGATCCTACTATCTGGAATCAAGAAGTGCAGGTAAGCTTATGCTATTTTATGCTAAGTATCCAGCTAATCCAAAGCGCCTCACAGATTGGCGGCTTCGGTACTGGCTCTTTCGACTGGACAACGACTGATTCTAAAAATACCTACACGGACAACAAAGGTCTACACATCGTGCCGACGCTTACCAACGAAACTACCAACATCTCCAACCAACAAATCTTTGACGGCTACTCACCCAACTTGACCCGTGCAGGCGGGGATGGATCATGCACAGGCAACACAACCGTCGCCTGCGCTGTTCGTTCGAACGCCACGACCGGAAGCATAGTACCGCCTGTGCGATCTGCCCGCCTCACCACCTAAGGTAAGAAAACCATCAAGTATAGTAGAATTGAAGTGAAAGCCACCTTACCACAGGATGACTGGCTATGGCCTGCAATTTGTGCGTAGCTTTTTCATGCTTTGACACTCAAAGAATCATAAAGCTGACCAGCGCCAGGGATGATGTCCCAAGCCTCTGTGTATGGCCCATGGCCCGCTAGTGGAGAGATTGATATCTTAGAATCTCGAGGCAATGGAGTCGGTTATCCCGGCGAGGGCTGTGACTACAGTGCCAGCACGTTGCATTGGGGTGAGTGTGCTTTAAATATTCCTTTATCCTTTTTTCACATTCATCCGCGCGAGTCCTTTGCCTAACACATGCCTTAGGACCGACCCCCAAAACTGATGCTTACTGGCGCTCCTTGGGAGACAAACATCTCACCCGAGATGACTACTCATCAGGCGTGCATACGTTCGGCTTGGAATGGTCCAAAGATTACATATTTACCTACCTAGACTCGCGGCTCAATCAGGTCTTGTATTGGAACTTCAAGGGCGACCGAACCCTCTGGCAGAGAGGCTATTTCTCGCAACAGACGGAAAATTCAACGCTGCTTGTCGATCCTTGGAGCCAGACGGGAAATACCAACACCCCATTCGCCCAGCCCTTCTATCTCATCCTCAACGTGGCTGTTGGTGGGCAGACAGGTTGGTTTCAAGATGGCAAGGGCAGCAAGCCATGGCTAGACAAGAGCCCAAACGCGGGGTCTGATTTCTACAAGAAGGTAGACCAGTGGTATCCGACATGGGGCCCCGGCGACGAGCGCGGGATGACGGTGAAGTCGGTGAAAATTTGGCAGGAGGGCGCTTGCGGCTGATGCAAAAGAAGCATAAACACATGCTTATATTTTCCTTTTGTTCTCGAGTCGGCGACTTGGTAGGGAAGCGGTCTTCTGCGCTTCCTTTGTTCGCTGCTTAATTGCCGGTTCTGGGCCTGGACCTTGAAAGAAGTGATGAAAGAGACGCTTGACTGGCTCGGGATTGCGGGTTTGGTCTTTGAGATTTCTGCTATTAATAGATACTTGGACCACAAGGGTAACTTCACAACGTAGAGTTAGTTAAGAAACGTATGAAGAGCGATCATCCGTAAAGCAATTAGCAGTGTTCAACCATGTCTATTACTGCTGTCGTCTATTCTCCAGCTCTTGCAAAGCGAAGAGTAGCTTTAAGACTGAGGAGGATACGAAAGTGGATCTTTACTCGCGCGAATAACTATAAGGTAGAAGATAATCTGCCCCCACCTCCGTATTCTCCAAGTAAGTGTAACTCCGAAATTTAAAGAGTTCAGTTTCTCTCGTTCATCCCCATTGTATCTACTGACTTGATGGGTTCAGACCTAGATCATCCATTGAATAGCCCACCACCATCATATCTCGACGTATTCGTGAGTTTGTAAATCGTAAATTTCCGACGTCATGATCGCGAATGGGCTCCATTCAGGAAGTTCAGGAAGTGCTCCTAAATACAGAAACGCCTCAAACTTTTGGAGGTCTAAAAGACCTGCTCAAGTTTGCTCGCTGAGGTTGAGGCTTAGTTCTGACTGTTGAATGTCGTGAACTGATTGGCAGGGTCTAGCGGTGGGTGAAGCCAAGAACGGTCTGCGGAGCCGCCATCGAGAGACTACCGTGGCTGAGAACGATACTGGACCCACTTGAAAAGGGCCTGAACAGGGCCTTTATATTAGAAAGCTCAAGCTTCCAATCTAGATATTTGCGAAAGAATTTTCCGGGAACTCGTCCTATCTACTAAGTCCAATGAAGTGATCTGTAGCTATGTCTCGTTTTACCGAAGAACAAATCATGACTACGTCTTCCGACAAGATAGAAAAATGATACAAGGCAAGATTAGGGGAGAGGCGTGCCACCTAGCTCAAGTGGTACGATGACGTTAAAAGCAGTCCCAGCGTAACGTCCGAACATACCACACAAGTTAGTAATTGGCCATCCAGCTCGGCAGCTTGCATACTATCTCTAGATATGACGATCGTCAAACATTAGGTAAAGTCACTGATTGGAAGTCCCTGCGTGCTAGTGAAGTCAATTGTTTATAGATATATCTTTCTTAGATCACCCCAAATTCATTTCCCCAGATCTCGCCCAACCCGCTCTCAACACACGTCAATCTTTCATACACCAAACCGCAGCAAATCCAACACAATGCCCCATCAAAGCACCATCCTAATTATCGGCGGGGGACCCGTTGGCCTCTTCCTCGCCCTCCGCCTCGCTCAATCCAACATATCCGTCACGCTTCTAGAAGCCCACTCCTCCATCCCCGCAGACACGAAAGCCATGACCCACATGCCCGCCGTCTTCCCCGAGTTCAAAAAAGCCGGAGTTTACAATGACCTCGAGAAAGCTGCCAAAGGCCTCACAAACGGCAAGATCTGGTTCCGCCGCGGATCCGACAAGTCCATTATCGCCGCGCCTCCTGCAGTAGCCAGTACGCCTGGACCCATGACAGTCCCACAGCAGAGATTCTGCGAAATTCTGGCGAAACATCTGGGGAGGGTGCCGAATGCGAAAGTGCTTATGGGACATAAGGCGAAGAATGTCAACTTGGAGAAAGACTCGGAAAGAGTACAAGTGACTGCCGAGACAGCCTCTGGAGCCACTGTAGAGTTCGTGGCCTCGTGGGTCATCGGTGCAGATGGCGGAAAGAGCATTACGCGTCGGCTCGCAGGTATCGATATGCAAGGTGAGACGCTGCCGCGCCAGCTCGTCTCTACCGATGTCCGTTATCCATTTGAGTCGTACGGGTGGACTGGGGGGAACTTCCTGGCTGACCGAGAGAACTTCGGGCTGATCGGGCCCATCACGGAGAACGGGCTGTGGAGAGTCTCGTTCGGTGTGCCTGCGGACTATACGAACGCGGATATTGAAAAGGTGTTGCCGAGGAAGTTCGATGCCATGTTTCCTGGACCGCGGCCGCTCAATTACAAGGTTGAGCGGTGTGCGCCCTTTGGAGCACATCAGCTTTGCGCAGAGAAGATGAGGAAGGGGCGCGTCTTGCTGGTTGGAGATGCGGCACATCGTAAGCTCAATCTCTTCTTTCAGCTTTGTTGATACTATTAGGCAATTTTGACTAAATTCTTCTTCAAGTCACAAATCCATACGCAGGTATGGGCTTGGCGTCCGGCATCCTAGACGCTTCGAGCCTTACCGACGTACTCGTCTCACATCTTCAGCATGGTGCTGATGAGAAGGTCCTGGATGCGTGGGCGCAGGCGCGTCGAGATAACTTCCGCAATGTGGTCGATCCGCTTTCGAGAGATTCTTTCCGGGCTCTACAACATCCGGATGTAGATTCCCTTCCGGAAAGACATCCGATTCCAAAGTCGTTGAAATCGGGGATGAGGGTGACGACGCTGCCCTTTGCGACGGATGTCACGAAGTTAAGTGGATATGTGGCTTAAGAAGCCTCTTCCCGGGTACACGAAGAGAAAGACTTCTACGTGCAGCTTCGGCGCAGAAGGTAAAAGATAAGAGAGAAGATAGCCTTTGAAGTAGTGGTAGTATGAAGAAGCGACACAGCGTGACTAGATATTTATAGAGAATTGAAAATGCAAACAAAATACCAATGCCCAGTACTACCGTGAATGCAAAACAGAATTCCTGAAACCAAGTCGCGATGCAAACGAATGACAGCCGTCTACCCCTTGCAATGATTACGCTGATTATCTCCTCATCTCATCGCCTCTCCAAATACTCTCTAGTAGACCCGGAAGTAAGGACCTTCGCCCTTACCATCCCACTGAATGTTGACCTGGTCACCAGCACCAACCAACTCACCACCGTACGTCTTGCCAGCTGGACATGGAAAAGGTCCAACCTTCGGGAATCCGTCAACATAAGTTGCAAGGCCCGGCTTGACCGACTTTAAACGTCCAACATACTGATCCCTCAGATTTCCGCTCGGCCAGTCCTTAGTGCTGTGATCCGCGGGTGCGAGGGCGGTATAGGCGTCGAATTGTGCGGTTCCAGTGGGGTAGCCTGGATTGCAGTGGAGGCAATTGTTAAGGGCGAAGTTGAACTCGCAGGTCTTGCCCGCCATTTTAGAAGGGAAGGTAAAGGTGATGAGAGTGGTGATGTCGGACGTTTTACCGTCCTTGAAGATCTGGCCGGTAGGGACGTCATATGTGACAGCACCGCTCCAGACTTGGTATGTAGACAGCTTGTCCGGGTATATGTACGTGTCTGTGGGCGCGGCTGAGGCATAGGCCAGGATGGCGGCGAGGGCGGCGGTGGTGAACTTCATTTTGTTTGGATGAAATGAAAATCTGAGAGTTTGAGGGAATGATAATAAGCCGAGTTTATGAGTGGACTGAACGAAGACTGTGATGTTTTGAGTCTTGGAGAGAAGAACTGTATTGTGATCTTGTAGTTAATGATAATGTGACTGCTGGAATTCCTCAATGCTTATATACACCTCTGGTGCCTCGAAGCGCTCTCTATGCTTCTAAATTCAGAATATGGCGATAGACAGCAGCCATGGCAATAGACCGCAGTAACTCGTAATTTGGCGATGTCTTTACTCAGCTCTCTCCACGCGTGGCGTAGAGAGAAGACAAATAAAGAATACGAAGTAGCATGGTGAGTTTGTTGTGGTCAAGAGAACGCCACAAACCGCAGCACCAATTCAGAAGACAAGGTCACGATGGTATAGTCACAGCGGAGCTGGGAGGGTAGTCGGCGTCTATGGTTCGGCGACATGCTGCGACACTTACCTAGGGCTGAAGAATGTGACCTCTTGGCAACTGGGGCTGAGCTCACCGCCAGCAAGGAGACCACATTTTTTGTCATTGGTCACAACATGCAGCTGCGGGCTGCAATACTAGACAGATGGTGGCCGTGCTACAGCCAGAAGAGCAGATGAACTGCACTAAGACCTCAGGGCTGCCATGCCCGATATCCCAAATTTTCCCCCGATTCTCGTGATCGGGTGACCCATGAAAGACCTTTTGTAGTGAGACAAGCATTTATAGCATATCGCGAGATACCAAAATGCCCAAGTGTATACAATAGTAGCCTACCACTTGCTAGGAGCACCCAAAGACGCGCTGTTGAAGGTGGCGCTTATTTTCTTGTCTTGCGACTTCAGCCTCTGCCTTGCAGTGATACCGGCTCGATCCGTCATCGGGGTAGCTTTGATAATGTTGTCGAACTCCTCATCTTGACCGTAATCAGATTCAGACATAGCGTCATCTTCAGCTCTGGGCAACGGCTCCGTTCTCGCAACCTTCTCGGGCTGTTTCTTGTCACCCTCCACTGGGATAGGGTTGGCAAACGGCTTAGACATTAGTACTCGGCGTCGAAGCTCGGCCATTTCTTCCTCATCCTCTGATGACTCGGGCATAGTGTATGGGTCTCGGTTGTCAGGGTCCCCGCCGGACTCGTTGTCGGTTTCTTCTTCCCCTTTTGCGGCCTTGTGCTTTCCCTTCAGCTGAGGGGCCTCCCCCTCTTCGCCATCTTCTTCTTCGTCATCTTCTTCGTCATCTTCTAGCTGCCGACGATTCATGTTGCCGCCTTTCCATGCATCTTCCTTGCCGCCATCTTGATCAACCCGACTGGCTGAATACTCCCGCTCAATTTTCTCGAGCCACACTTCTTCACACTTTTTGATCTCTTCCTCTGTGCTGCACGCAGCATAACGTTTCAGTAACGCCCCGTTGATCTCCAGAAAACCTTCTCCATACGAGAAGGTCGATAGTATTTCCTCCGCCCACTCAGGGTGTCCGCAAATGTAGAAGCAAGCCGCCAGGGCTTCGACACAGTTGAGCCGCCAGGGTCGTCCGTAGTTTGTAGGGTTTGCTGCAACAAGATATGGTACTGCAACATGTTAGACCCGTGCATTCATTTCAGCGTTCAGAACATGCTTACATAGTCTCTCGCACTTTCCGCCTATCCTCCCAAAGGGAACCTCATCTATCCTGTTCCACGACGCTTCAACCACAGCTGCACCATATTGCTCTAGTAGCTCTTTATCCGCGCCTGATAGGATTTTCTTCGCTTTAGGTCTGTGAAGATTAGCACGCTGTGATGATCAATGCCAGGTCTTGACTCACGAAACGACAACTCCAGCAAATTTTTGTCCAACATGAAGCTCCCGCATCATGCCTAATCGCATGAGCCTCTTCCCCGAGCATCTCTTCGGATCGCAGTGGCCCAGGTCCCAGCAGGCAGCCTTGAATTGGGGTTTCGAGTTGGTGGCGGCTTCGCCGTCCTCGCCGTTGCGGGCTGGTCCTCGAGGACGCGGAGCGTTAGAGTATTTCTTCCCACGAGAGGACAACCCATCTTTCTTATGTCGGACCATGATCGAAGTTGTGATCGAGTAGATAGGTACTAATATAGCGAAGTTGGTGCAGCAAACAGAAACTCTTGAGATTATCGCGGCTGCCAAATCATGCCCCCACCAGAATAGTTTGGATCACGTGCCAACTTGCTTTCAACCTCCACAGGGGGCTAGGCCTCGGTCCCGTTTCCGCGCCCTTCATCATCAATACGAAGTATTACGTTGATGAGACCGCCATCATTCAATCACTAGCTGACATCACCCCGGATCCATTTCACTTGCGAAGCTGACATGCCGGATCTTGATGCAGGAAATACCCATCTGTCCCTTTATGACGAATGTCAATAGCCGATTCGACTTCGGATGGCGAATTGTGTACTAGACTATGATCTACTTCAGCGTAATATCACGGCTCGTGAGATATTATAGGTTCATAGCTAGGTTTAACTCATTTCCGTACTTCCTCAAACTAAATAATGACACCTCTTTCATGTATCACATCATGACCGCAGCTCGTCTTTCCGAACTCATTCACAGTTCTTTTCACATGACCATTCCTCCAATGCTATGATGACGTCCCTGTCAAGTTGATGTGTGGCTGAACGCAGTACCGAGAAAAAGTAGAGCCAATATCTCAACTGGAGCGGAATGTGCTTGGCCGTGGCTTTCAGCGGATCTTCTCACACCACTCATAGCACTGGATATAATTCCAAAGCTATGGTCGATATCAGCCATCTTTACCATATACTCACAATCAATACCAGGAATAATTGCGCCGTCGTAGAACCAAATGTGTCAAGAAGCACTCAAGCACCGAATCATACCCATCGTGGACCCATCCTTTCGTGGACCCATCCTTTCACAGTATCAATTGATGAGGTGTTAGAGCAGTGATAGCGGTCAGACGGGATAGATTTACATCTCAATGACATTGTTTTGTTTTCAGAGTACCTTCATGCAGATTTGTCTAGAACTCACTTGCACTTAACCTCTTTCATTCAAACCACATCGAATGACCTTGCTATCGCACTCCGATAGCCGCACCATCCCTACCCCACGCACTCCTTCAGAGATACCAACAAGCGGCCAGCAGCAGCACGAAAAAAATCGCTACAATCGCCGCCACCGCATTCTCGACACGATTCGCAAGCGCCGATACCTCTTCCGTGGCCGACGAAAGTCTCCGAAGTGTGGCTTGAATCTCGTCAAGACGTTGATCAAGATCGCGAGTCTGTACCTCAGTTCCTTCCGCTTCTTCCTGCTCGATTTCCTCCGTCGCGTGACTCTGTTGATTGTCCTCGGCCGCTTCTTGCTGCTGGGTTTCCCTTGTCACTTCTCGATTGCTAGCCTCCTCTGCCGCTTCCTGCTCCCGAGCTTCCTTCGACGACTTCTCGTGCTCTTCATCGATGAGCGAGATGTCATCAAGTCGTTTAAGCAGGCGGACACCTTGCTTCTTGGCTTCTGCGAGCAGGTCGTCCATATCAGAAAGCTCTGGGATATTGTCGAAGTCGGCTTCTATGATATCGACTAGCGGGTTGGCCTTCTCGATATGCTGGATAAGACTGTTGATGTTGTCGAGCTCGCGGGTCTGGGAGAAATCTGATTCGTTTTCGAATTTGTCGAACATGTTGGGGAATCGAGAGGTTTCGGAAAGGTTGATGGCCTACGTAGTTCGGGAGATGTATCGTCCTGGAGTAGGCGATACGTTGAGTGCGAAAGGCCGTTGATGAAGAGGTAATGATGCGCGATTTGGGACTTTTAAGAAAAGAAGTCCCGTTTGCTTGATGACCTTCCATCTTTGAGATAGCAAGAAGCACCAAATTGCTTTCCAGTTTTTCTTTTCCATTTGGTGTCTCTCGTTACCGCTTGATATTTCTAGTGGAATCTTTTCCTGCGTCAAGCAAAGCCTAGTCCTTTCATTACTCCTGTTTGTTGATCCAAGTGCTGTCTGAATCTCATTATCCGACCTCTTCCCTATTTCAGCTGCGTCTTTCACAGACCGGACACCCGCATGACCAGTACGGGGATCAAGCCGGTGAGCTCACCTGGGCACAGTGCAATCAAGGCCTCTCCATGAATTACGGCGTTGTGGCGATATCGATCAGATTCGGCCCCGACGGCAAGATGCTGCTGTTACGTATGCATCATCGAAAGCTAGTCGCACGGCTTCTGCAGTACCGAGACAGACGTGGAGAGCTCGAGGGACATGGCTAGCGATAGAGTAAACTCTGAGACGCAACTAACGTCCAAAATGTCCGCATACACATGAACGAGAGCCTAACAATTCCACTCCTTCAAAGCCTCCTTCAAAGCCTCCTTCCCGTCTTTCTGGAAGAACGCTCGGTGGAACCCCAGTGCTCTTTAACGTATTTTTTTTGCTCATGGTGCCGTTTGAGTGGCAAATGACGCCGTTTAGTATGACTAGCTGAAACTTTAGGAAATTAAAACACTCGAGGTACAAAGGTACGTTTCGTCAGGAAGGTTGGAAAGATGTAGCGAAGAATAGTGGCAGTCATTATTCGCGGACCTGGAATCCTGCTGGCTGAGGAGAAAGATTGACGCTGCTTTTGATGTTGAACGACGAGCCTCTGGAGCTGAGGGTCTGCGACACTCCCAGACGAATTGCATGATTGAAACGCTTCAGGCTGTATCACACCAGGGCCGAGCTGAGGTTATCACAACCTTCAAGCCATCAAATCATAATCCACGCAGCCATTGCGAAGACAAAAAAGCACCCTTCCAACAACACGCTTAGTCTCCTTCGTCAAGAGCAAGGCCAAAAGGATTCCCAAATTGAGGCGAAAGGGTGACACCGCATATCGAGAGCCCAATCAACGGATGATATTACGCTACTGCAGCCTTTAAGGCAACCAGTCTCGACCTTAAACGTCCTGTGCAAGCGATATCTTCATTCAGTACTCCTTCAGGGGTGATGAGTTCTTCAGCGAGGGAGGAAGGTTCCGTAAGCCATAGATTGACGTCGACACTGCAACGAGGTTTCATTACTGTGTGTTGGATGAGGAAAAGATTGATCTGGAATAGAGAAGTGCCTATTATTGGTGCATTGAGATAGATCTGGGTGTTTAAGGAGTTGGAATGAGTTGTGGGATTAGGTAAGCCATATGCGCCAAGGCGCTAATGACGGAAGCGGACTGGCGAGTTTCCGCTTACCGCACTCACGATTTCGCGAGTTCCACGACCCGCGAGAGCAGCCTCGACCACACCAACGACATCACAATCCTCGATATCGAGACACAGTCGCCATGGCCAGTGAGTGAAACTCTATCCAGTACTCTGCCTGTTTGTTACCAACTAATACTGCGAAGAATCCAAGAACTCGTCTCAGCACAATCAGGCGAAGAAGAACCATAGGAACGGGTGCGCATCCAATTCCCTCCAAAACCCTATGATGCGAGCGGATGGCCGAATATTTGAAATATCTACATGCACGAATTAGAGCTGACACCATCTCTCCGCCTGCAGTATCAAGAAGCCAAAGACCAACCGATACCCTTCCCTCAAAGGCACAGACCCCAAGTTCCGAAGGAACCATAGGCATGCGCTACACGGAACGATGAAGGCATTGGTGCGTAACTCATCGCCTCGATACACCGGTATACCCCAAGAACAGAGCTGACAGAGGTGGACTTGCAGAAGGAGGTCAAGGAGGGCAAGCGAGATTCGGCATGAGCGACTCCGGAACGGTCGAGAAGGATTGCGGTTTTCACGACGAGACATTTGGCTGGCGTCAATGGCATAAACACTCCGGCGGCAATTAGCTGAAATCAGGACAGAAATCCCTGCCAAGGGTGCAGTCAATGAGATCCACCAACAGTATGTGAGGGAACAGTGAGCCGACAGTCCATGATATGTCCGGACACCCACGGCTTTCGACTCTCTGTCTGACTACCCCCGGTTCTGGCCTTTTCCTATCGTTTTTCCCCGTTCGATTGACGACTTGTGTGACCTCAACATTGGCATTTGTGTGTACAGCACCACGCTCTCCTATGCGTTTTCTGCTGAAGGAAAAATTCTACGTGCCAAGATCAATTTCCCTCCCATTACCAAACACCGCCCTTTTGCCCATGAGGCGCGAGTGCATGAAGGAGAGGGGTACATATACCGTTTCGATGGATTTGCTTTTGACTCGTTGGAACTAGAGGATGTTGGATGGTTGGACCCTAGGAAATTAGACGCATGCTACATTCAATCTGAAAACCACTATTCACCGTTAAACCTGGAGAAATTGACCATGTCTGTTCGTATGAGTCTACCCTGTAACACTGACAATGAGCTCGTTGAAATACTACCTCAGCTAGATGTATCCCCGGTTTCCGAAACACGTGGACAAGACAGTGGAGCCGCCTATTCGGAAGACCGCAAAATTTCCAAATTGCCCACCATGACCTATTATCAACTGTCTACGAGCTCATCGCTTTATCTTTGATTCAAAAGCACAATGCCGATAAGGTTGCATAGAGACATCACGTACAGCTAGAATATGTCAAAGCTCAACCTCCATCCCATCTGATCATGGCGGGGCACCACCAACTCCGGTCCTCCCCGCCCTCACTCTCCGCTCTCAGTCCTCCTCCTTCCTCCTCGCCCTTCGACAAGCTGCCGGCGGTTTTCCAGAGCATCGCATTTGACAATAACCCGACAATATGAGCTCCATGCTTTGCTAAACCAACCGGAGAGCGAAACCCAGCTGCCCGTTTCATCTCAACCCAGTCCGGCGGCCCTTACGATTTTCAACTATCATATGCGTTCGGTCCCGTGTGCTTTTTTGCCAAACTGTGATCTTTCGTTATCTGCGCGTGTGTTCTTCTCGACAACAGTTGAGTTTTCATACGTCAACGTGGACTACCTCGCCGCCTTGCGTACCTGCTGACGACAAGATACCTCAACCATGGCAACCCAAGCGCACTGCGCCTACTGTTTCGAGACCTTAGCTGCTAGTTTGGAGCGGAGGCAACCCCTCGATCTAGCTCAGGTCGAAGCCTTGTGGAACAGATACAACGATGGGCCGGAGGATGCCGAAGAGGAGGACGCCGAAGACGAGGACGAAGCCACTCTCGACAATTCGCATCGTCCGGCTGCTATATGCCGTCTCATCGCTCCCAGCCCGGCTACCTCAAGCTCCTCTTCTGTGCCTTCCACGGCTTCGACATCCTCCGTGCCGAGCGAAGCTTCATCGGCGACCTCCAAGTCCTCGTCTGGCTCTTCATTCTTTTCTCTCGGCCGCCGGGCGAAGGGAGAAGCGAATCCAGCTCCCTCCACAATTGAAAAATCGCCACTTTTTGTGACCTGGAATACCGTTCTCGGCAGCGAAACCAGTTTGCGCGGCTGCATCGGCACGTTTGAGCCGCATGAGCTTGATGACGGGCTGCGGAGCTATGCTCTAACATCGTAAGTCATAGTTCGCTTAGTTCAAAGCGAGCTAGATGAAAATTACGGAAGCCTAACGTGCCATGTCAATCCATAGTGCCTTTGGTGATCACCGCTTCGATAGAATCGACAGCAGTGAACTTCCCTCTCTCGAATGCGGCGTCACGCTCCTGACAAACTTCGAAGACGCGCCAGATCCTATGGCGTGGGATATCGGTAAACATGGCCTACGTATCTCCTTCAAGTACAACGGAGAAACGCTTAGCTCGACATACCTTCCAGACGTCGCGCGTGAGCAAGACTGGACCAAGGAAAATACACTGATCAGCTTGATGCGTAAGGCTGGGTGGGGTGGCCGCAGAGATCAGTGGACTGCTGTCAAGTTAAAAGTCGTGCGGTATCAGGGACAGCAGGTCAAGCTTCGATACCCGGAATGGAAGGAGTGGAGTGACTGGGTCAATAAACAGGACGTGCTATAGATATGTGGACAGATGCCGTGATATCTGAGCGGCTGTTTCGAGTGCTGGCTATATGGGTATAGCTGGACAACCTTGTGAGTTTTGCGAGAACTAGTTAGAATAGGCGCCAATGATTAACGATATCCCCTCTTAACCCTACCATACTTCTCCTCGTTATTCATTGCGTTACTAAAGCTTTCCGGGGCATCCGAATATGCTAATTCTACATAGAGTAGCCTGCACAACTTATCCACCACTTTCTCGAATCTATCAATCTATAACAGGTATCTCGACGAAACTCAGGCGTTTCATTGTGCATGTGTTGTTCCAATATCCCAGAAGGCGTCGGATGGGCTCAATATGCCCAGTGAGAATGTCGGATTAGGCGCCCAAATGCAAGACATGCATGAGAAACATAATCCTTGTAACTACTACGCCACAATCAAAAGCTGCAGCTCCCAAGGCATCAGTATGGCTTCAGTCACTTCTTGTTTTCACTGCAAGCTTCACAATGACGCTGAGAGCGCGCGCCCATTCCTGCCGCCATTGCCAAACCATCACTATCGAAGTCCCCAAGCCGAACTCCGACAAAAACGACGATAAAGCACCTCTGCTATTCAAACTTAATGGGCTGAAAGTAGAAGCGGCTGCAGCAGACGGGTGTGATTTTCTTGCGTGGGCGCTGCGGGAGCTCGAACACAATGAAAGAAATGTGGATGGGTACGGCGTTGAGGAAGGCTGGAAGGTTGATGATCAGTGGGAGTTCGCGGGGAACTTTTACCATAAAGATATAAGAAATGACGGAATGTGTCCGCAGCGTTTACTCTGCCATTGGTCTTTGAAGGGGGAGAAGAGGTTTTGGACTGGCGAATTTGGGCACTTTGGTATCCTTGCAGAAGAAGGTTCGTGGCGTCTCTGTTTCCCTCTACTTGGCTTCTAGAGCGGAGCTCACAGCAAGAATACTTGATCAGATCCTAAATTTCTCCAGATGATCCTGCTGCTCGTTATGCACCCTGGAGGCCATCGAATCAAAGCAGAAGCTCTGACGCAGCTTTCAGTAAGGCACGCACTTGGCTGAAAGAGTGCCTCGATGATCACTCATTTGAAGATTGTAATGCCACAAGCGTAGAGACGATGCCGACAAGGGTCATCGATATCGATTGGAGCCATGATCGACTTGAACCCAACCTGCGACTGCTCGTGAGTCCTCCTCGAGAGCCGTATGTAGCCTTGAGCTACGTTTGGGGTGGCGACCAACCGATGAAGACTACCAAAGCAAACCTAGTGCCCCGGTGTCAAGAACTAGTCTTCTCTGACCTCCACCTAACAATACAAGATGCTATACGCACAACCTGGAACCTTTCCCGGCGCTTGTTATGGGTAGATTCCTTGTGCATAATTCAAGATGATCCGGACGATAAAGTGATAGAAATCGCGATGATGCCAGAGATATATCGGAACGCAGACCTTACCATCTCTGTAGCCTGCGCCGCCAGCTCGCAAGAAGGGTTCCTTGGAAACGTCGTGGTCCCAAGCCTCCGCGCAATCTCCATTCGCCTTCCGTACCGTTGCCCGGATGGTAAAATGGGCTCTATTATCGTCTTCTCCGAACCAGGAGAAGGTCGCGCAATTGATCCCATCGAAAAACGCGCCTGGACGTTGCAAGAATCATTTCTTTCCCGCCGGATCCTTCGATATGGCACCTTGTACTGCAGCTGGGTCTGCCGGGGACATCTAAAGGTGAACGATCCCGGCAGGTCTCTTCTAGAGGACTTGCAATGGAATACAGATTACATGCTACTAAACAGGAAGATGGCTATTTATAGTCGGTCCACCTCGAGCGATATCAAGGATATTCGGCAGCAATGGAGGTACATAATAGAGGAATATAGCTCGCGCTCGCTCTCCGAGCACAGCGACCGCCTCTCCGCGATCTCAGCACTCGCGCGGTTTTTCGGGCAAAGATTGAGCGGGCAGTACGCTGCTGGGATATGGCTCGAAGACCTGGCGCAGTTGCTGTGGACGCGCGCTTCGAGTCCTTGCAAACAGCGTCCGGAGCCTTGTCTCGCGCCTTCCTGGTCGTGGGCGTCGGTGGATGCGTCTAGTGTGATCAAGTTCCGGCATCAGGATGAGTATAGCCAGAAGTTCCTGGATTTGGATCCGAAATTAAGACTCATGTCCCATAATATCACGCCCGCAGACCCGTTTCATGCTTCTATCGGGGGGCATATCGAGATGGAAGGGCTAGTTCGACAAGCGATATGGGTGTACAACGATTCATTGTATCAGCTTGGCCCGGGAGGATTAGAAGAGGACACTAAGCTGAACACGTTTTCGGACACGATCGAAGATGCTTCCTCGAATACTTTGCGGTCGCACCTGGTCTGGTGCTTGCAGATCTGCCATTATCAGTCAGGGAGAGGTCCATTTGGGTTGATCTTGAAGACTGAAGATGAACAGACCTGGAGAAGAGTCGGAGTGTATGGGACTTCCATGGAGCCAGTTCTGGGCAGTCATAGGGCTAACAAAGTGCGGCCTCCAACAGCAATAATGGATCGGTGGATTTCTAAGCATGAGCTCCGTAAGATCGTCATTGAGTAAGTCATCAAATGTTAAATGAAGTTAATCTTCTCGAAGCTAGGCATGGGATCTGAAAAGGGCAGATAAAGAAAGGAAGCTTGTTGAGAAATAGGCATATATCATCATTACTATCAGCGAACTCACCAGATGTCGCGTAGATGATCCAGACCAATACCTCCATGCGCTTCGTTCATATGAGCATAGCATGCCCTGCTGTCTTTGAAAGTTTTCAGACATACCCAGCATATGTGCGTCTTGCACCCTCCGCAAGTCATATGATCGCATCCTTCGGTCTTCTCTATCGGAGTCTTGCAGATTGGACAGTCTTTGATGCCGTTTTCCCTCTTGAATTGCTCAAATGCTTCAACGCCGCCAGATTTGAGGTCCTTGTATGCAGCACAGCTCATGGAACCGTGCTGGCCGTGGCACGCGGTGCAGGTGACTTCGAGACAATTCTGACAGGTATGAGTGTTTGCGTTGGGGGTCACTCGGTAGGTGTAACCGCAGTCTGGCGTTGGACAGTTGTGAAAGTCTTGTGGGCGACGGCTAATGTAGGATTTGAGAGATGCTTCGAGGACTTCTTCGAAAGTATTCGACGATAGATGATTTTGGAGCTCGAGCAGAGTGAATACTTTTCCGCAATTTCCCATGTCCCCTTGACAGTTGAGAGAAAACTCTTTGTCCTGGGAGCCAGCTGCTACGCACATATCGCCGAAGCATTCGAGGCAGTAGATGTGGCTGCAATTAGTGCGAATTGGATTGTCAGCTTCGGTCCAGCATACGGTGCAGTCTTCATTAGCGAGAGACGCATCTGGTGGCTCGACGTGCGCGTCCTTTCTCTGTATCATTATCAGAGCAGAAAGATATTGCTCCTCGGTGCCAGTGATGATAATTCGTTTTGGACGTGAGACGACATCGAAGGCGACTGCATCGTCCCCAAGGGCACTGATGATTCGCCTCAGTCCTCCACTACAAGCCCAAAGGAAATCAGCCGGGTCCAGCTCAATGGCGTGAGTGGCTATAGGGTCTGATTTGATAGCCCTCAAAACGGCCTCCAGAACGATTGGATATTTCTCATGCGGACCGAAGAATTTCAAGTGCTTCTTTGCCTTGTTGCGAATAAGGAGAATTCCATGCTCATCTTGAATCTGTTTGATGAGACGATATGTTGTTCCATTGCTAGAAAGAGCCGCACTCCAGACCGGCATCCCTGCGTCCTCTATAGTCTCTCCGCCGATGGTTCGCTCTAATAAATTTGTCGCGTTGGAGACGTCTTTGGTGCTCTCGCCCTCAACTTTCAGTGTTGTGAACAGCTGAAGTGGGTCTGTGTTACGGTAGACTTTGTACTGAAGATGCGCTTGCCTCCATTCTTTGGCATGTATGGCAAGCTGCTCCTCTAGAGCATCGTATATCATTGTAGATATCTTGAACTTTGCAGAGTTGACCAGCTGCACCGTCAATTTTCCTGTATTTAGAAAGCCTTGACTTTGATCATGCAGCGTACGAACAGACTCTCGAGCATCCGCTTCCTCTTCAAACCTGGCCACTACTTTGAAACGTTTTCCATGTGACTGGGAGGGGTCCCAATGGAACTCGTTAGGTCCGATGTTGGCGAATAAAGACTCCACGAATACCGCCGTGGTCTCTGTGCTAAAGAACTCCCCACACTTGCCAAGCTCGTAGTGTCGCGGTCTATCTTGCCTTAAAAATATCGAGTCTTCAATGTTGGATTTTGTGGCGTAGCTTGGCACGCCTTTCAAAGTCAAGGTCCACGCTACGGGGTTTCTGCCACGGGAGGGGCTATGATTTGGCGGATCGGCACTGACTTTCTGACCCAAAATCTTGTATAGGCCACTGTTGAACCTCTCACTTGCTCGTTTGGCTATGTCTTCGTTTCCGAAATTCATCCAGACAGCGCGGGTGGGTTTATGCCAAGATATATGAACCTTGTTACAGCTAACACGGCGGCCAGCTGCTCTCGATGTAGTGGATGACGGGATAGACTGAACCTCGAATACGGGACCCTGAGCATCGGGTCTCGATTTGACTATTGCGCAAAAGCTTTTGGCAAATAGCGGATCCTCGACTTTGACCAGTGCACTAGCTATCTCTCCTAACCGCAGAATGCGTACACTTCGAGCCGGTACCTCAAACCCGAAGCTCCCAATAAGAGTGGAGACTGAAGCTGGGGTGCTGTCGGCGGCCAGACCACTCATACGGATTGAGGAGAAATCCGAGGGTAGGTTGACCTTAGATACCCGACCGCCATCCTCGAACTGCGCATATACCCCAGAGTATTCGCGTGAGAAGTCGTCATGGTCTCCTAGGTCCTATAACCACTTAGTTATCGCCATTGAGGTTACATAGGCAGCTTTCAAGACCTACGCTGATCTTCAAACCTAGTTCAGGCTGGCTTCCAGATGTCGTGTCGTTGGAGTGGGAAAATGGACAGTTTGCTCCGTTGCGGCAGGATCCTTGCAAGAAGTACTTGCAAGGGAGGAGATGACGGGTATCCCCTGGTATTGAAGCCGGAGTATTGAACGTTGGTTCGGCAATCACATCTCCGCCATCCGGAAGTGAAGGTACATGAGCGAATGAGCATTTACTTCCCTTTCGGCATGTCCCGCTCTGGAAAAAGCGGCAAGGCATTTCAGAGGTCATAGATGGTTGATCGGTTGCGTGGTCCCTACGACGGAGGTTCAAGCCCTGGATATCAGGCAAGGCTGGAGGGACTGGTGCAGCACCAACATCATGACTGAATGAACATGAATTTCCTTTGACACATCGCCCCTGTAGAAAGAATCTACACACTGTCATTTTGCAGATGTTGGTGAAGAGATAACGAAGTTGGCTGTGTGAGCGAAGATTAGGGTCATGAAGGTGATGTCTACAAAGTATTTGAGGGGCTGTGAGCTTGGTGTAACCATGAGTATGCAGGTAGCCTTACTGCGCCGCAAGGCAACAGCCAGCTAGCATTATCTTACCTTCACTTCAGTACTGCGAGCATTTTCGTTACATACTTAGTTCTCATCCACAATACCGCGACTCTTGTCGTTGTCCAGTGAGCCGCAAGCCGGCTGACATTACATTTCGGTAATGATGCATGTTGCTGGTATATCAACGAAGTTAGGAGACCGATGCTAGGGTTTCAATCTTAGGCCCAGCAGTTCCGGAGGGACATTTGGCGATGACAACTTAAGTTATGAGTGCAAGATAGCTTAGAGGAAACCGGTAGTAGAAATTGGGACTAAGTAAAGGGATAGGACCTCGAGTCAGGGCTTGAAAGTGTAATCACTAGCACGACTCAGCGAAATCACCTATCGTCATCATCGGCTCTTACCATCAATAGAGGTGTCCCTCAAAGGCATCAATCTACAAGAACGGCATAGACGACTACGACAGTACAGCGCCTTCTCATGATTCTCGCATATGATCGAGTTTATTCGTCCATCGAGATACGAGCATCTCAACGCCGACCGTCGCATCTTTGGAATGGCCACTTTTTTTTCACGTTCTGTTCTCGTATTCTATCTCGACATCATAATGCTGTTGAAATTTTGCAGCACATTGGTGATGAACTTGAAATCTGAGTCCGTGTTTCACTGATGATCTCTAAAGTTGAAAAACAGACTTCGATGAGTATCGGAAAATATGAGCATCGTAGCCTCTGACACGCAGCACCTCAAAATGAGCACCAGCACCAGGCTAGGGGGCTTAAAAAACTTTTTGGATGTGCAACAACATTCGTTTGAGATATTCGGCCTGCACCACTCGTTTATTCCGAGTTTGTGTTGAGTTTCCGTCGTGAGCTTGCGAACGCATGAATGTATTCGCGCGCGCTTACGAGCTGCACACGTTTTTAGACGCAATCGAAGATACTCCCTCCCGATTTGCAGATCTGCTATCATCAGTCAGATAGAGGTCCGTATGGGTTGATCTTGAAGACTGAAAATGAATGGGCCGGGAGAAGAGCTAGAGTGTATGACACTCTGATGGACGTTAAAGGCATTCAGAAAGCTAGCGAAGGGCGGTATCTGACACCGATAATGGGTTGGTAGATATCTAAGCCTGAGCTTCGTATGTTGATCATCATTTAACATCAAGACAGAAGAATGCATTAGTAGAAAAGACAGATTAGGAGACAGATTAAGGGTGTGGTCAGCTTAAATTGCTAAAAAGAGGCGAATAAATCACCAAGAGCACAGAGAAAAGCCAACATATTCGCAGCCTTTTGTTGGATCAAATGTGAGTATGCCCGGGAAGTAATCGATGTCTAGATCCTAAAATTACATCGAAACCCTCACACAACTCTCTAGAATTTTCGACACAAAACGTGTCGCGCCTTATATCATGAGCGACGCGTACTCCTCGAACGCGGTCTGTGTAATATATTCCGGCAGTCATGTACAAACTCCCACTCGCTAGGTCCTTAATGCATGAAGGAATTCGCGCGCGCTTAGCCGATTTGGTTGACAGATCACGGGGACAGCTGTGCCGCAACTTTGCGACTACCCCCTCGTCTGCTCCATCGCTGCCTGGGAGAGATAAGCCCTCTACTTGTTACGAACGCTTGGAGGCTTCACCGTTTCACCAGCGCATCTGTGCCACTACACACCCTTTGCTTTGGCGGGAAGTTCTATTTCGAGGCACTTCACTGTTCAGACAAGTAAACGGAAGTTTCAGATATGGACAGACGAGACGGAGGTCATGACCTATGGGAAAGTATCGTGGCCGAGGGACGTGACTTGCGTGGATACAGCAGTAACTTCAGCACATACCTCCCTCCAATGCAGAGAATGACTGCAAGAATGTCCGACATGAATATTGAAATGGCTATCAATAGTTTTTATGCATACGATAGGTACTGCAAAAATGGACCTCTTTACGTCGAGAGATAAACTAATGAGACAAACAGTTCTCCAGGATGGCTAAAGAATGAGCGCAGTGAAGGTATCAGCAAGGACCATCTGGACGATGCCGCGCAGAGAGCACAAGGAGTGTATTATCACGATTCTTTTGACCCAGATCGTGTATTTCATGGCCACAAACTGTTCGTACCGTCTCTTCAAAGAGATCGAGATAACAATACGGATCGGACGAAGCGTGCTGAAGTTCTCATGAAGCATACGCAGAACAACGAAAGGTTCACTAAGAGTGAGTACGCCTGGGAAGCCGATGCGTGGTCGGATATATTTGGCAGAATCAGGGATCACCCTCATCTGGCAGCGTATGTTTACCATTAATTACCTCTTGATGAGCCTCTAAGCTAACCACTATTCCAGCGACAAGCGTGAATATCGGGCTAGGTATGACTCGGGTTGTAACAGCTACAACCTAGGATCAACAACTCATACGGTTCACGGTCACCTACGTACAGACTTGGAGTTGCTGGCATAGTAGCTGCCTACATGCCTAGCCAGTTACAACTTCTACAGAGAGGGGTTGGGGTACGGTGGCCTACCCTGCCTAATGCTGCCTACTGCTGCCTCCAATTAGTGCTTCTGCCTATGCATACAGTCACTTCCTACGTAGTATATAGTTTGGCCTTCGGGCCCCCGAAATAAGACAGAGTTCACATCAATTTTCAACCTGAGTGTATGCCGAAACCGACAAATACAAAGGCACCCTCACCGGAGAGTCTCGCACCATCAAACGGATTCCTGATGCAACTTTCGGTCTCTCGATGATCCCAACGGGCTCTCCTGAGTCCCAACCTGCTTTCGGTCTCGATAAACAGCTGTGCGAAGACCAGCTCAACTTACTTTATGCCGAATTTGGATTTGCTGTAGACCCCCGAATGGATCGTGATGATACCAGCCTCATATTCCCGTGGGGCGTGTACGAGGCCAAAGGATGGGCAGGAGACTGTAGAGAGGCACGAAGTCAAGCGCTCGCTGCCGGAGCTGCGTATCTTGATATGCTAGACTGTCTGGCTCGTACACCTGACTCAAGTGGCTATCCTACGGCCTACCAAACACATGAAAGCCGCAATTTCCAAGTATTCGCTCTAACCTCATATGGCGCTCAGTGGCATATTAATGTGGGATACCGACGACCTCGAGAGAAAGTAGATACTGAATGTGCTGATTGGGTCCACCCGGTTCACGTTGAAAATGGGCGAGTGAGCGACTACGTATACGTAAGTGATATACACCACATTAAGGACGTGACTGACGCACGACACAGATCTTCCAAAGAGTCTGGAGCGGCCGCGTCGTCAACCAAAAGCGAGCGTACGAGCTTCTGACATTAATTGACCAGATCCAAGATTGGGCTACGCATAAACACCGAGACTTCGTAACTCGTCACTTGGTGCCATGGACCCGATTAGGCAGGAGATGGCAAATTGACCGAGTTTGGACATTTGATCCAGACGACGAGCGCTCAAGTCGCCAGAGAGTGTACAGTGAGGACCCTCAGGGAGAGGCAAGGCGAAGATCTAGCCACAGAAGCTCGATGAACATTAATTTCCTTCTTGCCAAATACAAGGGCTTGAACCAAGCTACACGCTTCAAACTACAAGCTAAGGCGGATAGAATATACGATAGAAGAGGTGGGCATGGAATTGATATGAAGCAGAGGTGGAAGTTGCTAAAGAAAATGATCCGTCAAGAAGCACACCGCCGATGTAATAGCCCGTATAGGGCCCGCGGTCGTGATTGATCGATGGTGCTTCTTTGCGAGAGTTCACCTGGAACACTCGAATGAATTCACTCAGCTTTTGAAGCTCGACAGAGGTCGTCTTCACGTTTCCGTTTTGAGAGCACTGCAAAATCCGAGTCTGTATTCGCTCTCAAGGTAGATTTCTCTTAGGTTCATCCAGCCAATATTGCAGGCATGTATCTTCCCGAACACTTTATATGGGCAATGCCCAGGAAACGCTCATTAAAAAAGCTCGATATGGCACAAAAAGTAGCAATGGTCCCTTCGAATGTTGCTGAGAGGATGTCCTCACTATATATCACGTGACATCTTTCACCTCTGCAATGAGTATATACTGCGGGATATCCTTACACTATCAACGACGACCTCATGAATTTGCGACTCATTACAATGCCGGATCCACAAATTAGACTAGAGCCTATTCAAAATAGTTCTAATTGATCTACCAGGGCAGCAGATCGGAACGGAGATGTGCGGATGCTCCTTTTCAGTATCAGATGTGCTGTATATGAGCATTGATGGTTCTTTAGAGCATCTAGGCATTCCGGAATAGGTATCTGTTTCGGGTTGATCGCCATATATACCATCATTCCAATCCAAAAAGTTGACAATTACCGCGTATATGATCTATACCACTACCATCATGGGCTTCGATCATGGAAGCATAGTATGGCCTGCGCCACTCGTTTCTTCTGAGTTTAGGATAGGTCATTGTTCCCGGCACACGTCGGCGTTAGCGGCACCAGTTCAATCTTACGGACTTGACAGTGAGTTCTTGAGTTGGCTCATGGGCAGCTCAAACTCAAGTTTCCCATTGGGACGATCCTTCTTCGGGTGGCCTTTCAGGTCCAAAAGGTTCCAGTACAACCCCAGCTTCTATGATCCTCTTGATCTCTTCTTCGTCTACCTCTGAAGATTTGCCGCTGACTTCGTCCATTCTAAGCTGCCACACGTCTTCAATGAAGTTTGGAAAGGGCTCACTGTAGTCCTCCCACTTCTGCTCGAATTCTTCCATGAGAGCCTCAAGCATCTCGATGCCTTGGCTCTCCGTAAAATGGATGTCGCGGATTCCTTGCTGATTCAGAATGTCTTCTAAGCAGTAACTGGGCCAGTGGATGTATTTGGCAATCTTGTGACAACAAGTGTGCGTAAGATTCAGAGAGTTGAACGTTAAACCCTGAAACGTCGATACTGCTAGCCAGGGATGTGATTGCTTATGCTTCTCCACGATGATGTACACCTGATCTAGAGCTTGGCACATCAACCGCTCATGTTCATCAGGCAGCTGCCTGACTGCCCCATGATGGCGGTAATCCAAAAGAGACATAGTCGCACCGCTGACTGCTTCTTGTATAGCACAAGTGAGTGGGGTGCAGCCATCCGTGGAACAATGGCAGTCGCAATGGCCCCGAGTAGGTGCCAGGATGATACTCTTGACGAAAGAAAACTCCAGCCATTCGTCAATTCCCCGGAAGAGGTTTCCCAAGCGCAAAGCTGCATCGGCGAGTCTTCTTATGATGACATGTGCGGGCGTTGCCCGAAACTTTAGATGACCAAACCAGCTCATGAGACCAATGAACCCTCCTACGCTATGCTTCATGTGGGTAATGTGCCTCCATAAGGGGGTTTGATTGTCGTATTCTGTTGCTATGTCGTGAAACCCGGCTTCCCATAGGCACTCCCCCGAGCCAGGAGCGAGAGAGCCGTGGTGATAGATGTCATTAAATTCCGACGCCCAGGAGGATTGCTTCTCTGAATTTGCTTCGTCACTAGCTGAATCAGAAGTCGAGATGGTCCGCTGTTGGGCTAGAAAAATGACCAGCCTCGTCATGATTTCTTTGCCGTCCTCGTCTGGATACCGATCATAAAAGTTGCACGCCGTGGACGGTATATCCCTAATTGCATTTATAGGGTATCCAACGTCAAGAAGATAACGTACGGTATCCGGGTCTCGAAATTTCAAAGCTAGTTCGAGAATGGAGAAATAGCTTCTAAACTTGTTGGACCATTTCTCTCCTTCTAATGGATATAGGCGAAGACCCTCTGGCCAAAATGCGAGACTCCAGGGAAAAGCCTTGTTTGAATGTCCATTCAATTCGATCTGGTGAGCGAATTTATTCGCTGACCTTTGTAAAATTATGGAGGACATACTGTCTACCTCGTTTTCATATGCTAGGCTGTCTCCCACGTGTTCATATGCTAGGCGCACTTAGCAGCTTACAGCTTTGGAGTGAAAACATGTGCTGACCGTCAATATTTCCTTGCACTGAGAAAATATCGGCAAGAAAATCAAAGTATCGTTGTGAGATGCGAATCGAATGAATAACCCAATGGTCTAGTCTCCTGGTGATATTAGAGCAGGCCATCTTTGCAACGAATAAATTCGGCCTGTCTCCCCTCCAGCAGTTATCGAGCAGAATCCGTAGCGGTGTACAACGACTAATGACACGTCAGAAAACCTGAGTAGCCACAAGAAGGACAAAATTACATCTCAAATGGCCCTCCGTATATTTCCTCGTTGCAGGGCACGCCCTCTTGGGTGAAGCTATCCAAGAATGCACATGCCGTGTCTGCATCAATGACGTCGAAATTGATGAGACGGGCAGTTAAGTGACAAGCAAACTTATCTCGATCAGCATTTTACACTCATCGAAAACAGACCTTTACTACTTACATGGAACACAGTTGCGCGATTAGATACAACATCGGATGGCCCGAGCACGATTTTCACGAAAGCTCTGTATCACTCTGGCCGATATTTCTTTGCACAAGGCATCTACATCTTGTCGGAGCATTGGAAATTCATTTGAAAAATACGTGGGCATCCAGAATGGATCTATCTGCAATAGCCTCGCAGCATCGTCGAAAGGTTTGAACGCAGGCGATTCTCTAGGCACCACAGTCCGATATTTGAGTGTCGGAGACATTGTAGTCCAACCTCCCTCTCTAGCATAGAGCAAGCCAAAGGTTACGCAAAACCCGATGAGTTTTGAACAGTATATGAAGCGTACTTCAGCAACTTGGATGAAGTCTCCGTGAGGGAATCGCGGACAACTTGGCAAATGGTCCGAATCGTGTTGCCAGAACGTCGAGAAGAGCTTGTAGCGTCTCGAAACTTCACGGCGTTGTGCGAGTAAGCGGCATTTGCAGTCGAGCTGAGAACATTGCGGGTGTATCGCTACTGACTTCTTGTACCTGCGAAGATTTCGTCTGAATGAGGGTCGAAGATTGTTCAAGTCCCTGGAAGCATCGTCGAGAAGACTAGGGTGCATCTGAGAGGCATTGTGAAGAGTTCCAGCCTCAGTCATCTGCAGAGTGTGAGCAAGTGCTACTTAGATTATCATTCACTTACCAGTAACTCTAAACGTCGGACCACAGAGTCTAGCTGCGTCGATAACCGTGATGCTTGGATAGACACGTGTGAGTTAATGAGTGAGGTCTGATGTCCCTGGGCAATCACCAAACTCTGTATTCCGCCGTCTAGGCGCTGCAATGTCGTACTTTGCTCGTCCAAATGTGTACTCAATTGACTGTTCTGGAGAACAAGGGCATTGCTCTTCGAAGAAATATTTGTGAAGTGGCGGTTTTCAACGTCACTAGAACTGCGATGAGACCTTGGATCTAGATTCTCTATGATGTACTGAAGGCTGACGCCTACATGTGTAGAATTTGCAACGCCAGTTGTAGGCTCGCTTATAATCTGTCCAAATTACGCTGCATCTCCGAGAGTGTGTCCCTCTTGAAAGGCCACAGAAGCCTCTTCCTAGCAAGCCGCATACGATCTTCTAGCGTAGCTGGCATCTTTATCTCTGACAGCCAGTTAGAATGCTCCTACGCACATCTGCCTACGCGTCTCAGCTGGACAAGGTTCACTTGTTGTTTGCCACCGTTGCTGCCTGCAACCCCTGGTCTCTCTTCACTATATAGCCACTCGTTAGCACCTCAATACAACTCATGCTTTCCTCACTGATCCTTTGCCCTTCCTGCGCCAGCTGCCAATCTCTCCACACTTCCTGATGATACATCCTAGCTTGTGTACCCGATCACTACAAGATTGGAGAGCAAGGTGCAGCTGTGCGGACGGTCCATCATTGTCAAGTTCAACTTTGTCTTTGACAAGGCCCAAGACCTCCAGGATGCCTTGGAGACCTTCCACCCGTTGTATAGCTACATCGATATCCTTGTGGTAGCTTCGAAACTCTAAGTAGTATTGCACAAGGCCTTGGCATACTTGGATTCCGAGTGAGGTGATGCCGACAGCGGTGCCTGTTATAGAAAAGGGATCTGCCGTACTCAGGAGCTATCGAGTACCCAAGCAGGTTCTCGACACCGTAGACTCATCGAATACCTACTCTCGAGCGTTGAATAGTTCAGTTCCAAGTGAAGAAAAAACGTGCACTAGAGATGGACTGTCGGGGAACGGAAGGCATAGAAAGAGCAGGCGGAAAGAAATTGACGAGATATAAGCAAGGCTGAAAAACCTTGAGGGGCAGCGAAGTTCTTATAGGTGACCGGTAGTCTACGAGGCTGAATAGCGCTAACGATGTACGATTCCAGCGAATGAGATCAGTGTTGACGCGAGAAGGCGGCAACGACAGGTCGGCAGTGCAGCGTCGTACAATCTCCGAAGAGAAGACCAACGAGAAGCAAGCTGAAGCTTGCGGTGTTGGCGTTCCGCTCTAGCGAAGGAACTAATCAGATTGCGCGGAATAGACCAATAGCTGAAAGGGAAGTAGCTAGTATTTTCTACGCTCTTTACTTTCTCATGACCTGACTTGACATGTTTCTCACTCAGGCGCAATATAGCATATCGAGCCTATTCCGGTCTGATTGTAGCTCTACAGGCTTCGCCAGTCACCGCGCAGTGATACTTGCATTGAATCCAGCACTTTCGATTTGAATATTCGAAGAGCTTCCCGACTGGCAGGCAGGCACATACGGTTGTACTCCTCATTTTCCTCTGTACATAGGCTCTCTCCAACAACATCATCATTCAATACATCACGCGTATATGCAGAAAGTCGGGATGCTAGACTGGCAGCGCGAGCTGTGAATTTAATCATCTGGACATCTGGGTACACAGTTGCTGCAGCGATGATGCTAGTGCATGTGAGAACGCGTTGACGTCGGAAACAACCAGTATGTGCACCCGCGTACCTTGTTCTTTTGGACACTCCGAAGGGTATGGTGCTGATTGGAACGATTAGAACGGAGAGGGATGCGGACTGTACTTCTAAAAAGCCGACGTGCTGAATATAAGGATTGATGCACCTAGGCATGCCGGAAATAGGTGTTTGTATCGGGTTGATCGCTAGATACTAGTAGCCAGTCGGGATTTAGGTACGGTTTGTAGCGTTCGTGAAGGCAGGGGGACGGGAGAGCGTTGACGAGGCTTCTCTAAGAACAACGATGCTTCGCCCTTGATCACTAATCTTCTATACTTGCACCTGTAGGCAATCAATTGATGCTCTTATCCGTGATCTTCGCTGTACCCGCTCGCGCTTTGTCAGCGTGTACCAACCTTCCGTGTTCGCCAACTAGGAAATTTATATGAAGAACTTCTGTCAGCTCTATTTCGTACAAGAACGCACTCATTGCGAACCTCAAACGCGACCACCTTCTCTTACCCGCAACTCTTTCATACCACCTGAGAATACTTGAACCTATTGCTATATTTAACAACCTAAATCCAACGTTCCGCACTGACCTAATCCCCAACATGACACCACCTGTCACAATGGGCGCCGTCGTTCTCCGTAGCCCTGGCCCTCCCGACGTCCTAGAAGTAGAAACTGTACCCACCCCAGTACCCAAAGCCGGGGAACTTCTCATCAAAATCAAAGCCGCGGGCCTCAAACGCTCCGAGCCCGTCTCCCGCCGCGGTCACGTCCCTGTCATGGCGTTTTCACTCCCTCGCATTCTCGGCGTCGAATGTGTCGGGATTGTTGCCACTTGCCCTGGAAATGAATTGTAAGTTGGCGAAGCGATCGCAACATGCATGGAGGGACTCGGAAGAGTAAGGGATGATGGATATGTAGAATATTGCGTTGTTCCAGTGGCGCATGTGCAGAGACTCGGGTTTAGAGAATAAGATGAGGGAACGGAGAAAATGAGATCAAGTTAGGAAGTGCTGGGGGCGTGTCTGGAGATGCTGCAGACGGCGTGGGGGAGCTTGGTGTTGGCGTTGAAAGTGGAGAAGGGAGAAAGATTGCTGGTAATAGGCGGTACAACGAGTGTTGGGTTGGCGGCTGTGAGTCTAGCAAAGCATTATGGGTTGTGGGTTGCTGCGACGACGAGAAAGAAGGAAAACATGGACTTGCTTAAGGAGGCCGGAGTGGATGAGATACTTCTTGACAATGGAAACCTTGCTGAGGAAATTGGAGAGGCAGAGCAAAAGTTTGAAAAAGTTCTTGAGTTGGTTGGGACGGTTACGTTGAAAGATTCTGTGGCTTGCGTGAAGCCAAAAGGAATTATTTGTGTGGCAGGTATTGTTGGAGATCAGTGTGTTTTTGAGAATTTTGCTCTAATGAGCGCTATTCCTTTTACTGTTTGCTTACCGACATATGCTGGAGATGTAGACCAGTTTATGGAAATGCCGTTCAAAAAGCTCCTAGAGTTGGTGGCGAAAGGAAAGCTGGGCATAAGGGTAGGAAGGACTTTCACGCTGGATAATGTTGCAGAAGCTCATAGGGTCATGGAGTTGAGCAGGGCATGCGGGGAAGTCGTAGTGTTGCCGCAATCGAGAATAGGTAGGTCCTAGCGGTCCTTAATGGCCAAGGCTATCGGTATCGACCACATATCTATGCCATCCCGAGGCCCTGGTTTCAAAATTGCCACATCCAACTAAGGGATCTGAACTACCTGAAATCCACTGAAAAAGAATCCATCTCCACTGACTTGCGGCCGTGGGCAGCTTCCATGGCCGAAATGGGCGTGTTGCATCCCTTCCAGACGAGCTATCGCCATTTGAGCCACTAGACGACTTGTGATCGGATCGAGGTCTCCACTGCCTCCATGCTCGTTGTTCCAATCACTTTTGGAACCTGGACCATGGCCATCACCCATTCCGCTTCCTCCATTCGCACCTCCGCCATCATCACCACCATCACCGTCACCCCTATCACTGCTAGCCCTACTACCATAAGCAGCTAGAGCTGGAGCTAGAGCTAGATAAGATGGCCCGTGGTACTGTCTAGAATGATGGGCTCGGCTATCCTGATAAGCAACTAGCAAAACTTAGCAGACATTCGTAATCATGTCAAAACGAAACTCCGAACTGCCATATCTCGCATTTCACTGACTTCAATTCGCCACCTTTGAGTGTCAATTTTCAGATCGGCTACCATCTGCGATGTCAGGTTTCGGTGAGCTGATATCCAATAACCTGGCCCGCCTGCGAATTCTCCAGTGTCGGTACCTTGTTCTACCGAGGCATCGTTTCCAAGATAACGTTGTATGTCTGCAGTTATGACTTCTGGGGCGATTCCCTCTCCAGGTTGAAAACTTCTCGGACGCCTAGAATTAGGATATGGGGAAGAGTGGCTCGCATTGGCTTTTCTAACTACTTTCCCATGGTTCTCACTAAGCGAATGTTCACGCTTCGTGGACGGCGATGACTTGACGGCCTTCGGATAGTGTGCAGCATCTTCATGCTCATCGCGCTTTGAAGCTCTAGACACCCCGTTTTCCGGCGCAAACCCTTGCAACTTGGAAACCTGCAATCGAAGGGCATTTTGTGCAAGCTGTGGGGAATCGGACAGATTATTTGCATAGTCTCTGGAGCTGCTCCATGGTAGTCATCTCCGTCTGATTGCTTCTTTTTCTGCTCAAAGGTTGTGGGCTGTGCCATCTGGCTGGTGTCTACATCGATGTGGTGGTACACTCGATTCTGGGTCTGCCGGAGGCTTACCACGGCACCCCCTGCCATGCCCGCAAGCAAAGCGTTGAGCATCGGTCCTACCACCATAAAAGGAGTTTGGTCGTCTGAATTCTTGGATTTAGGACGTGCCGCAGCGACCATCTTTTCAAGTGCAAATCGTGTTTTCATCATCGTCATCAGGACCTAATCTCTGTATTCGTTCTTCCGGGCTTGTGTGAATGTGTGCAGAATTCGCTCAATCGCGTCCTCCAGCTTCCGCTCTTGCTCGGAGAATTGTTCCGATGTCTCTATAGACAACTGGTCGATGCTCCTAAGAACGTCGAGATCCTTCTTCCAAAGTGCCGGAATAGGCGCGAAGTGAATAGCTTCCACGATCTTTGCACATTGTGAAGCATCGAAAAGCTTGTCGGGTAGTTCAATGACCGAAACACTGTCGCATGTTAGTTAGCAACAGTGCAAGCGATAGCTGTAAAGAAGTGATAAATAAGATTTTACGAAAGCATGAAATCCTTGCATTATCTGCAAAGAAAGCAAAGTTTTTACAGCATCATGAGGCTGTGCAATTGCGGCTCGAAGCTTAAAAACCTCTCCGGATAGATCATCTAGTGTAAATCCAATGACACTCTTAGTTTTGGTAATGGCACGCCTCGTCGAGTCTTTTCCAAGTGATCGTTGATGCTTGTCTAGGAAGCTCTTGAAAGCTTTCTAATGTCTATCGATACGTTCCAGCTGTTTACCAATACCCGTGGCAAACTCATCATTGGGTTTGGTATCCATATATCTCTTCAAGTGGTTGAGCGTGACATTGAACGATTCTAAGGTATCCATCTCTTGCTTAAACTTTGCTGCGGCGCCATTTGAGGCGCGAAAGTTCTTGCATATCTCCACAGTAACCTCGATGCCTTTGAAGACGTCGCCAATGGACCAGCCGAAGGCGATCATGGCGCAGCCTTATGCCACTATCTGGGGAGCTCCGAAAATCGTCAAGAATATGGCCGAAATATAGTATGAATAAAGCTCCTATGAATGGTCGAGATAACGTTTGATGACATGCGAGAATCAAGAGACGGGACAGGATAGAAAAGCAGATGCCACGTAGGTTGACCACTTGGCCAAGCGAGGCTGAAGCATTTGCCTGGTTTCGCCTTGCAGTTCGCCTCTACGCAGTCTGCTTTGGAAGGAGAAACATGGCCATCCAAGGGGACAGCGATAGAGATGGAAGATTGATTCGTGAACTTGGACGAAGATGGATTATGTTTATATAGGTAGATCGAGGACGTGCTCAGCTATGAATACATCAAGTGACTCTCTCTTTGTTTTCTTCCTAGATGACTCCCTATCTTGCTGGTGTCATCGGGCAGCAATTGCCCGGAGTCCGGAGCCGTGGAGCCTCAAAGCGCGAGGGAGGCTGCATGGCAAAGCGGGTTGGAGGCTGCATAGGCTTGGTCGCGACCTCAATGGAGACGCAGGCGATGCGGGAAGAGATGCATTATCTACTAGACAAGAAGAGTCATCACGAGCACAGCGGTAGATGAAGACGGATATCTTTCCACGGCTCAAATAGACCAAGCGCACACTCAGCAGTATTACTCTTCATCACTTATCATATTATTTTTGAGGCTATATCACGTGTACGTCACGTGCTCAGGCCGACTGCTTATCTGTACTTAATTTCGTCTTGCAACTTCTAATTTCCACTTGGGTATTCACTTGGAGTGCTTTTTCAACACGCGTTAATATTGTGTCTATGGCAGGAGTTCTCAACATCGATCAAAAGCCCACATTCTGTCTCAAGTCATCACCCTTTTCGAGACTTGGACCCTTCATCCATCAGCCCAGCTGCCTCATTGCGGGGGCAAGGTGACAGCCATCATCAGAACCTCCCACATAGTCTAGCTGTTAAGATCGAGTCTAGAGCCCTCTAACCATCGACGTATTCTCCCTCGAGTCCGAACGCCTTCACAGGTCAGGTTCCTGGGCATGCTTGAATCGGCATGGCGACCCGTACTTGACGAAGCTTATGCACTGTTAGCAGCGAAGGCTTGTCGGTTTCCAAGCTGACCGCCTTGCACATCTCCCGCCTGAATCTAGATCTGCCATCTTTCTGCATGTACCGCACTTATTTTAGAACTCACGGTACATTTGAGAGGCCTTCCCTGCATACAATATTAATCTGTGCTCTTAGCTTGGCTTTACATCCATGGGTGTATCTCTCGGGCCCGGACTGTTGGTCAGGTTGGCCTCCATTCAGAGTCTTGAATCAAAGCCATTCCCGTATAGGAGGTAATACATTACCGGACCAACCATATAAATCGTATATGGACCGACTTCTTGGAAGCACTTCCTGACAGCTCCCGCATCCTATCTGCTATCGAAATTTCGAGATTGTGGAGAGCTGGTTATGCCAGTAGGTGGCGCTTCTATGTGGGAAGCCGTACCCAAGCTGCCTTTGGCGTATTTCTCCGAGGCTCTTCTTCATCAGCCACGTACTTCTACGCCTCCTTGATTATCGTGTTAGTGTTCGACATTGACATCGTTAAATCCTAGTTTCAGGCTTTTCAAGATCGCTCCACCAAGTGCAGAGCATGAGCGAGTCTTGTAGTTTTGATGCCTTGTCCCTAAGATGTCTTAGGTAGCGCATCGAATTCCACGCTCGCCGTATAGACTAAACCCATCCAGAGGAACATATTATAGCCCTTTCAGCCGCAGGCACTCGCCTCAAGACGCCTTAAGGCGCCCTTAAGCCTCAAAGTGCTTGGCAACCCTTTTTTGGCTCCACAGCGACGCCCTCTTCGACTTGAAGCAATCTTGAAATGCATGGAGGACATCGCTCAACCCGTCTCTCGGGGTGCCCAGTCGCTTGATTGCAGTCTCGACCCATTCCATAGAGTCGTTAAACTGCTAACTTCTGTGACTACTTTATGCAAAACCTCCTTTGAGGCTGATGGAGCCTATTCACATATGCAACTCCAGCCATATGGCCAAGCATGTCTGGCCTCTTTTCATATAAGTTTTGGTGTAAGTCTCGGGTCACTGAGGCATCATTAGACATTTCAGCTCTTCTCTACACACCATCCACGAGGCATCTATCCACTCCGCTTCTGCATTTCCTACCTCAATTACTAACATAACACCTTTCTCCGTCACTATGCTTGCCGTAAGCTTTCCAAACCATCCAACCCCCCTCCTCCCCCCTCCCTCTAATAACCCCCAGAACCTCTCCCTCACCATCACTACCCTCCTCACCCTCGCCTCCACATCCTCCATATCCCCCTCTCCCTCACCCCGAAGTGGCAAACCCACCGGTCCATCCAAACATTCCTCCCTCCCTACCACCCATCCACCTCCTAGCCCCTCCCCTAGGCGGTCCCGCAATCGTCACCCTAATTGTCTACACCTCCTATCCCTGCGCCGGCAACACCATCTCACCCATCCACGGCTCTGCCGGCGCCTAGACCACCTTCTCCGTGACCGAAGAAACCTGCCCTGTCGTCAACGTCCCCGCTAGCGCCGCCGTCACGGCTAAACTGACGCAGGCGCCCAAGAGCGGCGCGTTGTGCTGCTATGTCCAGCTGTATTATGCGGGAATTGTGGGGTTACGTATGCGAATCGGTACCATGGGGTTGCGCTGGCGGGCGTGGCGGTGGGGAGTGTGTTGGGGTGCGCGAATTGGCCGGTGGGGGTATGGGGCCGTGGAGGCTATTTGTGTGTGAGGTTGGAATGGGAGGTAGGAGAGTGGTGGCGGCGTTTCAGGGGGATTTGAGATGATCAGAGTTTTAAATGAAGAAAAGTCTATACTTATTGACGAACTGGTTTGAGTTCTCTTTTTCTACCCACGTGCGCTGACTGGCTTCGTTGAAGTATGAGTTTTGAATTCATTGAGTATACCGTGGTGCTATTTTTCGATCTGAACGCTTTAGAGGACTATAATGACAAGAGGACGGGTTGACTGCTGAGGCAGAGAATGAACGGCGTATGAATAGATGAATATTTTGCATTTGAAAGCTCTGGTTAATCTTGCCTGGATGATATGTACATCCACTACATCGACACTTCATCACATTACCTTTCTTTTCAGACCGACGTCGTTGTCAAACGCACCGAATGGCTTGGCCTTTACTTAATCTTAGCATAGCTGGGGCCGGATGAACCTGCCGTCAAGCTAGGGACACTAGCGTTCCTGTATGCCGTGGTCCTGTTCTTCGCCCAACGTAGATCCTACTCAAGCTTGTTGGGTAATGTCTCCAGTTCTGAACGGCATCTTCGCCCCTCATTCAGTCTCGACTCCCGCGGCCGTGGTGATCTTTTGAGCTCCATAGTCATTGCTCTCATTCCATCCCATCATATAATTTTAACCCATCCATATTCCGGGTATCATCACACATCCCTCAAAACCTCGTGCACATGCTCTGATCATGCTTCCCCTTGCACTCCAACCCACACACCCTCGCGCCACACTTCAAGCACTTCACCCGCCCCCAATACCCACACGTATCGCAAAACAGCCTCTGCGGTGGGGCTCCAGCCCCCGGTGGGCCAACCCTCGCAGCTGCGTACGGTAGCGGTGGCGCAGCCAATAACGCTTGTAACTTTTCATCGTCCAATGGCGCCGGGACTGCAGAGCGTATCTCAAGAGCTTTATCTTGTAGTCCTGAGGTAGAGCCAGGGAAAGCAGGTACGGCGGGCGTCAAAGCACGCGGCGTAATCGTTGCTGGCGTGCCAGGTTGAACGGGCGTCGAGGGCACTGTGGTCGCAGTAAACGTACCTCGCCGCCCTTTCGCACCCATAGCGGGCTTGATAACGCGGCTAGTAATGGCTCTCGCGCCGCCTCCAGGTGCTTGTGTTTTGTTCGTGTACAGGGCGTCTTCGTCGTCGAGCCAGTGCCGGATCTCCTTCGCAGAGAGGAGGATCTTCTTCGTTGCTGAGGTCTTGAAGGTTGCTGTTCGGTTTTGAAGATTTAGCAGAGTCCTTTGCGCATGATAGTCTAGGTTTTAGGAAGAGGAAGGTTGGATTGGACGTACTTTTCTTATTAGGTATCTCGATCCCCGACCGCGCATCGTTGTCCCTCTCCAACTCTGCTATTCTCCGCTGCACGGCTGTGAGCTGCCGCGCGGATAGTTCGAGGCCGGTGGGCATGCCGCCCAGGCGTGCGGCCTGTCGCTTGCGGTCTTTGGGGTTGAAGGCGACTTTCGATGGGTCGTAGCCTGTGTCGGGAACGTAGGCCCAGCCGGGGGCCGGGGCGGCGCCGGTGTTGGGGAGGATTTCGATGTGCGGCATAGTGCTGTATTTGTTCGTGAAAGGAGTGTGTATGGTTGGCAGTCGATGGTGGTGAAGTTAGAGCTCAAAAGATGAGGTTGACGAGAATCGCGCGATCACGGGAAGGCGCGGAACGTTCCGCCGATCAGCCTTAAATCCGTGTGGAGTATCTAGCTCCGGGCAGGCGGGATGAATGCACTGCCGTCGCGTCTGATCTCATGTAGAATGCAAATATCTTCAGTCTATTCCATACTCCTATAGCATCAAACTTCACCATGGCTCCCCCTTCACGCCCTCCCCCCATAACCATTCCAGCCGCCACACCCCCATCTAACCCCGCACACTCTGCCGCTTTCATCTTCCTCCACGGTCTAGGCGATGAGGCCTCAGGACTTGAAAGTGAGTCCTCCCAATTCCCCCCGGTGCTATAGGACCTTAGCTCAACCCGTCTGATACATAGACATCCCCCAACAATTCGCAGCGGCTGGCAAACTTCCCCACTTAAACTGGCTGCTACCCTCCGCCCTCCACAACCACGACCTCGCCCAAGCAGCCTGGTTCATGCCCACCCGTCTCTCTCCTTTCCCTTCATCACGTCCTGAACTGGACGATCCAGAAGACGATGAAGGGATCAATAGTAGCGTGGCTTATATTGTCTCCCTGATCGACGAATTTGTCGCGAGAGGCATACCCGCGAACCGCATCATTGTCGGCGGATTCTCGCAAGGCTGTGCGGTATCGATGCTGTTGGGATTGACGTCGGTGTATTCAGGGCGGTTAGGGGGTGTGGCGGGGTTGAGTGGTTATTTGCCGCTGGCCGAGAAAGTCGACGAGATGAGGAAGGGCGCAGGATTAAGTGAGAAGGTGCAGGGAGGAATGGAGGTATTCCTAGCAAGGGGTACGGGAGATAGACTCGTACCGAAGAGGTATGCGCGCATGTTAGAAGAGACAATAAAGGAGGTTGGCATTGAGGAGAGCAAGGTTGAGGTGAAGGAGTATGAGGGCATGGGGCATGTGATTGGAGGTGGGGAGCTGAGAGACTTGTGTACTTGGCTGGAGAGGGTTTTACCGAGCATCCATTAGAGTGCTTGGGTAGTTTGGAGACGAGGAATTATATAAATGGAAGATGCACAAGGCGATGGTGCTGTGCGTGTTGAGTGTATATAAAATGTATAAAGGCATGATCATTATACGACACGTGTTATCGAATACTGCTATCTATCGATGGAACGAGAAGTGGAACCTATATATCACAGTCAGCTACCTGGATAAATCAACCTCACGCACTAAGACTTACGCATTCATCGCTCGCTCAGATAGCGAAGTGGGTAGGTTCCTTAAAGTTGAAGTAGGCGAAGCTGGCGAAATAGGCGACAGCGCCTGACAAATTTCTCGACCGGTAGCTATTTCTAGCGAATCTCGTGCCCGTGGGGGACGTATAGTGCGATAGGCCTGCTTGGGATACGTTGGAGCCGGTGTGGGTGGGTCTGGTGGCGGAGAATTTGGGTCCAGGACCTGTTTCTTCGAAGGTCGTTCAAGACATAGGAGTGCTGCTAGGCCTTTCCTGAAGTAGAACAAGGCTGCAGCTAGCATGATGACACCTATTGGAACTGTGACTCCGGCAGCGATCGCCGTGGTGTGTTTAGTACTATCTCGCTTGGTTGGTGTTGGTATAGCATATGAGCGTACGACGAAGGTCGAAAAGAAAACCATCATAAAGAGTGGACGAAGTCGGTGGGGAAGCATGGCGCGTCCTGAATGGCCAGCCATTTCAGGATTTCATAGAAGTGGAGGTGGCCAAAGATGAGAGGGTGATAGCACAATGATGATTGGAAAGAAAATTGAAAAAAGAGGATGGATGGAAAGCATTCATGTACTTGGCTTAGAGAGCACCACTCGAGATCTATTAAAAGGGTAATCTTCTAAGCGCGGCCAACATGCTGAGCCATATTTTTAAGGCAGTCTTGTAAGGCATCCGGCGCTATACCAAAGGTGATATCCTTGTTGGTATATTGTCCAATCTGTATTGTGCTCGAACCAGACTTGATGAGCTCAGCGTGACAGCGTCTGTCGAGCAGTCTAAGGCTCTAAGCAGAAACAACACCGTCTAGCCTGTAGAGATGAGGGAGATTTTCTAGAGAGGTAAGCATTAACCTCAACCTGCTAAGCAAGTCCTGCGGAAGATAGCCAAGCCACTCAATGACAATCATACTCGCCAAGCCCCAATACCAGAGCGGAGGCTTTTCAACTCAAAAGGGTTGACAAGAAGATTAAGACTGGAGGTTAGAAGTTTTTTGATATCGTGATGCACATGCGTCATCGGCACCCGGTAGTGACGCGTTGACAAACCGACCTGGCTACTACTAAACGGAGCTCATGTCAATTTGCGGTCCTGATAAGTCACTAGAATGTGAACGACTTGTTGCGTTGCTTCGATGGTGTTCGTGTATAGCGGTATAGGAGTGGGTTGAAGTCCTCGGAGGACAACCTTGGAAAATCAGGGGATGCGCTCGCACGCTGATTGGTCCCTATTCTTACATCTTCCAAGCCTCATCGCGAACTCCACGGCACCTCAAGGCCCCCCTCGATGTCTCTCAACTTCCACATCTTCTCCATCAACTGACCGCAGCCCGACGCGTCAAACAGGTCTCAGCATCTACCATGGCATTGCTAAAGCGCTACGCCGCCTTTGCGGTCATCACTGCCTGTGTCCTCTTCGCATTCTACAAGCTCCATGGACCCTACCAGGCCGCAACTGGATCAGCACATCCCCAAGACGGCAGACCGAATCGACATGATGGAAAAGTCATGAAAATACCGATCTATGACTGGACCAAAGTTCCCATCCAAAATCCCGTAACGGACATGATTCCCCTGCCGACGGGGAGCCCCCTTCCTCTACCAAAGATCCAATTCGATTTCCAGCAGGAGAAGGATATTGAGAAGCAGCTGCGCGAGACAAGACTGGCGGAAGTGAAGAAGGCCTTTGAGAAATGCTGGGAGTCGTATAAAAAGAAGGCGTGGATGCATGACGAGCTGGCACCCATCAGCGGAGAAGCTAAAGATACGTTCGGAGGATGGGCAGCCTCGCTGATTGATTCCTTGGATACGCTATGGATAATGGGCATGAAGAGCGAGTTTAGAAAGGCGGTCAAAGACGTTGCAAAGGTCAATTTTGGGACTACCTCGGTGGAGAAGGTCAATGTCTTCGAGACCAATATTCGACATCTGGGAGGCTTGTTGTCTGCGTACGAGTTGAGTGGGGAGAAACTCCTGCTGAGGAAGGCTATTGAAGTCGGAGAGATGCTTTATGTCGCATTTGATACCCCAAATCGCATGCCCATTACGCGGTGGGATTTCCACAAGGCTGGCAGTGGATTTGCTCAGGTTGCAGACGATGTAAGACTCTTTCACAAACTCATCTTGAGGGCATTTTTCTGACATTCTGTTCGATAGTGGGTCCTTGTCGCAGAAATCGGCTCCCTCTCTATGGAATTATCCCGCCTCTCACAAATCACCAAAGACCCGAAATGGTACGACGCCATCACACGCATCACCAACAAGCTCGACGAGCAGCAAATGAAGACGCAACTACCCGGAATGTGGCCAATCTCGGTCAATGGAAAGGAGGCGGATTTCACTGGAGATACTGCCTTCACGCTAGGTGCCATGTCCGACTCGCTGTATGAATACTTCCCTAAAACATACGCGGTGCTGGGCGGCCTGGACCCAGTCTACAAGAAGTTGTACGAAACGTCAATGAAGACGGCTATTGAGTACACCATGTTCCGTCCCATGACTCCTGACAACGCCGACATCCTCATGTCTGGTATGGTTCGCGCGCAAGATGGCGAGATATCTCTACAACCTGAATTCCAACATCTCGTTTGCTTCGCCGGCGGCATGTTCGCACTAGGAGGTCGCATGTTTGAGATTGAAGAGCACGTCAAAGTCGGTCGCAAGCTCGCTGACGCTTGTGTTTGGTCATACAAGGCCCTTCCCTTTGGAATTATGCCGGAAGTCTCGCATCATCTACCCTGCCCTAACATCACGGGATGTGAGTGGGACAAGATGGCGTGGATGGAGGAGGTCAAGAACAAAGCGTTTACTGAGAACGAAGAAGATCCGCTTAAGAACATTGCCAACCAGAGGCTGCCATTAGGCTTCACCGAAATCAACGACCGGCGATATATCCTTCGACCGGAGGCGATTGAGAGCGTGTTCATCTTGTACCGCATTACTGGCCAGCAGCAGTGGCAAGCTGCTGCTTGGGACATGTTCACCGCGATTCAGAAATACACCCAGACCGACCTCGCGAATGCGGCAATAATCGACGTCTCAGTCACCAGTGGCGAGCCACCCAAGATGGATTCTATGGAGGTAAGTACCGTCTATTGTCGCGTACATCCTGATCGGTGCTAACCATGCAACAGAGCTTCTGGATGGCCGAGACTCTGAAATATTTTTACCTGATCTTCAGCGAGCCCAGCGTTATTAGTTTGGACGACTATGTTTTCAACACTGAAGCTCATCCGTTCAAGATCCCGAAGTAAACGTTTTTCAGGCGGTATCTTTCTAAAATAGAGCATGAATTTGAGGTATCCATGCATCAGCGCCAGCATCCCAGCGACCGGGTCCGAGGTGCTACTTGACAGAGCTATCCCTCCGACCGGCTATGTGTTCTCGCCACTGCCGTCATGCAACTTGCCGCCTTAATTATCGGCGAGAGGGTATCGCAAGAGGACAAGGCATCCTATCGGTGCGACGACTAAAATCGCGATACGACAGGCTAAGTGCATATCGAGAAAGTAGAAGCGATCCAAAAGCGCGTGCTGCCTACATGTTAATGCCTGATGGTTTCTCAAGTGCGCAGTAGTTTAGTTCACTGTATGAATGCAAATAGTAGTCTGGAATGCTCACCGACTAAGCACTTATCTACTTGTATCACTCGAAGGATACCACGCGCGTCATTTGTTTAACACACCTTCCGCAATGTAATAAAATTAATTCGGGAGGGTCTAGTTCATGTTATATGCGCACTCGCTAGTTGGGTTGATTGTTGGCAACCTTCTAGATGCGGGATAGTGAGGATGCTCTGCTATTAGACGAAAATCCGTTACCAGAGAGGGAATGTAGGTACTCTACCTATAAAGGCCCCTCGTCCTAGTTACTATCGTTACTTTAAAATCCATCTCAACTTTCTGCCAAACCGAACCAGTCCACTCGAATCATTAATCTCTGTAATCCGAGTCACCCATATTCAAATCTCGGTTCGTTGTCACGACTCTCTAACCCCATGTATAGTTGATATGATCACATACTGATTCTATGTGCAGATCACCAAAATGCGTTGCACATCCCTCATCTCTGCCTTCGCCCTCATCGCGCTCGGCATGGCCGCCGCCGTCCCGCAGCCCGATGCTGCCGCCGCTGTCGAGGCATTGAAGGATAGGGAGACATGCACGTGCTATGAACACTACAACACCTGCACGGGAAAGAAGTGTTAGATGGATGCCACAAGAAAGAAGGATGAACGTGAGCATATTGATAGACCGAAGCATCATAGTGATATACAGTCCAGGGTGGATGGATGCAGGAAGAAAGAACCCCATAAACTCAATGTTGTCAAATAAACTGTATTGAAACCCGCAGGCCATTCTTCTAAAAAAGAAAAAAAAACGAGACCCTGCGCAGTCGACATCCTCCTACAACTACAACTTGGCAGCAAACCCCCTTTACAACCCATGCACGTGAATCCCCTCCAGACTACTTCCCTTATAATTTTGTTTGCCGGCCACGAACCATAATATCAGCGTCACAGCCAAGAACCCCACCGTCGTCGGCGCCGCGTAGTTCATGTTCGCCTTCTCCACGGGCCTAAACACGGGGAAACAGAAGAATATCGCCAAGAACGCCATGAAGATAAGGGAGATGATGTTGATGGCCCATCCCCACTTCCCTAGCTTAAACGTCCCAGGGCGATCGTACACGCGGCCGCGGATGAGTAAGCAAGTGATCGGTATAGCGTAGGCGACGTACGCCATGATAACGAGGCAAGAGAGCAGTGCGTTGAAGGCGGTAGACGAGGCAAGGTAGAGGATCGCGACCAGCGCGCCAATAGCCCAGGACATGACGACCGCGGGTAAGGGGCACGCAAGGCTCGTATTAACCTTCGCGAAGAACGTCGGGAAGATGAACCCCCCGTCGCGGGAGAAGGACCAGATAATCCGCGACCCGACCTGGATAACGCTCGTCGTGCTGATGAAGTTGTTCACCAGCAGCGTCGTCGAGATACAGGCCGCAGCCGCCTTTGAGCCGGTGGAGGAGAGCACGATGGTGAGGTACGGGGCCGCGCTCTCGAAGAATGCGTCCTTGTCCTGCCCGACGCTGAACATGAGGCAGATCGAGACGATAAAGTCGGTGATACACCCGATGCCGACGGTCATGAGCATGGCTTTCGGGATCGTGCGGGAGGGGGAGGACATTTCTTCGGCGAGATGGCAGGAGGCGTCTAGTGCTACGAAGTTGCCGGCTGTGATGATGAGGCCGTTCATGAAGACGACGAAGGGGTTGGTCCAGCCGGTAGCGTTGTAGAAGGTGCCGAAGACGAATTTGGCCGGCTGGTGGGGGTTTGCGGCGGCGACGGTGGTGATGGCAACGATGAGGAAGGAGCCGATGAACCTGGGGTTTTGATGTTAGCAGAGAGTTTGTTAGAAGATGCGGTAAGGGGGTAAGGGGCATACCAGTAGAATTGTACGGTGTCAATTTTTGGTAGGAGGCGTGTTCCGAATGCGTTCAGGAGCCCGTTTAGGATGAGGCAGCCTTCCATGATGAGCCAGATCTGCCAGGTCTTGGCTTCGAAGGATGGGTTGTAGAGATTGGCGAGGAAGACCATTTGGTTCGCCATGACTGCGACGTTGGCTGCTGAGCCGACAAGCCATGATATCAAATTAGCCCATCCGGTCATCCAGCTGAGGAAGAGAGCCCATTTTCGCGGTGCGAGACGGAACGTCCACTCCAAGGGGCCGGCGGTGGTGGGATACGCTGAACCCATTTCCGCAAGTGAGAGGACAATGAGAAGCGAGAAAGCCGGGATGACGAGGCTGCATAAGTTAGTAATTGTATATTGGAATCGGGTATAGGTAAATGGATACTCACGCGCCGTAGACCAAGACTGCTGGACCTCCACTCATCACACCTGCAACGAGTGATAAAGTGACACCAAACCAACTGCCGGAACACACGAACCCAAGCCCCACCAAAGCGAGAAGCCCAAAGTTCCGCTCAAGCTCCTCAACATGGCCCAAAGAAGCCAACTGCAGCGCGTCGCTGTTCACGACATCTCCCCCCTTCTCGCTGTCACTGTGGGAATCTGCCACCACGTCGGGTCCGATGAACGACTTCTCTTCCACTGCCATAGTGCCACGTTGTCAATTAGATAAGCTTGAATAGGTCGTTGAGATCTGTAGTCCTGAAAGAAACGTCTGTTCTAGGATGCAGTCTCCCAGCTCTTTAAGTGTACCATACTCCTGGTATCGCGACGCGACTCATCACGTCGGCGAACTGCCGCATGCAGGAACTTGATGCCTGCATAACGGATAGCCTTCTAGGCTGTCTACGGCCGGCATTGTCGCGACGATAAGCTATGCGCGTACCGGTGTCATGGTTCCGATCTAAATAGTAGGGCCGAGATGCACAATGGGGCTGATAGTGTTGCGAGTCAGTTGAGCAAGCAACACGATAACGGCCGGCACTAGTCATACCTACCGGATTGGGAAGTTCGCGATCTATAGCACCGTTTGTGGAGACTTTGACGGAGAATAACGAGAGAACGAGGACGGTGCTGGGTCAAGAAAGCTTTTCGTGTTTCTTCGCTGCGCTTCACTTTTCGCGATGTTGTTGGTTTTTCAGCTCTTTGAGGGCTTCGAATGGCCTCGGGGCTTTCCGTTCGTTGGAATCATACTTGCATTCATAGTCTTTCTCTTTCGATTGCGACACAAGCAGAAGAACGTCAAGGTACTACCCAAAAGGCCAGCAAGCGCAAAGAGAGTTGGGAAGTACTACGGCGGCGACGATATCAAAAGGCTGGATTTCTCGAACGTTCAACCATACAAGGCCGATTTCGATATTGCAGAGGAGGAGCCGATAACATGGTGGAAAGATGACTATATTTCCGACAGAATTTATACTGCTACCATGGCGATTCGCAACCTGGCCTTTGACGACTGGGTGGTAATGGACAAGAACTTTGCGGCGCGCATGGCCCTGAAACAACAAGTAATCGACAAAGTTGGACCCGATGCGCTTGACTGTCGCGAAGGAGGGCTCGAAGGCTGCATTGAGTTGCTAGGAATCTTGACCGAGTACCTTCCGCGACGATTCCCTTCGGTATTCAAGCTCTCCGAGGATGGATCATGTATTCGGAATGAGGTCACTAAAGAGACTCACCGCGTAATCGCGCCATACGACAATCACCCTCTCTATGTTGCAGGAAGGTTGGTGGAAGATGATCTCAATATCCTCACACCAGGGCCGGGTGGCGAATACGTCCTCAGTGCCGTTCTCTCAGCATTCCCAGCAGGCTTCCATGTTCGGGAGAAGATGGGCAAACCAATGACAGAAATTCACAAGACGGTCCCCACGTACAAGGAGAAGCTACAAAAGGCAATGAACAAGTAAGCTACAAAGCCGTTGGTTTTGTAATGCCGGAGCTAACTTGTCGTAGATACTTTGACAGTGTTGGACCTTCCAAATTAGTGATGCGTTTGAATTGGTCCATCAACGATCACGAGGAGCTGTTTCTGGTTGAGGGAGCTCATCTTTATGAAAATGATATCCCAGTCGTCGACATGTCCATTGACATAAATCAGGTCCAGCTTAGAGTTGAGAGGCAGGTTCTTCGAAGACTGCCGAAGTCGGGCGCAATGTGCATGTTAACGAAAACGTAAGCTTGTCCGAGGATTGTTCGATCGTCTTTGCTCATGGTCCGCAGATATCTCTATCGACTTGTCGAGATTGCCGAATACCCAGGTTTCGCGGCTAGATTGGGCGGTCTACTGCATAAGCTTCCTACAAAATTCGCATTTTACAAGAGGAAACCGGTCTGGGGAGAGGTTGTCTTAGGATATCTTGATGAGATGGCGAAGAGATGTCCTGCTGAAGTCGAAAATGTCCAGTAAGCTGCATGGGAGCGAGAACGGAAGCTGGGTGACGAGATGGAGGAGAAAGCGAAACGTAGAAGCATATATTCTATACCATGCACCACGTCCAATTCATATCGCGACTAATGTCTTGCCAGTCGATGGCAATCTTCTCTTCGTAGCTGTTTGCAAAAGCCCTTCGTGACCAGACAAGATGCAAGAGTTTCTCTGCATTGTCGTATAGTGGATCCGCCTTTTCCCTCTTCATAACCCGGATGCGGCTGAGCGCCGCTCTTTGCAGGCCTTCACTCTGAGCTTCGTCGATCTCAAGCGCCGCAATTAGAGTTGGGTACAGAGCGATTCCCTCTAGCTGGGAAGAATGCGTGAGCGAAAACAGGTGATCGAAAGTTGCTTGTACCCTGAACTGGCAGGTTGAGTGGACATGTGGGAATCGACGGAGCCGACGTGCGTGGAAAATAAGTGCGGCATATCGAAAGGCCTCTGCTAGGTGGACCCTATCGGAGTCTGGGCTATTAGGACGCCATCGAAGTAATAAATCTTCCAGTCTTGAAACTTCTATATCCCAAGCATCTTGCCATTCCTGGTCGTCCTGCTGTAACTGTTCTACTTCATCCCTCGCTTGAACAAGCATTTGCATCCGTCCAAGAGCATATACCACGACGGCGGAGCATCCAACGAGCTTTTCGAAATGTTGGTCTTCTGCGAAGTCTTCTGTGTGTTCGCCACGTGCTATTCGCTTCAAGTCGTCCTCTCGCAGCTTCCGATATATGTTCCAGTAATCACCTGAAATGGTCAATTCAAAGCCCGCTGAGGTGGCGGCGAATGTTTCCACCGCAACCACACATTTTGCAAGCCTCATCCAATTGTTGGAGTCTTTTAGATCATGCTCTAGTCGACCTCGCATCTGGACGAAGAGTGTTGCGCCTCGAAGCCAATGATCCCAGCCGCTCGTGCCTGAACAGAGCACTTCGAAGGTTTGCATCAACATGCATGCAGCTAGGGTTGAGTCGTCTTTCACGGTGTCTGGATCTGCAAGGCTCTCCTGGAGTAACGAGAGAACTCGCTGCTGGTGCCACAGGGCCTTGTGGGAATAGCGAACGCCTGAAGATGTACTCGCTGGTTGAAGAGAGTAGTGATACACTGAAAGAGCCATTATAGCATGAGTTAGGACAGGAGAGTCGAAAGAAGCTGGAAGAATGATTGAAATAAACGGGTTGTCTGGTGTGTTCCAGAGCGGCATCAGTCGTGCGACTACCTTTTCAACGTCTGAATTGTCAGTAAACTTCTTTACGTATATACTAGTTGAGTGCTCACAATATTGAAAGAAGAACTTCCTGTCCTCGCAATCGTACACTGGCGAAGGGGACATTGACGGGTGCACATGACGCGCGATCATCGGGAACACATCATCTTGGAAGGTGAGCAACAAGGCCTCTGAGTATCCTGGCTCTAGTGGAATGTGCATGACGTTCATATCGAGGCTATCGGGGCTGAGGTCTAAAGTCATGTCGTCCATGCTCTCAGGTATTGGCTCGTTTGTACGGCGTTCCGAGGAGCCAATGGAGAAAAGAAGCTCTGCATCTTGGAGGACAGATGGTCTCCTCTCGTCTTGAGTAGAAGGTGGCCTGGAGAGACTTGAGAGAGTGTCGCTGGATTCCACCGGATCTGCTTCCTCTGGGCGCTCTTGAATAGCAGTTGCAGGTGAGCGTTCAACCAACGGCGAAATGGGCTTCGGACGAGAGCCGCGACGGGGTCTAGACTTTATGTCTTCTCGAAACCGGATCTTGTACCCTCGCTGAGAAGTTGGGGCGGTCGTTGTAGGGGCTTTAACGCGTTAGATTCATCAAGTCGACGCGTGGGCCTTTTCGCGGCAGCGTCCTACTTTGTCCTGGAAGTGTGGTGTATGAATGGTTCTTGAGCTTTCCGCTTCGCGCCACAGTGTCTTTCCATTTGAGCTGTCTAGGCTGTCGTTCCTCCATCAACGAAAGAGGCCCAGCAGCGAGAGATCGCGAAGGAAGGTTGGTGTTCGCCTGCCAGCTAAAATAGAATGCTGTCCGATAAGGTTCCGACTCGCGCTAAGAGATAGCAACAAACCTTGGGACGATTACTCTCGGCAATAATGCGGATATATAACATACATTTCGTTGAGACTGTTTAAGATATGCTGTAACAAATCGTGGTTGAGCTCGGGGTCTCATATTCTCAGGGATACCCAGCTCAATCTTAAGTATGCATATAATTCATTGATCTCGTACTGGAACTAAAGTGACTATCTTATGGAAACATCACGCATATCCAACTGCTCCAAACAGGAGGCTAGGTTGCTTTACTTTTCTCCCTAGCACAGCAGCTAATGGTTCCTTGTAATCGACCCAGCCCAGCCCGGAAGTTGAAGCTCCATAACCATACGCTTTCAAAACGTCGTCGGGGTACGACTCTGCCACAGACGGAGGTAGGGAAAGGTACGTGTTTTCTTCTGGGCGTAAATTGCCACGGATCATGAATACCCCATGAACCTGACTTTGTCAGCAATGTGTACGGAGAAAATACCCGCGTCAATTAAACACCTTTCGCCTCTCAGATTCGGTGGAATTAGTCCCGCCTCCATGGAACACAGCACCGTCAAAAAGAAGTGCATCGCCGGGTTCTAGAGTTGCAGGAATAGTCTCCTCGGGCATGGGTGGACGATCTTCCCAATCACCCTGCGTATGTGGTTAGAAGTGATCATCTCAGGTTTTCAAGCACACAAGAGGAAGACTAACCCATTTATGACTTCCCGGAATCACAACAGTCGCTCCGTTTTCAGGAGTTGTCCTCGTCTCAGCTAAGAGCATACCGATCATGTATGGCTGCGGGTTCGGGTGGCTGAGATGATGCACACCATCGTCTCGATGAAGCTGCTGTGCTGTTGCACCTGGACCAATGTCGAAGGTTGTGCTGGCGTTTCCCACTGGCGAGCATTTGAAGGTCCGAATGTCATCGCCATATCGGGACTTCTTAGTGATTGTAAGACGCCTGTTGCAGACTTCCTGGTATAATGGATGCATAAAGACTTTGGTTGCCAATGTCTTCGATTTTCCAACCGCTCCGCAAATCCTCTTGGTCGCTTCTGGGAAGAAATTCCCCTTCCACTCTTGATCCGGTTGCTCAAATGGCTTCAACTCTTTGGCAATCTGCTGGAGCGTCTCCGGGCCGACGAGTCCTTTGACAATTAGTCCTCCGTCACGGTCCAGGACTTCGAGGATTTCTTCGATAGGTGCATCAGCACTGATTCTTTGGAGTTCTGGCTTGTCCATAGCTACTGTAACGATTGACTTCCTTCAACTGTTTAGAACGTTATGTTTTTGTCCATGTCTACGTACCATATATCTGCCGCTACTGCGGATGCATGGCAGTAGGGCCGAACTTCTACTTTAGGCAATAAATGCACCATGAGATAAGATGGATCCCACCTTTGCGAACCCCGCAGGCACACAACGAACGCTGTACCGAAGCACTGCGCAGCATCGAGATGGTATTCCGGATAAGAGTGAAGATGCTCGTGCGGATGGGAGGAGTTGAAGAACATCACGAGGAAGTTGAAGTTGCCGAAGATGCCAAGCCAACTTTCACCCCCTCAATCCTTCACCACCCTCCCCTATAGCACCACTCCTGTAGCCGACATCGTCGCAGCCTTCGACCGCGATGGTGCCGTTATCCTCTCCGACTTCACATCTCCCGAGACCATCAGCACCTTGAACAAAGAGCTTGGCCTCTCGTCCTCCGCATCTCCATCAGCCGTCACAGCGTTGGCATCGAAATCCCCAACTTTCGTCTATGACTTCCTCAAGTCTCCCAAGTTGCTCCAATTCCTTGATGCCAAACTGCAAAAGACAACGCGAATATGGCACGGAGAGGAGCGGTTGAGCAATACCTCACGGCCACAGCTAAGTGCGACAGTCGTGTTCGACTCAGCACCTGGTTCACAAGCTGAGCCATTACACCGTCACGACGACATCTACTTCGCGGAACATCCGCTGTCCCAGCCTGTTGAGATATGGGCACTGTGGTCTGGGAGCCCGGGAGGGAATACTACTGAGAATGGCTGCGTGGAAGGAATAATTGGGAGTCATACCTGGGGCGAAGACTGGGACCCCGCAGGACATGTCCTGGCATCCACAGAAATGAAGACGGGCTCTTGCCTTTTGCTCCATGGTTCGCTCGTCCACAGGGGCGGAGCAAACCAATCTGGAGTACTAAGAAGGAGTATTGGTGCCTCTTGGACCCAGGGTCATTTAAGACAAGAAGAAAATCAGGTACGTGGGCCCTAATTACCACTTTAATGATTGTCAAATATTAACTCTCCAGCAGTATCTCAACATTTCGAAAGAGAGGGCTATGAGTTTGGATGAACCAACCCAGCGACTCATAGGCTACAAGATCAATGCACCGATGGGAGGCTGGTACGAGCTCAGGGATCCTATCACATATCTCGCGAGGCCGGATGACAAGATCGATACCGTACAGCGGGAATTCAGGGACGAGGATGTGGTCGGTTGAACCCACAATATCGCAAATCCTAATCTAGTGCGGTCTAGAATACGTCAATACTCTAATTGCAAAAGCAATTGCGCCATAGGCGTTTCAATTTTTTTCCCTAGACCAGAACACCACTGCATCTCTGTTTGTGGGTAGTAAGTGCTTCTGATTCTCAATTCAAAATAATCACATTGATCACATAGAGTGCCAATTTTAGAAAGAAAATCTATCTCTCATAGTGTTTTGTACTCTGCGCACACTCTATTTTAGTCACGGTTGGATTGGTTGCTCAATGCGACATTACTAAGCCATGTGCACTTACTTGTTACTTCTTCTCTCACCCAAGACTACCGCGCACATTAGTGTCTCTCCGGTTAGTTGGCTAGTGGCTGGACTGGACCTCCTACTGGTACATCATCCAACTCGTAAGATCGCTTGCCCTAAGTCATCTCACGCTCGATGACATAGCCTTGAAGAAGATGTTTTCAAGGTGTCGCACATGGAGGGACGTTTGCACGCTTTTAGCCGTGTTTTATCGCGGTGTCGTGGAGCTATATGGTCTGGCGTACCTCGTGATCGATGAAAGGTGCTAGCAGCTATTCTGTCATGCCTACCGAGAGGATATACTTCCAACGGTAATAGACGGCGGAATGCCGGAACTGCTGAAGAGATGTGAGGATGCTGAATTATACGCCCGGGTCTATGGACTGGGACGAGGGGGTGCCGTTAGCTAAGGGCCGGCGCTCTGTGTCATTGACACTCGTTCAATTTCGAGCCCCGGAATATTAAGAGGGATCAAGCTATAAAGACCAGGCTCCCCATATTCACCAGCATCGCTAGCTCGAAATTCATGACGTCACTTGATCATGCCTGCAAAAGCAGACCCTCAATATAATTGCATCACAAGCAATCCAAATTGACAAATCAGACAATCCCCCTGCCCTGTTCTCGCTCTTAGAAGCGCCGATATGGCGGCCCCCCTCACAGATGTCCCGAACGAGATTCTACTTGAGATCCTACAATGGTTGGAGCCCGATGACTCGTTCCAGAAAGACGCCAAGAAGGACCTCAAAGCTGCAAACCTCGTGTCTCGACAATTCTACGACATTGTACCCGCCGTTTTTTTCCGTAGCATGGAACTCTACTTCCACTCTAAGACGGGTCAACCCAAGCTCCAGAAATTCCTACAACAGAAACCAAACTTCGTAAAGTACGTTCGGAGGATTCAGATTACCCATACACCGGTGGTCACCAGCCGACGATTCTACCACGACAAAATTCTTCCCGAAAACATTCAGTACCACCCCTTGGAACTATTCTTCCGAATTCACCGCGAATTCATGCGCCCGCAAAAGCATATGATGCAGTGTGGAAGAGTGTATCCTGAGGACTTGTACCTCGTCAACCAATATCATTCTTGGTTTATCCGGCCGTTCCTTTACGAAGACCTGGAGGACTTGGCCGCACGCTCACGTGCTGTATTGCGGCGTTTTCCACAAGTGAGATTTGTTCAGGGGGGCACGAAAGAGAGGGAAGACTACGATTTCCCACCCAGTGCTCTGGAGTTTGCGCGGGAACACAACATCGATCCGCTGAACCTTCCTCTTCCGTTCAATAGCACGTTTCTCGAGCTTTTTCTAGCAAGGACTATGTCCAGTATGTGGCGCGGAAGGGTGGATGGTATGAAGCTGGACACGTTCCCAGTATCGGGTCGTGACGACGTCCAACCCTGGTGTAAGCACTCCACGCTCTCTCCCAAAATTGAATCAAGCTAAATGTTCAAAGTCGAGACGAACCCCACCGATAGCTGGCTCGTCCAACTTCACCAACAACAAGGCTGGGAATCCCCAACCTGGGCCCTCACAAGCCTAGACATCAAGCTTGTCGCGACCAGAATGGGTAACACTCCGTACGACTATATGCGCGGCGCTCTACACAGCATAAAATTCTGGGCCTCGTTCATCTCCCAGTTCAAATCCTTGAAGCACCTTTGAGTTCGAGGCCCGAGACACAACGACAACGTCATCAACGAGTCCCGGATGTTCCTCGGTTAGAACTTCTTCCCTGAAATACACAGCTACATTGTAACGAATCTCCGGTCTTTCCACCTTCAAGACTTCACCATCTACGCTGCGGGCCAGGAAGACAACGTCGCGCACAACCTCCTCAACTTCTTGGCGCTCATGGAACAAGGCCACGTCATCCTCGATAACGTCGTCCTGGTTACTTGGGAACCTCCGACGCAGAAATGGGCCGTACTCGTCACGCGTTTGGTACAGCGTAACATGTTGCGCGCCACGCCAGTGGGATATGAGGTCTGCAACCCACTCGAGAGCGTTGTGTTCTTCCTTCAGGAACAGCGTACTGCGTATGAGTCTCAGCTGAAACTTGGTCCGGTTGGTCCGGTTGGTCCGGTTGACAGAGAGCAGGCAAAGATTACGCTAGTACCTGTGGATGACAGTGAGTATGATGATCAAGATCAAATTGTATTGGAGGAGGCTGTAGATGGGAGGCGTGGGGAAGAAGGAGATGGAGAGGAGCAGGTGAAGCCACCGCGGAGGGTGGTTATTGAGTTGTACTCTGTGGAGGTGGAGGATGTGATTTCTGAGGTATATGCTGTAGAAGCAGAGAAGGGCGGGGACTAAAGTGGATGGATGGGATGCTGGAAATATCAGGGATGGAAGTCTATGCACATTCCTTTTGCATTGAACGGAGATTTCGGCAACCAAAATTGGCACCAAGGAAAGTGGGTAGATGGGTAGGAAGAGCACGGAGAGTAAGTGCTCTTCCTGTAAACTAGAGTTTTTAGCCTAGTATTAACCTATTTCTCAGAATGCCCCGATAGTTGCAAAAGGAGTTAACCTGCTGAATGGATCACGTGATATACCACACCAGATGAGTGAAAAGTCTACTTGCACGAAGTCTTGTTGTAAACCTTGCCTTGTGAGGATGGTAACTTAGTTAAACCCTGTCAGAGAGGAGGTTTAAGTCTGCACTCGTGATTCTTCCAGTTACTTTAGCACAATTGGGACTTTGGATAAAAATGGGTGGAATTAGCATTACCAATAGATCGGGATCTTGACCAAGCACTTTCGCCTGCGCACCTAGATCCCAATCTTTGAGGGCACGGAGGGGTCCAGGAAGAAATGCCAAGCCATGGTGACGACAGCACGGGCAAAAAGCAACCGCCACCACTCCGGACTATCAAGCTTCAGCACCTCAACCGTCTTTACAGCCCATTTCATCGCTCGGGCACCTCTTCAAGATCCGAACAGAGAGACCTACCGCCGTCGCCACTCGGATGGAGCCTTGCCGCTGATAGAACCTGGCACAGATTCGCGGACCATCCGACTTCGATGCCTCATCAGATCTTTTCGGACTGATCCTACAGAGGGGGCCCCCCAGCAGAACTTTGATCTACGCCTGTCTACGGGTAGCCTAGCCGGATGGTCGGACGACTGGGCTCTCATGTACGAGCCTCCAAGGACGAAATAATGGCGGCTATTCAAGCAAGCATTCTTCTTAGTCCGAGTCCGACTAAGCCTTGCTGCAAATCTCTCGAGTAAAGCCTTACCAGCTACTCGGATATCAAAACGACCGGCTTCCGGGTACGCTTTTGCTTGGAAAAAGATTGTTGTTGAATGCCAAGAAGGAAATGCCAAACCGCTAGGTAGATGGTGCCGAGTAACTGCCCGGATCTACCGGGGATGACGTCGATCATGAATGCCAGCCACGCAGGACGGGCGCGGCGTTGAGCAGATAGACTTTGGATCTAACGGCAGAAGATCTAGACTGATGGCCACCAGGTTCTTCCCATTAGGCTCCAATCCCCTTCCACGTTAGGGTACCGGATGCAACCTCCGCTATTCGCTATAAAGTTGCTAACAATACGAATCAACAGCTTGGCGTTGAGTTACTCTTAGATAGACCGTCCGAGCTGAATACCAAAATGGTTCAATCCGATATCCCGATGCCGTTCCTCCAGCTTTGAACGACTGCTGCGAGTTTTCCTGCGTCATAGTGCACCAGTATATATGCTTTCGTAGTGTGCTGTCACCTTCAACATCACCTGAACCCGGTCCCCAACCCTTAATTTCTGTACTGTTTTCACTTCTTCGCCATTAGGCATGGCTTCCCATCCTCCGCGGGAGGGGAAACACTACCAATGGCCTTCAAACTCTGCAAACAGCTTCCGGGAGCAATATCTGCAGCCATCAACCAACGATGCGGCAGACACCACTTCTACTGCGGTTGAAGAAACCGAAGAAGCCATAGTATATGACGCTGCATCCACCTCATCAGCGTCTGATGTCGACGATGACAAACCAGGAAAATATAAGCCCATTGGCAAAGTCCAGCGGACACTTGGAATGGAGAGAACGATAACCTCAAAGTCCAACAAGGACAATTTTGAGATGGATCCTGAAGCTGCTGCGGAGGTGCGCAAATTGGCCAGAACTCAGACATACAATACCAATCGTTCACGAGCTGCGTCGACCGCAGGCCCCGATCTGGAGCGATCCGCTACACTTGCTGGAGTGAGAATGGGCGACCCCGTGCTGGACCCAGACAGCCCAGAATTCGACATCTACAAATGGCTACGGATGTTCACGACCCTTGTACAGGAAGAGGACATTAAGACCCGACAAGCTGGCTTCAGCTTCAAGAAACTCAACATCTCCGGTTCTGGCAATGCTCTTCAGCTACAAAAAGATGTGACGGCCCCGTTCATGGCCCCTTTCCGATTGGGAGAGTATTTCAGCTTCGGTAAGAAGTCGGAGAAGAAGATTCTGCGCAACTTTGAAGGTGTACTTGGCGCTGGGGAGATGCTGATCGTGTTGGGAAGACCTGGGAGCGGTTGTTCTACCTTTCTCAAGGCCATTACCGGTCAGATGCATGGTCTGAATCAGGACAAGGAGTCTAAAGTTCATTACAATGGTAATAAACCTGGACCCAATCCTAACACGCTATTCTGACATGACCCAGGTATACCACAGGAACAAATGATGAAATCATTCAGGGGAGAAGTCGTGTACAATCAAGAAGTTGACAAGCACTTCCCTCACCTCACTGTGTGGGAGACCCTCTCCTTTGCGGCAGCAGCGCGCACTCCCAGTCGCCGCGTAAAGGATATCTCGCGACCGCAATACATCGAGCACTTGACAAAAGTCATGATGAACATATTTGGTCTGAGTCACACCAAAGACACAAAAGTGATTACCTCCCCGACGCGTTCAACATCGTTCAGCTAACTTTTGAAACAGGTTGGAAATGACTACGTTCGCGGTGTCTCGGGTGGAGAAAGGAAGCGAGTGTCCATTGCTGAAATGGCGTTGGCCGGCAGCGCCATTGCAGCATGGGATAATAGTACTCGTGGCCTCGATGCGGCGTCCGCCTTGGAGTTCACGAAGTCACTGAAGCTCAGCTCCAAAGTTGGAGGTACCTGCCATGTCGTTGCAATCTACCAAGCCTCCCAAGCCATCTATGATCTCTTCGACAAAGCAATCGTGCTTTACGAGGGCCGCCAAATCTACTATGGACCAACCGATCAAGCCAGAGAGTACTTCTCAAACATGGGATGGCACTGCCCCTCGCGTCAAACGACTGGAGATTTCCTAACTTCGGTAACCAATCCTGCGGAGCGTCAAGCGAAAGAAGGATTCGAAAAGAAAGTACCCAGGACTCCCGACGAGTTTGCTGAATATTGGCGGAAATCCCAGGAGCATGCGTCACTACAGAAAGAGATCGCCGCGAATGACGAGGAGTTTCCCGTCGGAGAGGGTGCTGTCACATCCTTCCAGGAGAGCCACAGGGAGAAGCAAGCCGGACATACTCGCAAGGGATCACCATTCTTGCTCAGCCCTTTTATGCAGATAAAGCTTTGCATGAAGCGGTCGTATCAGCGGACGATCAATGACAAAACGGCTACTGTGACTGTTGTCTGCGGTCAAATTATCATGGGTTCGTTTTCCCGTTCTCCTTTCAATTGACCTACTAACTAGCGTCTTAGCTTTGATTATCGGCTCCATCTTTTACGGCACGCGCGACGACACTGCTTCCTTCTTTTCTAAGGGAGCAGTCCTATTCTTCGCCATTTTACTCAATGCCTTAATTGCCATCACCGAGATCAACACCCTCTACAGTCAACGTCCAATTGTCGAAAAGCAAGCGTCGTATGTGTCATTACATCAACTTCTCGGCATGAGAATTATGAGCTGATTGTAATTGCAACTAGATATGCCTTTTATCATCCTTACGTGGAAGGTTTTGCTGGTATAATAGCTGATCTACCAGTCAAATTCATCGCCGCCACCTGCTTCAATATCATCCTCTACTTCTTAGCTGGATTACGAAGAGAACCCTCTCAATTCTTCATCTTCTTCCTCTTCAACTTCATCTCGCAGCTGTGCATGACCTGCATATTCCGGACGATTGCCGCTCTCACTAAGACGGTCACCGTCGCCTTAACTGGCGCCGGTGTGCTCGTGCTGATGATTGTCATTTACACGGGTTTCACGATACCCCGACCGTAAGTTCGATTCATCTCAACTCAACTGCTTAAGCTAACGACTCCAAGGTACATGCACGTCTGGTTTTTATGGCTTTCGTATGCAAATCCAATCGCATTCGCCTTCGAATCGATCCTTGTCAACGAAGTCCACGGACGCACGTTCCCGTGCAGCTCGCTCGTTCCCTCATACTCTAACATGGAGCCCAACACCTTCATCTGCTCCATACCGGGCGCGGTCTTGGGCGAACGAACGGTCTCAGGAGATGCTTGGGTTGAGAGTGCCTACCAGTACAGCTACTCCCACATCTGGCGCAATCTCGGCTTCATCTGCGCTTTCCTAATCTTCTTCTTGTTCACGTATCTGCTGGGGACCGAGCTGAACTCTTCAACTTCCTCGACCGCAGAGTTCCTCGTCTTCCGTCGTGGCAATGTTCCCGCGTACATGAAAAATGCCGATAGTAAGAATGACAGTGAGGAATCCGGCGACGGAGCAGTTGTTAGCGGCCAGGGCGACTCTGAAAAGGAGAAAGATGAAGAGATGGACGTCATCCCACCGCAGAAAGATATATTTACATGGAGGGACGTCAAGTATGAGATTCCAGTCAAGGGCGGACATCGCGTCCTGCTCGATAACGTATCCGGATGGGTTAAGCCTGTAAGTTTCTTACTTACGAACTTCTTCTATCAAAACTGACGATATCAAGGGAACTCTTACTGCCTTGATGGGTGTGTCAGGTGCCGGCAAGACGACTCTTCTGGACGTTTTGGCTCAGCGCGTCTCATTCGGAGTCATCACTGGTGACATGTTCGTGAACGGCAAGCCTCTAGATGACAGCTTCCAGCGCAAGACTGGTTACGTTCAGCAACAGGATCTCCACCTAGAAACTACCACGGTCAGAGAAGCACTCCGTTTTAGCGCGATGTTACGGCAGCCAAAATCCGTCTCTAAGGAAGAGAAGTATGAATATGTCGAAGATGTGATCAAGATGCTTGCCATGGAGGACTTCAGCGAAGCGATTGTTGGCCAGCCTGGCGAAGGCCTCAACGTCGAGCAGAGAAAGCTTTTGACGATTGGCGTGGAATTGGCCGCGAAACCTGCGCTTCTGCTCTTCCTTGACGAGCCGACATCTGGTCTCGATTCGCAATCTTCTTGGGCGATCGTTGCTTTCCTGCGCAAGTTGGCAGACAACGGGCAAGCCGTCTTGTCGACTATCCATCAGGTGAGTCTGAGAGTTATCTATTGATGACAGGCAGTTCTGACGTCACGTGCCTAGCCGAGCTCCATCCTTTTCCAATCCTTCGATCGTCTCCTCTTCCTGGCCAAGGGCGGCAAGACCGTCTACTTTGGTGACATCGGCGAGAACTCTCGTACTCTTCTGGACTACTTCGAAAGGAACGGAAGTCGCCACTGCGAAGACACTGAGAACCCTGCGGAATTTATGTTGGAAATCGTTGGTGCAGGTGCTAGCGGCAAGTCAACTCAGGACTGGCATGTTGTTTGGAAGAACAGCAATCAGGCGCAGGATGTCCAGAAAGAGCTCGATCGCATTCACGAAGAAAAGAAGAACGAGGAGATTGCCGGCGCGGATAGACCAGATGCCCACAGCGAGTTTGCAATGCCTTTCAGTACGCAATTGTTTTATGTTACCCAGCGAGTATTTCAGCAGTATTGGCGTACACCAACGTATGTGTGGGGCAAGATATTGCTGGGGATTTTGAGTGCGTTGTAAGCTTTTATCCTACTCCCAACCCGCTTTGCGAGCGTCTCTAACTTAGCTACAGGTTCATTGGTTTCTCGTTCTACAAGCAGAACAGCTCACAACAAGGCCTCCAGGATGTAATCTTCTCTGTGTTTATGATGACGACGATCTTTACAACGCTCGTCCAGCAGGTACGAGCCGCACCAGCTCCGTTCCTCATTTTCGACAGCTTACATTCCATAGATAATGCCTCTCTTCGTCACACAACGCGACCTATACGAAGTCCGCGAACGCCCGTCCAAATCTTACTCCTGGAAAGCCTTTCTCATAGCCAACATCTTCGTCGAAATCCCGTACCAAATCATCCTCGGCATCGTAGTCTGGGCCAGCTACTACTACCCCATCTACACCACCGACGGCATCCAGTCCTCCGAGCGCCAGGGCCTCATCCTCCTCTACAGCATCCAATTCTTCATCTTCGCCTCCACCTTCGCGCATGCCCTCATCGCCGGCCTCCCCGATGCCGAGACCGCCGGCAATATCGCCACATTCATGTTCTCGCTGACCCTCGTCTTCAACGGCGTCATGCAGCCGCCACAGGCTCTCCCCGGCTTCTGGATCTTCATGTACCGCGTCTCGCCCCTCACGTACTGGGTTTCCGGCGTAGTGTCTACCGGTCTTGCGGGTAAGGCCGTCGACTGCGCCGACAACGAACTCGCCATCTTCAACCCGCCCGCTGGCCAGAATTGCGGCGACTATGCTGGCCCTTACGCCAACACGAGTGGTGGAAACCTGCTTAACCCGTCCGATATGCAAGACTGTCGCTTCTGCTCGCTTAGCACTTCGGACCAGTTCCTCACGTCTGTGTCTATTGAATACACGACGCGTTGGCGGAATTTCGGGATCGTATGGGCGTATGTCTTATTTAATATCTTTGCGGCCGTGTGCTTTTATTATTTCTTTAGAGTGGCGGGGAAGAAGAGCTTTGGGCTCGGAAAAGTGAAGGATAAGATGACCGGGTTATTGAGGAGAGGGGATAGGAAGGGGGAGGCTAAAGAGCCGGTGGGGAAGAAGGAAGGTGAGGAGCATACGACGCTGCCAGATCAGAGAAATGCGGAGAATCCGGCGATAGTGCAGGGTGTGATGGCGGAAGAGAAGGGCGGAGGGGTAATAAATGTGGGATAGGGCTTGTTTCTACAGCACTAAGACATAAGTTTGGGCACTCCTTGCCACTGCTTGGGGTACCCCGATAGGATTTTAATACACCAGATACGATGTAAACGCCAACGAAGTAGAGATTAGGCTACCTTTTGACGAAGTCAATCCTTGTTAGCTGGGGTGCTCCTTACAGTGGTGTCGATAGAGCAAGAATAGTGCCGGAGCAGTGATATATCCCGTATGACCCAGTACTATGAAAACCGAGAGCGTTTTGGGTTACTTATTCCATCAATCTTCAACTCCGGCCTGGCTATCACATTCGTCCCTGCCGTCACGTCCCAGTCGTCTTCATACTTGAAGGCCCAATGATACACCTGTCACAGTACGCCTAATCCGAGAGCATCAAGGTGACAGAGATCTTGGAAGGCGAGATGTGCCCGTTCATCCTCCAATTCTCAGCGGGGCCCATCGGGAGGTTGGAATCAGACTGCTGGCATGCCTCTAGGTAGTACTTATTGCCGATAATCCCAAAAAGCTTCCCATTGGAGTCATATCCATCACCGAGATGATAGAGTCTGCGGGCATGTGATGCTTAGACCAGATAAGTCTTGGCCTTGTAGCACGTGACGTGCGAACCGAAAAGTGAAAGATGAACTGGAAGACTCTCTCAGGAGTAAAACTGAGGAATACTTTGAGCAACGTCTTTGGTCCTACGTACATCATAATAATAGCTGATAAAGTATTATCACTACAAAGGTATAAACGTATGCGTTTCCGTGCTAAAAATAGAACATGCATGCCCCGCGATATCGCCATTCCTGGACCCGGAACATTCTCTTCATTTTGACTTCGTGTCTCGCTCTGGTTCTCCAGAAGGTCCCCTTTAAATCAGCTTACATCTAGTGTCTCTACCTAAGGCTTTGTTTGGAACCCTGTCGCTCCATTGCCCGGTCGGTCCGCAGGAGTGATGGCTGCAGAGACATCCGGAGAGTTGTCGACGTATCAATTTGCCCTTCCATTTCTCGGTTTGGCACTCCTTTGAATTCGAATCATTCCTTCCATTCGACATATCATTTTTCACTCTATTCCATTAGACATTCGCGCACTTGCAATACTCTTCAATCTCTCCCAAACGCGTGATCCAGGCGGTGATCTCTTTTCAATGTATCAATCCCGGAGCGGTCTATATAAACCGTTGAGCGTACCAGAGAAAGAAATTCGATTGATCAGACTCCGTCCCCGCTCTTTCTATCGACCTGAACAGATCTCGGACGATGTCCTAATCTGCACACTCGAACATGCGTCTCGAAGTAATGCTATACAATACACGGCTTTATCCTACGCCTGGGGGAGCGGAAATGAAACTCGCCCCATACTGGTTGACGAGACTAGACAGTCTATAGGCGCGAACTTGGAAGCAGCGTTGCGAGAGTTGTGGGATGATAACGAAGAAGTACTGGTCTGGGCAGACCAACTCTGCATTAATCAAGACGACAAGGTAGAGAAGAACCGCCAAGTATCCCAGATGAAGGAGATATACGAAGAAGCCCAGCGCGTGATTGCTTGGCTTGGCCCAGCAGCAGACGGGAGCGATCTAGTTATGTTTTGGATCAGAAAGATGAGCAATGCCGAGGGCTCACGTTCAGTAACAATCGACATCCTGAATCACCACGAGAAACCAGAAAATTTGGCGGCCATGACGGAGGCCTTTGATAAGTTCTGTCAGCGGGATTACTGGCAGCGGCTCTGGATTATTCAGGTAAGAAGTTTTCTTATCAGCTTTTCGCTTTTCTTAATGTAAATACTTACATAATAAAGGAGTTTACCGTAGCGCAGCAGTTGTTTATCGCCTGCGGAGGCGCCTTAATCGCATTCGACGAGCTGGTAGGGGCCTTGGACTTCCTCAAGCTCCCGAAATGGGTCGTTGAGCAACCAGACATGGTAAACGCTTACAAATCAACGTCTTTGACATTTGTTAGAGGCGTTGTAACTCGCCGGATGCGCTACCAGCTTAGAAGCGGCCACCAATTGGACTCACTGTTCCAAGTCGTTGTCGAGTCACTTGTCATGGGGATTGACTACAGCCATCGGGAGACTTCGTATCCTCGCGACCGTATCTTCTCTGTGCTTGGACTTGCAGGCGATGCCTTTTCCTTTGGATCATTTCCGGATTACGCGCCGTCGACGAGCTGTGAGGACGTTTATGAGGAGGCGGCTCGGGGATTTCTTCGACAAGGACATGTGGATATCTTCTGCTACTGCCAGTTTCCAAGGACTGAGAGGAATAGGCGGATGGCGACTTGGGCGCCGGACTGGCAAATGCCGACAAGAAAACCAAATGTAGATGACCCTTGGTTCAGTCAATTCAGTGCCGGGACAGCAACAAACATCGCACCGCAATCGATTACTTTTCCGGACACCAAAAGCGTGGCATTGCAAGGCATAATCGTCGATGAAGTCAAGGGGTTCGGAAGTACGTGGAACCCGGACTGGCTCAGTGCTTTGGACTGTCAAGCTGCGCTCGACTACCTTACCGAGATCACGGCGTTCTGCGAAGATTCACCTCGGGTTAGTGTTGATGACGTGCAGCTGGTCACAGCGCGTGTTGCTATCAATGAGCGTGTCGCGTACACATCCGAAGACTGGCGGCAATTCTATGTGACCGGATATAACTCGGCCGTGGATAGCCTCTTCGACGCATTTCAACTCGGGATGGAAGTGGCGGAGACGTGGTTTACTACGGGGATGAAGTTGCTGCACTCGCGCCGGCCGTTTATCTCGAAGACAGGTTATATAGGGCTTGCGCCTGATCATGTTGCTGAAGGAGACATCGTATGCGTGTTTCTAGGGGCTAAAACCCCTTACGTTCTTAGACCGACTGGACAGGGTACATATACGCTTGTGGGAGAGGTGTATCTACATGGAGCTATGCATGGGGAGATCCTTGAGGGAAGTCCTGACGTCCAAAAATTGGTTTTGAGATAATGTAGAGCTCGAATTTGTACATGAAGAAGTCCCAAAATCTGGAGAGAACATATGGCGTATATACAATAATTGAAGATCGGAGCATGCAACCCTCAAATCATCGACCTATCAGTGCCCACAAATGCAACTGCGACTGTGGCCAACTGGTACTCTACGCCCAAGAAACTTTCGCCATCTTGGTCGTAGTTCCGCTGATCGTCCAACTCAGCGTCACCGTCTTTCCGCTTGCGTCCCAACTCGGATACGCATGCCCAGCGTAATTGTAATTCTGTCCAGATGGCACACTGGTCTTATAAAGCACTTGCTCGTCACTATACGGCCCATAGACCTTACCAGACAGCGAGTAGCGCATGCGAAACGTGCTATCCGCATAGCCATTGAAGTAGATGAAGATCCACGTCCTATAATATGACGACATGTAAAAGTCACCTGAACTGTAGACGCCGCTGACGGCGATGTCGGACGTCGAAGACGCGGATGGCATTGTGGCGGTGTAGGCACTGCCGTCCCAGTACTCGTACTAGGCAATGTTAGTGGTAGGTTTATGAAGTGCAGGACATCATATTTACCTTGGTGCGATCGGCGCGATCGGCAGGGTCTACTCTCGCGATTTTGATGCCGCCCTTGGTGTTTCCGAACAGCATCAGCTTGCCGTTCCAGGCTTTGGCGGTGCCGAAGCTACCATAGGAGACCTCGTTGGACAAGAAGAGCTTTTCTACTACGCGCGTGAATGTCGGGCCAGAATCAGAAGCGGTAACTTCCACGAGGGTGCTGTAATTTTTGCCCGGGCTGGGACCGCCGTATACCGCAATATCCGCAGCGAAGACACCGATGTTGTTGCCCACATCTGTGATGGCGCCTATTGAGATTTTAGCAAGGCTCAAGGTGCGAGAAGCGTGGGTACGTACTTCCAGGCCAGAGAACTTCTCGACCTCCATCGCTGCCAAAGTGCTTGCTGGTATAGGCCGCTTCGGCAGTCGTATATGCCACGGCCGTTTTAGGGATGCCGCTGGATCCGAAATCGGTCAAGGAAGTTGGGGTATCTGCGTTCGCCTGGGAATATCAGCGACTACGATTCGTTATATAGAGAGACGACTTACGTAGGCTGCACTATTGGACGTAAAGCCTATCATTTTTCCGCTTGGACCGCCGTCCGTGGTAGTAGTATCGCAGAACACGATGATGTTCTTGCCATTGATTGTACCTCCACCACCACCATCGCGGTAGACATTGGGGAACCCTACAGCATCGTTGCTGTACTCAGAGACTGTGAATTTTGGAGGAAGAGTACCAGATCTTGGCACTATAACGCCGGCCAAACCTGGGCTAGCGAGAGAGAGCAGAGAGAGTGTAAGAATAGAGAACATCGTAAAAGAGCGTATCAAACGACTGAAACAAAGCTATAAATGAGTGTAGTATAAAAGAACGACAAGGAATTGATCAAGCAAAGCACACCTTTCATAATACAGGGGGAAACATAGTGTATATAGACCCTCGAAAAGATGCCGACAACGGTGATTCAATGAGATTAATAGGAGCAACTAGACGCGGCATTTTGAATCGGATCACCACTATTTTAAGGCATTGCATCGGCGTGGTGCGGCTGTGGCACGGACCGGGTGCTCTCGTAGGTAAAGATCATCTCCGTGGACATAAATATACTTCGGGGTTGAGCCCGTGTGATTGTCAGGACCACCTTCGGGGCCATTCTTCCTAGCTGTCGGCATCAAGGTGTCGGTAGTGTGCTTCATCATCAGCCACTGTCAGCACCACACCTTGTGAAAATCTCCGCATTCCACATCAGACATGAATTAATAGACCCATCAGAACTCTATCATGTAGATGAAACGGTGAAACGCTAGCAGTGGAGGCCTGTCAGGAGCCAAGGAGCGGCACGGCTCGCTCATTAGCGAGTCTAGTCCTATTTGAGTTATACGTCATGTGATATGACGAAGACGAAGACGGGTTGCAATATTTATCACATGTACTAACTGTGAGGGAGAGCACAAGGCCTGAGTTTCAGCCCTCTTTTTTCTCGAACTGATAGTGAAGATTTGGGATTGTGGTCTGATCAGGGGTAGACCCGTGAACATCTGGCCTCGCCTAAGCATAGGGCCCTGCTGTGACACATCCCCAAAACTCACGACGTCGTCTTGTCCAAGCAACATGCTCAGCATGAATGGAACAGAGCCATTCGTCAAGCAAAGTCCCGAGCAGTTGTATGATGGAGAAGAGGCACCGACGTGGCGGGAGTCCACAAAATTCCTTTTCCCCGCAATCCGCAGCCACATTTCCGAACGGTTGAAGTTACCCGACTCATGTCCTCTAAGATAAGCCCAACGTCACGTCGTCCCTCGGAACTTGCAAATATTGAAGAATAATTCACGGCACGTCGACACTACAGTCTAAAATCATGTCTCTGAAAAACAAGATCGTTCTTATCACAGGAGGAGTAAAAGCACCTATCCGCCTATCATGACCGGAAATGCTGAACTCCGAAACGTAGGGATCGGGCATCGGGCTCTGTCTTGTGAAGCAAACCCAGCAACTCGGCGGCAGAATCATTATTGGCGATCTGAAACTGGGAGAGGAGGCCCAGACACTCGTTTCGAAAGACCCCAACGTCATCTTCCAGAAATGCGACGTGTCGAAATGGAAAGACCTTGAGGCGCTCATTAGCGCGAGCGAGAAGCAGTGGGGAGACGTCCCTGATGCGTATGGTATCTGTGCAGGTGTCTTTGATCCGGTAGGATCAACTTCAGCATGTGCCGGAGGGTGCTAATGCCTCTTTACAGCCGTGGTCGAATTTCTGGCAAGATCCGGAAGATGAGCGATATGCGTCAGTCGATATCAATGTCAACCACCCTCTCAAACTCACCCGCTTTGCCATCCGCGCATCATTGGGAAAGGGAAAGAAGGCCGGTGTCTGTATCATTGTCAGTTACCCCTCTATATTTAGCTAAGATGAAATTCTCACGGCACAACGCAGGCGTCGATCGCCGGAATCGCGGGAAACGTCGCCTCTCCGCTTTATTGCGCGACGAAACATGCGGTACGTATCAGCGGTCCTTGGATTGTCCTCCGTTCTGATCCGTAGCTAGGTGGTGGGCTTCACCAAAAGCATGAAAGGCACAGATGCCTATACCGGTGTAAGGATCACGACGATCTGCCCCGGTCTGGTAAAGACACCGCTTTTTACCCTGGACAAAATGAAGCAGTTCTCCTTTTCCGATGAAAAGGCTCTGTTGCCAGAGCAAGTTGCCGAAAAGATGCTGGACATGCTTCAGAAGGCTGAGTATACGTGTGGCACCGTCGTAGAGCTCACTCCTTTGGGGTCTAGACTTATCCCTGAGTGGAATATCACTCCGCCGGTCGGCAAAGGAACTGGTCAAGAGCTGGAAATGACTGAGGAGATGAAAGCCATGCTTGCTCCCATTATCGCCAAGTTGGATATTGAGAAGAGTGCTAAGCTATAGGTGTATACGAATTGATAATAAATTCTCAAGAGACTAGTATACTTCATACAGCGACACGGGCATTACTAGGTTATAAATTTGGGCACACGAATATGCCAATGCTCCAGCTTCACTCTTGCTCTCTCGACACTATTTCCAGGAGCACCGTGGGTAAATGTCTTCAGCAAGTCAAAAGGTAGTCTAATTTCCACTGCGTTGACCTCTACATTGTATTCAGAATTTCCAAAGCCTATCAGGGTACCCCAAGCAGTTGCAGGGACTGTCCAAACTTCTTATTCAGATCCACCAGATTGGCCCTCCGCGTCATTCGCCAGCGACAGAGTCAAGATTCAGCCCACCGCACAAAAGCCTTGCCCGTTTCCGACTTTCTCCTCCTTCTTCCCACCGCACAAGCTCTGCTCACCACCCATCTCCATCCTTCTATCTCACAACAACCACTTCTGTGTTCATTTCTTTCACAGGCCAATTATATCTGGGCCCCTGCCGTCGTGCCCGCTCGTCAGGAGCCATGTTCTCGCAACAATGTTACGACGTCTCGCAATGAAGTTCGAGATGAGCGCATTGTTTGCGAATGGTCCAATTGGAAGTTTAAAGGTTGGAGGACACAAGGACGAATCGACTTCTATCCCACCAACGCGAGGCTGCCAACGCACAACTGTGGGCACAAGCGCCCTCTAAGGCCTGAGAAACTACGTGCCATTACTGCAGGTCTTCAGAACCTGAGGATTGTCACAATCTCAGCATCTTCTCAACAGACCAAAGCTCCTCGTATGTTTTCCGCTGTTCTATTGTGAAATGGGAGCTTTACTAACGCAGTCACAGAAGGGGAGAGCTATTCGACTAGGATACCTGTTACGAACACCAGTGAGCCAGCTACAGAGCATGCTTCGGTTCCACATTGTCACAATCCTACCGATACCGTCGAAGCGATGGATGATGTTCCAGAACTTGTGGCAGAGGAACCAGCCCGCCACGTGCAGCGTGCTTTTAGTCTTTCCGGTTATCAATATAGGGCTTCTAACAAGATTGACTGGTTTCCAAAGAGCATCGCTTTGCCTGCTTCTCCCTCGCGTTATGAGTCCCTAACTATCGTCGGAATCGACGAAGCTACGGAAGCCATGGAGAAGTTGACGATTGGTACACGCCGATCACACTCATCTTCGGACATATTAGCTTGCACGTCTACTGATAATCCGCCTGGTGGAGGAGAATTGAACACGGGAGGCATTGATGCTAGTGGTGCAAGCGCAGCCCTTGAGAACGACTTGGATATGCCCACCGCCGATGAAGATGACGATATCGATATGGTCACGGAGGATCCTAGACCTCGTCTAAAGCAGTTTGAGCCTTCGGAACATTCGAAAACGGATGGCCTTGATCTGGGTGCTGATGCAATGGATGGCTTAGGTCGGAAAGATTGTGATATGATAGATGCCCCCAAGGCTCCCCAAGCTGCAGCTGGGGGTTCATTGCCATCCATCACCCAGAATATCCTTTCAGCAAAAGAGTACGGCCCACAAGAGAGCATGGAAGACGCAACCGAGGCCCACCAGCGTCCGGAGGACTCCTTCTCATCAAGCTTTTCATCACTATCGTCAATGCCGAGCACCCCATTAACATTCAATTCTTCGATTTCATCCGCCCCTGCCTCAGATCTGGGCAGTTCGAAGCGAGAGCCTGTCCATGCTGATATCGAGGTGGAGCCACTCCCAGTGACGGGTTGTAATGCTGAGTATGACGACCGTGTCGGCTTCTTGAACCGACTTTTCCTCCAATTTGAACGCCTCAATGGCACCGTTTGGCGGAACTCGGCGTATAAGAAGAGCGCGCTAACTACAACTGAGATGAACAAATGCGCACAGATGTATGAAAAGCACTGTGCAAACCACGGTGAGGTGATTGAAAACCCTCATTCGTATCAAGATATGGCACAGGAGGTATGGATACAGCTAGGCTTGGAGGGCATGTCACCACTGGAATGGAAGACCTTTTGTGAGAACTACCGTGAAGAAGAGCGCAAGTCTGGAAATAAGCCAATACTTCCGGCTCAAGTAATTACATCACCAGCACCTCACGTCGCAGTTCCTTACCTAAAGACTACGACGCCTATGTACCATCCGTGGTCAACCTCTCATTATATCGCCCAATCCGTTCCCCCAACATCTCAAACCAACTACCCTGAGCAGTCGAACTTGACAGCATTTCTACAGAGTTTGGTGCCACCTGCTGCATCATCGCCTTCCCCATCACCCACGCTCCCGGGCCTTTCGCCAACAGAACTACTAAATATACTCAATGGCCTCAATTCCACAACTTCTCCCGAAAACCCCTCGTCCTCCACCGTCTCGACCACAACCTCCAACTCGGCTAGCACCGCGCAGCCTGCTGCACAGCCTGTCCCAGTGGTCGCGCCACCCCTAACGACGTCAACGGCTCTGCAAACGACTGCCCCAGCGACCCCAATTCAGCGTCAACTGGCCGCGGGAAGAAAACGGGCTCGTGATTCAGGCCCCGACGAGGAAGGAGAAGACCCGGCCCTCAAGATCTGGAAGGGTGGCAAGACGTTTTGCAGTCGGGTTAGGCGATTTGAGGCGCCTCAATGGATTATGAGAGTGCGCAGTAGGCCGGTAGAACTGCGATGATTTGCATCAACTGTATGAGACTTCCTTCTTTTCTCCTCTGCTTCTGTGGCTTTTCCTGTCTTCGTGTATTTGTTAGTCGTTTGCGTGCGATTTTCTTCTGCTTTCCTTGCACTTTTTGGGGGCGATTGCGTGCTATGTTCTTCGGACGGGTACTAGAAGATATGCCTTTTCTTCCTGCTTGGGGACACGTTGGGTAGCCTAAATGCAGTTGCAGATACCTATAGTTCTCAAAGTTGATTGCAAGGCTTGAAATCAGCGTTTGAAACGTCATGTGACGTGCGGTGATAGATGCTTAGGTCTCATTGCTTTGGGACGTAATTTAGACGGTTTATGATGTTTCTGCTGCGGTATTAGACAAGGCTGAATAGCATCCCTTGCATATCTAACCTCAAACACTAGGAGCTAGAGACTGTGCATTAGGGGGGGGGGAAAGGAGTGCGAATTAGTCAGTGATAATATTGCTGCTGCGGTGGTAGATAGGACTAGCTGGCGCCCCTGGCCTATTCAGCCTCGAGGATCACGAGATGTAGAGAGCTAGAGGCTGCAAATTGCGGCTGTGAAAATCGGCTAGGTGTTATGAGGTCCACGGCCTTCAAAGCGCGAATTGGAAGGTAGCATTGTTGCTGCTGAGGTGGTAGACAGGGCTGGGTGGCATCCCTGGCCTATTCGGCCTTACGATTAACAAGATTTAAAGAGCCGGAGACTGCAAATCAGGGTCGTGGAAAAGAGATAGATAGTTTGGGAGCTATCTGCTTCGACGTGTAAATCAGAGGTCGGTATTGTTGCTTCTGCGGCGGTAGATGGCGCTCGCTGGCGCCCCTGGCCCATCCGGCCTTGAGATTTGCATAATGCAAACGACCGGAGATTGTGGATTAAAGGGAAACACGGGTCGGCGTTTTGGTATCTAAACGTCTTCAGGTTTGAAATAAACGCTTTGTGGTGTTGCTGCTGCGGACTGTAATATCGCTGGGTGACACCCCCGGCACATACGTGTTTGAAAATGCAAGATGTAAAGGACCGGCGGTTGTGGATCAGAGGCGTAGAAGGGAAGTCTGGCTCAAAGCCGCTTGGAGTATCTTATGGCATCTTCAGATATCTAGACGAGACGTAAAGATTTTGAAGGCGTGAATGTAAGAGCGGTCAACTGCTTATGATTGCAGACGTCTAGTCACTGCATGAGGTCTTCCAACGCCCTGAAAACTTTCGAGATAAAATCTCAATTCGTCAAGAGCGCGAAGCAGGAAGATTTATTACTGTTTAAGCGGGCTCTCCGGCCAGTGTATGGGGTGTTCTAGCGGATGAGATGTCAAGTCCTTTAGAGTGCGACTTGGGAGGTCTTCATAGCTCACGAGTCAAACTTTCTAGCTAGCGCGTGAGGTGTTCCATCGGATGATAAAAATTTAGGAAGAAAGGTAAAATTATCGAGAGCGCGAATGAGAAAAGGGTCATTGCTCATTTCTAGCCAGTAGCCCGCGTATGAGGTGCTCCGGCGCATGATGATAATCCAGGATAGGATGTAAAGATCCGATCGCCCTAGTTCGGCGGGAGTAGAATGCAGTCAGCCCCCCTCGTAGCACTGTATGAAGTACTCCAACGTGCGCAGCGCGATGAACAAGATGTAAAGCTCCGTACGACTCAAGTCGAAGAGCTATGAGAATAAACTGCACATCAATATAGCACCATAGGGAGTTCCCCAGGATGTTTATGGGGGCCAGAATCAGATGTAAAGGACGAGACTCTTCAGATCAAATGGCTGTGAAAGACATGTCCATAGTTACTCTGGTTCACGACAGTCAGGATTTGACATCCTATTGGGAAGATTGATCACATTCAGGACACCTCATACGTTGGTGAGCAGTTGTATCCAAACTCTTGACCAGGTACTGTACGTCTACCACGTCCACTGGCAATGACAGCTATTCTCCGGATCCGCTCTCTTGCTCTTCCGTGACTTCTTTCGCCTCGCCGACCCAGGGTGGAAATTTTCCATTGTAGGATCCTTCTCTTTCAAGTTGACGACTATCGTATTTCCATCATCGTCTACCGCAGGCAAGATATCCCCACTGTCCAACATCTGCATCTGCTGACAATAACCTGGGGCCGTATTCACAGGCAACCGGCGCTCTTCGATCTTTGTGGCAAAAGGCGTATTAGGTACTGCCTCTTCCAAACTGGACGGGGACGGAAGCGCGATTGACGAGGATGATGTTGGAGTCGCGAGTTGGCTGCTGTTCGATGTAACGTAGAGGTATCCTTCAATCAGCGTACCATCCCAGTGACAGAACCACGGCATGTCTCCTGCCACGATTTGTTTTCCCTTACTCACACCTCGTGTGAATGACCTCTTGCCACTTCTATGAGAAACAAACTCGTCGGCTCGTAGGATAACGACTTTATCATACGTGGTCTGAAAGTGATGTGCAGGACCTAAATTTGGATCATCGAGGTCATCTACGAGAGTAAGTTGAATCAAGTCTTCCGAGAGGCTAGGTAGCGTCGGAGGTTGCAGCCCGTAAGTGTTTCCTGCGTCTGTCTCATCGAGTAATGCTAGAGAAACGTCTGGCACAGTCTCGATTCTTTGTCGTACCGTCATTTCAAGGCTGAAAATCCAGCATGGCAAGACCACGAGGCGTTTTGGCCGGCTCCAACAACACAATTCGGGGCGTCTTCTTCCGGATCGGTACTTTTGAGCTGATACGAGCCAGTAGGTACAGCTGGAAGGTTTGAGGTTGACGTAATTGGGGTTGCATAAAACAATACGGATTCCTGAAGTACAATGCTTGAGAGCGTAGCTGTTACTGTGGCTGTGAGACTCAGGTTGCAAATTGACGTGAACTCTGTCTTATTTCGGGGGCCCGAAGGCCAAACTATATACTACGTAGGAAGTGACTGTACGCGTAGGCAGAAGCA